ATAACATCCGACGCTTTGGAGACGAGAGACATCCAGGCCAGGGGTGTTGATAAGGGGTAGGTTGGTAGGCTTTACCCGATAGAAATTCCTTCTACCCCAAAAACCAAAACCAAATCCCCCCCATTTCACACCCCCAGATCCTGCAGCAGCAGCAGCAGCAGCAGCAGCCAAGGGGGCGGTGAGCAAAAGGTCAAAGGAAGTACTGGTAGACGCCGTCGCATCGAACAAAGAGGCCAGCGAAGCCTGGAACCTCCACGTCTCATTGGAAGACGGAGGTTTGATACCAGTCTCGAGAGGCTGCTTTAGGATAGTCCTCGTAGAGTGAGTAAGGAGGGGGGGTTGTTCAGCTTGCTGAGAAAGCTCCCCTCCCCGAACTCCGTGGCTTTTCTCACATCTGTGATTCAGCTGGAGGAGCAATTGACTCAACTAGTACCATTCGAGGCTAAAATGCCTGCGGGTGATTGGCTTTCTGATTACTTTGCCGGGCGGCCATGGGAGATTTACGGTTTAGCTTCGTCACAATCCAAGGGGCTGGACGATAATCCAGGGTCGTCGTTGGCCGGGGAGAAGCAAAAGCATGCGGACAGTAAGAATTGGCGGCTCTATTACGTTCTGCGTGCGCTTTGCGTTATGCTGCACGCGGGCGCGGACGCACTGATTGTGTTGCTGACTCCTGTCAGCTCACCTCACGATGATGATGACTGAACTCTCCGGGGGGATGTTGTGTCGCACATTCTGCCTCTTCTCGTGTTCACACACACACACACACACACACACGGTTGCCTCGAGGCACCATGTAATATGAGCATGGAGGACGCCGCTTCGAGTAAAGCTTGTCGCACACAACCCAAGGCGTGTGCAATGTGTGTCACTTCAACATGAGTTGCCCATCGCCCTCCCCACACCCACAAACCTGACATTCATCCCATCTCACATCCGTCTCGGTTCCTTCTAGAACGCCCATGGAGAATCTGGGACCGCGGGTTTGACACACAGCAGAAGGAGGCTCATCGCCACGCGGGGGGAGGTTTTCCTCAAGTCAATGCCACCCCGGCTCCATGTCGACTCCTTCTTCGGTCCAGTTGTGCCGTGCTTCGAGTCACGGCATGAGAGCGTGACCATCTGTGTTTTTGTCCTCCTTCCTGCCGTATCTCAGGTCCTTGGCGGCCCCAGGGACTTGGTGTTTCATGAGCCGCACATCTTGTCGGTTAACGGTCGGTGGTGGAGGGGACGGGTAGACCGCTTGGCTTTCTTTCTGCCGTTAATGCCTTCTTCGGATCGTCTTGCTTGAAGGGGCTCCGGGGTCAAATGGTTCTAAAATTGACGATCGCTTGGCGTTACCGATCATCAGGGTTGGTCTGAGTTGGGGGAAGGAAGAAATGTGTTTCGTTTCAACATGGACCTTTTAGTCCGAAAAGTCGGGACTTTGCCATCTTTTCAGGGATGGGAATTCTCGCCAGTGATTTTCCTGCCCTCCTTCCGGTCTACTGCCGAGAGTTTGCTTTTTTTTTTCCCCCCTCCTTCTCCCTCCTTCCAAGATGGTGTTTGGTAACTAGTGAGTGGTGGGCAACATGGTGATGACTGTCGAATGGGCGGACGGCAAAGACAGATGATCTTCAGTCACGGGGCTGGCTCAGTGGTGGGTGTGGCTCGAAAAGCTGCAAGCCGACAACCACCAGCCCGTCCGACTCATCGAGTTGCCTCGAGTTCGTTCCTAACAGAGGAAAAGATATACGGACATATCATTGCCTCATTCGTAAACATGCCGTGTACCGTCAGATCTCCTACTCGGAGACTTTCTGTCAGATATCTTGTTCTTGTTTGCACAACATATGGATAGACTGGAGCATGTGAACAAACAGCCAAGCTTGAGTTCGTGAGCTGTGTGTTTGTGATGGAAGGGTGGATGTATGTCTCAGTCGTGTAGATGCCTTGAAGGAAATAGCTTCTCCGGTGGAATGCGGCATATTCGTTCGTAGAAGTGGCATGCAAGAAACATGCAGATGCAGGTGACGCCTGTGACTGCGGCTGCTTGATGACGACGGTGTCTCGCCAGGCTATGTGCTACTGTCTTCTGAAAACGGGTGAGGCTGGGGCTGGGCAGGTTCAGTGGCCTCCTGAAGCTCGTTTTGATATCCTGGTTCTTGGGACCCTGTGCTGTTCTCGGGAACTACGTTCACGGCCCGGTTGGAGGCTAATATCGGCTACGTCGCATTACGGCACAGAGACGACTGGTCATGTCATGATGAGCTTGGGTTGGATATGTCTCGGAGATGTTGGGCCACGAAGTTCGCGTACGCTTCAGCTCCTGTTGCCGACTCACCACCGTCTTTGTAGTTTCTGTTCACGGGACATATCGGCTCTGGACTGTCATAGTGGATCTTGATCAACACTCGAACAGCCCAATGCGGGATTTCCTCGCATTGGGGACAGCGAATGGATTGAGAATGCCATGATGAAGGATGGCTTTTCGATACGTAATGGTGGTTGAGAAACAAGCATCCCGTGATCTTGCCCCAACGTTCGACGACTGGAGTTGATGTGGGAACGGGAAACTGCCGTCGGGCTTGGTTGGGAGTTGACTCACGGTAACCTCTCAGTCAAAGTAAAGGCATAATGAACACCTGGAATAATTTTGGGGCTTTGATTGACAACGTCCTCAACTATTGGGCGGGTTTACTCGGTCTTAGTTTGGTAGGCCATCTCCTCGACCTTGTGGAAAGGAAAGCGGCAGCATATGAATCCATTTCCACCTCCAGGCTATTTAATGTTTGCCACGCTGTTTAGTTATCTTGGCTGAAAGGCGCTTGTTCTTCTTTCGCCCATTGTAGTATGCTATCGTCCTTGCCACGATGTCCGTCTAGTGAGAGGGGTGATATATGTGTTGCTCCTACCAACCACTAAACTTCTGTGACCATGTTACATGGCAACTTATGAGTTGTTAGCTTTTACAGGATGGACAGCAAGATTACTTTTTTTCCAGATTTTAATGTTCACCACTGAACTGATTTCCGATTCTACTCAAAGCTTGCGTCCTGTAATTGTCGGTGGAAGGTTGGAAATACCACAGGGTTGTGTTCTTCTAGGGCAGTTCTTGTCAATATAGTCAGATAAGTTGACGAGAGAACCTTCGGCATTCTTTTGGAACTTGTATTGCTTTTCTATCTAGTTCCTGCAAATTCTTTCGGTGATTAAGGTTCCTCTCGATCCCATGCCGGTCATTGTATACTTTATTATATCTTAAGAAGGGCATTTGCGCAAGCTGAAGTAGGTACTGAGAGTCCCAAACGACGAAACAAGGCTCTCGGCAAAGCGAAAGGTTTCCTATCGGCGGAAGGCATCATAAAGGTGGAGTGATGGTTACTACTTGTGACGTTGGGCAAGTTCACTGGGTTAATATCTACTCAATTTCAAAGGCTGTCCATGACCCGACTAAACTAAAGCGAATCAAACATCCGGGGCCTAGAATTGAAGTAGATTTTAAAAGAAACTGTCCTCAATGCATATATTTTACCACGAACTTCAATAAACAGACTCTTCTCACCACCCAATTATGCTCAAAAGGCCCTGGATTGTAATGGCTACTTAGAATGGCCGTCCCTGGTGAAAAGCCGACGACCCGATAGACGCTGCATTAAGTTAGAACGTGAATGGCCGAAAGACCAAGAGATGGGCAAGGCATTTTATAAGCTCACGCTGCCACTGCATCAGCCATTGATCTCCTGAGCCATTCGATTTTTATGATTCTCAGCCGAATTTGAGCACCAGCATCACCGGTACAACCCTTGCGTTTTATGACCTCGAGAATGAAACAAAAACCTAGTCACGGTTACTCAGTGCAGAAATGATTATTTCATCTACTTGTACTTGGAGTGTGGATCAATGATCACAAAATCTTGATAGCGGTTTAACGGAGCTTTCCTGACTGTGAAGGTTTAGCGGCGCATTGATGCGATGTAGTAATGGCCGCCAGGAAAAGTATGTTTGCCGGAAGAGCCTAGAGAAGAATTTTGATTAAATAGCTTGAAAGGCTCTGCGAGCATAAGTACAATGATGGAATATTGTCAGCTGTTTAAGTTTGCCTTACATGGTTAAAGCTTACGACGACAACTGCTAGGTCATTCACCAGACGGACATACTACGGAAGTCCCGATGATCTTCATCTTTGCCCTCGATACCTCAGTCAAAGACGACAAGAACCGCCGCAGGCATAAAGACATGGGCAACCGGAAACCAAAGGCTTGCCCATTACTGCAATTATATAGAAGTCCGAGGGGTTAACAGGACTCACACATGTCGCACAGTGCATTATGGAACTTAAGAGTCAATCGAATGTTCTGTCGTTCGTCTTGCATAAGTCTATTTAACTACGTTTCATGCTTCTTAAAGAATAATGTAAGGAAACGCCACCAAGAGAGACAACAGTAACTTCGACATGAGTTGTTAAAGCCACTCAGAAAACTAGGAATTGTCCCCTGCCGGGAGAACTAGCATCGACACAGAAGACCGGGGTTTTTCGAGTGGATACAACTCTCAATAGCAACGATGATAGTCAGATGCTGCCTAGGATCGAAAGTTACCGTGGCCAAGCTGGGAAATAAAAAAAACTAGTTTGTATTACACCAGAAAGTACAAGAGGAGAACTGTCTTGTAAGTTCTTCAACAGCTGGACGACAAGAGAGTTTCGTGCGATTTCCAGCGAGCCATATTGCACGGGTTGGTGACAAGAAGTGATGTTGAATAATGTGGTGAAGCAGTGATCGTACTGATAAAATGATATAGTGTTTAAATTCATTCAAAATGGCATAGCGGCATTTCGATGCTGCTAAAAGTCTTATCTGCTAATCATATGTGGACCGTGCTCAAGTCATGTGCCCGAGTGCGTGACCAAAGTTTCTCCCGCTAGCCGAATCGCGAATGGACTCAGCCGAAAGATTCCTGCCCGCGACCTCACCCGAGCTGCCTCCAGCAACACATCCCCATTGCCAGCTCAGCCCATCATGAACTCCCTCCGCCTCGCGCGCGTGGCTCTCCGAGCTCGCCCTGCTGCCTTCCGCGCTCCCCTCCAGCGCCGAACCTACGCGGACGCCGTCCCGGACAAGGCAAGCACCGCTGCATCATCCGAACATGTCCCCGAACGCCCACTGACCATTTGCAGATCAAGCTGAGCTTGTCGCTCCCTCACCAGGTACGAATTCGAAGTTTTCCGAGATGAAATGAGCCGCGGCCGAGTCGACGACGAACAATTGAACGCTAGGCGTGCTGGAGGAGCCAATTGAAGGGTTCGGAGCTAATTGCCGCAATTGCAGTCTATCTACAAGTCCCAGGATGTCGTTCAGGTCAACATCCCCGCCGACTCCGGCGAGATGGGTGTCCTCGCCAACCACGTTCCCTCCATTGAGCAGCTGAAGCCTGGTCTGGTTGAGGTTGTTGAGGAGAGCGGCCCCAGCAAGCAGTTCTTCCGTACGTGCAACATCCGCAACACCGAGATGCTAAGGGATACAGAATGAAGGAACTGACGAGTTTGCAGTGTCCGGTGGCTTCGCCGTTGTCCAGCCCAACTCCGTCCTCAGCATCAACGCCACTGAGGGCTACCCCATTGAGGACTTCAGCGCTGAGGCTGTCAAGTCCCAGATCGCCGAGGCCCAGAAGGTTGCGAACGGCAACGGTAGCGAGCAGGATATTGCCGAGGCCAAGATCGAGTTGGAGGTCAGTTTACTGAAAGAACCGACTTTTTCAGTGAGATACTAATCATATGTATAGGTTCTTGAGAGCCTGCAGGCTGCCCTGAAATAGAGTGTAAAAGAAGGTCGTCGGAGATATGACGTTGTACATCAAAGACTCGGATTCCCTAACCCATCTAACATCGCATAATTGAATCCACTTGCGACGTTTCCAGCGTTACTGCCCTCCCATAAAGTTCCATGTGTGCTGTGCTTTTTGCGTCTGCGTTTGTGTCGAGCAGTCCTTCCATGTCCACACTGGTCAAGGGTTGGGACTGCCCAAGAAGTTATTTGTACTTCCACTCCTTCCCGTGTTGCAACCACTGATCAAGTTTTGCTCTCTATACATTCTCCCTGACCTCTGACGAGGCAAATTCTCTCTCCTAGGTAATGTTTCGCATCTTTCGTCACGGAGCATCGTTTCTCAAATCACGAACCATCTGTTATAGTACTGTTTTACACAAACCCAATCATCATTCAGCCTTACACAATCACTCGCCGTTGTCTGCTGACATGGATCCCTTCGTTGCTAATGATCAGTCAACTCGGCTCGGCGTCACCATATACCAATCTGAAGGAGATGACGTCCCTGAAGGCCTCGTCTCGCAGAGACGCCTCAAGTTTGCAAAGCCGCTACCTCCTCGCTTGATCAAGCGGAGGTTGACGCCACCAGACCCCAGGGAACGCGAGAGTACTCACTTTGGCTGGGGCCAACGAGGCGATACAATATTTGCAAAGCCCGCGACTCGCAATACACTGGTTGAGGAGTCTCGAATCCCATCTCAAGATCACTCTTTTCTTGGCAAGGGACCCGAGAGCAAGGCTTGGGGCCAACCAAGGGTTGTTAGAAAGCCGTTGTTGCGACCTCAGCAATCCGTCACCCTTGCACCTCACCGCGTGAACAAACCGGATGCTTCACAGCCCCGTCAGACCGCGTCAACAGGCCACCTTCGGTCAAAGCACAAGCGCACACAAGATTGTCTTCCCAGCGGTACCGCATTGTCTCATCAACCTTTTTCACGGGTAGATTCGTGTCGTCTCTTCTCTGGCCAGTCTTACTCGTCAAGCCACTCTCACGACTCTGAGTTTACTACCTCGACAATTCGTAGACGTCATGCTCGAGACATTTTTGAAGAGTTTGGAATCTCACGGCCTTCAGGATGGCTCTCTGATGACGAAGAGGAAGATCTTTCACGCAACCAAGATGGGACCAACAGTATTCCTAGACATACTAATGTCTGCCACTCTTGCAGAGCTGAAGTAACCTACGAGGCATTCTGTGCTACCTGTGGGCACTCAGTTTGCCCGCAATGTGCAGGTGAAATTCCCGACGAAGAAGATCCTCCACGCACTGAGAGTATGGAGCGTACTACTATGGCCAGTGAGCAACAGAAGTTCAATCGGGCGGAAGAATACTCTCCCTGTCTCCTCCACCAGGAGGCCACAGAATCATCCGAATCCAATCAGAAAGCCGCTACAGCTCTCAAGAATAACCCCTTTATCGTCGCAGACAAGATAACAAGAATTGCTGTTGTCGAGCATCAAGTAACTGACTCCACCGTCAGTGAACGAGATCCCGCGAGATTTTCCGATTGCATCCCAAAACAAATCGATCTGTCCGCATCTATAGGGACGCATGAAGGTTGCAGAAGCTCCAAATTCGATGACACACATATCGGGCACCACGCAGGGCGTCACGGTATTTCATGTCTTGTTAGCCAGCATGCAGCTGCAAAAAACACCGTCGATTCGCGTGATGTGCGGTCTGATTCTCCTCTGGAGAATCCGACTCAGGACAAAGTTGACCAGTTATATCACCACGCCGAGGACCTACAGCGGGCTAAGCACATCATGAAATATCTTGCCGCAAGCTCTACTGTGACTGAGGAATGCAGCCCAGACCAAGTCACGGAGTCAAGAAGGGTCCCTTCAGCACCTGCGGAAGAGATGTTAGCTAGCGCAGACGCCTGCAAGTCTCACAGCAAGAAGCTGGCGAGTTTTGATGCCGCAATAGCTTCCAAGGCGAAGAGCATCGAGATACACCGGCATAGTAAGTGGGAGAGATCTCAGTCTTTCGATATCGACCCGGTAAAGAGGAGGGGCCTGGACCCAGCTTCTGAAAGCCCAAACATGAAGCTTTCTAGCCCTCCTGAATGGTTAAATGTCAAAAGAAAACCAGACTGCGCCGTACAGAAACCAGATGTCGTCGAACCAACCGGCATTTTCCAAGTCAAGTCACCAAGTGAGAGCCCGATGACGAGGGAACCATTAATCGAGTGGCCAAAGCTGAAGAAAGTGACCAAAGAAACCGTTGTATTGGCCGAGAAGGCTCCGTTGCCTTGGATGCAAAGACCATTGCGCCGAGTTCAGAAAGGGGAAAACGTGTCGCAACAAATCAGCACGCAGAAGTCGGCCGAGGTCGATTTATGGAGATCGCAGCTTCGGAGGGTCTCAACTCTTGGCCCAGATTCGACGGAGAATGGCCACGGCAAGAATTCACACTATGACCATCGAAAAATTACTGAAGCTTGCATATCATGTCGTCATGATACACCTACTCCGCCGCCATCTCCATTTTCCATTGAAGAAATTCATGTGGCGGCGGAGGCACAAGAAGGCGTATTCGCAAACGCTCTTGAGTTGAATAGCGTCGAGGAAAATCGACCACTGACTTCTCGCGACACAAGCCTGAGAACACCTGTAAACACGCAGGTCAAACCAGAGTCTGCTACTTGCGACTCGCAAACAGTGGGAGCAACCCGCTCTGTCTCTAACTTAGATATGGACTCAGACACCAGCGCGGGTGCAAGACGTGTTGTGGAAGAGGTGATTCGTGATTCAAGCGATGCTGAGGTCTTCAGCCCAATGCCAATTATGATCTCCAGCCATACATGCTCCTAGAGGGAGCGGTACTTCAACCTGACGGCTGAGGTTCGACAGCTAAAAGCAGAGATCGTATCCCGAGAGAGATTGCGGGCATCGGAGCTCATGGATGTAGGGGTCAACGTCAATCAATGCGAAGATGAGCTAGGTGTGGAGGGGCTTACTATCGTTATGCATCTGAAAGGCAAAGATGATATGGTCATCAACACAGACTTAACAAGGGCCTCTTCTGAAGTTTGAAATCTGGCGTTGTTGATGGGCTAAAGCTTCTGGTATTCAGAACAGTGTATGATTCAATGGGTAGGGTTACGGGATTATGATAGCAGCATGAATTATAGAATGCGCAAATCGAGTAGTTTCTTCCTTTTGCCTTGGGCTTCTCGGATGTATTAGTCGTTGGCCACTAGGTCTTGCTCCATGTGCCCCAGTAGCTTAAGCTGGCAATCAGGGCTTCGCAAGGCTTGTCAACAATAACACGCGCTCCATGCTCTCGAAAATTGGGTGTTCATAGCACAACTCACTGGAGAGACTCTGGCAAACGCACGCATATGTAGAATGTGTAAATCTTAAATTTCATTGTACCAAAAATGCTGCCTGCACGCCGAGTTCATCTACATGTCATGCCGAATATCTAGTATTCTCAACCGCCAGACCCAAATCAAGGGTTAAAGAAGGCGGTAAGAAATGCAGGTGCGTTCGGTCTATAGGGTATCAAGAAATGCCCCCTCCCGAGTCTACCCTACCCGTAACCAACCATCAAGACTTGCTAACGGAAGCCTCACGACGCAAAAAGCCATTTGCCATCGTGACCGTCCTATCAAGTTTCTACGCTATTGTCTGGAATATACCATCCTCTCTCTATGAGGCGAGACCTCTTCTCTCGAGAGACTCGTGTGAAATAGCTATGTCAGAAGCCTAGCTCTTAGCTTCTTACAGGGACGAAACGGTATCGGTTGCGTCGGAGCCAGTGGCCTTTGCAGAGGCGGCATCGTTGGCAGAAGCTACCCTCATGGGTCTGCCCTGAGCCTTCTCTGAGAGGCTGATGAGCTCCTCCAACATCAGATCACGGGTCTTTCGCGTAAGCTCGTCAACGTCGGCAGAGGTCAGGCCGGTAGTGGGAATGGGGTCCAAAACTGCCCAGGAGGATCGAGTCAGTGTGTGCTACTCGGGATGTTTGAAACGATCTTGGATACGTGGATGGCTTACCTTTGACAGGGATCTTTCCGGAGTTGAAGACGAGGCCCTTGAGCCAGAGAACGTGACTGTAGTTGGCGACGACACAGGGGACGATGGGCACGCCAGCTTGAACAGCCAGATGGAAGGCGCCCTTCTTGAAAGGTAGCAGGACAGGGTCCTTGGCGTAACTGCGAGTGCCCTCGGGAAACATGTAGACGCTCTGCTTCCTCTTGCGGATCTCGTCGGCGGCACCGGCCATGGCTTCTCTTGCGTCCTTTGTGTTCTTGCGGTCAATAAAGATGGAGCCGCTGAGGCTCATGAACCAACCCAAAAAGGGCGTCTTCTTGAGCGAGGCCTTTGCAGTAACGCTGCAGTATTTGGGGAACATGGCGCCCAGCATCAAGACATCGAGCTCAGTCTGGTGGTTGCCGATGAAGACGGCTGGGCGGGTGGTACCGAGAATATCCTTGGGATCGATGACCTCAAAGGTTACGCCGGTGGTGAGGGCCATGAGATAATGGAAGGCTCTGGCGGTGGCCCATTGCGATACACCTGGGTTGCCGACAAGGCGCAGGAAGATCGAGGCGAAGACACCGTAGAGGGCGACTACAATAAGAGAGATGTAGGAGGCGAGGACTCGCGCGCCGAAGGCGGCTTTGGGAATGACGAAGGAAAGCATGTAGAGGGCAACGACGAGTGCGACGTAACCCTTCAAGAACGAGTAGAGGTAACCGAAGAAAGCCATCATGGCTGCTGCTAGGTGCTGGGTAGGTGCGGCGGCGGCTGCTGGCGTAAAAAGAGACAGGCGCGCGGAAGAGGTAGAAGTGTAAAGTCGGGACGGAGAGGCGTTAAGCTTCTTTGGGGTCGCGCCCTCAAGGGCTTGGGATGGTTGAGGAGCTTCGAGCGCGGGGTTGAGACCTTGGAACGAGGGATCGTCACGAGGGCGGGCAAGCGCGGCGATGGGCAAGTGAGGATAACACGTGTAGAAGAGTTACGAAGGCTTACAGCTTCCGCAGACACATGTTACGGCAACACAATGTAGTTGTGTATGTGTTTGTGTGTGTAGGGGAGAGGAAGAGGGAGAATGGATGCGTATGTGTGTCTGTCTTAGGGGGTGCGGGAGTTATCACAATGACGATGTAAGGGGACGGGTATCGGTGGGAGTGCAATTCAGGATCAAAGCCAAGTACCTTTGCGTATCCTTGGGGCCGAAGAGAGTGGAAACCGAAGCCAAGTGGCAGGACGCATAACTTCCATTGGCGAAGGGCCTCATGGCTAATGCTGATGGGCCACGGCCCTGGTCATGGGCGACGGGTCGCACTCGCAGGGTCGTGGCTAGGAAAGGGTGTGGGGTTCCCTGTCTGTTTCTGTCCCAGAGATTTTTTTTTTGGTGGGATGACTTTAACTCCCCTGGGGAGCTGCCCCTCCCAGTCGTTGAGAAGGAGTTAATGATTGGCCGAGACTCCGACTCCACAAAAAACGGCCCCTTGCCGGCGAGCTTCATTGTGGTGGTGGTTTTGGTCAGCAACCAGGCGTCAGTCAAGTGCTTGCTTCCTCTGCAGGCTTCCGTACGGTTGGTTAGTGGTTGGGGAAGGAATGGAATCTTCATGATTAGGCTTGGGCCGTTGCCATCATGCTTTCTTCCCTTGCTGAGGGAGGGGCGCTAGTCCTCTACAGTAAATTGACATGCTGGAATAGATACACTAGCACATGTCATCTGCGGATACCAGGCCAGAAGACGGACCTGCGGACAAACCGATAGCAAGAGGGGGCGGGTACGAACAACAAAAACATCAGACCTTGCTTGGGTTCCGTGGTAGTTGAGTTCCCCGGAGGAGGGGGGAAGACAGCTGGGAAAGGGTTGGGGACGGTGTAAGACTGGAAAGAACTGATACTATGTACTCCGTACCTCCTTCATCAATCGTCTGCACACTAATTAGCACGTGTAAACGATGAGTTGCATGACATAAGACAGAGACACCAGCCAGAGAGAATGAGGTGGCACCTGCTTTTTTTTTTCCCTACTCACCCAAAAAGTGTGTCTCTGGGGAGGGTCAAAGGTAAAGCAACAGGTGGGGCCCATGACCTCCTTCCCGTCCATGTTCTTCCTAGAGGAAAAAGCATGTGGCATGACCACTCGCCCCCAAGGACTCGTTTCGGAACTACTCCGTTCATCTCTACTGGACTACTGGACCCGTCGCAGGCTCTTTGACTGGTGAAGCACAAAATAGCTTACGTGAAATTCAGATCCTGACCGAGATCTTGTCTCTTGGGACCATAGTTCAGTTCGACCGCTTTGAAACTCCGCTTTCGTGTGGTCTGATTGAGCATATCAATACTTCCCCATGGCCATCCATGGCTAGAATATCCGTAGTCATTTTAGCCTAGTATAGTTTGTAGAGTTACCCGTACCCGCCTGGCCCACAGAGTGCTATCGTTATCCGATATCAATGATGTGCTGACTAAGACAGCTTTGCGGCACACGTTGGTACTGTCTGGGCATGGGCTCGGCGCCAGTAACTGGCGCCTGATAGCGAGGAGCTTCAACCTTGATCGCACGACAATCGCTAAGCGCATCGCGAATCCCAAAGAAGCTTCATATTTCAATCGCAGCTTTTTCATCGACCGGCAAGACATACGCACTGCATACATACAACAGGTGCAACTCAATCGATCAGGCCTTCAGCGTATGCTTAGCCGCCGGATGATGACCTCGAGACCGATAAGACATTGATTGACCATGCCCTCCCGCCGTGGACAACCCCCCCTCTCTGTTCGCTTGCCGACAGGCACCGCGCAGCAGCCCGAACTTCCTCCCATATCCGCCCTTTTCCTCATAGATTTTGATGTCAAAGCTGGATATACCATTGTGTGGAAACAGGCCAGCCCTGGCATCGAGCTTGAGGGACTCGTCGAGTACAAAAGTCTACCTTCGGGCCTACATACTGTTCCTGACGACTTGATATACTTCGTTCACGATGGCGCACACGCCGGGCTCAGCGCCTTCGTCAACACCCCTTGCGATGAGGAAGAGGCGCGTCATGCGCGCATGATTGCCGTAGGAGTTTTGGTACCTTTAAGCTACGGCCGGCTGGGCCGGGCATGGAGGCACGCGGAGGGCTTGAAGAACATAGCAGCGTGAGTTAGCATTGAAGCTATGAATAACCTGAAAATATTAAGATTGGTTTAGAAAACTCGCCGAAGATCGCAAGAACACCGCTCTTCTCGACGAGTACTGGAACAACAACAAAGCAAAAGAAGGAGAAGATGAACAGGAACGACCTGCTCTAGAATCCCCTTCAGTCAGTTTCAGTGCGCAGGCTTCGCTGCCAAAGAAGGGCAATCACAACAGAAATCGCTCAGCATCGGATGGACATGCACTGTTGCCGCCCGGTCATCGGCTTTCCCCCTACCATCCCGCCTGGAGTTTGACGGATCTTTTGGATACCTTTGGGCCTCTCATTTTCCCTATCCACAGGGCGGCCTTACTTCGGAAACGTATTTTGATTTCCTGTCACGCGCCGGTGCGTGAAATTTGTAACTTTGGTAAGTCTGTTATTCATCGTCGCCCTCTCAAGCATGGCTCACATTAGGTTAGTGTACAACATTTCGGTTCTTTCAAACATTCCTCAAACAGTCGCGGAGCTACTAGCACCTTCGTCGTCATCGCAGCGTCTTAGACCGCTCTTCACAATCGGTGTGCACGATATTCCATTCCTCCTGGAGGACTATGAAGCTTCAAAACGTAAAAAGACAGACAGCGATGGCATTGTGGGGGATGAGTCCGGCAGCGGGTGGATCGCCTGTACAACGGACAGCATCTTAGCCATGAAGGACACTCTTTGGGATATGCTGATCACTATGCCCCCGCCGTATGCACCCAATGCCAAGGAGAAGGCATGGCCGACCGTCGAGTGTCCCCGCGGTACGCCTGTAAAGGCGACGCAGCGAGACCTGCGACGTTTCCGTGCATTGAAGAGCGGGCTTGCTAGGCTGACGGCCACGACGCCAAGGCCTAGGACAGCCGAGAGCCCGCGGTCCGAGACATCGACGAGCTTCAAGCTCACCACCGGCGCTTTCCCAGCCTCAAGCCTCGAGTCTGACGAGGCTCTAGACAAGATTGTTGAGCCTCTGAGCTGGACAGCACTGGCATATAGTGGTTTCATGTGGTGGGCAAGTGCTGGAGAGCAAGCCCGAAGCGAGGAGCAAGAGGAGGCGGCGCATGATGCTGCTTTGCTGGCGGACCTGGGCCTAGCGCCCCACACCCCGAGTATGACAATGCCCACCCCGAAACCCCGGTCGGGATCCGGCGGTATAAGAGATTCAATTAGCTCCGTTGCATCCCGACAGCCTGTCGGACCTGATGATGACGAGGCCAGGACAGAACTTGCCGTCATCGCCTACTTCCACCGTTTGACAGCGCAGATGCTCACTGTCATGGCGGATCTCGTGGAGAGTTCAGACGACCACTATGAAGACGATGATGAAGATGATCAAGAAGCTGAGGACACTCCCCTAAGACCCGACAGCGAGTCGGATCTGCGTTCAGTACGCGTCGACAGCCATGCTCTTGAGAGTATGGGTCTTGATGTGTGGAACGCGCACGATGCCGAGTTTGTCAGGGAACTCATGGCTAAGTACTATGACCGCAAGCCCTACATCGAGGGCAAAGGTGTTGAGGTGTGCGGAGTGCGCGTTTGTTAAGTGCTTCCCCTAATGGTAGCGATTACGGAACAAGGTGCTTCGCGATGTGCACTTGAATCATGATGGCGAGACTCGAGTATTGTCAGTGTATACTTCAACATGTGGGGACCAGGGGTTTCGCTTCTTGATGGACTTAAATCGCAATGTCATGTTTGAACCTGGCTCAATGGTTGTTAGGGCGTTGGCCTGTCGTTTCCCCGTAAGAACGAGCGTAAGGGCATTTCTCATCATAGGCTGCGTTTGTATGCTTATTAGGAAGTTTTAGGAATCACCAATGCATAAGGGAGCGATGCGTGATCATGTTTACGACATGGTTCCTTCTACCTTGTGACCTTTGATATCAAGACCCGAGTTTGTCTCATGCAAAGGGCATTGCAACTTGGGAAGTAAAAAAAGAATGGCCCCTTTTTCGCAACCAGCATGATTCAGGAGATTGCAACCACTATGAGCCGTTTTTTTTTTTTTATTCTGCATGTCTCTAGAACATATGCTAGTTGACAAGGGGCAATATGACGGGCAGCACGGTTGGAGGGGTGATTTGATAGGGCTGACCTGGATTACCCAAGTAAGATGCGCACACGGTCGAAATGATGATCAAAAAGAAAGGGAGGGTGAGAACAACAACAATAACAACACCACCAAGGAGGGATAGACCGAAAGACACAGTAGGGATTTCATGGTGGTGCGCGCGCTAATTTCTTCTCCATGATTGCGCTGTTGTTTTGTGTGGGTTGTAGAAAGGTCCAGAAGCCAAGGTAATTCCAGCTCATATTTTGTGTTACTGCCGTGGCGGAACGAAAAGTTGACTTGGCCTGGTGCCTCGGTCGACATAATTGGGCGGGAAATGTATGGGGGATCCAGAATGCCAGGAACCCCCTCCGCCCCTCATCTTCTCGGTCCATGGTTAGTTGGGTGTATTTGGCGTACCCAGCAGTGCATCTGTCAGGCAACAAGGTACTTGTGACCCCTCTTACCAAAATTGGCTCAAGGTCTTCAGTGCTGGGAAGACGACTCCTCCAGTTACTCACAGACCAAGAGTTGACCCCACTTGTGCACGAGACTGCACTACACACTGGCACCGACTTTTGCATTGTGAATGGAGAAAATACACAAAGACGAGCGACACCACCTGCCGCCTCTGGTCTTTCTGGTCTCTGATTCCGTCTGCTGCTACGATATCCCCTCAGCCTTGCACCACCACAGCAACTTCCCTTCCTCCCCCTCTGCTACAAGAGACATCGACACCTGCGACCGTTGCCGAAATTACTACATACATACGTCGCCGTTCCCCCCCCTCCCCTCCTCGCCGCATTTACTGGTTCGCCCTTCCACTCGTCTCCGACCAAAGTACCCTTCGTGTGCACAGCTTCCCAACCTATCCGATCACACTTCTTTCTCTCTGCCTATCGAACCGAGCCGGGCCATGAGTCTTCGGTAGCTGCTTCGCCGCTTCCACGTCAAGCAAGAATGCTGAATGCACAGCTTAGAGGGCTGCCAGGATTATAGCAGCTTTTTGAACCCAAAGAACCAAATTTTTTTTCCCGTTAAATTTTTATCTCGATATTTTCTCCTATAAAGTCTGAGCAAGACTGTCTAAAAAAAAATTATGGACGCTCAGGTACGTTTGCAGCATGCAAGTTGGGCTGCCCAAAATTGCCCGTCATGCCCCGCCATATTGGCCAGCAGTATCGTCACCGCATCCCACCACAGCCCTCATGAACACACAAATGTAGTCAGGCTTTCTGCGTAGGCTGAGGCCTAGAGCTATAAATGCATGGGCAATTGGAGGAAGAGGAGGATAGTATCCATGTTTCGACAAAAGCTAACCTGCTGCTGCACAGATCGAGAACGCCGTCCAGGCGGCGTTCAACCCCACCAGCAACTCAGGTCTCAAGCAACAAGCCTACGACTACCTGAACCAGCTACGAGTCGACCCCCAGGCCTGGCAGGTTTGCACTACACTCTTCGCACGAAACCCGAGACCATCCGAGGTCGTCCGCCTCTTCTGTCTCGAAGTCGTCAACTATGCCGTTCATACCCAGGGCCTTGACCGCCAAAGCCTCTCATGGCTGAAGGATATCCTTCTTGATTACGTCCGCAACATGTACGGCCAAAGTCAGCAAGACGAGATCGATCCGGCGCATTTGCAAAACAAGCTGTCACAGACATTGACATACCTCTTCGTCTTTTTATACAATGACGGCTGGGACTCCTTCGTCGACGACTTCCTGGCCATTGCCAGCAGCCCGAACAACACGGCCGGTGTAGTTCTGTATTTGCGAGTTCTCGGCTCCGTCCACGATGAGATTGCCGATATGTTGTTGACGCGCAACAGCAGCGACGCCAAGCGCAACACCGACTTGAAGGATCAGCTGCGCGCGCGCGACGTCCAAAAGGTTGCACAGTCCTGGAAGGACCTGCTCTCCCAGTACTCAGGCCAGAATGACCATATCGTAGAGATGGTTCTGAAGGTTATTGGAAAGTGGATTAGCTGGATGGACATCTCCCTGATTGTCAACCAAGAAATGCTCAACCTGCTTCTCCCAGTAGTCGGGCGCACAAACAACTCCGGCAGTGAAGACAAGGTTAGAGATGCGGCTATCGACACCCTTACCGAGATTGTGGGCAAGAAGATGAAGGGACCAGAGAAGATGGAGCTCATTTCCTTCCTCAACTTGCGTGCCATTGTCGCCCAGCTCATCGCCAGCGCGCCTTTGAGCGATCTCAAGTCTACGCCTCAGTACGACACCGATCTCGCCGAAGCTGTTGCCAAGCTGGTCAACACTGTCATGGCAGACATTGTGCGGGCTCTGGAGGATGGACAGGCTGGTGAAAGTGCCCGAGCGAAGGCGGAACAGCACCTGCACGACTTCCTCCCCTTTCTCCTGCGTTTCTTCTCAGACGAATACGATGAGGTCTGCTCAACTGTCATTCCTTCGCTCACCGACCTTCTCACCCTATTGCGAAAGGTTGGCAATCTGCCTTCTTCCTATAAGGAAATGCTCCCTCCTATTCTCAACGCGATCATCCTGAAGATGCGATACGACGAGACTTCGAACTGGGGTGATGAAGATGAGCAGACGGATGAGGCAGAATTTCAGGAGCTCCGCAAACGGCTGCAGGTTCTTCAGAAGACTGTTGCTGCTGTGGACCAAGAGCTCTACATCGAAGTGCTTAGCAACCTTGTTTCCCAAACGTTCAGCACGCTCGATCAGCAGGGCTCGCAGATGGACTGGAGAGATCTCGATCTGGCCCTCCACGAGATGTACTTGTTTGGCGAGCTTGCTCTGCCGAACCAGGGGCTACACACCAAAAGTCAACCTAACAACACGGCAACAGAAAGATTGACCATCATGGTGACGAAGATGGTAGAATCTGGTAAGATGTTTTCTATCTTTTCGTTATGACCGTAATCTGACTTCAGCAGGAATTGCCCAATTCCCTCATCCCGCTATTCTGCTCCAGTACATGGAGATCTGTGTCCGATACTGGCAAGTATTTGATGCCCGCCAAGAATATATCCCCCAAGTCCTTGAAAACTTTGTGCGCCTGGTGCACCATGATCACGTCCGTATCAAGACGCGGTCTTGGTATCTCTTCCAAAGATTCGTCAAGTTCCTTAGGGCCCAGGTCGGTAACGTGGCCGAGACCGTCATTCAATCCATTAGCGATCTCCTTCCCATCAAGGCCGAGGTCTCCGAGAACAATGGAGATGATGACATGTCCTCGGACGAGTCTGACCACTCTGCCGACGCCTTGTTCAACAGCCAGCTGTTCCTGTTCGAGGCGATTGGCTGCATAGCTTCAACTGGAAGCACCCCGCCAGACAAGCAAGCCTATTATGCCCGGTTGGTGATGTCTCCTTTGTTTAGTGACTTGGAAGCCCATCTTCCCAAGGCGAAGGCTGGTGATGCCCAGGCCATTCTCCAAATCCATCACATCATTATGGCTCTGGGCACACTGGCTCACGGCTTCTCGGACTGGACCCCCGGTAGCAACTCTACTCAACAACGACCTCCCCCGGACAAACTTGTGTCTGATGAGTTTTCGAGAGCCGCTGAAGCCATTTTGATTGCCCTTCGTGAGCTGAACAGCTCTGCTGACATTCGCACGGCATGCCGCGCCTCCTTTTCCAAGCTTCTCGGTGTTCTTGGATCTGCTGTTTTGCCCCAACTCCCCCAGTGGATCGAGGGTTTCCTGTCTCAGAGTTCCTCCAAGGATGAAATGGCCATGTTCTTGCGACTGTTGGATCAGATTGTCTTCGGCTTCAAGACCGAAATATTTAATGTCTTGAATTTGCTGCTCACTCCTTTGTTGCAGAGGATCTTTGCCGGCCTGTCAGAGCCGGTGACTGGCACGGACGACGAGATCCAGCTCGGGGAGTTGCGCAGGGAGTACCTGTCATTCCTGTTGGTGATTCTGAACAACGAGCTGCAGTCCGTCTTCATTAGCGAGGCCAACCAGGCTTTCTTCGAATCCATGATTACCTCAATCCTCACTCTGGGACGTACGCTGGTGGCGGAGAATATCGGACCCAGCCGCCTTGCTTTCAGTGTGTTGGCGCGCATGGTAATCGTCTGGGGCGGACCTGATGTCGCCAAGATCTCGGAGAACCCTTTGCCCCCTAGCGGCTCCGCGAACCCATCCATCCCAGGCTTCGACCGCTTCATGATCGACCGCTTCCACCCGCTCTGCTGGGAGGTTTTCCAGGATCCTAACTTCAGACCCCAGAACGACGCACAGAGCAAGCAGGTTCTTCATGAGATCGCCAACCTTGAACAAGCTATCTACACCAAGACAGGAGACATGTTCATCCAGCACCTGCAGTCGCAATTGTTTCCGCACTTGGGTGTTGACGGATCCGAGTTCCTGCGGTATATGTCCACGTCGACGGACAGGAAGGGATTTTCGGGCTATTTGCAAGGGCTATTGAAGAGCCGCAGGTAGGCGTAGTTATTGTGGGAGGAGAATATTGGTTTACCTAAATGAGAAAAGGTACAGGGAGGGGGAAATTCGGTATCTCGTCTTGGCCACTTTTCTTTGTTTACATATCCACTGGCCGCATCGCCTTGGAGTTTAAGGGAGGCATTAGAGATTATATGACAAATGACAAAAATATCATGTTCTCACCTAAGTGCCTGGGGCAAGCCTTGCTTGTATGGTTTGGTGGTTGACAAGTAGTGACGGATGGAGGTGCGCAGTTGCCAACGTCATGCTATATACAATTGCGGAAGACAAAAAAACCTGGATGTGTGTATGCCATTACTTGTCTTGTCCTTAGCAGTGCACACACATGACTCTCACATCCTGTCCATACACACTCAACCAGTTCTAGAGCTTTCGTCCAAGATATCTGTAGGCGCGTCCCATTGACACGTCCCCGAACAAGTCATCAGCAGACAGTCTTACTGGCTGGAATCCGCTAGATGGCCCCCAACTCAGTTCATGCCCAGCACCCAAGTAAAGGACAGACTCAAAAGGCACTGAATTCATTTACTCCTCCCCGAGTCACAGTACTCTCCCTAAATACGCCACCCATTGCATCAAGGTACACCTCGCCACACCGTCCTCAACCCAAACTCTCATCCCCACGCCGACCTTTATTTTGCTTGTGTGTTTTGATGCTACCAATCACCCGCTGTGTGAGCAATCGCACTTGAAGAAGTCAGTGGCAGTGATGGCAGCTGACGGTTCCCTCACCCCCCTCTCTTTCCCGGTGCCTAAGCTATATTGTTACTGTCTGAGTGCGTTCGAGTGACACTCATCACTCGTATAATGTTCTCGGCATCATGTACAAGTACAGGTGTCTACACTGAACTCTCCTCACCTTGGCAAAAAAAAGAAATAAATAAAGAAAAAGATGTTCTCCAACTCTTTCTTGAAAAAAAGGGGCATTCAGGCAGGAAACAGGCGCATCTCCTTCAAACGTCGATCCGACCAAACTCTACCCGTCGTCAGATGTCTCCATCCTCTTCTCATTGCCCAAGCCAAACTGGTTAGAACGGAACAAGCATCACAATCGGATAACCCCAACCTCGGGCTTTTGACATCATCAATACTTCAACGGAGACGATCATCGCGTTGGCCGCTGGTAAGAAGATGGCAGGAAAGAAGTCAACGAGGCATGGTCAGTTGCGCCGACTTAGAATGAAAAGGATTGACGAAAAGAGTCCATCTACCCTACCGGTTTGCTGTCAATTCCTCAACAGCAGTCCCTCGCCCCTACATATGCTCGTATGTGTGTCATGTTGTTAATAAGGATTGTTGATCGACTAGGGAAAAAAGGCCAACGCTACAGCTCCCTCGACTGGAGAAACAGCGGTGACTTGGCGGTGTCACTATGACCTGGCTTATCGTGGGTAACTGGTACGTCAAGACCTGCAATCGCTGGCGACTGGGCAGGGCTCATTGTTGAGGAGCTTTGCGGTGAACAACGACTTCTGCCTTCCCTCTAAGACATGCGTGATACAACACAGCCAGGCGTTGATATCCAAGAAAAGATTAAGCAAAATCGACCAAGCCTGTATCGCGGCACTCGTCCGAGGGCTCGGGCTCTGGAAATCATACCGTACAGGACAAGATAGAATGGATCATGGAAACGAGGCTCCAATGCCATGAACACTGTCCTGACCTACTGTTTTTCAGCTTTGTAGGCTATCCAGCATAGCTCATGAACACGATGTACTGGAAACCAGTTGTTTCCACTTTCGCAGCTTCTGATGGAGCGGTTGCTCCCTTCTCATTTGAACACTTCAGGGCCGGTATTCATGAAAGTCAACTGCCTATCCCGACTTCAGAGTGTCAAGCAATACGAGTTATGCTGTTTGTCACAGCCACAACCAAAACCAGCAGTTCCCTCTTAGACAGATCAACCATAAGGCTGCAGGATCACGAGGGAGTCAGGTCGCCTTTGTGCCCGTAGCGGACTTGAATCTGACCAGGCACTTCAGAAGAGTGAAACTAAACAACGTCCATGCCACACACCGTAGACGAAACCGAGGGGACCCTGAGAGGCTTTACCCACCATGATGTCTACCCCCAGAAATGGCTGTGGTCATGTCCAGAAGCATGACTTCTCAACCCAGAAGGAGCAGCAGGTGGCTAGCTGTTCGAGACGCATAACTTCAACGTCGTCATCTGAACCCTAGAACAGACGAGGTGCGTGGCACCACCGGCAGGAGAACATGCGGCCATCGAGAACGCTTCGGTTGAATTGATGAAGGTTATGCCTCATGTGCGGCGTACCACCGCTTTTGTAACGGACAATCGCTCGGTCGGTATGATGGTGTATGTTTTGTAACCCAGCTTTGACAGTGTCGATGTCGGGCACCTTCTCTATGCAGAGCCTAGGTTGTCGAATTTACTCGAGCGGTCTCAACGTATAAATCAGACCTACTTGGCGAGCAGAACTTCGGTATGCAAGTTGTTTTGTCGGGCGCGGATACGACAGAAGAGCCGTATTGGGTACCTCTCAGGCTCTACGTGTTCGGATTTTTTTTTTCTGATCAGATTATTATGAGCAACGATGAACCGTACGAGTTCCCAAAGCCCTCGCCGTCTCCATTAGCCCCAATGCCAATGCTATGACAGTATGGCTGCTGGTAACGAGGGGATAGTCGCGCCTATCACAGGATAGGGCAACACGACACTTGAACGTATTCCAGGTCAGTATGGTCTAAGCTAGTAAACTCGGTTGGTGATGTCCAAAGGATGGCCGGTAGGAGTGTATGGTCTGTCTCATAATCGTACGAATGGTATGTATATAGAGACATGTCGTAACCGGCAAGCTAGCGACAGTTTCTGACTTCGATGTCCCTATAAAGTCGTGCCATTGAGACACAACTCGTGTCGCTGAATCATTTCGCGTCTTCCCGAGACTGAAACCTGTCGTATGTTGTTCGAGAATGCGACGTGTTGTGCCATCCCGCCTCATTTTAAACATGAGACCTGCAGCAACGTCCAGCGAAGGGAGGACGTACCTATGTCGTCGAACACCATCAATTAGACAGGAAGTTTGAAGGAGTGGACGCTGGCAACTGGAAGGCATCCCTGTTGCAACTGTGAGCCTGCGAGGTCGATAAAGCTCGACAGTCTGGAAGCCTTGGGGCGGCACTGCAAAAGGGCCCCAGGCGGTTTTTGAGATTAGTATGTCTGGCCATCCTCTTCAGGAGAAACAGGCTAGAGCGGTGGCCATCAGTAACTGTATCGAATAGCCATGTAAAGCATCAACATGATTTCCCGTAAAACTTGTCCCTTGTGACAAGGTGCGATAGCAGGCGGAATGTCCATTCGCAGACACCATACTACAGGCAGCCTATATAGACCGAGCAGAGCTGGACTTGGAAACCACAACACCAAGCGCATCCAAATGCCTCGATTTGACCAATATTGGCGCACCTGATTTTGGACGACTATTTGCTTCGCCAGGGGCCACGGGTAGTGCAGTCCGTGCTAACAAGGATAGTGGAGGGACGGCGCATCCATGGGCCAATCATGCAGGCTGTTGTTTATAGTGGTACCTCAAGATGTTGGTAGAAAAGGAGGGTGGCAGCGTCAGGAGAAATTCTGATCCTCCGTCCTTCAGCCATTCAGCCATCATCGAAAGCGGTCAGTCGAGGCAACGGAGGGTGCAAACTCGTTATTATTATCTGTCCTGCTCAAAAGCTTTCAAAGCTAGGGGGTTCATGAGCGCCCCTGAGGCGTGCATGACATTCTTATGCGGGTGGACAATCTGGGGTTGGCCAACGCACTTTGAACCAGCAACCGACCTACTTCCTTGAGTAGCACTCGAAAGCTCAGTTTGCGGGGATGGCAGACTTGCGAAAAATTGTCCGAGATTTGCTTTTCGTATGGCCAGATTTGCTTTGAGCTTTTTTTTTTCTTTTTTTTTCTTTTTCCCTGGTCTCACAAGCACAGCATATCTGACGCGGTAGATTGAACCGAGAGTTGAAAAGGCGGGTCGGATTTCCACTTGCCTAGAATAGCAATTTAATGGTGCCTTGAAGCCTTCTTCAAGTTACACATGTCTGTCTCTACCCCAGCCAGTCGTCGCGCGGTTCCCGATGGGAGATTGCCTAAAAGGGATGTGGACGATCATGATATGGAGAAAGTCAGCAAGATGATCTACAAGTTGATGTGGCGCCTATTATTCGAGAACATGGTTCATGAAGCTCCACAAGGTACAGTTCACGGATGATTGAGGGTTGGGGAGATGACTATAAGCGGTAACCGTCCATGAGGTAGGTAAGAAGAGGGACAATGTGACGAACGAGATACTCCCAAGCCCATTATGTGCCAAGACATGCTATTTCAAGCCAAAGTGCGACCTTCACCGGCCGGTAAACAGGGAGAGGAACAGCCTTTGTGTGGTGCCAACAGTGGCCACTATGCCTCACGGTTGGCTTGAGTCCGTCGAGACAATGGCGCACTGGAAATTGCTTCCGTATTGGGAGAAGTGTCAGTTCTGCAGGCCAGACGGCGGGAAAATAAGCAAGGTCTGGCCCGGCGGTCTGTGGCAGTGTGGTCGACAGAGGTGGCCTTGTCAAATTACAGGCGATCCGATCAGGCCGCGGCCAAAAGGGCAGCCGGAAGCGTGGACAAGCATTAAACGGTGTGACTTCGGGCCAGCACCAAATATTTAGTAGCCCGTGGACTGTGATGAGGGCGCTGACTGTCCTGAATCGCGGCTGATTAAGGTTATAATTGCCTGAGCTCACGTCAAACAAACCTTGTCGTCAGTGGTGCTTTGGCGGAAAGTAGCCGTCGACGTCCAAGTCATGCCAGCAATTAAACACTCGACCAGGCGAGATCAATTAAACCAAGAGCAGTCCATAAGGCGACGTCATAAGGGCTATCCTGGCATGGGAGAGCCTTTGAGGCCCTTGAGGGAGCATCAGACGATCTGGTGCGTCCACAATTATGAAACGCGCGATAAGCAGCTCGCTGGAGCTGTTGGGCCCGCGTCGTGGGGCCTGCTGGGAGACCATGATGGGGCCGGACATGACTGTCTCTGGGCGACAATTTGCAATGATTCTAGTCGTCGAAACGGCTCTTCTTTGTGTTCTGTTGCTGATTAGGATGTCCTTGCCAATGAGTTGGACTGATTCACAATAGGCGGCGGCGAGCCGTTGCAAGTTCGGTGACGGTAGTGTTCAAACGATTTCCACGGATAGCGGTGAACTCTGCCCAAACCCCCAACTATAACCGATGCGATCAGTTGCAACAGCAATGTTGTTCGGCTTGATGGCCGTTTCGCTCGAACGTGGCTGCCACAAGCATCTGGACCTTTGACTCAAGTCGAAGAAGCAACCACAGACAGCGGCGGGAAGCGTCTCTGCAGGCGGGCTAAGCCGGTTCCAGCGGCACCAAAAAGTCCGGGTTGGTCTAACGAGACGAACTGGAGATTAAGATTGGCTTTTGAGCTTGAAAGCACACGGTCAGTGGGCGCGGTGGCCCGTGATCCTGACGTGTTGACAACGCTGATCTCGCAACGCTGGATGATGCCGCGGAGGATTTTCCCAGCAACCAACCTATCGACTAACGAGACAAGGACGGAGGGCAAAGGGGCCAGGGGGGCTAGCCTTTGCAATGCAAATCCCTGATTGTCATGCTTGGGCCCGCGGTCTCTGCTTTGGCGTTCCGCGGGTTAGTGTTCGCATGGCCGTGGCCGCTGGTAGGGTCGTATTGTTTCTCCTCCTCCCTCTCTCTCTCCCTCTTCTCTTTTTCTGTCTGTGTTCTCTCTCACCCTCCCTCTCTTGGCGATACCAGGGACCAACCCAAAGGGCACGGGCAGAAAATCGGGGATATCATACCGCAAGTCCCATTGATGGGCATTGAGGAAGTGGCTCTCCCTTTTTTTTTTTCTCTCTTCCTGGCAGCTTTACGGGAAATTAAGCCGTAATGGACGGTTCGTGAAAGGAAAATGATTGACGGCGCAAAACTGAAAAGGGGAAGTTGTGAAAATCATTTGCAGTTTCCGTAGCGCATTGGTAAGGTACGTACCATGATTTTCCAGATCATTTTGGAAACAAACCCACCACTTCCGTTTATGTTCCTGCATTAGCCCACACAGCTACTGTCGATTTCCACCACCAAGGCAGGGAGGAAGGTGTTGATGTACATACTTACATAATATTTTGTGCATCCACACTTTATGCAGAAGTATGTATACCCTGGCAATGGTAATCATCCACTTTTCAGGGTCATGAAAGAAATCCGTCCTCTAGCAAGGGGCACAAGGCTTTGCCAAGGGGAGCGGCTGCAGTCCCCTCTTGGACCGTCTCTCTCTCCTCTTTTGGCGGAGAACCCTGCTCCCAGTTCGCTGCTGCACCACCCTTGGCTTGGTGATTGATCGTCCTTCACCTCCACGTTTTGCTGCATTCCCGCGCCTATCCGTATTATTTGTTCCCTATTCTCAGCTGGGCGACCGCATTGCTTTTCAGCTCAGTTACTACAACACTTTTGCTGGCTGACTCTACACTAAAATAGAACAAGCCCACCGAAGCTTCAAGTTGTCTCTCCCTACATCCGTAGTTGAGTGTCTCTCTGAACCGTCTCATCTAGACCAACTTTAGTCGGGTCCTTACTCCCACATTCCTCGCACAAACCTTCTATTAACCTCCCCTGTTTTCCTGCTGTTGCTTGAAGCCCTGGGCATAGTAGTATCTTGAAGGATGGCTTCTGACCACTAGCACTGACCATCCTACCTAGCCGAGGAGGCGAGGCAAGGCAAGGTGAGTGAGCGAAATAACGACAACTGGACCTACTATGTACCGGCTGGCAGTCAGGAAGCATCGCTGCCAAAAGGTACCGGGTACTACAGCAAGCCTTGCAGATTGCTTGTGTCAAAGCCTGCATGACAGGTACCGGATACAGAAGCACACCGAACCATCCACTTGCCCAATCAGCCAACTTTTATCCCTGTTGCCATTAAATGTGCCACTTTTCAACCCGCTCTCAAACCTCGCTCGACGGCCCTTGATTGATTGACTCGCAATGCTCAACCTTGCCTATTCTATCCTGGACCCTTGGAGCCGGAGGGAATAGAATGCGTTCGTCAAACGACAAGAAACTCCGAGATTGGCGAGCCTGGTTCTCTGCGACCAGTCAAACCACACAATCCCTCAAGAGCTGCTTGTTAGGGCAGTCAATAGGCGCCCAGCTCCCATCATGTGCTGCTGGCGTCAGCGGCTCGACTTCTGCAAGCCTAAGGGTGTGTCACCTCCCCTTTCTGTTGGTGCGCTGAAGTGGTACAATGTAATGTAGGCTCGCGAGATTGTTTTGCTCGAATTCGGTTCCTTTGAAGAGCAAAAAAAAAGGGAAATTAAAAAAAAACGAGGCGCCAAAAAGCCAATAAAGCCAACCGTTGTCAACGCGCAAATCAGCGTTTAAATGTAAATCGGATAAGGCCCTATGCTCATCAGCGGCGTTCTAGCCCCCAATAAGCACTCGCATCTCATCTCGCCTTACCACACACTTCAGGGTGCACCGCGGCCAAATACATTGCACAGCCTAGTAAAATAAGGTGGCAACGGCGGTGTTCTTTCCCTCCTATTTTCGATGTCTCTCTGAGCAGATGGGATGGCATGGATGCGAGCTAACCCCCGGCTTAGGGTCGCAACACGTTGGCCAGGGTGCGGACAGGGGATGTCGGCCTTGCCTCTGCGGGCCAATTCGTTCAAGTGCCCTTTTGGTGCCATCCAACCTCCACCATGCCCCCTGGACTAGCGTTCATGGGGCTGGACGTTAGCAGGCGTTCTGTAATTTCCCACTTGACTGCTCGATCCCATGTCATGTCACTCAGATGGTGCCGAGCGAGAAAGAGCGGAGAAGCAGGAGGGGAGGTGCCTGACTCTCCCTCTCACTGTGTCTTTGGCTCTTCTCTCACGAGCCAACTAGCACTCAGAAGAGGGGCCGATCCCGTCAAGGACTCTCGCACTCGTCCAACATGGCTATTAATATGCTGCCATCCTCCCCTTTTGCTTCAGACCTTCTTTTCTTTCCCTCTTCAGCCAAACAAGCCTCTTCAATCTCAAGCATCAGCTTTTGACTCAACTTTGACTTCGGTCGTCCATTCTTTACCAAGCTATCAGCTTAATCACACTCACTCTCTTAATCAACAATCTTAAAATTCGTTTTTTTACGAAACCTTTATCCCCCTCCTAAACCAACTTTCAAAATGAAGTACGCTGCTGTCGCCGTTGCCCTCGCTGGTGCCGTCATGGCCCACGATGAGCCCGCCTCTACCGTCTTCTCCACCCAGTACTTCACCATCACCTCCTGCGCTCCTGAGGTCACCAACTGCCCTGCCCGCAGCACCGTTGTCTCCTCCAGCGTCGTTCCCCTGACCACCTCCACCATCTACACCACCAAGGTCCAGACCATCACCTCCTGCGCTCCTCAGGTCACCAACTGCCCCGCCGGCTCTACCGTCGTCGTCACCCGCACCGAGGCAGTTTCCACCACCGTCTGCCCCGTCACCGAGACTGGCGTCAAGCCCACTCCTACCGGCCCCGTTGCTCCTCCCCCTGGCGGCAACAACGGCACCCACCCCGTTCCCTCCAAGTCCATCCCCGGCAAGCCCATTGAGAGCGTCACCAAGCCCGCTCAGGTCCCCGTTACCACCGGCGGTGCTCTTCCCTCCGTCTCTAAGCCCGCCACCCTGGTGTCCAGCCCGGCCGCCCCCGTCTGCCCCGGTGTCTCCATCAAGACCATCTCTACCAGCGTCACCACCGTCGTCCCCACCGTCATCTACGAGACTGTCCAGATTCCTTGCCCTACCCCCAGCAAGCCCTCTGCTACTATCCCTGGTGTCCCTACCGGTGGCAACGGCACGTAAGTACTCCCAACATCAAACCCGAAAAAGCCAACAGTTGAAACTAACGCTTTTGCAGCGCTGTTCCCCCCACCAAGACCCCCGTCACTGCTGGTGCTTCCGGCCTGAGCGGCTCCGTCGTTCTTGCCGCCATCGCCGGTGTTGCCGCCTATGCCTTCGCATAAATCCTTTCCCTAGGACAATTCTAAAGGAAGCCATCAAGGCTACGGCAGTTTACGATCAAATCTAACGGGTCTTTTGCTTGGGAGTCGAGAGGAAATATGTAACAAGAGGCCCGTTATCTCTTTGTACATGTAACAATCTTAACGGAATGGCAAATACCATTTGTACCTAATCTTCTAATTGTATTTGGGGTGCGCTCTGGTGAAATGTAACTCGCCGCGTTGGAAAACGCCGACGAGTTCTTCTAACCAGACGGACCTGGCTTTAACGACGAAAGTGTTTGGGGTAATCGGGCGCAAAGTGATTTGAAAGTGATGTGAAATCGTCCCTGCTGTCTACCCGCACAGAGGGCCATCTAGCTGCATGCTTCCTCAAGTGAGGTAACATGATCGACACCGATCTACTCGGCGTCGGATGAATAATGGGGACCGCCGTTTAATTGCGACTAACACCTCTATCGCAGTTGTAACCCCGGACGACCGAGCAATTCTTTCAACTATCGGGACGGACCACCACCATCGACTAGTTGGGATGAAGGACGGACCATTCAAATGTCTGTGAAATTGGCCCAAGACGTTAGACAAGCAACCCCCCTGGACTAGCTCACTCCTTGGCGGAATCTACGTACTGGCAGTTGAGGGACTTTCGGGAGATTACGATTGGGACGAACAACGGCCTCTGATTGGGCGGAGTACCCCAGATCAATTTAGTCGAAACGACGGGACTCCGCTCAATGGGACAAACGGCAACCCCGACCTTTTTTTCTTCACCGAGTTTGCATAACCCTCACCAAGGATGATTATTTGTTTATGCAATCCGACGACGGTACAAACACCTTAGAGTTCACCAACGCATGGGACCAAAAACGATATGAGAAAGGACATGCGATCAAGCAACTCGTATACCGGGGTCACCCATCCCGAACGGGAAGGCGACAAAGCTGGTTTCCTCCCGCAATAGCAGACATCCCAACGATGGGAAGGCGCAGCATCCACGGAAACGTCCACCTAATTTCGCAAGGGAAACGAGAGGAGCTGTCAACGAAGGGAACATCCCCGTCCACTTCTCATCACACGTCTTCGGTTTTCGGGGAGAAACAATGGAGAAAGGAACCGATACTTGCGTGTGCCGCTTGGAGAAAGAAACCGCCCGGCTGGATCCGGGAATGATTCGACTCATGGATGCCGGAAGATAACATGCTTCATGCCTACCGCGATCCCCCCAGCACGAGACGAATTTGCGGAGAAGGAAAGTGGACGGCTTCGATTGCATGCATGATCCACGATGCTAACTTTTCCCTTTGATACGGTGGTCCTCACACGGTCGATTGAACTTACGTCACCCGGTCGTCGGGCTTGGTTGCGTGGCCTAATACTGATGCCGAACCCGACGATCCGCTGGGACGAAGTCGTGCCGTCCATGGCAGTGCTCATGCGTTTTCCTGCGTTGCGCTGAGAGCGGATAAGCGTCGTTTGATGGCGATCGTCAGTCACGGTCGTAAGGCTCGAGGACGTGCTACTGATCTTTTTTTATGTATCAATGCTGTGAGGTGCTGATCTCAATAGGTAAAACTTTTCAAGTTGGAGCCAAAGCTTCTACTATGTCGTATTGACACGTCTTGTTTTTTTTTCCCCTCTTTGCTCTGCTTGGTATAATGACATCAGTGTCATGATACTGGAGCTCCAGCTTTGGGTTGTAAGCATTAACTCTATTCGCTACAGAGCCCTATTCCTTTCACGACATCGACCGCTTTCCATACCATCTGTTAGCACGTTCATGAGGCCAAGACCGTTAGCAGCCTAAGTCGATAGACCGATATTCTCAACACTATTACCCACAAGCATAGGAACAGCATGGTCTTTCTTCTGCGATCCTATTTTCTCCAGGAGGTTGGTGTTCAAGGTGTTCAAGTACACCTGCAGGCCAGGGGAACCGCGAGACATACAGTAACTGGAGGACATACACTCGGGCATACCAGATATCTTGTTATGGCCACCTTCCCCTCCTTGGTTTCCATGTTATGTGTGCTAAAAAGAGTCTGAATAGCCTGGGGAAGTAGTGCATGTTGAGGCAAGTCCAAAGCTGGATTGTTACCACAAAGCCTCTTTGCAGCTATCATGTAATCGCGGGTCTTCTTGCCCAAGGCTCTTGCGTCAACGCAACATGGATTCGCAAGGCAGTCTTGCACAGGGACCCAGGTATCGTTCATTGTGAAACGCAACGACGTTCAACACTGTAGACAACATTGCTTCTTTCTAAGCAACACTTACTATGGGAAAGATACTGCAACTGGACTCTATTGGTAGTATTCGACTGATGGTGGCCATGTTCAATGGCGCGGGGCACCTCCAGAGAAGCGTATCAGCCCTTCCATGCGAGAGTATACTGTTGCCCAAGGGTGTCAACAGTCCGCGCCAAATCCCAGCTGGAAATATACTCTAATAAGGCTTACTAGACAAAACAGCCCAGAGATTTATGACAAATCTCTAATCGATACGGCCAAAGAGGCGGTCTGGGCTATTTTTTGTTAGGTGGTTACCTGCCAGCTGTTGAGGCTGTCGTATTCCCGGTGGAAAACGGCCCTTGGCTGAATATGAAACCATTCTACCTTCCCGTTCCAGCTCGATTAATCGCATCCATAGGGCTTTTGTCGCCTTGGTGGGTATGCTTGAAATAGATTCGGATCAGGCCGACAGGGCTGCAACAACCCCACAACCCATGACGCTCATGTTGAACCAATATCAAAGAGGCTAAAGATAGATTCGGTTTGTATTGATGGAATTGTATCGCCGTCGGCATTCGGATGTCAGAGTCTTCGTATCCTTCTTGATTCTGACGTGGCCATCCAATCCGGCAAATGCAAGTCTTCTTGGCAAGGGTTCCTCCTATGCATTCGTACCACACATCTTGTTCGGTTATGACCTAGGCTAGACAACAATCGCAAACTGCTATTTCATTCCGTTACCAAGCAATTCTTTTGCATCCACTCTCGTGTTCCTGAATCGAATTCCTGTGATTTGGTGGGTTTATTTCCCGTTTCATCCAGAGCATCTGCATGACTCGGTCGAGTTCATCCCGTCTCCCAGTTATGCTTACATTAATTGTTGTGGCGATGACCGATGCCGACGTGTCCGTAAGAGGGGCTCAGCAAACAGCACCACTACCCGACTTCCATGCCCGTGCTCCGGGAGCCCGGAGCGCAGCAATCAGTGCGACCGGCTCGGCCCCACCATCGGCATCCTCACCTATGTCGTTGAGAGACTACGGAGTACCAACCTTTAAACCAAGAACAACTTGCTGCGCGATTCACCTGGATTTTTATTGGTCTAGATTGATCGATAGAAAGAGATCCAATGGGCAACACCGCGGCGGGCTGAAAGCGGCACATGGATGGTACGGAGGAACCGACTTACGGACGTTGTCAAAGTGCTTTGGGAGAACATGGCGCGCGGTGTTTGTTCTCATGGACGGCTTGGGTCGAAAGTAAACTATTGGTATGCGTAGAGACAGCAATTGAAAGAGCATCTAGCGCCTAAGTCCGTCTTGGCCGCTCGACGGTCCGCAGTTGTCCGGTGCAACAGACAATGTCCGTCAGTTCGCTTCAGAGAACAAAAGATAACACCATACGTGCTGATAAAACTGAGCCACCCAATCAGCCAATACGCCCATTGCGTCCATTTGCTAAAGTCGAGCCCCGAGTGCCCGGAGATGCCTCGAGTCTGGCAGCCCTACAACGTTGGTGCAGGACAGCACACCAGCGACAGCGACTTAAACGCATCATCTAATCCTATCCACGATCGTGCCGTCGCAACTTTCCTCCGAGTCACCCCAGTCGTCGTCATCGAAGCACCTGAGCACTTGTCATGTCGACCTTCCAGCCAATACGATGTCGCCGTTCATCCAGTGCCATGTCCCCAGAAAGTGGGTGTTGGCGGCTGTCCGTCTCGCTCTCGCACGCACAGACCACAGTTTGCTTCTTCGGTTGCACGGTTGCACGCAGCTTCTTATTTCGCCTGACAAGAATGCCGGCCCCACTTCCGCACTCGCTTATCCGCCAAGAGGCGTCGCAGTCTTCTAAGCGGCCGATCTCTCTCCCGCCTTACGCACGTTTGTCCGATTTGTGTCCTACGTAGTACATCGTCGTGTTTGCAAGTTTCCTCAGCCGTTCTCCCCTAGTCGCCCTGCCAGAAGCCACTTACCAACTCCCAAAATCCACCATGAAGCAGATCTCACAGCCCTATTTGCATCCTTTCTGTTGGTACAACTCACTGCTCATTTCTCCTTTTGGTCCGTAGTTGGCAGGCAAGTGCACCGCCCCGGCCTTGGCCACGGAGCTTATCTGATTCACCCGAGAGAATGCGAGCCATTGGCAGCTTTGGCGGTGACGAGTCCATTGTCTAGTCTTGCATCCTTCAACCTGTTGTTGTCCCCAGACGCCAATTGTTTGTGTTGGTGGGGGGAAAGGGGGGGGCGGTTGTTCGAGATTATATTCAATACTTCTCCCTTTGGGAATCTTATATATGATGCGTCCCCTCCCCTGAACAGAAGTGCATGAAAACGCTTGCTTGTTCTTCTCAGAGTTAAAAGCTCCAATCACGATACTCGACCCCTAAAGCGTCGATCTTCCAGCCACACATACCACGGGCAAATCTTTATATCCTCCTCTCCCCGAGGTCTTCTTGTTCATCCTGAGCCTTCACATTCAGGCAAGCAAGCAAGCAAGCAAGCAAGCAACCGCCAAAATGTCCGGTCCGCCACCCCCTCTACCACCGTACGCCATCAACTTTGGCCCTGACGCGAACTGCACCCTCGAAATCTGCGATATCCAGTACAGCTTGTTCAAGTACCGGCCGAGCCTACCCGTCAATGCCCTCTTCCTCGCCCTCTTCGCCATCGCCGCCATCATTCACATCTTTCTAGGCATCCGCTGGCGCTCATGGTGGTTCATGTCCTGCATAGTGGCCGGGTGCGTCTTGGAGATCATTGGTTACGTCGGCCGTATCCTGCTACACAACAACCCGTTTGCCTTCGTCCCGTTCATGTTGCAAATCGTCTTCATCACCAGCGGGCCAGTATTCTACACCGCCGCCATCTACGTGACCGTGTCCAAAGCGTAAGTCTGGTAGTCTCTTTCTATTCTTGTTCACTATCCGAGGTATTTGCTTTTTTCCCCTTGAGCTGAACCTGGGATCTCCACCTTTTGAAACCACCTTCAATCTCGCACATGTCCCATCTCAACCTAATCGTCAAAGAAGAAAGAATGCGCTCGGAGATCTATCCCTAAAAAAAAGAACATGCGCTGACACACGTGGGTCTCACACAGTATCACGCATCTCGCGCCGGAGGTCTCCCGAATCCCCCCAAATGTCATGTACTGGATCTTCATCTTCCTAGACATCGCCTGCCTCGCCATCCAAGCCGCAGGCGGCGCCATTAGCACCACCTCGGAGGGCAGCTCCGACCTGGGCGTCAACCTGGCCATGGCCGGTCTGATTCTCCAGGTTGTCATCATCGTCGGTTTCTGCGCCGTCTTCGCCGACTACATGATCCGCTACAAGCGATCCCGCTTCTCGCGGCACCTCACCAAGCGGGAGAACGTCTTCTTCGCGTTCTTGTCTCTGGCCATCTCGCTTATCCTGGGACGATGCGCGTACCGTGTCGACGAGCTGAGCGAGGGATACCGCGACTCGACGAAGATCACTAATGAGGGGCTGTTCATCGGTCTCGAGGGAGTGTAAGTTTGATCTGGCACCAGAATAAGAAAGCCTGCAGCTAATGTCGGTTTCAGATTGATCATCGTCGCCGTCTTCTCACTGTGCATCGGACACCCTGGGCTCGCCTTCGAGAGAGGCCAAGAGAGAGCTGGCGAGAGGAAGCAATCAAACTGGAGCGTCGAGAGTGGTATTACGAGCAAGGAAAGGCCGAGCAACGCGACCAACAGTGCTGCTTAGAGGCTGGGGGGGGGGGGGGGGGGGGGGTTCGTGTAAGCATTAAATGAGATGGGTTTGGGCGTTTTTGTTTAGTACTCTTGTCTCGGTTAGAAGCGTGCCATCGGACAGTATGATTTAGAGTGTTTCTCCCTAGACTTCCATACATAGTCAAAGTTGCGAATCGAATGATCCTAATCATGACCACATCAAGTTGAAGCCTGTCTGATCAACTCAGAAATGCCATCATTATGCTCACTCAGTGCTTTTGGAGTTGAAAAGGTTGAAGTGTGGCAAATCAGTAACGACGCCTGGGGTTCACTGGAATATTCACAGCGACGGAGTACAAAAGTCGCGAAACTCAGCCTTTGAACCGCGTAAAGTTCTTTTGAGTATAGGGATTCAGTGATAACCCGCTGGTGCCCGTTGACACGATCTACATTTACTGACAACCAAATCAATCAAGTTGACCAAATCAGGCAAGGGTAACTCACGGTAGACATGATTGAGTTAAAGTCAGCCAGATCGGCCATATCGAGTAAAAACAACTTAATCAAATCAAATCAAATAAGCCTGGCCACTTGAAACTTCGTGATGCTGAAAAACGCCCATCTATGCTGGCCGGATCATCCAATGACAACCCCCAAGCTTTCCTACACGCTTACTGGAGCGTGGCATCGTCTGCCGATGCATGACAGAATAACCAATACTCTGGAAATACCTACTATGTGGTACACACCAAGCAAATGTAATGGCGAAAACGGCAGCTACGAGCGCTAATGATTACAGCTGCGGGTATACGGAAAGTAGACGCTCTGGATACACGATTAAAAAGTAAGAGGCATGAACAACACGGAGAGGAAAATGCACGGTTCAAACCGAGGCTTGTGTTTATACGCTTTACGCCGCGACTCTATCGACAACGACTAACTCAGGCCTACTAATAACTGTTTCTGCCTATAAACAAAACGTTGTCAGGACTCGCAATGTGCATAGATCCTGCCCAGACGTAAGTCACTCATTCAAAATCAGCCGAAAACGACGCAAAATCGTACAACCTCATAAGTACAAGTTCAACATTAAAATCGTAGTTGCCGTAACGGCTAGCCTATCAATGACATGATCGTGAAATGCTTTATATATGTCTCTTCACACTCAACGCAGCCTATCCCGCAACCGCCTGTCTAACGGCACCGGCCAGCTCGCCGAATAAAATACCCTTGAAAACGCTCTCGCCCATGTTCTGGGTCCAGTGTCCCGCTTCTGCGAGCTTCTCCTTCCAGAGCTTCTTCTGCTGCGCCGTCAGGTCCTCCCAGCTGACGGCGGGGCCATAAACTGCCTCATCGTGAACAGCGGCCTGGAATCGCGGGACCGGCTTCTCCTCGGGGTGGGTGGGACTGACGGCGTCCTCGCGGATGACGATTGGGTCACCCTGAAGGGCGTGCACATCGCCGACAAGCGTGGAAAGGAACTCGTTCGGCTGGTTGACACTAGCGACCGTACCTGACTGGGACAGAATACGAGGACGTACGACGCCAAAAGTTTCGAGACTGATCTGAGCCACGATTGCCAGGACAAGGACGACAATAGTGGCGAGGGTAAAGGTAGCCTTGGCGGTATATCTGCGGGGCTGGAAAGCGACGGCATACCGCTGGGGGCGGGGCGGGCCACCCTTGCGTAGGGGAACTTCCCTGTCGGTAAACCTCTTGAGGAGGATGGAGTGTACAACCACGGTGTTCTTCATCGATATGCTCGCAAGCTTGAGGTACTGAGGGCGGGCAGTGGTCTTGGGGGGAATGAAGTAGGAGAAGGCGAGGTTGGTGATCTGCAGGGGATGAGCCTCCTTCAACGTTGTAAGGGGCTCAAAGTCGACCAGCAGCTCAATCGTCGAGTGAGCCTTGTGCTCGAGCGTGAAAAGCGATATCGAGCGGTCCTGGCCGGCGACGGCGACGACGAATTGTGCGTTTCCAATCTTTGCGTCCGGGGCGGACGGCGGGCTGAGATTTCGCACAGCGATGGTGGTCGCCTGGGTGACTGCACGCGGCAGCTTGGCTGACGCAGCCAGACGGCCGTTCTCGCCGTCCTTCATCGGCAGGCGGATGCCCAAGAGCACAGCACCGGTCCGCTTGGGGAGGTTGGCAGCTGCCATGATGAAGCACGGCGTCAGATACCTAATAGACCGGAAGATAGGCTTAACACCGGTGCCGTCCTCCTTGATCGTATATGCCAAGTGCGGGCCATCAATGCCGTCCTTCGTGACATTGATGACGAACAATTCGCGCTCGTCACAGAATGCGACCTGGTAGGTCTCGTCACCGGTCTGGATTACGTCGAGATCCATGGCCTCCCTCGAAATCTCCAGCGTGCCCCTTGTCTTCACCGCTGCTCCTGAAGCGGCGGACACCTCAAACAGCGCAATTTGCGACTGCTTAGCCAAGCCAGTCGCAACGGCGCCCAGCTGGTGCTTGTCGCCAAAGGGGGCAGAGAGTCGAAGCAGACGCTGATAGGCATCCTTGTCGTTCTCAGCATGGGAAAACAGAGCCGTACGGGAGAGCTCGGCGAGATTCACGGCGGGGGTGTTGGCGCCGACGGAGATGCGGGCCTTGCTCTGTTCGATACCGAAGACGCGGAAGTGCTCGTTCTTGCCCTTCTCAACATCGGCAGGGCTCGAGTTGATACCGGCGTAGATGTGGGAAGTCCTGCCCTTCTTCGGGCCAACGGCGAGGGTCATGACGCTGTCCTCATTGCGACTGAGGTCAGCCTCGCCGCTGATGCGCAGCTCGTCTTTCGTTGAGGTGTCGATCACTGTCTGTTCGTAGATTGTCAGTCGCATTCATAACCGAGGCCGGGGAGAAACAGGGATGGGCTCACGATCTTGTTTGCGACGCCACTCCTATTGGCGCCGCCGCCTCCGCCGACAAGGAGCCTATTCGCATCCTGAGGATCGAATTCGCAGGCGTAGGGGAGGTAATCGAGAGTAAGCTTCGCGGTCTCGAAGGGAGCCATGTTGGAGAGTTAAACTACCGGGACGTGAGGAGCGTGTGCAATGGAAATGAAGACCGATCAGGTAGTTGAATAGTGTCTTTTGTCTGCTGTAGTAAAGGCTTCAAGACTCAAAACTGACCATGATCGGGACAGTCGATTGCGCCGACGTGGGGTGAGAAGCAGAAGTTCTGGGTTGATGACGTTCAGCGCGGGAAAAAAAGAGTTTGGCCATCTGGCCTTGCGGTACCAGGGGGGGCTCACGTCAGTTACTCCAGTTACTCCAGCTTGGGAATGGTACTCCGGTTCCTCCCCACGTGTGGTGCAGTGAGCTGAGCTGGAGCACGGGGCAAGCAGAGCTGTCAGCGAGCTGGGGAGGTTCATCAGTGCTGTGGATCCTTGCCTATCTTGCCTTAACAATTTACCCACCTTTCTTCTGCCCCTGCCTATTTCCCCAAGCCACCAAAATATGCTCTCAACTTCATTTCATGCATACGGATGTCTCCTAAAGCGGCATCTTTCAAGACCGTATGAACTTGAAATCTAGAATCATGAATCTTGGGAGAATGGGAGCCCGTCTTTTGTGAGACCAGCTTCTCCCTTTCACATTCAGCACAGCGAGCTGCTGAGAACCCTAAAGGAGATCGGCACAGCTATTGTGGAATCCCTTAGCTGCTTCCACTGATCATCAGAACCTGTCTAATAAGTCAAGGCTCCCCTACGACGAAGTCTGTGCCAAAGGGGGAAAAAAAAGGAAGAAAAAGAAAGAAAGAAGCCTACAGGCACACGCCCCATTAGATCTAATTGTTCTGAATTCCTTTGTCTGCAAATTTGCTTGATAACGCTGTCTATGGTTCGCTACCAATTCCGAAAACACCCTCGTCCAAGATAAAGCAAGGTCCTCTGTTCTATGCCAAATTGCCAGCTGCCCTTACCGTTAGTGCCCCTTTACGAGGTACCGCAATTTCTCACGAAAGCTAAGACTGGCTTTGTCGTATTCTAGCTGTAGGGGCCCGTCTTTTTCACTTACGTTGTCGGGCGTAAAAGCGATAAACATCGCTGGGAGTCAGACCAAGTGTGCCCTCGAGGTAGCAGTCCATGTTGGCAAGCTTGTTGGACTCAAGAGGGCGAATGCCTTTGCCATTGGGAGAGGAGGATTGCGAATCCTGGCGCACCTGAGGCTGCTGAGTCTGAGAAGACACCTGCTGGCTGTTGCGCACCTGCAGCTGGGACTGGGGGCGAGACTGAGGCTGCTGGTCCTGACGAATCTGGCGCGTTCTCTCAGTGCAGTCGTGGCAAAGCTGGTCTTCAAGAAATGTGTGCTGGGACTTATGGCGAAGAAAGCAGTGGCTGTCCTTGGGGTAGACACACTTGGAACAGCGGTAAGTGACAGACTCCACATGGGAGCAAGCGTAGGTGTAGAAAACAACCTGGCACATTTTGGCGGTAATTTTGCTTTGAGTTAGCATAGTTAGCTTTCAGTTATTACGTCACCCTATCCGGGAAGAACAGAGTGAAGGGATTCAACATACTACTTGGTGTAATGCCGTTAACTAGTGAAAGTCCGTTGTAGATGTGGGTTAATTGATGTTGCGTGTGATATGTCTGTCGCTCTTGTAATTCCGTTGGCAGCGGTGCTCAAGACGAGATGGCGTGTTGTGATCTCTATGTGATCCTAATGTGAAACTCGTAGGAGGAAAAGTGCGGATATCAAGGTGTAACGTCGTGGTGAGATTTCAGCACGGGTTTCAGCAGCAGCACACGCAGATACCTTCAAGGTAAACGTGTGGTCAGGACACAGGTGTTCTTTCTCTCGAGGTTCAGTTTTGTATACCTGACCTTTATAGTTGGTTATTGATGTATGAGGGGTTATGTCAAAGACAGCGAGTCTTGGTGGTCGACTGAGGGAAACGCGGTGATACTGGCTACAGTCAGTGAGGATTCGAATTGTAAGGAAGATGGAAGTAGAACGGAAGTTAGCAGTTGGCTTGAGAGTGGTATTCGGGTGTTTTTCAGGAAACCCCGTTGAGGATAGATTGGGGTACTTGCCTCGTATTCGAGTCTGTGATGCAGATAGACTCGTTCTGGGAAAGTACAACTTGAGATGTTTACGGCCCGAAGTGGCGTGATTTGTCAAGTAGTTCTCGGTGAGCTTATGAATTCAAGTCTCGAGGCCTTGAGGTGGGATGTAAGAGTAGGGTGCTCAAGCCAACAAGAGCGATGTGTGACTGTGAAAGAAGTGATTGTTCTTAAGTTTGGCGAAAGAGCTGAGTTCAATCCCGTTTAATTGGGGGCAGGTTGTTGCCGGTAGACGTTAAGGGAAGGCGCCTCCAGATTTGCCCAGCTGTTACTTTCAACCTGCCAGTTCTTGAGTCCTGAATCCATACACTCAATCGAAAGTTGAGTAGAGTGTCAAATCGTGTAATGCTTGAATTTACGTGAAGAAGGGTCTGGCCGAGTCCGAAATGCTAATCAAGTCGCATTTTAGTTTGGTGGTGTGAGTAATGAAGAGAGAAAGTGTGGGAATCCGAAGCAGGTGCTACGAAGAGGATGTTAGAGAGGCTGAGAAGCAGTGTATACTCGCTATCCAGGGTGTCTAAATGAGCCAAAGAAGACTCGGGCGTGCCTTGGTGACAGAACCGGTGCTTGCCAATCTCGATTCAAATTGCAGGCGGCGAGTCGTGGGGCTGATAAGGCCGTGACGTGATTGTAGGCGAGGATGTGCGAGTGTGCCAACGAAAGAAGTCTGGCAGAGGTAGAGGAGAAAAGACGAGATATCGAGGCTAGTTGAAATCTAGGAGGAAACCGTCCATCGGGATTGGGGCGGCGAAATAGGTTGAAGGGGATGATCCTGCCTGAGCTCCGATAGAGGTTCCAGGTGAATGTGAAACAGAGAAGCCACGCCTAGAGGGGACTGCGTGGAAGTGAGTTACGACTACAACATTTGAAGGAGATCCAGGAAAGACGAAGCGCCTTGAGTGAAGCGAGCTTACGCTCGTACCTGAGAGCGGAAGGGTGAGGTAGGATGAAAGCCTGAGAGCATTAAATTGAGTATAATTAGCAGCAATAACCTCGGAGAAGATGGTAAAGCAGATAGACGGAAGCTTTTCTATCTATACATTTCCAATTCTGCGGGCGAGGGTCTTCTTATCTTCATTGCCCCTTGACACGGTAATACGTACTAGAAGTCCAGGTCATCAGATGATTTATGCTGTTGTATAGATCAAGGCTGTCTCGTCTTGGGGCTTCAAGCCACACCTTTTTGCCTTCCACTCGAAGATGCGTGCCACACATTCCAATATTGTATATAAACCCAAGAGGCCGCATTAAAGAAAAAGGAAACGGGAGCAAGTGGAGGTTGAGTGCAATGGCCATACCTCCATTCCCGCAATGGCCTATCGAATGTAACGACTCCTTTCCACATCAATTTCAGACTACGTTGAATATGTGTTTAGAACATAATGGATAAGCATCGGAGACAGCTACTTGGTTCCTTCGTCTGACTGAACTATCCACGTCGACAGCGATACTGATCAATAGCTCGATATATGAAAACTGATATGGTATTCTGTATCCGACTGAATTTCGTAGGATGAAATCGGTCAGTAGTTGAGCATTCGTAAAACATTCACACTCGCGTTTTCGCAAAATCATGAATGAATCGCTGCAGGTAATCCGAGATAGCTTCCGCGTAAGTACACATCAAAACGTAGGAAGGCCAGTCTCCTCACGTAAGTGCTAGGTCAACACCAGAATCTCAAATATATAAGAGAAATCTATTCACTCAGTCATCAGAACTCAAGTCAATAATCATGTTCAAATCGAGTGATATTCTCGCATGTACAACAACACGCCACGCCGCAACACAACCCCTACAACGCCGCTAATACTACACCTAAATGCTCATGACACAAACAATTAATCGACAAGGATCTTCTCCTCCAACTCGCCGAACCGCTCGTAGAAGCTCTCAAACAATTTAATGGCATGCTCGACATCGGCACTGCCACCTGTCTCACGGATGGAGTGCATGCTGAGCTGAGGGTTGCCCAGGTCCAATGTCCTGACGCCGAGCTTAGCGCTGAGCATGGGACCGATGGTGCTGCCGCAGGGAGAGTCGTTGCGGACGACGAACAGTTGCAGCGGCACGCCCGCGAGACGAGCGCACTCCTGCAGTAAGACAATACCGGGAGAGTTTGTGGCGTAGCGCTGGTTGGCGTTGACCTTGATGACGGTGCCGCCGTTCATGGCGGGCTGGTGGCTGGACTCGTACTTGCCGGCGTAATTGGGGTGTACCGAGTGCGCCATGTCGGCCGACACGAGGAAGGATCGCGAGAGGGTCTGCTCGTAGGCCGTGGACTCGTAGTCGCCGTCATGGGATACGGCAACGTATGAGCCGTCAGACGCCGTGTCGCGGCTGCCGGGCAGCGAAGCGAGGCGGCGCAACACGGCGGGGAGGAGGTTCGAGTTGGCGCCGTGGGCGGAGGTGGAGCCAATCTCCTCGTGGTCGAAGCAGGTAACCAGGCGGATAGTGGTCTCGTTGTCGAGGACGCTATCGTCGCGGACGGAGGCGATAAGGCCCTCAACTGAGCAGTACGTCATGTTGAGGTTGTCAAGGCGGGCGGAGAAGATAAACTCGTCGTTGAGGCCGCCCAGGCACGACTTCTGCACGTCGTAGAGGACGAGCTCAAAGTCAACAACAGCCTCGGGCTCGACCTCGGCGTGAGAGGCAATAACGTCTAGGATGTGGGGATGGTGGCGCTCTGTCATGGCCTTGAGGGGCTTGAAGTCCTCCTCGGAGTCATCAGTATCCTCAGGCTTGGCGACGCCCTTGTTCAGCTCCGCCGTGGCCAGGCCGGCGATGGGGAACAGCTCATTCTCCTTGTTGGGGTCGAAGCTGGAACTCCGGTCGAGGTGGATGGCCAGGGTTGGGATGCGCAGCAAGGGCTTGTCGACCTTGATCAGCTTCTGGACAAAGTTGCCGTCAGCGTCCTTGACAAGCACGCGACCGGCAATGCTGAGGTCGCGGTCGAACCAACTGTGCCAGATTCCACCACCGTAAGTCTCGACACCGATTTGCAGGAAACCGACGTTGTTCTTCTTGGAGACGGGCTTGATACGGAGGCAAGGGGAGTCAGTGTGGGCGCCGATCATGGCAACCGGGTTGCCGGGCTTCCACTTCTTGCCGATGGCGAATGCGACAATGGACGAGCCATTGCGAGTGAGGTAGTATTTGCCGCCGGGGCGGAGGGCGGAGTTCCAGGAGTCCCGCTCCTTGATCTTTGTGAAGCCGGCCTTCTCAAGGCGGGCAGCGGCGGTCGCGCAGGCGTGGTAGGCTGGAGGCGGAGGCGTTAGCTCAGACGGTAAAGCGGTACAAGGTAGATATTCTCACGGGTGGGCGAAGCGTTGACGAAATCGACAAAGTCGAGGGCGGCTTGAGGGGGGGCCATTGTGCGGGCTGTCGTGGAAAATCGAGCTCGAGGTTGGAGGGGTCGTAGCACGGTTATGGTGGCGATGGCGGGGTTGGCGTTTGGTCTGGGAATGCTTCGGCACAAGTAGGTTGTGACCGAGAGCATTTAGGGTTGGACAGAGAGAGACAGAAAGAGGAATGCTTGGTTACAAAGAGGGCAGCACGTCGCTATACTACACCGTCTATCTTTTCGTTTCCGGAGATTTCGTTTTGTCGAGGAAAGCAAGTGCGAATGTGGTCACGAGGAAAGCTTGTCCAGTATCGTTATCGCATGTCGTCAAAGGCAACCCGACGTTGATCCGGCGCCGACGCTGGGATTATCTACTTCACCTGCCGAAAAGGAAAGAACTGTGGAGAGAGCGCACCGGCTCTGGCGTTTGTTTGGGGGATAGGTATTGAGGGACAACCTTTCAGTACGTACCTACCTACTATTGCTGCCCTACCTTACCACCATCATTGAGTATCGGTACTCGGCCGTCTGAGCTAAGGTCGCCGCCGCCTTAAGGCAAGGCAAGGCAAGGTCCCTAGGGTACGTTGGGGGCAGGCAAATCAGCACCGATCATCTCACTAGGCGATTGACCAACGCCAGTGAAAGCAATACAATAAAAACAGAACCAAGTGTTCATGCCTGTCACGGGAAGGGTTCGTAAGAGACATCCATCCTCCCAACAGCCAGCAAGAAATCCACGCAGCGTCGTCGTCAACTTATGCAAACCAATTATCTCTCTCTCTCTTTATTTCTCCATTCCCTCCCTCGTCAATTTGTCCTCGGCTACTGAGGTCTCCCGTTGGTCAGGTACTTTTTCTCCCCCTAGTGTCCCGCCTGTAGAGGCCAGCACAAGACAAGGTATACTCATGAATGTGTGGCGGCAAAGTCGACAACACCCTTGTCGCCCTGGCGTTGCAGCACGACAGATACGGAATGACTCCCCTGCCATGTCTGCAGATCCCAGGGGGGTTCCTTGACGGCACCCACTTGCAGGCGCAGCCAAACCGACCAGCACCTTGCAGCAGAGACGACACCCAGTGGCACCCATCAACAAACTAAACTATCCACGCTCCATGTTATGGCCTGCCCACCTGGCCCTGCCTACCTCTTCTCTCCATCTCTCTACTCCGTAGTCTCTTGGAATAGGACCCGGGTTTATAGGCAGTCTCATCAGCAAAATGTTTTCAAGAAAATCATCCACTACTATGCTAAGTAAAGATACAAGACAACAACATATTGACAAACACCATTACCCGCCTTCAAAAATCAGATGCACACAGCAACATAGCACATGGTGAAACTGCCGTCCGCCCCCCCTCTCCCATTTCCCACGCAGCAGACTTGGGGCCACTCCGAGCTCCGTCCCGGTCCAAGAGCCAAGCTCATTGGCGTGAACTCCAAGGCGTTTTCCCCCCTTTGGATGCCCTGCAGGTGCTTGTCTGTGCAATCCCCACCTTCCATCACTGCGAGCAGCGACACGCTGAGCTCCTGTGGGTTCCCAAAGGCTGCCCAATCTCATCTCGTCAAGAACGAGAAGAAGGAAAAAAAAAAAAAAAAGAGAGAGAGAGAGGGGAGATCTCTCTTCCTGTCAGGTAGCAGCTACCTGCTGCGTGTTAACGGCCCTGCTGGACCTCGCCCCCAACACACCAAGGAGGGAAGGGGGTGTTCGAACTGCAGACCCCCTCCACCGAACCATCTCTTCCGAACCGGAACATTCTCTCTCTCTCTCTCTCTCTCTCTCTCTCTTTGTCTCGCTCAGGAAACGAACCTCACGTGAACTCACCGTTAATGGCGACGATATGGTAAAGGTGGGAGAGATCTGCTGTTAACCTAGGACAGTGCAGTGACCGCAGCTACATGACCGCTAGTTGGCTGTGTTTTCCATCCGTGAGCCTTGTCTGTCGTAGATCCGCAGCTCGCCAGGTCGCCAGCACGTCCGTCAACCGCCGCTTGATGCCCTCCTATCCCTGTCGACGATAAAACTAGTGGGCAGGGGTCTTCCATGGTCGACGCGACCCCATTTGACAAGCTGCCGTTTTCCCACTGTGTACACTAGATACCAGGCTTCTTCAATAACAACTGGAGCTGCCAAGTAACACCCAGATTTCTCGTACTTCTAATTGGCATTAAACAACAATATTCGCTGACGGACTAACTGGCCAGTACTATGTACCGAGCGATTCTTGGACTGAGACCTATCCGCCAACGATGCGCATCGCAAGTCGGACGGAGGCTGAACACGGCTTGCCAACGCAGGTTTGGCGCTGGCGCGCGCACATTTGATGTGTCCAAGGTGTGGAGAAGAGCCGCGTTTGAGCTCTGTCACCTATTCTCATTCCTTCCAGAAAACGACTGCGCTTGAGAAGAGGAAGTTCCTCCGCATATCCCATAACAGGTCGCCAGTTACAAGTCTATCAGCAAGAGCTTGCATCATGCCAGATGTCAGACCCCCCCAAGTGACAGGCCTCTTGTCCCCGAAGATGGTTTGCACCCGCCCAGCGCACCTGCTCATGACTGTTTGCAGGTTGCTGTCCACCGGAACGGTCCACGAATTAGTTAATGGCGACTAGTAGTGTATGGCCAGCGAAGCCACCGTCTTTTATGGCCGGGCAGAAAAAGAGAGGAGGGAGAGACACCAACAAAATGAGACGAAGACCCCCAGGTGCCGCTTACCGAAATTCGAGCCAATCATTGAAGCCCGCCGCGCCATTCGGTCAGGGTCTGGCCTTGTTCACGAACGGACACAGTCCCAGAGACACGCAGACGCTTCCGTCACCTTCCACAGTGTGATCCTCAGGTATACCAGATAATCAAGTCCTGTCCCAAAAGTGCCCTGTGAGTGCCCGAAAGTTTTTGTTTTTTCTTTTTATAAATATGCTAGGTTTGGCAGATGTATTTGATCGAGTAAGTGCTATACGAGTGAAGTCGAGGGCGCATACTAGTAAAGCACAAGAAGGGCTTCTTATTTCTAGCCACGAAAATAACACATTGGTAGCCACCATAGAGGATTGAACCTGGAACCTGAGCATGGTTTTGACCCACACACAAGGGGAGCCCCCGGTCTTCCGGGTCGTCGATTTGGGTGCGACGATCAGACGTCGTTGACTGTGTCAACCGAGTTGCCGTCGGTTTGTACAGTCTTTTCTTTGTACTGGTCTTCAACTCTGGCGATGAGGCTTCGAGTCCAACTGCTGGCTGTTGTTATTGCTGTTATCCGTTGGATGTGCTTGGCTGAGAGAGGCGTCGAGAACTAACTAACTCCGTCCTTCGCTGTTAGGCGTCCAGTATGGGGTATTGGCAACATCTGATGTGGGTGACAGTTCCATGACGCCATTCCTTGCAAGTTCGACCTCTGCCAATTTGACCAAAGCCGAACTCACGCCATGATGCACTTCAATGAGGCCAGCAGGAGGTTGCAATTCCGTAAGGGAAGATCAGCTGCCATACTCACTTGGCAGCATTGCCATTGTTTGAATTTTCCATCGCCATGCTAACAGTATCCGTGTTCAGTACCTCCCACACTGGCGGGTCGAAACTTGAGAGATGGTGCTGCAACTTCATGGAGGGGCCAGCGAGATGTTGGCATTCCACCAGTACGCTTTAGATGCCTTCAAGGTCCTAGGCTGGAGGCGCCGTTTCGACCCTTGAAAGTGAGTTGTGGGCGAACAGAGGTAGGCTTGAATGCGTTAGCTGCATGACCCTCGCCCGTGCCGTTCAAGCGGGACGAAAGCCCAAACTCTAAAACCTGCGTGTGCTGCTTTCATCCGTCTTGAAATGTATATCTCAAGTCAAAGGCACTGCCACTAGAGTGCACGCCTGCATATGTGGAGGAGAGCACAGCGACCCTCCCAAGGCTCCAAGCACTCAACGGCACCTTTTGGGTCTCCGAGTCTCCAAGAAGAGAACGACAGGGGGAAACAAAAAATAAACAGGGAAAAAGAAAAAGGGAGACTCTTTCGAAGTAAGGGGTATTTTACGAGAAAGGCAACGGCTGGCCAAAGAGCAGGTTGCTCTACTCTTGGGCGTGTCGTGATGGCCTCGCGCGTCAATTTGGGTTGTCTTCCTCGCCCAGCCGGTTGCCTGTCAGTGGAGAGACATCGTCTCACAGTCGAACGCTCGTTAAAATGCAGGTACCAGCAGATCTGCCAGCGGTCTTTATGGGCGAACAATAACAACAACCGCACGATCCCCACGCGATCGTCCCTAACAAATTGGATACGAACGGCTCCAGCTGAGAGCTGTTTGTGTGCATGTCTTATATACCATGGCATTGTGAACTGACATGCCTGTGTTCAGGTGCCGTGCAGTCCCATATCTAGCCCGTTTCCCACCAAATGCTCAAAGATGGAGAGCACTGTGGTTCTTTGGATACTGTACCCCTGTCGCCCACTCGGCGTGTGGGAGCTGGGGCCGGTGTACGTGTACATACATGTCTTGGTGCTAAGGCGCCAGAACAGCGCAGATGCTATCTTTTTGGCTTCCACATATTTGCTTTTTCTGGAGACCTCCGAGAACCCTTTCTCGCTTTTGCTGGATTAGAGGAGAAGGAGGTTGTGGATGCAGAGCTCACAGTCAGGCTCGCATTGAGCGGTTTGCTGGACCAAATAGAACCATATCAATAATCAGTTGCTCGGCTGAGCCGACCAAAATCAAATGATCAAATGGATCCAGCCGGTGGTCACTCGAGACAGGGGGCAATGACACCCAACGCCCATCGACATGCAGCGATGGGACAAAGGGAACGGCCAACCACCCCCAAAGTTGCCAGGAACCACTTCGCTGTTTCTGTTGCTCACCTCTCGATGAGCGCGCAGGAATGGACACTAAGACTGGCAAAGGGGGCTCAGCTCCAGATCGTAGCCTTACGAGCAGAGATGATTGATTGCTGGACCGAAAATCTGGTTGACGGTGCTGCCGACCCATGCTGGGCTGAGAAACCAGCGAACGATGTAGCACCAACCACTGGGCAATGTGCTAGTGAGGCGATCGAGTTGGCCGAGACTAGCTGTGTGCCACACACACCCACGCCTGGGGTTTCCGCCCCTTGGAGCGTGGTTTGTTCACACCATCATCTACCTGGTAAGCGATAACCGGTAAAGGTGTTGCCAACTGGCGGTACCAAGGACTTATAAACACCCCCTTGTCACTTAATCCTTACTTGTGTGGTGACCTGACCGAGAGAACAGAAGATGTCAATCCAAGCTTGAGGACAGTTGGATGCGGGCGTTAGGAAACATGATTTAAACGCAAGCCTCGCAAGGTCGACAGCAGCAAACAGAAAGATCAAGTGAGATAAGCTGTGCTAAGGTTTCTAGCTTTTCAGGGGCCCTCGTTCGCGGTCATGGGCCATCCACATTTGAAACGGATGTGCTATTTTGGCGGCGAAGGTATGCGGCGAGCAGTGGGGCCTGCTGGGATAATCTGATGAAGCCCGTGTGCATGTGTGTGTGTGTTGTGTGTGCGTGTGTGCCTGATGTTTGTCTGCCCATCTTACCTCTCCCAGTCTCTTCCCGCCTCTGTCATTCGGCGTGGTGCGTTTTGGGCTTGCAGCGCCGCGAGCTGGTGCAAGGTGCGGCACGTCTGCGACACACATGCGGACTCGCAGAGGTGTGTGGGACGGAGTTAAGTACAACAGCAACAACCCAGCGCATTGGAGAGCAGGCAGAGCTAACGAAGCGGCGGTTGACTTTGCTTTTTGAGAACGGGTGGACGGCAAACAGAAAGAGCCCCAAGGATGGCCGATCTGCCATCGCATCATCTTGCAGCCCCCAGTGCTGACTCGTCGGCCGCTGCTACGGACGACTGTAATCCTTCAAGGTTTTTGAGTGCCCGTCTCTACATGATGACTTGCTGTCAGTTGAGTAGTGGGGACGGAGGGAAACAGATGAGAAGGTGGCAGCCATCACGCAAGTACCGAAAAGCCGCAGGCGCGCATACCTTGTCTCTGGGCGATGAGTTGGAGCGGTATCTTAGTCAGAGACTGCAGGGCCCAAATTCGGATCCGGCGTAGGTGGTAATCAGGATGAGCAACGTGCATCTTGACCTGGGCTGGAACGACACGAGTCTGGGACGTAACCTTAATGAGGAGGCGGTTCAGCCAGTGATGAGTGCTGTTCAACCGTCAGTCAAGATTAGACATTGAATCAAAAAAGGTGAAGAAGCTCCCACCACAGACAAAGGGTGAAAATAAACTAACAAATCATTATCTGAGTGCAAAGTCCCGAGCACTTGGCCCGACGTTGCCGCTTGGGACTGCTGGTGCTTCTGCTTCCCGGGATGCACTGGCAGTGATGATGCGCTGCAGAAAGGCAGGCAGAAGACAGGAAAAAAGGCAAAAAGTACGTGTGAGTATGTTTGCTGTGTGACTGACGGATGTGCGTATAAGGGCGTCTCTCCTCTCTTCGCTACCTGGAAAGCAGCAAAGTGATGTAATGAACACCAGCCCTTGGGAGCGAGGCAGCAGCTGAGCGGACCCTATTGATCATCCACATCAGTCACCAGCAGGGTCAGGCAAGTCCCGACAGGGACAGCGGCTCGACGTGATTGGATTGGACCAGGGGCGTGATCGAGTCAAAGGACGGGAGGGTGTGTGGCCAACTGAAAAAGGGAGCTACTTGGGCTAGCTGGAGATCCTCGCAGTCTGCAGCGACTGGCTTTTTGCGTCGGTTGTCTACTGTACCTTGGACGACTCGACGGGCACAAACCAATATGCAGACTGCGGTAACAAAAACATAACTGAAAAGGCAGGGTATCCTAACCGCAGTAGTTCAATGTATGGATTTTTCATAGATGGTGCCAGCGCAATGAAGAAGGGTTTGGGGAAAAAAAAAGGGTCTGTAGCTCCAAGAAACGGAATTGTCAGCCTGACCTTGAACAAAAGAAAGAGAAGGAAAGAAATAAAATAAAATCGGCAATTGCGTTGCCACTTGTTTCTTGAAAGTCCAACAACCATTTGCCAGTAGAAGAAGGAAGCAAGAGCCCTGGAACAACCGCAGAGTGGGAAATCGCGGGGGCAGATCTCATCCGTTTGACCTTCGACCTGCCACTGACACCATCCATCTCGTTTCCTTTTCAGTCGGAGCCGTTGGGTTGGCCCTGTGGGCGTCGACCAGCGAGTGGTCTTTGGGGCCCCCCATGGGCAATCTGCTCCGTGGCAGCAGCAGTAGCACCCGCCCTTACCTAAGACGGCATTTTGGGACGTGCTCTGGGCCAGAAAGGTACTTTGCTGGTTTGGGCGCAGAAGCTACTTTTTGCATCCAGCGACAAATCCGGGAGGAGTCCCTGTACGTGAATCAACGTGGCAAGCGCCGCCCGTCCCCAGCGTCCCAGTCGCACTTTCTGGGTCAGTTACTCCCACTTACAGTCCGAAATATACAATTGTTAGTCAAGGAAAGCCTTGGATGTGTCAAATCTGACCTTGTAACTTTGTTGTATGCATTTGCAATACCAAACCAAAAAGAACACCACATAAATAAAATAGGACCAGTCAATCGATGCTGCGAGTAAAAGAGAAAAAGAGAGAGGTCTGCAGGTAATGGCCTGCGCTGTGGCACAGCCCGAGTTCAGATGATGACCAGCGTTTCTTCCACCCTAAACGCCAAACGGCCGACCCTGCTCTGTCCTTCTTTTTCTGGCTGGCCCTTTTGCTGTTCGTTTTCGGTTAAAACCAAAGGAATGGACGGCCGCGTGCTTGGGCACACCAGTTATTCTGGTGCCTCTTGGCTGAGAGAAAGTATGGGCCAAGACTGGCGATGGCATAGACCCAGGTCTGGCCTGGCTGACTGAGAATTCGCCAAAGACACTTGATCTTCTACCACCGACTGCAGAGTGCAGAGCAGAGTGACCGTCTTGTAGGAGATATGGGCAGCCATGCTCGTGCTGTGCTTGGGAAGAGAATTTTAGCTTCAAGACAGACCAGGAAACGGCGTTTGGGTGTTGATATTTCGAGCAAAGTTGGTTTTTATTGTTTTTTTTGAAGCAGGACGAGGCGAGAGGGCGAGGCACACGCAATGTGTATAAAACGGCGAACATGAGTCGAACCGGGGTATCTCAAAAATGACCCGCTGCGCCATACCACGCCCCCAGCGTCCATCCGATCGGACCACCAGAGTTGGTGATAAGTGACGCTTCGGGTTTTTAAGAGCCCCCGTTGGGATGATACATGTTGAAGGCAACTTGCTTTCCTGTGTGTGCGATGCAGCTCTCAACGGTAGATGTTAACCACAATGTATGTTTGTGGCTGAGTGAGGGTGGGAGAGAAGTCGTAACCCAGAGACCTAGTAATGTCGGAGACAGGGGAGTTTGTAAAGCTAGTGGTATATACTAGTACGTATTCCACTTGATTTACTTCCCGCTCTTTGCCAGCCAACCATTGCCGAGTGAACCCTTCAGAAAACCAGGCCTGTCTCTGTGGTCTGGCTTTGCTTTGGAACTCGCAAGGTGCTTGTGCACCCGTGCGTGCCCTTGTTATCTTCCCTCCTTCCCGTATGTACTTCATCCCGTCTCACTATGAGATCCATATTGGGATGGATAAAGTGGATGAGTCTAATACCACAACGTCTGTTCGCCTTTTTCGCCTCTGCCTGCATCACTTGCCGTATACAACTTATCATCGCCTGTCTCTCGAAGTAAACTGCTACAGTTCTAGGCATTGACATAACGAACACGAGTTGTAAGCGGATACACCGCTAGGTCAGGTATCCGTACCACCGCCGCAGTCACTTGGCACCACTTCAAGTAGGCCGTCACGGCTTGATCATTAGCAGACTAGCGTCCATGTGAGAAATGGCGCTAGACAAGGGTCATCCCAGAACATTCTGTGTGGTGTACAGGGAAAGACAGCACCAGCTCATTGAGCCATGAGCATGAGCCTCCAGCTCCCCCCCTTCCCTCTTTGAGGTGAAGCGAAGCACCCTCCCCCAAATCCGCCGAAGTCCTCATGGCTGATGTGCATTCACTTAATTCTCAGACTGTGTGAGGTGCTATGCGCCATGGCCCGGTTTTGCACTTGGCTTTTGCCCTGTTGCGGACATTATGTGATGTTCTCTTTTTGCATGTTGAAGAGATTTCCCCCTCCTAATGCAAGGCTTTGATAATCCACATTTGCTGCTTTGCTTGCAACTCTTTTATAGCTGCAGCCAACAAATTGAACGAGATCGGAAAAGAAATAAGAGAGCGGCAAACCAGATGGAGATAAACGGGAAATTTATTGAAGCAGAATAAAGTAAATAAACAAGGCGTCTGCCAGAATGTGAATCGATAAGTGTATGAGCGGGAAGAACTCGCTCGGACTTGGGGACCGTGTTGCTGGGACTTCGGGACACTGGCGAGGGAAAAAGAAAGTGACGAAAAAGAACACTGAATCCACGAACAAAGAAGATGATTCAACTGGAATAGAAGCAAAAGAAAGCAAGAAGAATGAACGCTTCACTATCTGTTGTCGCTCGGAAAACGAGGCAGTATGAGGGGAAAAAAGAAGAAAAATAGACGTCTAACAACAAAACTCGCCCCAGAATCAACGGTAGGCCAAGCTAGAGGCCAGTGGACTGAGGACCAATGTCTTGCCATGGCTGGGCAAGAGAGACATTGGGTCAATGAGCGTATTGATGCCGTGGCGGATGAGTGGAGGAACAAGAAAAAAAAAAAGTACCGTACGACAATTGACTTCTGAAGACGCTGACATGCGTTGACCATGGAATGTTAAGGTCCAACCACACGGCAAGGCTTCGTTCATCGGTAGCTGGCCTGGGCTGTTGGTTGTCGAATGATATGGAAAGGAAGGCATTCGGCATTCGTCAACGGATTGCCCGGGACCATGTCCCTCCCGTTGGTCCCTGGTATCTGGTAAGGTTTTGCAAGGAGCCGTCGCGTGCTCTTATGTCCATACTTACTGGTCGTTACCGGTTGTCTTGTTGTGCTTTGCTCACAAGGCGATGTGAATCGCTGCCGATTGAGACGTGCGACCAAGGTTCTTGGGAAACGACCCAAGGGAGTGCCTACTCTACCACCTCTTGACGAGAAGTCAGCTTGGTCGGCCCATGTCAATGTATATGAACGATACAGGATTGGACAGTCAACCAATCTTCCTATGTTGAAAAAGTGGTCAAACAGTTTGCACATAGTTGATGTTTAATAACAATTCTGAATGTCCTCAGAGGTACTTGGCCTTGACCTCGGACTCCCTCACACACCCACCTGGGCCCGGTCGTGGGCTATGACCCTGGCCCTGGCGGCGTTGGCTCTCTCGGTCTGTCTCTCCCGTCAGGTTGGCATGGGTTGAATGAGGAGGTGAGGCAGCGATGCTCGCACACGGCCGCCACACCATGTTCTTTTTGTGCTCCTCGATGGCTACCATGGCATGATGGGTGCCTCGTTGTGAGTGATGAAGTTGATGACGGATTAGTGTTTGCTGACCTGTATTGCCTGACCTGGAAGATTGGCACATGGCTTAGACCAAGCGTGTATCCTGCTAGCATCTTACACATGAACAGACAGACCATATTGACCGCTTCCCTCACCGCTGTAACGATAGGCTGGTACATGGCAACTGCCGCCAAACCTCTGCATCCAGGGACAGGCTTCTTGGGACAGGGTCCTCGGCAAGGTACCATGATCACAGTGAGGTAAAGCAGACAGGGTGGACGGTATAGGTGACGAACTCTTTCGCTGCTTTCTTCCCAGGCATACCAGCAGGTACACTGACTGCTGGCGCCAGAGAGAAAAAAGATAGAGAGTCGAATCCCAATTGCAGGGTATGTATCCCCACATCCCTGACCGTGGTACGTATCCCATATCCCTACCCCTACCCCCCCTACCCCCTGCCCCTCGCTCCTTCCCCCCAATGCCCAAAGAGAGAGAGACAGAGAGAGAGGGTAAAAAAAAAGAAGCAAGGAAGGGAAATAGAGACCAACCGCTGCCCAAAAAGGGACCCCATTTCCCGCCAGGCGCACTGGGTGCCCACTTCAGCCCGCTCGCTGGCCCCTTCTCTTCGACGTCCCTTCCCTTTCCCTTCCGTTCTCTTTCTACACACTACTAGTGGTACACTAGCTTAGCGTTTGTACCTTTTTCCAACAAGCATCAAGTTTGGTATTCGGTTTCCAGTCTTGTGTCTGTATCCCAATCCTCATTCCTAATCCTCTGATCCCAGTCGCTTGGTGTCAGGCGCAATAAATGAGAACTTGGCCATAAGTTCGGATACGAATGCAGGACGTAATTGACAAAATGGAAACGAAAAGGGAGGAAAAGAGACACAGAGAGAAAGGATAGAAGTGTGTGGTGATATGCCACTTGAAAGGTGCGTAGGGCCTTGGGCGCTTCATCCACTCCACTACGATGCGCTGCCCGTACTCGGCCCATTTTCTATCCCCATGTCCAGTCTCACTTTTTGTCGCCCTGTATTTCACGGCGATGTTTGAGAGCTTCGTCTGAACATGTGTCCGGCTTTGACTTCTTCTTTCTATAGATCTGAATTTTTATTGCAAACACGATCTAGCAAAGCTGAAGTCAGAGAGAAGGTAAGTCCTGCATCTATTTAGCCTATCCGCCTTCTAATATAGAAGTACCTCCCTCCCTCTACGTTGTATGCATGAGTAGTAGTAGAGAGAGTGTGTGTCTTTCTCTTTCCCTCTCTGCCTTTCATCAGGTGGTACCTGCCGCACTACCGTGTCTGCCACTGCCCTCACCGGTGCCTGCCTCATCTTCTGGTGCTCCTGCTTTTCCTGCTTTGCCCTGTTCCGCTGCCTCCCACCTCCCACTTCTTCTCTATCGTCACACCCCCTGGTCAACCGTCCCATCCAATCCCCGCTTAGCTGCCTACCTCTTGTAGCACGCCCCTCTCCTCTCCACCGTGCATCTCGCCGCCCTGCAGGCCCAATCCTCTCTTCTCTCTCAGTCTTGCTTGCTTGCTAGTCTCTTGCTCCCCGTCACTCCCATCCACGTCCATCCATCCCATCCCATCCACACACTCATCACCTACGCCCTCTTCTTCCACATCGCTCTCGCCCTCTCCTCCCTCCCTCTCCCTCTCGCTACATCCCACTTCTTCCTTGGTTGGTGTGGTTCTCACTATCGACAGGCTCCCCTTTTCTTTCTTTCTGCTCTTTACCAAGATCTTTTCTGTTTGCTTGAACTGCTCGAGAAGGGGAAAAAAAGTCATCTCCATCATCAACATCTCTCGTTTCAGCCACCCTAGTCGACCACAGGCAGAAAAAAATAGGCTCCACGCTTAAAAAGCGCCAATCCTGAGCCCACCAGAACCTAAATCAACTGGCACTGATCCAGCAAAGCCCATCTCCAAAGGGCCCACCACGCCCAACGATCCTCGTCTTCTGCTGTACCCGTACCTTGCCCAGTGCTGTGCTCACCTCATTCACACGCACTCACCTTCATCTTCCATTCCGCCTCTTTTCTCCTCCTTCACCACCACCACCACCACCACCCTCCTCCACGCCGTTTCGGTCGTGTCCTGTCTTCGCCTTTTCGATCGTCTCTGGTCGACAGTCGGTATACTTCCGCCAGTCGACGTGCGCAACTGTTATTCTTTTAGTGTACAGCATCTTTTGGTGTTCCTCGCATTATACCGTTTTCGAAGACCTCCCCCCAGTTGGCTTTGTCTCGACCTGCGGCTGCCGACGACACCCACCCACCCTCTGGAATTCCCGCCGCCGCTCCAGGACGGACACACCCAAAACCACAACAACCCACCACCGACACTCACAATTCGTTGTGACCTCCCACTTTCTCCTTCCATCGTTCTTTCCGACTCGAGATCGACTGGTCCTCGCATCTTAATTTCACAACGAAACGTCGTCTTGGACCTCTCCGTCCACTCCACATAATCCCAACAACAAAAAACACGAGACGAGACTCACCGAACCACGTCTTCCCTCGCTCGCCTCATTCCAACGTTGTCCTGTCACTGGTACAATACGCAAACTGCCCTATTCTCGTGGCTTAACATTGCGAAAGTCTTGATTGCGGAAAAGCAGCTGCAACGACTTTTTGGGTCTACTGACTTACTTCGTCGTCACACCCAACTTTCGGTTAGCCTTTATGACTATCCCAGCAAGTCGCTAGGCACTCTGCAGGCAGTTGACGGCTCTCCGCCTCATTGTCCAAAAAATACTCCTCTTGCCTGCCTGGACTGTCCCTTCTCTTGAGCGACCACATCTTCCGACCTTACCCAAGCTTCCACTCCCGACAGCGGTCGCCATCTCGATAACCGCTCGACGGCCCACGGTTTACCTTCGATTAACCGCGACGACTCAGGAGCACTCGCCGCAGGGGACTTGTTCAAACCCTGTGGAAAGCGGCCATGGCCGCAAACATGCAGCACATGGCGGGAGCGGCGGGGATGATGCAGCAACAGCGTCCCCGACCCTCCCAGATTCAGTTGAACCAGTTTCTTTACCAGACCATGCTCGCCCAGCAGCAGCCACATTCCGGCTGGCAGGCTGGCGTCGCAATCCAGGAACGCATGATCAAGTGCCACAATCTGTACGTCCCGTCCCGCTTTTTGCACCTCGCTTGACCCCGACCCGCGTGCGCTACGAACTAACATGTCGTCACTTGCATAGCATTACCAACATTGGCCTTGCCGTTACGAACATCGATTTCATGAAGGCGGCTGAGGTCGGTGTCAACTTTGAGCGCGAAGCTTTTAACAAATCGGCAGACAAGGTAAGGTTCTGGAGCCGAGCCTTGCTCCGCTCCTTCCCACATTATAGAGTGTTAGTCTAACCCTTGGTCCCAGGCCCAATACGAGGCGCAAATGAGCAACAAAACAAACGAATTTTTCCGACGACGACAAGCGAACGAGCAAAACCTCAGCAGCAATCTTCAGGCGCAGGCGGCGGCCCAAGCCCAGCAGCAGCTAATGATGAACCAGAACGCGGCCATGCAAAACCAGATGGGTCGCGGAATGGGGCAGAACCCGCAGCAAGGTTTTCAGCATCTCCAGCACCAAATGCAAGCGTCGCAAATTCCTCAACAAGCCCAAATGGGTGTCAACATGGGCAACCAAGGCGGCCAGCCCATCGGTCCCAACCAGCAAATGTTCCAAATGCCAGGCGGACAGGCCAGGCCACAAAATGGTCTTCCAACTGACCCATCGAACCTGACGCAGGCCGACCAGCAGAAGGTGATGGAGCTCGCGCAAAAATTGGCCGCATCCTGCCCCGAGCCTCAAAAGAACCACTATCGCACCCTCGTCCAGACGCGCTTCGCCCAGCGCGCCCAGGAGTACACTGCCCAGGGCAAAGACCCCGTGCTTATTTGGTTCCAACACCAGGCCTTCCAGGGCCTCACCAAGAACATTGCGATGCAGAGGCAGCAGCGGCAACAGCAAGGTGGCATGCCTCCCAATATGAATCCGGCCCAGGCACAGGCCATGATGCAGGCTGGCCGAGGTCAGATGAATCCTGCCATGATGAATGCGGCCGGTATGCAGGGTGCAAACGGCGATTACGGACAGTTCAACACGATGGAGAGCATCATGAATCAGCAGAAAGCCGGCATACTAGCCCAAGAGCAAGGCCAGATGGTAGTCCCTGCCAGCACCGGCCCGGCTCGCAACGCGACGCCGCAGCCTATCGCTGGAGGACAAGGTCAAGCGATGCCCAATCAGAATGGACCGAACCAGACACCGCGTCCGCCTCAAGCACAGCAACAACTGAGCATGCAACAGGCCCAGCAGCTGAAGATGGAGCAACAGCAGTCGCAGCACGCGGCGCAGATGCGGGCACAGCAGCAGGCGAGGCAGTTACAAGGGCAGCCTAACGGTCTCGGCGGCGCACCCCCGTCTCAGAGTCCCGGAATGAATACATTGAACACGCCTATGCGTCGGCCTCCCAGTGCCATGAACCCCATGGACGGCCAAGGTGGGGCGCAACAGAATGGTCCTTTCGGCAACGCTCTCGACCCGCGCTTCAACCAGGGTAACCAACGACCCATGGCCAACGCGGGAAACATGAACATGAACAACAACCCGATTTTCCACAGCATGATGGCGAGCATGAATCCCGAACAGAGACAGGCGGTACACGGGCTCCCGCCCGACAAGCTACATGAAGTCATGGCCAAATGGCAGGAGCAACAGCGAAAGATGCAGATGAACGCTATGGCAAATCCCGGAAACAACCCGGGTCAGATGCAGGGTCGGCCGGGGCAACTTGGCTTCAACATGCCTGGCGCTGCTAATCAGTTCATGAACAGCATGATGCCGCAGCAAGCGCAGCCGGGCGCTCCCAACCCACAAGTCATCGCCCAGCAGCAGCAAATGCTGGCCCGTCTTAGGAACCAAGGAACGCCCCTTGCACCAGCGCACCAGGTGATGATGGATAGTATGGACCTTCCGCCGCCGGTGCTTGCGCAGGTTGGAAACCAGCTCCGTGCTCCCCCCGAAGTGCGCAAGTGGAAGGACCTCCGACAATGGCTATCTCAAAACCCTATCGCGGCGCACATTCAAACACAGCTCGAGAGGGTGCAGAGACAGCAATTCGCCCAGTATATGCAGAGGCAGATGGAAAGACGCAACCAACAGCAGGCACAACAACAGCAATCTCAGCAGCCCCAGCAATCTCAACAGCCTCCCCAGCAGCAACCACAACAGCAACAGCAGCAGCCTCCTCAGCAGCAGCCTCAGCCGCAACAACAGCAGCAACCGCAACAAGCCCAGCCTCAGCCCCAACCCCAGCAAAACGGCATACAGGCAGGCCAGCAGGTGCCTAACCAGGTTCAGGGGATGCCCTCTAACATGCCTCAAGTCCCTCCTCATCTTATCCAGGTGACTCCTCACGACATAATGAATGCCCGCAAGGCGAACCCTAAGATTGCTAGTCTTACGGATGATCAGCTTAGGGCATTCATCATCCAGATTAAGCAACGGCAGATGGCGGCCGCCATGCAGAAGGAGATGAACATGCGACAGGCCCAGGCACAGGCTGCGCAGAACATGCAGGGAGGACAGGCGCAGCCCAACCTACCTGTTTCTGCTCCTCAGCAGCAGCAGCCCCCCATGGTGCAACCCGGTGGTCCTCAGGCCAACCCTACCCCCACGCCTATGCAGGCAGCCCAGCCTGCTCCGCCGAAGCAGCAGAGCGCGACGCCAGACCCGAAGACCGTCGCCAATGCCGCTGGGCCAAGGAACAACAACCGTCCGGCACCAAACAACCAACAGCAACCCCCGAACCCGTCACCGGCGACCGCACAGAAGAGTCTCAAACGCCCTAGTACCGACGACGCCGTTGACGTTCCTCAAACAGCAACCCAACAGCCTCAAAGGCCTCAGGGACAGCCGATGCGTGTTCCAAACCTTACTCCTGAGCAGATCGCGAGTTTGACGCCAGAGCAAAAGGCCAAATACGAGCAAATGAAGAACCGTCAACAGGCTATGGCGGCAGCCAACTCTAGCATTGCGCCTACCGAAACCGACTTTGACAAGCTTCGGCGGATTGGTCAAGAAGAGCAGAGGCTCATGCAAGCTGAGCACATGCCGGATATCCAAATGTCCCCGGAGCAGCGACAGGAGACTGCCCAGAAGCTGATGAGGATTGTGGTTGATATGGGCAAAATTGGCAAGGCTTTGGGCCGTTGGTACGCGGCTACTCACGATGACGCACGCGCGAAGAGCTATTTCCGAGCCGTAAGCACACTTTTGATTTAATTCAAGGAGCGATTTACTGACACATCAAAGCGTCTCCGTATGATTAGGCAGTTCAACGACGGCGAAACCATGATGAACCCCAAACCGGTTTTCAGTGTTAGACCTGCTGAGATTGACGAGGCCCGCCGCCTGCTCGAGAGTATGGCGCGAGACTGCGCAAATCTCGGCAAGAAGGGTGCCGCGCCACCTCAACAAGGCGGCCAAGTTGCACCCAACCAGGCTGGTGCTGCTACACAGGGCGGGCAGCCTGCCCCTTTGAGTGCCGCGAACCTGGAGAAGCAGACACAGGCGCTAAACAAGATGCACAGCCGATCCAACAGCAAGAGCGGCGGCCCGCCTGCTGCACCGACAACTAGTCAACCTCCGTTCCCCTTCGGCGCGACGTCTCCACACGGGCAGCCCGCTTACATTGGTAAGCCTAAGGTAAATAGGGATAACCTTGCGCTCCCGCCGCCGCGGAAGAAGACCAAGACCGAGACGCCTCCGCAGCCCAACCAGGCCACGCCGTCACCTCAAATCAGCAAGTTCGGATCGCCCGAGCTTAAGAGACAGGTTGCGCCGGAACCCAAGGCACCGCCGAAACCGATGTTCTTGTGCCCGGAACCGGATTGTGAAATGGCAACAACTGGTCTCCCATCTGAGCAAGCACGACAGATTCACATCCAGGAGGAACATGTCAAACCTCTGGAGGACCCGATGAAGTTCATGCAGGAGAACCTGGCCCTTTCCCTCGGACTCGACATCAACGGCGAAGTGAAGGTAGAGTCGCAGACCGCACAGCCTATGGGACAGAACCCCTCCAAACAGGGACAGACTCCTGCAAGCAATTCTGGAGCGACACCCATGTCTCGAGACGCATCGATGCAACGTACAGGAAGCAAGATGGGAGGGAAACCTCAAGACAACAAATCTCTTGTGGGCAAGGCGGACGATACTCCGAAACTCGAAAACAAGCAGCCCGAAATGGCCGGCGCACCCCCGGCGCCTATGGATGCCTGGGCCAACACGATCGACCCGCAGAGTCTGTTCAACAATCTGGGCAAGTTTGAGCTTGGCGCCAACGGTGTCATTAGTGATATGGGTGTGTACCGGTCCCTCACTCCGAACGATACGCCCGAGTCGAGCAAAGACAGCGGATCATCGGAACCTAACAGCGACATTTCAGAAGGAGCCCACTTGGACATCGATCTCAACTGGCAGCCCGTCGATGTTGATTTACTACTCGACATGAACAACATCAACATGGACGGCCTCGACAACCTGCCTACTAGCGGAGGCGAGTTCGATGCGTTAATGCTCGAGGAGGCGATGCCGATGGAGCAGTTTCCCAATTGGGACGAAGTTACCAACAACTTCAACAAACCATTTCACTTCGACAACAGCTTATATTCGCTAGACGTATCGTCGTCGTCGTGAGGAAGGGCGGATGAAAGGTACATGGAGAAAACAGCACGATGCACTGGGCATTTGGGAGAGATTGTTGGTTGTTTTTGGATACCCCGGAGGAGATTCCAACGAATAATGACCAGCCGGTTCTTTGGACGGGCGGGGAAGGTTAGCATCAGGAAAAGCAAGGCCTCGGCGTTCCTTTGGCAGGCAGTGAGCTCGATGAGCTCGCAGTCTCTGGTGGTCTCTTTGCGAGCGATGATTTTATATGGATGCACAAAAGCCCTCTAGCGAGTGGCAAGGTGCTGGTTGGCATTGATTTTTGATTATTATTTCTGTCTAGTTTTAGGTTTTTGTTTCCCCCTTTTCTCTTTCGGCACATGGTTTAAGAAAGCTACCAGTTGTACGTATCGACAGAGACAGAAGAAGTCTAGGCGACGAACCCTTAGCGGTCGGTGCGACTCTTGCAAGGGCGAGAGGAATGATACCCAAGTTAAAAAAAAAAAAAAAAAACAGGGGGGGAAGCGTCCCCCTGGCATACCCGTGGTGAAGTGAAGAATCAAGAGTGTGAAAGCGGAGGAGGCTGTGCTCCAAGTCTACCATATCTCATGCTCGTGCCAAAAGACGCGTGTTGGCTGCAATTTGCGGCGACGTTGATGGCGCAAGAAAGAGAAGGGGGAGCTGTCACGTCGATCCCAGCAGCGTGGACCCTGACCCCGTACCTGCATTTCGCTTTCTTCAACGCTAGGCCGCATCCGATAAAAGGTGGTTAGCAAACCCCCTGCAATGAGGACGCGCCTCTGGGGACACGCAAGGGTTATGTAAGCCGCGTTCTGGAACTTGGTACATTCTGAAGCGCTGTATCGCACTGTAGCAGGGGCCGTTCAGTGACCTTGGAACAGGGGTACGCGCCCGCTACCAGCCACCACAACAGGGGGCAAGAGGGTTTTGAACCGGCCCGTGGTGGGAGGTTCGTCGTGGTGGTGGTGGGGAGGAGGTGCGGGGAGGAAGCGTCCTGATGATTCCCACAGCGAGGTTCCAGCACTGGAAACAGCGCTCTTAGCACTCTGAGCCCCTAAATTCATGGGCGTTTGGAAGACGACCTGCTTTCCCGTCAGGCACCCTACATATTTCGACTACGCGTTTCTTTTAATGGCACCCTTCCGAATCCTGTCAACAACACGTACGGTCCCTCGCCTTTTTTTTTTTTTTTTTTTTAATTGTGTGTGTTCCAATCTTCCTTCTTCTTCGTTGGGAATTCAGATTGCTTTTGTCTCCCTCAACTCTCGCATTACGAGACACACACAGGTATCAGAATATCAAACACCAAACACCAATCTCTATTTGTTTGTTTAGAGCCGGTGGATTCCTGCTGTTGTCTTGTTGCTACAGCTGCACGCGGGCAAGTCGTCGATCATTCGTTCGGCCTAGTCCAGCCACGAAACGCACTCTCTCTCTCTCCGAAAGTCGCTCAGGTCGCAATTTGGAGAGAACAAGCTCCTTGGTGCAGCTACACCCACCCACCTTTCTTCAACCCTTCCCTTAATTCATTGCGAGGATCCCTTCTCCCTCCCTCCCCCGTCCTACTTGACTTCCCCCTTACTTGCTGCTTGCTAGAAGAAGGAAAAGAGAGTGAGAAGAACGATTGACAGTTTTGTCAAAACTCTCGACATCATGGACCCCTCATCACCAGCCAAGAGACGCGCCCTCGCGCCCCTGGACGCGAACGTGAACGCGATGTCGCCTGCACCAAAGATGCACAACAAGTTGACAAAGCCTGCTTCGCCCCTCAGGAGCCCGATCAAGTCACCGTTGGGTCTGAAGAGGCCCCTCGGTGCCGTTATCTTTGACGAGAACAGCGTCGTCGCGAAGAAGAAACAGTGCAAGGAGCCCGCCAACCCACCAGTGTCCGCCTCCGAGCCTGTGCAAGCACTTGCTGCTGCTGCAGTTACTGCTGTATCCACGCCGGCTCCTGCGTCTTCACAAACTGAGGAAGAACCCGACGCGAATGAGGTGAGAGGATACTACTAATGACGCATGACTGCATCATCCTTTTTTTATTTTTTATTTTCAACTATGAGCAAAATCACTAATGCGCGTTTGGGCTCGGCAGGCTCAGGACGAGCAACAGGCACAAGAAGAGGAACAGCAGCCGAAGATGCAAGATGAAGAACAGCAACAGCAGACGCCACGTAATCGGTCCGCTTCCCCCGACACATCGTCCGTGTTCGATAACTCTGCCATGGACACGTCCCAGAACACGACCATCATCACCGAGCCTGATACGGAGCAGGTTAGGACACTACCGCCGCCAAGGCCGAGGAGGCTGTTGACGCGTGAAGAAGCGCGACAGGTACGACATGAAGAGGGTGATTGGGATGGAACAATTATGCTGACGACGTCTGGTTTACAGAAGGCACGAATTTTGCGGCTGAAGCTAGGGCTCGCCAACTACAAGCTCCAAACGGGACAGGAGAACGTGCCGCTCGAGATGTTACAGATGAAACCGCTGCCCGACCACGACACTAGGAGGAGTATGTTGCCGATGGTCATGATCCAGCCACCTTCAAGTCGCGACGGACCGCCTTCAAGGGAGCGCGTAGAGACGAGGGAAGCCATAAGGCAGACGGATGGGGAGACCAGCGACCAAGAGGAGGAACAGCAGCCTGCTGAGAAGACCTTGCTGTCAAACGTGTCTGAAACCGACAGGACAGAAGATGGTGACAATACGACAAATGCTGTTTGCGGCGGAGTGGCTAACAGTCTGCTCAGCCTCGCAAGGGGCTCGTCGTCGGTGTCCACATCGTCATGACGTACTGGATTCACGGCCTGGGGATTTGTTGATTTTGTTTTCGCATTACATCGGCGGGCGGGTGCATGACGGGGAATATCCAGCATCACGTCTAGACGCGTCACAGCACACGAGCTGGGAGGTATCACGCGATTTGAGGGGTGATCTCTGCGGGATTGGAATATATCCTGTACGATCCTACCCACATACAATCTTGATACCAACCGGGAGAATGGGGAAGGGAAGGCTTACTGATTAATCACTGTACCAGGCATCTCACGCAACAGATGGCATGGACAGTTGGCATTGTTCATCTTTTTTTTTTTCATCTTTTTCTTTTTTTTCACGCTACTGCATGAATGGCCGGCGTTACATGGAGCATGAGGAGCTTAAGGAGCTTTTATAAAGCCGATGGGCAGGCGGCGGAAATTAACTCTGGTCTTCGGACACTACTTGCCGATTTTTTCCTCGTCTGATCGTGTTTAGTTATGTCGCATTGCATGGCGTGAGGCTTTTGGTACCAGGCACGACATTTTTATGAGATTTTTATGGATGGCGTATGCCCCTCCTACCCCCCTTACTGGCGGGATGGGACTACGGGAAGGAACGGTGCGGGGAAAAAGGTTTGGTCTTGAGCGGGGCTTTCCGGGGTGGCTGCTTTTTTACGGTCACGGCGCCGTGGGGTGGAGGACGGGGCGGATCGGCGGTGGGGATCTCACCCGGAGGACCGCACTTTCGGGATTTTCGGGAAGGGTGTTATGCAAGGGGGTATGTCAGACGCAATCTAAAGACCAACTTATATTATCAGGCACGCTTCTCAAACTTTTTTTTATCTTCAGGAAAGGCTTTCCCGGGGACCATTGTCATGTGTAATGGTACATCAGGTATTCTCTGATGAATCCAGTTCGGTTGACTTGTCAAGTGTTGCCCTCAAATGAAGGCAGATTCGTAGTAACATCAATCCAGCGCGAGTTCAGAGTTTCAGAGAAACCAGAATAGTCTCTTGGTCGGACCGTAATAACCTCTCCCTGCTCCATAAATTAATTCTCTGCCTTTGGCATCCGTCGGACAAGCTGTTAATGTTGAGCCACATGAAATCGAACACTGAAGTATTATTAGGGCTTCCCGTATCTCCAAATTAGTGTGTTTTCAAGTACTAGATAATCTTCTTGATATGGTACCGAGGCAATGTTCTTACCGGCAGGGTATGGGAGAGCCCACAAGCCTTGAGGACCCTGGCCGTAGCAAGCAGCGCCAATGAGCCTGCTAAAGACACAACATGTATGTGATTGTTTTGATGGGCGTTTTGCCAAGTGTGGCACAAGTAGCAGGTACAGGGGGCTAATACTCGACTTTGTTCGTCCGAAAGGTAGACGGTAAGCCGATACTCATCCGCGCGTCATATTCCAATGCCGTTTGTCATATTGAACAAAGCGTAGCCGCGGGGTTTTGTGCTCGGGAAGCGTAAGTCTGGCGTTATCAGAGAGAGCTGGTCAGTTCTCCAAACTAAAGGAGAAGTATCAATTGAGGATCTTGAGCCGGACGGGTTTCTGCTGTGTATAGTGTCATCTTCCTTCCCCCTTATAAGTGCCGCTGGCAGACGCCCCACCTATCGTCATGTTTACCCTGTGACCCATTTTTGTCAGCCAAGGAATGACATTATTACTTGTTTCGGTGGACATCTGCAGTGTTAATATGCCATGCTCTGGAAACAAAATAGATTCATCGCGCCGTTCTTGTAATTACATAATTGTCGTGGCTTTGAGCCTCATTGAGCGCAGCATTGGTGTTATGGCTTCATTTGATCATATACTACTTGACAATTTTAAGTATACCTATGCCATGTTATTTTTTTTTTTTTTTGGACTTGATAACTCCACTAAGCTGCAAACAATAATTCCCCGAACCCCTAGTGACCAGATCCTTGTTTCACATCATCTTCCCGAGATACGTGGTGTGAGGATCAGGCGAGCTGACGGGCTACTAAGGTAAACTCGTCATTTGACGGCCCTTCTAGTTGAATAAGATAGCTGTTTAAATCAATTTCTCCAACTTTTCCAGGCTCTCACCAAGAAATGAACGTCGTTTTGATATTGAGGCACGCGATGGTCAGTAGTAACTTTGGACTGGCAGAGGCGACCATGAATTTGAATGACTTTGTGCCAATTAATCTTCCATAACTCAGCTGAACCCAGGGAAATATGATCACGATTTATGAACATAAACAAGTTCAAAGACGTTGCCACTGCATTGTTGGTCGCCTCTCCCGTACCGACATGTTCGGCTACGACGTTGGACAAACGCGAAGAAACCTAGATATGCTCCCCAAACCGTACAAATTTTACCAATATCAATGATTCTTAGGAGCACAAGTATGTTGACAAGCTTTTCTCTTTCGCGAAACATACCCTTAGATGATAAGGGTACCTTCGAGACTTGCCCGGGTAGGAGCGGGACAGAGGTACCAGGTCGGGTCTCGATGGGATTGTACAGCAGTTAACCAGCAAATAGCATACCGCGATATGATGCACTTAGCCATACTAGACAACAAATACTTATATACATTTGCATAAGCCAGTAACATTGGCGTATACTACAGACTAGTAACTGTTGCCCAAGCCCCGAGGGCGCGGTCTTCCCGGGTGCCCAGCGCCGACCCACCACCCTGTTCAAGTGCTAGAGATGCGATACTAACAGCCATCCAAGGTGACATGTTTGATGCTTACTAGTTCATCGCAGTCCTTATTGTTAAATTTGGGCATATTTTACCGAACACCAGCGACGAAGCTTCCGAAGTGTAAGTGTAAGTGTGGCCATGCTACTCTAGATGGAGCTCGTGGTTTGTTTCTTCTATATGACAGCGCCACTTGAGCGGTTTGTGTGCAGCCTGTTAACCTGTGCCGAAAGAGCATCATATGGTGTGGCCTAGGCCTACTGATACCGGGAGACGAGATACGAAGCTATGTCTGCTGATTATGCCTCCTGAGACCACAATTGGTGCAAAGAGACGCCCTTTCCTTGACCAACATCGATCATATAGTTCGAAAATGCGGTAAGATGACGAAAAGACAAACCACGCGAATCAAGTTTTACCATTACCAAAAGAACTATGCGGTTGAAAAGTATTTTGTATTATGCACTACTGGCCATCTGAGACGAGTAGTAACATTGAAGGTACAAGAATGTACTACTGTGTTGCAGTCCTCAGCTTAGTACTGTGTTGTAAATGTGGACCCTTCCTCCATGTTGCTGCTCTTCTACTTCGTCTTTATAATCCCTATTTACCCCTCCCAAAGAATAAAATAACTGATGTCTTTGAACCAACAACAACGGACGCCGCCTCTCAGAATTGAAAATTCACGTTTTTAGTTGGGTTTCCCACTCCCTGGACATGCTACAGTCAAACTCGCTCAAACCGTTTTTGAATCGTCGTACGGAACCCGCCGGTTCAACTTGCGTCTACAGCTTTCCTGCCCACTTTGCTTGTCAAATATTCCGACTCTCACCGGCCCAAGCTTAAAAGGATTTGAGTATCTCACTGTATAGCCTGAGTGACAAGCCGCGCCGTTAGACAATGTACATGAGCACAGCAGCAAATTTCTGAATTATCTACTGACGGTTGAAGTAGCATTATAACACCTTCCAAACTTGCTGTAATCTTCATTCGCGAAGGCGAGCAACGTTCTCTGGGCCACCACGCTAAGATCAATTACTCGGTCATCGTCTGCCTGAAAATTATAAGAATACCATGAAGCTCTGATACTGCAGCTGACGACCAAGCAAATTCTTTCCCAGATCCCTACGATTGTTGGGCCGTTGCGCATACAGCTCCGAAAAATATCAGCAGATGCCGCGGGCGTATAGAAAGCGGGAAGGCTAGGATCAAAACATGTTATTAAACAAGATTTGTGTACTATAACACATTACCTCCCAAGACCTTAACCTGGCCCACGCCTCTCTTCTAAATCCGTATGAATCGTCCGCTATAATTTTGTTCATTCCTGCGCATCTTGCAAACACCACACGCTGCTCGAACATTCTAGGCGGAAACCGACTATATCAGGGTTACTTACCCATGACAAGAAGGGAAGAGATACGCAAGGAAGGCCGCCGCGGCCCAGACGGTCAACTGTCATGTTGACTCAAGGGTCACAGTACCCGAAAGGCTATGAAGGCTCTAAGTATGTCGTTATTAGGTCACCTCTCATTTCATCGGAACCCAATTTCGATTGTAAGTATACCTTGGGGGGTAAGGGCATAAGGGATTCGCTCGTTCAAACCACTGATTTGCTGGCACTTGAACAGTACATGAAGCCGCGCCGAGCATCGGCCGATTTTCCCATCGGGGACAGTCAGTCCTTGGAGTTTTTTTTTGCAGGGTTGGGAGGTAGGGGGAACGAAGCAAGGGCCCTACATCTCATATTGAGCAAGTCCATAGTTCAGAGCCAAGCTCAACAGTTAACACGACTCAAAGCGTAATCTGGTTGCCCAACCAGCGGCACGTGCAATACGAAGTGGTGGTTTCCCTCGCGAAACGACGGCCATGATTGGCTTCTATTTTTTTGGGGTGGAAATTTTTGTTCTCGAGTGCTTCATCCCAAGCTTTCGCGTCCGTTGGAACGTTTTTTTCATGCTACCAAAGTCGGACGAGACCACAAGACATTGCCCTTACATCAGATGGCTTGACATGGAGACACGCAATACAAAGCTGAAGGCGTCAACGCCTGGCCTTACCGTCACTGCCTCTGTCGTCGCCCATCACAGGGTTTCTCTTGATCTCCGTTGATATCCTTGTTTTACTCTTTTCTCAATCGCACTGGCTATCCCCGGTGGTAACCTCGTTTTCGAGATATATCTGAACACTATCTTGTCATCAGCCGACGCCCGTCTGACATCTTTCTGGTGATACATTCACATCCCCCACTCTAGTATTTGTGGCAACCCCTTCACTTGCCCGTCAGATTGACATGCACAGCCTTGATGTTACAGTAGCCCGCCAACCCAGCCTCCCCTAGCTCTCTCCCGATCCCGCTCTGCTTCACACCCCCAAACGGCACACGAAAGTCCGAGTCGTTGCTGCTGTTCACCCACACCATTCCTGCCTCAATATCACGCGCAACTCGGTGTGCCCTCGCCAGGTCCTTGGTGAATAGCGCGGCGCCGAGACCGTACGTGGTGTCGTTCGCCATCTGTAGCGCCTCCTCCTCCGTCTTGAACTTGACGATAGCCGCGCAGGGCCCAAAGATCTCCTCGCGGTAGACCGTCATTGAGGTCGCCACGTTCGTGAACACGGTCGGCTGGACAAAGAACCCTTTACCTGTCGCCTGCGGTGCAGGTTCCCCGCCCGTGGCGATGGTGGCGCCTTCGTCCTTGGCGGTCTGGATGTATGCCAACACGCGGTCGTACTGCGCTTTTGTGATTTGCGGTCCTTGGTAGGTGATCTTGTCAAATGGGTCGCCGACAACGGAGATATTGCGAACCGTAGAGACGAATTTTTCAATAAAAGAATCGTACACGTCCTCGTGGACCAGAATACGCGAGGTAGCGGTGCAGATCTGACCCTGGTTGCTCATGATGCCCTCGTGAGACCACCTGGCGGCCTGGTCCAGGTCGGCGTCTTCAAAGACGATCAGGGGCGATTTCCCACCGGTCTCGAGGGTAATGTTCTTCAAGCTTCTCGCGGCCAGCTTCATAATCTCCCTTCCCGTGGCGGTACTTCCGGTAAAGGCGACCTTGTCGACATCCGGGTGGCTCGCGAGAGCGACTCCCGCATCTCGGCCATACCCGTTTATGACGTTGATCACACCGGGCGGGAAGCCGGCTTCCTTGACGAGCTTCGCAACGTACAACATGGATAGTGGAGTCTGCTCGGCCAGCTTAAGCACGATCGTGTTTCCACAAGCAAGAGCGGGGCCCAGCTTCCAAGCCGCCATGTCAAGCGGGTAATTCCACGGGATAATTTGACCGCAGACGCCGAGCGGTTCTTTGATGGTGTAGGCCAGCTTTCCAGACCCCACATCCATCGTCTGGCCATGCAACTTGTCAGCCCAGCCGGCGTAGTAGCGTATCACCTCGGAGAAATGAGGAACGTCGACATCGCGACAAACAGAATACGGCTTTCCGTTGTCGAGCGTCTCGATAGTGGCCAGCGTCTGCAGGTTGGCGTCGACGAGGTCAGCAAGCTTCATCATCAGGTACCCACGGTCAGTGCCGGAGATGCGCTTCCACGACGAGTGCGCAAAGGCAGCGCGGGCGGCGGCAACGGCCTTGTCAACATCCTCGGAAGCAGCGGCATACACGGAGCAGATGTCTTCTTCATTACTATCCCGCATCAGCACGGATTCACGCAGTTGGTCGGTCAGATAACGTACAAGGGGTTAACGGTAGTCAGGGTCCGGCCGTCGGAGCTCTCAACGAACTCGTTGTTGATGAAGAGACCACAGGGCTGAGACCAGGACAGTCCGTTTGGAGCGGCAAGCTGCGTCGTCGTCGTCCTTTGACGCGACGTGGATGAGAATGAGACGCATTGATGAGCACTCAGCAGAGGTGCGGTGACAGGCAGCCGAAGGCGACGACACGGTGCGTGGGGTATCCCGGGAGAGGTAGACGAGGCCAGACGGCGGGCCAAGTCGGAAACCACGGAGCTTGTGGAAGGGGACATGGTTCGCGAGAACGAGAGGGGACGATGCATGTTATTCGGTGAGGTCATCCCGCGGCTGCCGAAGTAGTCCCGCTGGGCAAGGTAGCATGATGCGGGGAAACTTCACAGGACCACAGTTCCGGAATCCGATCGTACCTGATGGGTGCCCCTCTTTTCTTTTTTTCCTCCTTTTTTTTTTTCTTTTTTTCTTTTCTTACACCAAACCCCACCGCCGCGGCTCCGGGATTAGGCTGGGGGCTGTTATTATTGTTGTTGTTGTTGTCGCTGTGTAAGAGGACAACGGGCGCCTATCTGTTGACCGCAGTGCCGAAATGCTGCAGCTTTGTGTTATCTATCGGCGATGAGAAGGCAAGGTAAGCCAAGGCAGTCCCTAGTTTTTCAGGGGGTGTTTGAGAGGGGTGTGTGTGTGTGTAATCTCTGAGACTTGGATCGCTAAAAAAGCAAGAACAATAAAAAGGAAAAGGAAAAAAAAGGGCCTCCCAAATGGCACAGAAGAACAGGGACAAGGTGAGGAACGTGCTTCAAGCTGAGCGATGTACCTCTACTTGAGGACCCCTCGACGGCTGTAGAATGCAGGTCAGACCGTGAACACGACCGGGCCCGCGGTTCTTTTCCAATCGTCCGAGCAGAAGCACAACAGAAGGCAAGTTAGGAAGCTCATCAGCGCAAATTGATCCCCACGTGTTTCTTTCGGTAGTGTTGCATAAAATGGGCTAGTATGGGCCGAAGACCACAACGACAGCTACACAAGGTCGAAATAAATGGCGCAAAGCTGCCTGTCTGCAAGGACGGCCCGAAGAGGATTGCAGCCATGGAAAAGCAGCAAAGTGCCGGTGCCAAGCCCTGAGGCTGAAAAGGCTTCTCGGCCACTACCGCATCCTACAGTTCTATTTGTCGTTATCGGTTTGAGTCCAAATCAGCTAATCATATTCCAAAGACGTCGGAACCACTCGAATGGAAATGCCATGCTAGTTAATGACTCTGCTTCTTCTTGTTGTTTTTCTTGTTTCTTGTTGGTGTGACAGAGCCAAGAAAGTAAACGAGGATGCTGCATCGGCGTTGAACAGATCTAAAAATGGTACTTCATCACCGAGCGAAAAGAGGGAGAAAAAAAAAAAAAAAAAAAAAAAAAAAAACTCAATCGAGATGCAAATCAAAAGCGAGTGCCTTTCGTCCTCCCCAAAGACCTCCTGGCCATAAATAACTAATGGGGGCGTATGCAGGAGGCACTGGTGCAGAAAGGTAACATTGACAAATTGGCAATGGGCAGAGAAAGCTTCCAGAAGTGCCAATGCGTTTGGTAATGGTCAAAGATTGGAGAAAAATAACATCAAAAACAACAAAAGAATAAGGGGAAATGTCATCGTCGCCGGGGACGCAAGGGAAAAGGAGGAGGGGGGGAAAGATGTGCTCGGAGCCCCAATCGTCAAAACGCTCACTCATCATCCTTGTCGGGAAGCTCTCCCCGTCCCCCCAAAAAGCCCCCTCCGTACTTTAGGTTGTCGCTCGGAGTCTTGCTCCGCAGGGGTTAACCGCGGTGCGCCTTTCCATACCAAAAATCGATAATCTGTCACAGGAGACACCCCCCCTACCCATTCAGTCAAACACATTCATGTCCGCTACTCAATACGGACAGAAATGGTTGTGCGTTTGCATATGCCTTCAACCAGCACCAGTAGTCAAACTTCTTAGCCTGCGTCCCCGCGGCCCGTCCGGTGCAGCAGTGCCAATTATGTATGTAGTAGCTGCTAGCAGCAGCAGTTGACAACAGTAACGGCACAAAGGTGGATGCACCCGGTGGGGCGTACCCGGTGCATGGGTCATGCAAGTGTAGCTCCAACGGAGTGTCTGGAAGCTGGAAAGTGGGGGGGTTAAGATGCCCGTTTCCCGTCTCCCCGATTCCGTCTCCCGGGTCCCCGTCCTTGTCAGTCAATGTCCTCCCTCCCCAGAGGGGGGGGAGATGCTAGGAGGAGGAGGAGGAGTAGGAGGGGGGGGGGGCCCTTATTCCCCGTGTGTGTCTCTCTCTGACGTTGGAGACCCTGAACCGTGGTGCACCAGCACCCAACCAACCTGACAGGCAACAAAGCACCTCCTCGAATGGTAAACAGCTGATGACGGTTTTTTTCCCCTTTCCTAATTGGGGATCAAGCCGTCATATTTACCTATCGGGCGTACATCAAGAAAAGAAGCAGTAGAGAAGCCCGACAGAAACAGCCGAGTCAAGCCGCTCAGACCACGGGACGGACGGTTCAATACACATTGAGAAGTCGCCAGCCCAGGCTTGGCTAAAATCAGACATTACCTGTTTTCATACATTCACCCCCTGCCGTCTCCCACCCATTTCTTTGGACTGCAATCCCAACCGCCACCACCACCACTCTACACACACATACACGCGCTTCTTCTCCCACCTACGCGGGCACAACTCGTGTGCTACATGGAGAGACAGCTTTCAATCCTCAGGGGGAGAAATTCTCGCAGCAATAGTTCCCGACCTAGCGTGAGAAACCCCCCGACGGGGCAATGCGTTGGCTTAGACTGTATCGTTTCCCCTTTCACGTCCTTGGTAACCTCTCTCGCAAAACGTGAGAGGGGGGTGGTTGGGTTTCGAGGTGGTGTAATGACGTGGCTGACGGTTGTGACGCCTGCGACGCTTGTCAAATTCGAGAGACAATGCCGGCATGATGCCCCAAATCTCACACCCGCCCTGTCAGTTAATAGGCTGTCGTTGAGGAGAGCGTCTAATTGCCTTGGTTTACTTATTTCCTTTCCAGATTCACTTCCACCGTTTATGGGAGGCGTGGACCGGCCGGTCGATCATGGCCAGCACCGATAATGGAGGGATGACTTGCATTGTGGCATAAGCTGACTTGCCCAGCAGCTTTGCTTGGCTTAACACGACCACCTCTCCACGAGTAACCCCGTACGTACGGCCTTGTCTTCTCTCCCATTTCCACACTTGGCCTAGAAGCCACCCTAGTTTGGGTAGGGGTGGTCAAGCAACACCCCTCTGGAAAGCCCCCACGCCGGGCGCACTGCCGCCGTCTTCTCGTCATCCCCCCCCCCCCCCCTACACTTTTTTCCAAGGTGACCTCACCAGAGTTGGGCCATCAGAAACCGGTCCCTTGTCAATTCAATCATGCAATTTTGTTACTGTTGCCATTGCTGTTGTTGTTGTTGTTGTTGTTTTCTAACACTCGACTGTCTAGTACTGTTTTAACCTAGGCACGATATACACACCCAGAGAGCTTTTGGTTGGAACATGTAACAAACATACCACGTACAAAGTTCCACCACAATCAAATAGGTATCCATCGACAACGACAATGACCGCATCTAAAAGGTAGCATACATAAACAGACCTCCAGAAAGAGAGATAGCGCGAGTGAGAGAAAGAGAGAGAAAAAGAGACAAAAAGACACGTTGCCAACACTGCAAATATGGCTTACCCCGAAAACAACAAGCCAAAACACCAGAAACATGTAATGTTGGGGAGTCAAGTCCGTTTCTTCGACTCCGCCCTTAAAGGCGTGCTACAACTCCGATTCAATGCTGTCCGGAAACAAATCAATTCTGTTGGATCAAGTCCCTTTTTTTTCTTTTGGTTTTTCTCTGTCCTTATGAACCCTCCTCTTCCCTCTCTGCATGGTGGCCAACTCCAATAACAACCCACAAAACATCCGCGTCGGTTGCCCAACTATGCGTGTCTTTGGAAAACCCGTGAATCCAAAAAGTTCATTTTGAGGCCGCCCTCCTTATTATAAATCTGTAGCCATACGATACGAACGAGTCGAAGCAGTGAAGCGAAGCGAAGTGGGTATAAAGTAACGAATGTCGAAATGTCCAAAAAAAAAAAAAAAAAAAAAGTAAAAAAACAAAACCTCAAATTTTAACAGGTGCCTTGTTCTGTCGTGTTGTTTCTTACCGCCCTCCCTGATCATGGCCGTGAGGTCCATGGTGAGGCGGTGGGCCCGGGGGCCTGCTTGCGAAGCCAGTCTCATGGGGAATACGGGTGTAGCTGGGATACATGGGGCCGCCGCCGCCGGCAGTTGTAACCATCCCCGAGTCTGGGCCGGGAGCTCCAAAGGGACCCTCCATAGCTCGGAGGGGAGGCAACCTTTCGCCGCCAGGTGCCGCTGAGGGTGGGCGTTGCTGCATCATGCCATATGCAGCAGCTTGCATGGGCGGCAAATTCCCTGCTTGAGGGACCGGCGTCCCGTACGAAGGGATCGAAAACTCTGGAGTCGGCGCCGAATCGGTTCGTCGCCGTCGTGTCGGCCGTTCCACGGATGACTCGCTCGAAGCGTACCCCTGCTGTTGTTGATGAGGCAGCATGGGCGCCTGCGTCAGAGGACTGGTCTCTGCCATCGACCCTCCGCTTCTGGATGACGTTGGGCTCGGGGGTCCGTTTGCCATTTCACTAAGCGGTGTACGAAGGACCACCTCGCGCAACCGGTTCCGCTCATATCTGTAAAAGTCCCTCTCTTGAGCCAACTCCCTCAACCGAGATTCCAAATCCCTCGTCCTCGTTTCTAACTTGTGCATGTTGGCCTGCTGCTCTTGGTCCCTCTCCTTTTTCCTCTGCCTGAATCGAGCTGACGCACCGGCGTTTCTTTGCCTTTTCTCGTCCGCTTGCTTCGATGCCTGGTGAACGTCGACGGGTACTAGTATACCGTCGTCATCTCCTCCGATTCTAACCATCATGCCACCTTCCATAGCGGCTTTCGCGGATTCGGACCGCAAGCTTTGGTAAAGCGCCGTTCCACTACCTGGTGCAGGCCACGCAGGTCTGTCCACCGGAGTCTGTGGAGGATAATTGGGACCAGGAGATATCATGCTTGGTTGGCTCGGGTATTCTAGTCCTCGGCTGTGAGGGTTTCTAGGCATCGATGGAAGTTGAGGGCGGTCAGCGTGTGGTGCTTGTCCGATCATTGGTTGTGACATGGACCGCGGCGGGGTTACCATTGGCCCCATTGTCGATGAGGGAGGACCAAGTGACGGAGGGCCAGAGAACGGAAGACCGGGTGCCGAGCGCATCGGCTCGGTAGGACCCTCCTCTCCCGGGTAAGGTCGTTTTGTTCGCGGCGCTGCAGGAGGTAGAAATGGAGTTTGTTGCGGCTCGGTACCTCTCACACTCGCCTGACTTACGCTGGCTGCTCGTGCTTCTCTGGGACTAAGAACCTGTCTGGCCATTGTCGGAAAGGGGAATCCTCCTCCTTTCGGCGAGCTCTCCGATGGGGTATGGCCCAAAGGTGTTGTCACTGGATGGCCGGCCGGCGTAGCCGGCTGGGAACCTAGTGGGCCAGAAAACGCGTACGGACGATCGCCAGGAGTGCCATACTGTCTGGAGGGCACACCATAGGGCGAACTCTGGGGATCGTTAGGGCGTTGGTTCTGCAATTCGCCTTGATGCCCTTCCGTCTGTGCCTCTGAAGGGTTGATCAAGCCTCGAATCCCCAAAGACCGTTGAGGATACGGCTCTCTAGCGGGGCCATCCTGAGGCTGGCCCGGGATATCTCGTGTGTGGAGACCGTGGGAGAATGGAGCGCGAGGAGGTGACTGTGACGGAGGTCGAGATGTAGGTGCAGGGCCTCTCTGTGACATCGAGACCTGGTCCCCTACACACTCCTGGCCTTGGGGGCCCGGACATTGACCGCCCCGACCAATGCTCGAAGCTGAGAATTCCTGCTTCACCACGGGAGTTGCCTGCTCGAGTGACTGTCCGTTTTCCAGAGAAGATTGTCGAGATGCAGTTGACAGATTCGCCTGTGCGTAATCGCTCTCTTTAGCCTCACGGCTACGTTGAGGATGTTGTCCAAAAGACCGAATAGCTGCTGAGACCGCCAGGTTGTCGTCTGTGGGTGGGACTAACTGGGTCGAAGCCAACAGTCCCAAAAATGCTAGAAGTCGATCGTTGGATAGAATAGTAGGATCAGGAGGCTCCGTCAACGGCTGGACGTAGCCGTTCGATGATGGAAAAGACTCTTGACCTTAACACGCAGAGAACAGGTGGGTTGCAGGCGTCTTCGCTTGTGGGAGGGTGTGTGGTGGTTAGGCGTTGGCGAAACTGGCGTCTGGAGTTGATGCAGTTAAGCCGTCTCGATTGACTTTTCTGTGAGGGGTGATGGACGACAAGTTCGCGTGATAGAAATGCACTTCTTCCAAGGTGTGGTGATGATGAATAGCTAGAGATGAAAGACTAGGTGGCCACGAGGATAAATGTTGGAGGCTGGCAGTGCTGATGGGTCAGGATTAGACGCGGTGACAGGTGGGATGAGATGCAACGGAACGGACCACTCATAACTCTGGAAAATAAATCCGGGATCATGAATGGCCAAAGAAGATCTTACGCACTGAAAAGTAGCTGGTTATAACAAACGTGGGCCAGCTCGGGAGATGCTGTCGCTTCGCAGACTGTCCGCGAGGAATTGTTCTCGTCTGCTCAGAACTAAGGTACTGATGCTGCGTCTGAGCTTCGTTATTCGGTATGTAAAGATTCTGAAGAGCCGGGACGTTCAAAAGCCGGGATCAGTTTGGGCTCGTGTATTGAGGTAGCGTGGTTAAATGATGTCTTTGCCCGGAGAAGGTTGGTTCGACACCTTAGCAGAAGGGTTTGGCTGGCGGAGGTATCGATTAGAATAAGAAAGTAAGATTGAAGAGAATCGTCAGGAAGCTCGCAGTTCTATTGCTCCAATGTAACCGTTCATTACACAACAAAGACTACCAGACAAGGTAGGGAGGAGCCAGGTCTATTTGATTTTTTTCTGTCCAGCCCTAGCGTAGTTATCCCATGGCGGCATAGCGTTCTTATCCAGCCCTGGCAACTTGCCGGGGAGCTTAAGGTGCATGGGGGTGTGGTGGTGGAGGAAGATGAACGGCGACTGGGATACATGTTGAAGCTGCTGTTGGGTTGCGGTGGAAGTGTGCGGCCGGGGTGCATGGAGACAAGGGAACACCGGGGGGTCGCTCCATCTCGGCGCCATAAGGTGCTCAGACATGACAGGGCTTAGTCGACCGGTGGCTCTCGTTCGGGATCAGAGGGATGTAGCTGTACAAGTCCCCGCTGACACCGCGGTACCCAGTGTCTCGCTGTCCTGCCTGTGTGCCTTGGCTTTGACTGGGACCTTGACCTTTGGAAGTTTGCCTTTTTTTTTTTTTTTTTCCCCTTCTCTGCTCCTTACCCTTCTCGGTTTTTTGCTTCTTTGTGACGTGCCATGCAGAGACGCTATTTTCCAGGAGGGCTAGCCATGCTTGCCGCACAGAGGTAAAAAGGTTCTGACTGACGAGCCAGACCAGAATGGCAGAGAAAGACCGGGATATGCCTGGATAAAATTTCCTTGGTAGAACCCAGCAATGACGGACAGAAGCGACGGATGCTTCGCAGCTACCTCCGGACAGTCCGTTTAAAGAGTGATAACCGAGACGTGTAGACGACCATGGTAGCAAGGCTGCTCGGCCGAGACTCACCCGGCGGTTGTCATTCCCACTGGCACAGCGAGATGACGATGCGCTCCGCAACCGTTATTACGTTAGTGTAGCTCCGTCGCCAGCAAGGACGGGGGCACGACTGGCGCTCCACGACCTCCATTGCGTGCCTATTTCGCACATATGGACTCTTCTGGGTGTGTAGACTGTGGACAACGGTCAGCAACAGTCAGATATGTCTAAATAGAGAAGAGGGACTGCTGTGCCCCTCCCTCCCCCAGAAACGGCCCCCTCTGCATACTGCAGTTCACGGGGAGGTTGTCCAACACCGCCCTTCTGACCGACTTTGTGAAAATCAAACAGTGCGGCATGTTGGGCTTTTCCCCTTCGACTTGGTCAGTGGAGCGTAAGAGGACAAACACAAATCGGCCGGGATTTGGCCCCCCCTGTGCGTGTCTCCGGGGGAAGCAATAGAAGTTGATTGGGGTTGAAGACGATGTCCTTTGGACCAGGCTCATGGAAGCTACCTGGACACTAGGCAACTAACTGGCTAGCGTGGTTCGTTGGACAAGGTGAGGTGTGCGAGGGACCATCGACGGGCCAGGTACACGCTGCTGGCTGGCTTGTCGTGCTGGGTAGTAGTGCGGTGATAGCGTTGAATGTCCAGGCTGACGGGTCCAAGCAAAAGACATTTCATCACAAAAAAGTCGGCCTTTCCTCTGCGGGTAGAATCCAATGCCTTGTCGAGAGAATGGGCAGATCGCCATTCATGCACACATCCAGGTGTCTCGGCAGCAATCCGCCAGCCAGCGTGTGGCACCCATCGCAAGCATTGTTTGCAGGGGTCCAGCCGGTTCGACAGTGTTAAACCACTGGAACAAATGCCCGGCTAAGAGTCCCAGTGTGAGGCAGAGGGCTTGGCCTTTGCAATGTCGATGGGTGAGTTCTCGGGCGGACATGGGATCGGAGAGCCGGAGCTTGGAAAGAACCACATATTGACCATTATGTGCAGTGGGCTGCAGCCACATAGATTCCATCTGAATAACGGTGACGTTTGGGATACCCGTCTGGATCTGTGGGTGGAATGTTTTCGCCCTGGTTCGCATGGCTGGCTTGGAGAGGGAAAAGGCGGAAACTTTGGGGGGAAAACCAGATCATACTTGTCTCGTTGGATGAGCCAACGGGCGTTCATTGCATCATCGGAAGGTCCATTTGATGAGATGACGAGAACCAAGAGCAGGGGCATTGTGATCATTGCATCTAGCCCCCAATAGAGAAGATGGGAGGGCCTGATGGAGGGTATAAGGCCTGGGGAACTCAGAAATTGGTCTAGATAGCATCCACAAAAGGTCAATGGCCAAATAAGGAAGAGCAATTCAACCGTAGTGTGCATGCGCATGGCGAGTTTGTCAGCGGCGTGATGGCCGAGGTGGGCTCGGGAGGAAATGCGCAACATGTGTCCGCGCTAGGTAGAGGCTTCAAGACGGAATCAATTTGATATCAGTAACAGCAGAGAAGATGAAGTTCTTCATTTATGCCGTGCTGGGTTGGTTGTTGGACACTGACGATAGGACGGTACTGGTTGGTCATGATGGTGATGGACAGGTGAGAAGCAATTCGAAATGGCATGGTGGTGTGCCTGCCATGGGATGGCCTGCTAATTAGCCCAGATGAGGAAAACGAATGGAGCCAGAACTCAGCAAGAAGAAACCATGGTGGAGCTGGACGGGGAGATAGGTAGCGAGGGGTACGAGTGCCGGTGGAGTCAGTAGGTACTTTTCTGTGGTATTATTGTGACTGGATACATGGCTGTTCACGCCCGTCAGGTAGCGTGGCCTAGCGCCACGGTCGGCATGTTTCTGTGAGCAACAGGGGAGGCAGGTACGGTGCCAGGGACTTGGTGCTTCCTTCCGCTAGGTCCAGATTGGCTCTGTTTTCGCTCTCCGCTCTCTGCTCTTCTGAAGCCAAGTACTTCCCTCTTCACCTTGGTACTCACCTAGGCTGACCTTGCCATCACGAGCTAAACCGTTTATAAAGAATAAAAAAAATTAAAAAAAACCCTCTGCTATGTATGTCATGACTTGGGTCAAGAAGTAGCCTGGCTGTGATTGTCCAACGAGGCGTCACCAACACCACCCCCAGTCTTGCAACCTTGTAACATAGGCTCAACAACAACAGCAGTAGCCCCCGAATGGTTTCTTATTACAGCTGACGAAACACTGCACTATGCAGGAGCCCTCTCACTGGTCACGGATCGTGGGTTTGGTTCGAAGAAAAGGAATCGACGGAAGGACGGAGCCTCAGGCGGAACTCTGAATGGACAGATCAACGATCCATGGACTGGGATCTGCGGATTTCCAGTCTGCATTGCGGCTTCAGACAACCCGCTCGTCTTCGATTGGGTATTCTTCGTCCTGGACCCCGACCTTCCGAGGGCTTGGGCAGGCACACGCGTGACGTTCTTCCCTCCACATTTTGGCTTGTCCCCAGATGTGGATGATCCAGGTAATTGATAATAATAATAAAAATAAGAATAAAAAATGGCAAGAAAAAAAATTACCCTGTTTTATCTCAGCTTCCCTTGCCATAAAGTTCCTCCCGGAGGGGAGTAAGTACCGTAAATCAAAGAAGTCTATTTGATGACGGAATTAAGAAGGGGTTGCCTAGGACAAGGTGCAACTGCCTTAATGACGGAACTGGGGGGCAAGGAAGGAGGGACTAGCATTTCAACATTCAGTAGATGAAGGCTGATGGCAAGTGCCGTTCATCGTCAATGCCAAATTGACTTTTATGAACCCCCCTGTTTACCTCTTCGTTTTATCTTTCTCCGCCATTAGGTCTCGTCTGTCTCTTCTCAGGCGCAATTTCTCAGGTGTTATCCCCCTCTCTTTCCTGTATCCTCTTCGTCCCAGAACATACTCTGAGCAAAATTTGATCAAACTAACACATTCTATCTTGTGACTAAATCTGCTGTGTCTTTCTTACTCCCCAACCTACCTTGAATGGGAATTCCATGCACACTTTTCGGGCCAAAGTCAGCTGAATTCATACTCCTCCATCTACCTAAAGCGGTCACAGAGAGTGGGAGAAAATGAGAAAGAGAGAGGAAGATGGACAGGGAGAGAGAAGAGAGAGGGATAGAGAGGAAGCGAGGTAAGGCACTAACCGCCCCCAATCATGGACAGGCGGTCCGGTCCAGCTCAGTTCAGCCAGCATTGCCCAGCCCAGAACTGCACTTTGCTGCGATGCGATGCATAGCACAGCACAGCACAGCACAGGCACAAGCACTAGGTGCAAACGGCATCATCCAAGCTTGACGATTCGATTTGGATATTGGGCACCCATGGCACATCCACATTCCTTTTGCTTCCCTGTCCCTGACACATCACAAAGCACCAGAGAGACGACCTCCACTTCAACCTCACCATTCTGAAGCAGGGTGGCAGGCAGGGAAACCGAGAAACGGCCTCTCCACCGCTGCAATGAAGCTCCCCCACCCGATCCCTGCCGCCCTAACCATCCCAGCTACGCCTTGAACACGTTTTGGCTCCTCATTTTTCCATCGCGGAACACGGAAACTTCCCCTGGTGTGTTCTAACGTCACCGTCACCGTCTTTTCGAGAACAGGACTAGGAGACGTGAAAGTCGATCTCGTCTTATCCAATCGCCAGTCGATCCTACCAACCTCGCTAGCCAGCCAGCAATACCTTCCCTTAGTCCCCTTGCTTGGTCCCTTCTTCTTTACACAGGAGGCCATTCCGCGACGATCATGATCCGAAAGGCCAGACTGCTTCACCCCCATCGAAAATCCGACTCGTCACTTTTCTCTACGCACTAAAAACCTACCACCTTGTGCTTGAAAGAGATGCCATACGGAGTACAGAATACGTAGAGCACAGACTGAGCGGTGCAATAACGTAGCCAGGCCGGCCCCATGCTGCAGCAAGCACCACCACCACCACCACCACCACTAGCAGTAGTAACACTTTCGTGACAGCACACCGGTGCAGCTGGCGCCTAAGTTACGCAAACATGCCTTACCTCGAGTTTGTTCTAGCTGCTTAAATTTGGGACCCCTCTTCCAACCCAACATTCCCGGTTTTGGTTATTCCCGCCAACTGTCACCGGAGGCGATCTTGAGAATCATCTACCACGTACGAACCTGTCTGGTGTTACGGAGGCTTAACTGGGGTCGTGCAGATAGGTGATATATTTTCTCTGCAATGCCAGCAACTGATCAAGCCTGCCCCCGAGCAAGGCCCTCTTGCAAATAGATGAATAATAGCCTTACACCAATGACACCAGGATAGGGTACGGCATCTTCATAAGGCGGTCAGTTGACGTGCAAAGTTTAACCCCCAAACTGCGCCAGACTAGCAGACCGACTGGCTGTTCAGATCCACACCAACACGCATGCTGCATCCGCTTCATGGACACCAACACTATCGCGCGCATCGTATCGAGGCGGGCGGGTGGGTGGAATAACTAGGCTGGTCATGGATGCTCACCACCTCCTTCTGATCCCACCCGCTGCATCTCAAGATCCTCGTCCAGGCCATGCCATGCCATGCAAGCCCTGCTTCCCGGCCACCTGGAACACCATTCGCGCGCAGCCATGGCCGCCGCTTCTAGATCTAAGCCGGACAAGATACCTCCTTGGGGTTGAACAGCGAGCACGCTCCATCAGCGGGCCACAGAGAAGGATGGACACATCTTGCGTGCATCTCAGTCCACCATAAGCCAAGGGGGGGGGAGAGCATGGACCGTGGATGAAGAAAGTACCGTCCGAGACGCAGCAGAGTGCGGCATGTACCTCCCGCCATGCCATGAGGGCGGTCCCGTCACTAGCAAATCTCCATGGAGGGGCGGAAAGGAGCGCCAAAATTTAGCAGCTCTGGCACCTCAAGCAAACATGCAAGCAACCCAGCTCAAATTGAGATTGATACGTTCATTGCCTGGGAAGGAATCAAACCCCCAACAATTTTCGGTTGTACCGCCTCGCCGATACAACCAAGGGTCGTCTTCTTTTTCTGTTTGCTCATCCTCGACCCGACCTACACTCCTTCTTTCCTACCACGACTTTCCCCACACCACTATCGATTTCGATGTAATATTCCCTGCAAGTAACCCTACGACTGAAATAACCACCCATGTTCTCAGAGAACACCCTAGTAAGCCGACACCGACTATGACTGACCACTGGCTCCAGCTGCCCGTCACACGGTCACTCGTCATGGCATGGGGACAAACACTTGGAAAGACCCAAGACCCATTCAAGCTCCCCCCTCTATTTGCACCATCTCCACACTCGATGGCCTCCCACCTACGCTTTTTCACGCTCTCTCATTTCTTCTTCGTATTACCATCTAATTTTCGCCCCAGGGACTTCATTCTTCACATTGCTCTTTCTTTCTTAATAGTCGTGACCCACTGGCAGCCTCATTGACCCATCTGTCCCGTAGCGGCCGCTGTGTGCCTCCGATAACCACTACCAGCAGGCAGCCAAAGCTGAGTAAAGTGTGCTCTGTTGGTTGTCGTTCGTTCAGTGTTGGTTGGAACGCTGGTTATTATATCAAGTCTGTGTCTACTCCGTACTGATGCTACAGATGATATCTGACCCCTGCCCTGGTCACCGACGCACAGCACCACCCGCGGGACGTGTCGTTGTACATGCACCATGCCACCTGCATGAGCTGTATGCAAGGCCCCAGAAGGAAGGACGTGCCATCTGCGGCCCAAAATGCGGCCCCCCGACACCTCTGTCGGTTGCGTTTTCAAGGACAGGCCAAGTACAAGATACCTGGGTGCTGTTCCGGAACAGACGACACTGCACTAGTCCAGCGTAATCGACGAGGCCACAAGCCAGGGCACTAACGAGAAGTCGGTCATTGGTGCTCCGTACCCAAGGACCAGGTGGCCGCCCGCCGCCATCAAACTCACTCCTCGCCTCACCAAATGAATCGTTCCAAGAGAGTGGATAAGCGCCATAATTCCACGTTAGCTTGTCCGGGACTTTTTGTGCTTCCGCGAGCAACCCTCCAAGCTAGTTTTTTTTTTTTTTTTTTTTTTTTTTTTTTTTTTTTTTTTTTTTTTGGTCCTCCTTACCAAACCATCCCTGCCTGCCCTGTCCTGTATGGCTCTGGCTCCCAAAGTTGGGCACGCACCGCCTTGCAACTTGTTGGAAAGTATCCGTACATCGGTTTGGTTGTCAGACAGAAACTCTATTCTCCTGGTGCTTTGCTCGCATTGGAGGGATCAACTGGTATGCATTTGATGGGCGGGGGCTAGAGCGACGATACACCAGCTCGAGGTCTTACCGCCATCTAAACGCGCTCCACTCTATCGCGAGCTCCCCGAACAGGTCGTTTGTTTCCGTTTCCAAATGCGAATATGTACCGGCCACCCCGGGGTTCCGACGTGTGACACGCTTGTGCTGGAGAACTAGTGGCATCTGCTGTAACAACCGAGACGACAGAGAGGCGGTGCAGAGCAGAAGGCCTTTCATTGAGCCTTCAGAGACTAGCAGAGGGGGAAGGGGGATAGGTACCCTGTTAGACCGCAAGATTACCCTCACACCCATCACGAGGCTCAAATTTGACCAAGTTCCGAAATGTTACATTTTGACGCCACGGATTCGACATGGGTGCTACTGAACAGCCATGGAGCTCAAGCAAACAACTTCAGGTCTGAAGTTGCCCGCCTCCTGTATTCGAGATGAACGGGCGTCCTCATCTCATCAGACCTTGTCGCAGCGCTCACAGGGACCAGATTGAATGTAACGTCAATTCAGAAGCAAGGACATCCATCGTTTCTGGGATAGTCCATGAGTATTGACAAGCTTTCATTTGTGCTAGTCGCTGCCGAAGCCGAGGCAACCTAATAAGTCACTTGTGGCCAGGCGGGCAGACTACTATGTACACGAAAGAGGGGAAAAGCCTACCACCATACCCCCTCATTCATGATGCATCTCCGGCATGCCGTGATTGTCACGGGAATAAGCTTCGTCATTCGGAAGCCACGGTGCGGGAGGGTGTGATGCAGGAGCCGGCGCCGACTCACAGCCGTTGATGCTGACGTTTACCGTCAAGCGGCCGGTTGGAAAGTCTTATCAACATGTCTATTGGACCTCCTGCTCCGCAGTCTTTGTCGCGCTGCAGCCCACCCAGTTCGGGCAGCAGAATTCACTTCACCCAGCACTTCCGGAACTGAGCAACGGCGAAGGCCAGATATGGTCATTTCAATTCTGCGCAGTGAAATGACATCGCGAAATGGCGAGATGAACCCCACCGAAGGGCCGAGTCCTCCTTTTTTTGATGAGACAACTGAGACATCTGCAACAGGAAAAGTGAGCACCGTTATAACGATCAACCGCAAATGCGGCGAACGTGACCGCCGTGGGGCCCGAAAAGTCGGCCAAAGCGTCGATGGGCAGACGGGACATAATCACTGCAGTGCTCGGTAGCCGCCCTTTAGAGGAAGGGTGTTTGAACGGCATCCTGAACATGACCGAGAGGAGCAAAAACATCTACCTTGGCGTTCGATTTACGACAAAAGCCACTGCAAACTTTGATGTCAGCGTCTTCTCAGGCCAGCCCCTTGTTCATAGAGTGAGAAGTGGTCAGCATCAACAGGCCACATCAGCCCAAGCAAGACATGGCATTCAGAGCCTGTTCCCTGCCCGTGTTTGCTGTCCGGCCCGTCCCTAGCAATTTGGTTTGTCAACTAGTCAGCACATATGCTCATCAGTCACCGTCACCCGGGCCAGCTGGCTTTCACTAGTGCCGACCGTTCTAGGCTGGCTGATGAGAAGAAGAAAAACTGGAGTGCAAACTATGAGCGATGTGCATCAGCGATCGTTATACCTCGGGGTGGCGCTCATAGGTTGCGCCAATCTCGCGAAGTGGTTAAATGAGAGAAACTAGGAACCGCCCAAACAGCAACAATGCTACCTCAACAGGAAGGAAATGGCACTGGCACGGCAAAATGAGGCGGCAGAGTGACGACCAGACATGAGATGTGAGAATGGCATGCATTTGCAGCTGCAACTAACAACCAATGTTCACACGGGCCGCGGTTCATGCGCCCAGCCCCTCCCCCCTGGGCCGGCCTTGGAAACGGGAATACTTGATAGGAACGGTAGGTAGCCGATGATCAGCGGGTTGCCAGCGGGCGACCCGTGCAGCTTCTATGCAGCTCGCTGTCTTCGGAGCGGGAAGAGGAAAGCCAGCCAGCGTCGCTGTATAGCTGGCTAATGTACGTCGACGGTGCAACGTCACTGGCAAAGCTTACGACAGGATGCCAGCGCGAGGGAGCGCCACCGAACGATGCGACGTAAAGGGAAGGTGTTGAAAGAGAAATAGAACGCTTTCGCGAAGTTCGTTCGTCACTCAACGCACCATCCGTTCGTGCCCCATCAGGACTGGACAGCCCAGCCCGCTTGGCCTGCATCGGCACCTGAGCTACAATACACGATTCATGGGTAAGCTACAGTGAGCATCACCGCAACCCCTCGTTCGGGAATTTCGCAGGCCTTCCTCCAAGGCTTATTGGTGACTGTGCTGTCTGAACCAACTAGCCCCCCATCCCTCACTTGGTGATGGAACAGTTCAATTGGATTTGCATAACCTGCAAACGTAGCCAGACGCGGGATATCCACTTCGGGGCTTTCTTTTCAACCGCAAAGCTCTCGTGAACGATGTGCTGCTTTGACCGCTCACTCGCATGGGGTTCTCCCTTGAGGCCCAGAAGCTACCCTGAAAGAAAACAAATCAGCCGTCAACTGCGGCGACGCTATGGCACGTGAAACGGAGGGTTAATTGGGGGGGGGGATGGAACCGTTTAAATTGAGGATCTCGGAGCTCTGATAAGCCAGTCGGAACAAGCGTTCATGAACGCCCCCAAAACTTCCAGAGAACCTTCTTTTTTCTATGGCTTGCTTGTGTCAAAACCCAGCGGTCGGCGCTTCGCTGGCATGAACTCGCAGGCGATCTGACATCTTAATCCACACCGCCGTCCCGGAACAGGTGCCCAACGTACCATAATACCCACCCGCTCCGAAACTAGCACTGGCGACCCAAGCATTCTGCCATCTCCGGTAAATGCCCCTTCTTTCGAGTCGTCCCATGACACACAACGGTTCTGGATGTCTCAACCGATGATGCTACCAAGGAACAACAACAAACACCCCTCTCCCCCCTTGTTTTTTTTTTTTTTTTTTTAAATTCAAATTTATTTGGTGAAGGACAGTAACAGTAATTGAGTCCCCCTCGAACGGAGCGAGTCCCTTCGATCAGGGTTCGCGCGTTGCTTGGCAGGTAGTCATCAGCGATGTATTGGTGCGGGATCTACTCGTGCTTAATTCCCTAAAGTTCTTGGTTTTGCTTTTTACGCTTATTCCCTCTTCCCCCTCAAGTACACTGGAGCCAACCTTGAGATGCTTCATCATTTTCCCTTGCTATTTATATGAGGCGCGGTCCCGACGATGGCTGCAGTTACTGTCGTTCTTGATATGTTTTTTTTTGTCACGTTGAAGCAGTAGTGAGGCAGGCCGGGCCGATTTCCGACGGCTTTACTCGGAGGGTTGGGACGCGAACGTGGTGGTTCCGTGTCTTCGGAACGAGATAGGGTCACCCACGAGGTCATATAAGAGTTGCATCATCATACTTTGAATACCTATCTACATTTATGTCATTTCAATTCATTCTCTTGATTGATGTTATTCTGACATTGTTAGATATCAATCATTTCCCCTGTCTTGGGCTCGTGTTACCAAACTGGACGAAGAGCGGAACCACAAAGCAGCCGCCGGGTTTCCTTCGGATAATTATCCAGTGGTTGCAGCAAGTAGAGATCCCGGGTCAATTCTGCAAGGATAACCACATCTGTCCTCACTGCGAAATCCCTCACTTTTGAGCCTTCAAAAAGGCCAGACCCCTTTGTCGTTTTTGACGAACATTGATCGGACGGAACCAGCGGGGAAAACACAAGCCCAGCCAAGAATTCGAAATGGCGACCATTCAACAATGGAAAGTAGAGGAGCCCTACCTCAACATCCACTGCGCGCTGGGTGAGGGGCCGTACCATGAAAAGGCGACCAACGTCCTGCGCTTCGTCGACATCAAGAAGAAGCAGGTCCACTTCGTCGACCTCGCACAGGGCCCCGGATCGCTGCGTACAGTGCAGCTAGACGTAGCCGTCGGCGTCACGGCCGACATCCAAGGAGTCGACCCCAAGGACAAGATCCTGGTCGGGCTCAAGTACGGCATCGCCGTGCTAGATGTGCAGACAGGGGAGTACGAGTACGTTGGCAAGCTGTACGAGCAGGACAACGAAAGACTGAGGGCCAACGACGGGGCCGTTGATCCTCACGGGCGCTTCTGGCTCGGTACCATGACGGATTTTGGGTTGGGCGATTTCCAGGTTGAAGGTACGTTGGCGGTCTGGCTGCCCGCGCACCCCATGTTCACTGCGCCCCTCGTTCACGCTCGTTGTCACGACAACGCACCTCTTCACCGCATCCATCGCAGAGCAGATGTACATGAGCAGCAACAACGGCTAACTCACCTGTGACCCCTTAGGCGCTCTGCACCGCTTCGATGGCAAGTCGAGCAAGGAGGAGGTTCTCAAGGGCCTCATGATCCCCAACTCAGTCGGCTGGTCGCCTGACAACAAAACCATGTACTTCACCCACTCCACCGAGCGCAAGGTGTATGCGTGGGATTACGCCCCCGAGGATGGCGCGCTCTCGCGCAAGCGCGTCTTTTACAGCCACGACGGCCCCGGAGAGCCCGACGGCTTCCGCGTCGACACCGACGGCAACCTTTGGCACGCCGTCTATGGCGAGGGTCGCGTTCTCAAGATCTCGCCCGACGGCCAGCTCGTCGGTGAGGTGCTGCTGCCCACGAAGAACATCACCTGCACGCAGTTTGTCGGCACTGAGCTCTTCATTACGACGGCATCGCTCGAGGAGGGCGACGGGAATGAAACGCAACGGGAGAATGGGGGCGCGCTGTTCCGCGTCGACGTCGGCGCCAAGGGGCTTGATTTCTTTGAGTTTAAGCTCTGAGCTGGCTTCACCTGTTGCATAACAGGGTCTCTTTTTTTGGTTTCATTTTCATTATTATTTTTATTTTATTTTTACGTGGGAATACGCGATGTTCCTTGATAAGAGAAGCCGCAACTAGGGGTTGCATTTGAGGAGGTGGTTTGGGAGGGTGCTGATCCTGAATGGTCATTTCCAAGAAATGATATGGCACGATGACGGTAGAGTATGTGTTGATGAAGACAATGAAGCATAATGACACCGCTCTTTCACCATTCCCCCGGCCCTCGCCGCGCTTTGCTGGTGTCAACTCGAATATCTGGGTCTTGTCGTGTCGTGTCGTGGTCCAGGGGAGAGAGACTGTGTGTGAGTGAGTGGGCTGCTCGCGCGCAAATCAACAACCGTTGGGTTAACAAGGCATCGTGACGCCAGGTGCGACGAAACGACGATGAAGTCCGTCCGTCAACCCTGTCGTCCGCTCTGCACTTGTGCGCTTCCTGCGGCTCTGACGATAAAATTATCCTGCTGAAGACTTTTTTTTCTTTTTTTCTTTTTTTTTGACTCATGGACGATGGGAGAGGTGAGAATAGTCCAGTTTGTTGCTGGCGATATCCGTATGCAACCCCGTATATTCATTCCTTGGACAAACCGCGGCATGCAGGATGTTCGCCTCACTTCTCACGCCGCCCACACACGCATACACAAACACACAAACACATACACGCGCCTACCATTCAGGTGGGATTGCAGCTTGGGCACCAATGCCTCTAATATGTACACGTTTTTTCCCATCTGACATCTGTACGTTGGGTGTTTGCAGCTGTTCGCCTCCACCATCCCCTCCCCTCCCCGCCTCTGCCGCAAAGGAAGGGTCAGACACCAACCAGCCAGCAGAACTGCGGGAAAGACGCAGCTAGTGACGTCCGACATCGCTAGACGGGGCAGGTAAGCAGAACCCAATCATGCTGCTGGTGGCTGCACACGCCCATACGCTCACAACTCGCCACACCCATCCGTCGTCGCGTATCTGCATCCGCATCGTCGACGTGGCAGGCCCCTTTCTCGTGTAAGGTAGATAATGTATGTGTACATGACACGCGCACACTGTTCCGTACCACTAAGTTTTTGGTTGCTCTGTCTGTCCCGTCTTCGTGTCCCCTTTCTAAAATGCCCACCCCCCAGTTTTTCCAGATCGGAGAATTAAAGTGGTTCCCACGAACGAACAAACGACCGGGGGCCTGCCGCATCGTGCAGTTAGATCGGAGCCCGAGCCGCCATGTCATCCCATCCCCATGTTGCTGGCCTTGCCTGGGCTGGGCTGGCTGGGCTGGGAGGCCGGGCACACGTGGGATAGCCAGCCAAGGGAAAGGGGGCTACAACATGGCCTAATCTAGCTCATACAATCCGTCCTTTATTCATCCGGCCGGCCCCCCAACCCCTGGTCTCCCGGGCATAAGCCCCGGATCCATGGTTAGCTTGCCGCTTACCGCCGTCACCGTCGCCGCCGCTACCGACACTGCGTCTGGCCCTGTCTACCCGCCACCGCCAGTTCAGACTACTTGAGGGCATATATGCGTACCGGGAACAGTTCCTTGGGAAAGCCGCGCTGCAGCTCCGTCTGAATTAGGCGAAGACCCGCTTGCTCGAAGAGGAGTCGGAATTTCTCATCCACCCTGTACGTTTGTTTGCACTTGCGTCAGTAAATGCAGGTGTTTTGCATGCATAACAGGTTTCTCCAGCTACACGGGCCATTGGAGTGAGAAAACATGGGGCCCAGACCGGCCGTTTAACCGGCAGGCCTTATGAATGTTTCCCCCCCGTTATGGTAGTGGTTGGTGACGGGGTTGGACAAGGGAACCGGGGTCGGTGGAAAGAGTACGAATAGTGCAAACTCACCTCGTTACGCTACTGTCAACGTCGTCAAAGAGATCCACGCCGCTGGTGCTTAGGTTCTCTTTGACCACAATAAGGCCGTCGGTAGGAGTAATGACCTCTTTGCAACGACGTAGATAGGCAACAAGCTGATCGTCGGTGAGATGGCCGACACACCATTGGTTCCAGACAAGGTCATATGCGGTACCATCGAGAGGCTTCCACTCCTCGAGGCCGATATTAAAGACGGAGCCGACGCCCTTCTTTTCCTGGAGAGCGGCGGTGAACTTGGAGATGGGCTCGACAATGTCAACTTGTTCAGCTACATCGAGGAGGAGCCCTTCAGTGATACGGCCGATGCTGGGGTTCGGAGTCAGCAGGGGGCCATGTATGAATCGGAGACTTGGGTCGGAGAGGCCAGGACAGGGGTGGTGTGTGAGAGGTACCGGTGAGAGGTTCCCGGTACGAGAGGCGAAAGAAAAAAAAAAAAAAGACAAGGAATAGAACAATGGGTCAGGCAAGGCAGAACATTAGTTCGGCCCGCTTGTGCAGCGCTGTTGTGGTGGTGGGTTAGGGGAGAGGTGATGGGGATAGGATGGCAAAAGGGAAGGGTAAGAGTGAAATTTTTGAGGCGGTGAGGTGGGCGAGATGGCGGTGAAAAAAAGACGGAGGGTCTGCGGATGCTGGTGGTTGTGGTGACGGTGGTGGTGTTTATTGTGACGATGGTGATGTGAGACGGCGACAGGCAGGCAAGAAAACAAGAGGCCCAGGTACATGACACTTGAATGTAACGGGTACCAGCCCATATTGATGACCGGAAAGGATAGAAAAGAGAAGAATACGCAGTGGAAAAAACTCACCCGGCCCCGCCTTCCAGAGCGCGGCTCACCGTCCGCAGACCGCTCTTCGAACCGATGCCCAGTTTGGCCAGGAAGTTGCGCGAGCCCTGCAGGTCGACCTTGCTGATGTAGGAGAAGCCGCCTAACATACCATTCACGTCGGCGTCGATGCCCTGCCAGTAGGAGCGGCCATCAGCTGCGCTGATCTTGGCGTCAGGCGGCGGTGTGGTGGCTGCCATCTGTTGCTCTGCTGCTGGTGCTGGTGCTGGTGTTGCTGAGGATGCGGTCGCCTTTGCGGCTGTGGCTGCGGCTGCGGCTGCTGTTCCTTCGTCGCCGAGCATTGTGATGCACACGCACACGTACGCGCAATCTCACTTCGTAACCTCGTTTATGGTGTGTGGCGGGCGGCAAGCGGCGTGGTGGTGAAGAATAATCGGAGGCGGTCTGTTGTAGTGTCACATTGATGAAGAATCATCTGTAGCTGCATTGCATTGCACGGCCGCGAGAGGGAGGGCAATCCTCCACCAAATGTATTAATGGGGGCTTTGAGAGTGGAAGTTTGCTTAACTGCACATTAGGAAAGTATATGTAACTAAAGGGCTACGCTCGTTCAGATGAATATCGTCGTCCATCGTTTCAGACAACTTCGGATAAAGAAGATAAGAGCGATAAGATAGTAGTTATCTCGCCATGAGATAAGAGATCGGCGTAGTAGAGATCTAAGGTTAAGCTCGTAACTCTCTCTATTGGGACCACCAACCTCGGGCCTATCGTCGCTCATTGCGCACAATAAAGTTGCCCTGAATGCTTACTGAATTATCTGCACCAACGGGAGTTTCTTTTGTCTTTTTCTTCTTCGTGCCCATCCGAACCTGTTCTCAAACTTATCTTTCCTTCCCGCAAAACTACTCAGTGCAAAACTCGAGCGTGTAGATGAAGTCAAACGACAACTACATCCCATCTTCTGCTAATCTGACATCAGCTAGTTACTGTTGGACGGCCTGCATATTATTTTTATCTCAAGTACGCATTGTTGCTTCATTTACGCCCGAACAGTTGGATCCTCGAGATCGACTCATAAAGCAGGGATAGACAGTTATGCAACCAAGACCAAGGACCTGGGACGCTGCTGGGTTCCGCGAGGAGATTCAGTAAACATGTTCCAGGTCTTCTCTCCGGTGCGAAATTCTTTACATCAGTCAGGTGACTTGATTCTTTTCTCGTTTGGTAATTCATGCGACGGTGCGAGAGGTGTTTGAAGGATGACACGGGAGAAGAAAAGTTGCCGTCTCAACAGTGCACGCTTCGAACGGTGGCCATCATCCGCAATACTCCAGCGCACCATGTCAAAATAAATGTCATCATCACCAGACGAAGCAGAATGTCCGGATCGGGACTCAACAAGGCAACTGTTTGTCTCCGAGATAAAAGCGGACGATCATATTGTGGGAACTCGGCTGCGACGTTCCTCGCTGTGTCTCGTACGACTCCGGCAAAACTTGTCTCCAATACAACACGGCTCTTAAAACTTCTCAAAGTACTTCCAAAGGCCGCTTCCTGGTCCGTGTCAAAATTTGCAAACAGGTTCTTCCAAATCACCACCCGATCTTCGAGTTCCAACAAATCCACGAGTCCGGGGTTGCCAAGAGAGCCTAACCAAGACGTGATCGCTGAAAATGGGCGGAGGAGGCATATGGAACAAGGTATCTGCTGAGTCCTTGAAGTGTTTTTTTTTTGTCTCCTTCAGGGTATTGCCCTGAACCCCTCGGTCATGGCCGTTGCAGGTCGACGTCTACTTCATGTGATGTTGAAAGCGACACACCCTGTTTCTCAGGTTTTTGCGTGGTGCGGTCCAGGCTTTTGCCCATGAGGGACTTGCGCCTACATGCAGGCCCGCTACCGGGTTTTAGCTATACTACTGCTACCACGTTCTGAGACTAATTCAAGGGGGTGTCTGACCACCAGCAGACTAGGACTTTCTTTTCTTTCCCCGCGGGGGCGGAACCTGCGGATCGCGTAAAGTCGCCAGTCCATTGCCTGTTTGGGCTCGCTGATGGCGCTTCTCAACGGTTCGGTATCTCGGCAGGTTTCGTGGCGCATTCTGCTACTCAGTTCCGCTGGCTGTTCATGATCTAAGCGCCGAAGTGTCAAATAGCTTGATCATTAGCAGTAGTTGACAACTGGCAGCCTTTACCCGCGCCCACGCCAGTTTTCCTGGTGCATGGCATCGATATTTTTAACAGACCTGCTCGGTATAGAAAATATCCGAGTTGTACCAACCCTAAAAATTGGATGCTGGCGTCATGGATGAGTATAGTGAGTGCCATCACCTGGTCCTGGTTGTTTGTCAAATGTACAGACAATCAGTTTTTGAGAGAAACCGATAAAGTGCGTAATCCTCACAGGGAAGCGGTTCGGTTTCTAGCCTATAGATATCCCTCGTTCTCTGCAACGAGTCGCGGCCGACTATGCAACGAATAGTGTTGAGCAGGATGCGAAGCGAGCTCAGACGAGGCGAGGTGGTTTGAGGCGGTTTGACTTTCCTCGCCTCCCTGAACGATGTTTTGCAGCTTCGTGACCTCGACATCCATGAGCCCAGAAAGCTTACTCTCTAAAACGTGGCAAGGTGACTAGGGGGTGCGAGAGGGAGGCACAAAAGGCACGAGCCAGCAGAGCCGATCACCCGCAGCGGTGCTTAAATCAGTACGTGGGTTCCACCTACTCTAGATTCTCTATGCTTATTTCTGAGACCTAATCAGGGGGTGACCATACAGATTCGAAGAGAATCGAACAAAGCATGAATAACCTTGCCCGATCTGTGGGGCTCTCTCTTATTCGCAGGACATGATACGAGGAATGGCTAAGGGGCGAGGGACTGTGAAGACATCGGACGAAAGAATAGAGTTTCGGTTACCTCGAGCACCATGCCCTTTTGAAGGACTGGATGTAAGGGACTTTGGACGACCATGGACCGAGTCCCGAAACGCAACACTGCGGTTGGCCTGACTCAACGGCGTTACTATTCTGAACGATACGATGGGAGAAGAAGCAGGCAGGCCATTTACAACATTTGCCTCTTTCACGCAACCCTTGAGTGGCTCAGCGTTGCACGCCTGGACATTGACATCTGCCTCCCCCTAGGCTGGTTTCAGACTCTCGGTCACATTCTCAGTATGTTCCGCTTCACGCCACTCTCAGCTTCGAGTTCGTCGGTTTGGGACGAGAGGAACACGAGTACATAAACCCACCAGTCCGGTCGTCCATTTTTGACATTTCTTGGATGGATTCGACGGCAGGCCTCAAATTACCAAGTTTAATATACACATTCCCTTAAATCACTGATTTCACTTCAGCACAATCGACAGGGCTCGATTATTATAATTCGTTTTTAAACTACTTCGGTTCACTTCAAATCCACCAAAATGAAGTTCCTCACCTTTTCTCTTTTCCTCGCCTCGACACTCGTTAGCGTCAGCAGTGCTCCCGCCGATGTTGACAGCAGGGCTGTCAGGTATGTATCTATCATCAATCTTGGAAGGATTAAGCGCTAACACATTTTCAGCTTCCAAAACAACTATGACCAGCATTTGGAGGACCGCAACGAGCATCAGGAGGCTCGCGGTGTTTCCGTCCCGTCTTTCGCCGGCGTCGAGACCACTAGCGGTGTAATCGCTGACGTTCAGGACGAGGAGGAGGCTGTCCCCCTCCGCGCCCGCCAGCTCCTCAAGAAGAAGAAGAAGGCCAAGAAGGGCAAGAAGGCGAAGAAGGCTAAGAAGGCCAATGCCCCCGCTGCAAAGGCTAAGGGCAAGGCCACTCCCGCTGCTCCTGCCGCTGGCAAGGCTAAGGGTGCCGCTCCTGCTGCTCCCGCCGCTGGCAAGGGCAAGGGCGCTGCTCCCCCTGCTGCCGCACCAGCTGGTGGTGCTGCTGCTAAGGGCAAGGGAACCAACCCTCCTGCTGCCGCTCCCGCTGGTGGTGCTGCTGCTCCTCCTCCTGCTGCTGCTCCACCTGCTGCTGCCCCTCCTGCTGCTGCCCCTCCTCCTGCCGGTGCTCCTCCTCCGGCTGCCAAGCCCGCTGCTGCTGCCCCGGCTGCTGCTCCCGCACCCGTGGCTCCGGCTCTGCCCGTTGCCAAGCCTAACGCTTAAGCTCTTCGTTGGTGGTGGCGTTGGAAAAGGCAGTGGGAAGTTCACCGACACTGGTGTCGGATGCTTGGCTATTCGGGCGTGTGAGGGCTACAGAGCGCAGTGTCAGGGTAATTTGCAGACTAAGAATCTGCTACGACGAAAACAAGGTTATCCAAATAGGACGTCCGGTTTCGCGGGTTGCTCAAATAAGATGAGACCAGGGCTGGAGCAGTTGCTGTACGGAGGGTTCAACGGGTGTTGATCGGAGTGCGGATGTACATACACAGCCACAAGGAGCAAATCAAGCGCCGGACGAATTTCTTTCTCAATCTAGTTCACCAATGGACCTGCAAGTGACATGCGATTGGCATTCCAACAATTTGTTCCAGTCGTTGGTTGACTTTCCCTCAAGTGACCTCCAGGCGTCGATGCGAGCTTTGTGATACGGGAAGTCTTGGCGCTATGATGCCAGTTATAGGGGTTCCCGTTTCATGGGTTGCCCGTCCACAGAAACATGTTTCGTGTGTTGGTCAATGGTCCGCGCGGGCATGCATGCAAGTAATACACTATGTACGTTGCGGTCGTCTCATCATCAATTTCCAGCAGAGGTGTGTGTATGTGTGTTGATTCGAATAAGTGCCAGAAAAAAATGGTGTGCAGAGGACAAAGACCCATATCTCCGGATCTGGTCGACATCCGATGCGACGTTCTCTGATGGGGTTTGCGGAGTGGATGGATGACTCGTCGGATTCCATTGTCTCGATGTTGAGTGACGGGGCTTGGCTTCACCTGACAGAATGCTGCATTCGCGAACATGCTGCTTTCTCGGAAACTCTTCCGGAATGGGCTCTGGGTGACCGTCATGGCCCGGCCGATCAAACCCGGCCACCGGGGCTGCGACAAACCAATCAGGTTCGCCCCTCGCCAATTCAAGCCTTTGATGAAGCATTTTCCCATCCGAGCGTTTTTTGTTCTGTTTTCTCCTATCATCTTACTAGCCATGCGTGCCATGTCTCCCAAAATACTTGGCCAGTCCACTTTTCTCCACGCTTCTTCTTTTTCTTTTTCGTCATCCCCACTGAACTAGCTCGCCTTCTCCAGTTTCATCTTCATGCAAAGAAAATCTCGTCGCCCACCGCCCCTCACAGGGTCTTGAGCAAATTCTGCTCTCCGTCTCTCAACACCTCACCTCGGCTTGATTAGCTGAGAATGGCCGGTTGGCCCAATGGCAAGGCGTCTGACTACGATTTCATCGTGCAATCAGGAGATTCTGGGTTCGACCCCCAGGCTGGTCAATTACTTTTTCGCCCTTGTCGCTTCTCGACTGTCTACCGGGTTTTCTTTTGTTCGGCTTGTCGCATATCACTCCCTGCTTCAGAAATTCATTTCTACAGCTGTTTCTGAGCTGATCCTGGTCGGTTTGCTTCGCAACCATACTTCTGATACATAACTGATAGCCAGAAACACGGTGGATTCGAAGCCCCCCGTGCCACTGTAGTTTTGGCATCTGGACTTGTGTTTTGTACTGGCGAGTAGTTCTTCTCCATGGCCTTGAATTTAAAACAACGTCGATTAAACTCGTGGTTACGAAGAATAACGATAAGCTTAAACTGATGACAGAACTCAGTGGCGCGCTAGCGGGAGTTTCTACTGAGTTTGAATGTGCATGGCCTCCCACACTGTGATGTGGCCTCGCGCCTGCATAAACTCAAAAGCTAATGTCAATTACAGCTTGTTCGGAATACGTCATGAGTCGTGGGGTATCGGGGTATCTTTTGAATCCACGACTTTGGAAATATTATTATGCATCGATTACCCCGGCAAGAGATACTGTTGTTAAATTTCTCCAAGAAGGTTGTCAGTCAAGAGATATGCGACCGTTTAGAAGCCGTCGAGACGAATTGGCGATCAATCATAGGGGCATCTTTTGCGTACACATCTACCACTTACCTCACGGACACCAAGGGTCCATTGACTGCATCGAGAAGCGTTCACGTCGAGGTTCATGTTCGGTAGGTGTTCAACTTATGCTATTATATCGCCGAGTAGTCTTTGGTTGACAGATATCTTTGACGACGCGAATAACAGACCTCTTTCTCGACCACGGGAATTGGGTCAATTAGTATATGCTATGCATTCCACTGGATGGCAACTACAGTATGATGCCTGTCTGTGCTCTGCATCATCGAATGAGAGAAAGTAAGTTGCAAAGTCACATGACCTTGTGTTAGAGTTACGGGAGTTTCGACATTATCGGAAAAGTTCGTTTATGCAATACAGGCGATGTACTCATAAAGCTTATATGCTAAAGAGAAGTCTTGTTGACAATTGAACCGAGCCACTTTCGATTTCGTCACTTTTTTTTAAAAAAAAAAAAAAAAAGAAACAAGTCAACCGTTTGAGGACTATCCACTGGGTGCTTTTGCCCTGTTCCGACTTTACAATCGTCCTAGGCCTGAAACCCTCAATATCGTTAAGTCTCGATGTTGTTCCTAGAGACCAATATATCGCTTCAATCAGAAACCATGCCCCTCTCAGCATGTATCTTGCGTAGATATCTGAAAAATGCATGGTCACAAAAGGCAGACAGGGCCATCTCTTAGCAAAATATCCAACTAAATATGGCTTGCAATAATGCCAACGGCAACTCCACTTCCATTTCGGGACACTGTTTTACCCTCCTATCTCATCTCAGTCGAATAGCAACCTCACCTCATTCGCGTGGAAAACCTTTGAATATCACCCAAGACTGAGATCTTCCTTTTTCACACTTCCTTGGCGTAGCACAAGAAATAGGGTCAAGTATGATAAAAAACGTACAGGTTGCACTTTCCTGTTGTTGTTCTGTGGCCTTACCGCCCCGACAGGCAGTAATTGACACTTATATCACTTCTTACCACTTCATCCACTTCCATCAGCAACTTCACCGTCACCCTCTTTCGTTTTCCACATCCATATGAAAGTAAATGAATGGTGGGGGATCAGTAACATTGAGAAGTTTTGCACACTACCTTTCCTTGACTTCACGTTCACTTCATTAGGTTTCAAACCTAAATGAGTAGTTTTCTTTCTTGACCTCATCTTTTCAACCACTTACAAGAACTCTTAGAGTCGCAAACACCGAAGGAAGGAAAGGACAGTGTAACAGGCAGGTACGTACAAAAAAAAAGTAATCACCAACCTCTCCTTCCTCTCTAGGCTATTGCCCTACTTTCTTCAGTCTTATCCAATGTTCACCACTCTAACAGCTACAACTGCCGCCTGACTTTCATACCTCACACACCTTCATCTCCCTCGCAAAAAGCCATCAAAATGCCCAACACCAAGTCTTCTGACATGGCAGATTACCAGTCACGCATAATAGAGCGCATACCTGCTACAGTTCCTGACGCGTATCGCATGATACTTGTTGAGACAATCGAAAATCTCGTCGATAATCCAGGCGACCCTGAAGACACGACGCTCCGCTGGCGCATCCAGGCCGCCTACCACTCGAACACAGAACCCCAAGCCCACGAGGTTACCGCCATGGCCCTCTGCTTTGAATCTGGCGCCCTTGAAGGAGAGCTTCTTGACGCACAGAAGAGATTCTATAATACTCATCTCGACCTTTACCAGCACCTTCATGAGTGGACTGTCAGGGGCTTAGCTCACATGCGGACTGTGCAAAACCGGCGTAGAAATATTGCTACTGCGGCTGCTGTCGGAGAGGGTAGTAGCAGCTATGCTACGGAAAGCACGCTTCTTACTGGCATAAAGCGCAAGGCTCCCTCAGACGGAGATTTTCTCTCCAATGCAAACCCTTCTAAGAAATCCTCCACCACACCCATCGACTCCCTTCACGTGGAGAACGAAAATACTCCTCGACTAAACCAACTTGCCCGCAGCCAGTTCCGAGGACTGAGTGAGGATCTCGCCTCGCCTGCCGCACCGGACCTCAAAACCACCAACTTCCCCAAACTATCCCTTCTTAGCGACCAAGTCTTGACAGTCGACACTCCTGATTCTCCACGAAACAACAACACCAATCACCCCGCTAGCATCGCCGCAACAATGCCAGCCGAATATGATACCGTCACAGCTCCTTCTTTATCCCATAATGAGACCCGCAAGAGCAAAGCTGAGCTCAATGCCAGGATTGATTATCTTAACACCCGAGCCGTTGACAAGCTCTCTCATGCAGAGACCCTTCGCAACGAACACTCTTCACTTTCCGACAAACGTAGCCTGAATGAGGACCCAATCGAGGGCTTGAACTCCTTTGTCAATGCCTCTCATAACCTTAGTTCGCGTGCGATGCGATACCACGACAAGGCAATTCGAGCCACTGGCGAGGCGACCCGTCTCCAAGCCGATATTACCAACGCCACCATGGATGAGCTTGACAAGCGCATTTCTCGTCTTGAGAACGTGATGGTTGGACTTGGACATCTGGCGCGTAGCCTTCAGAATAAATCTTGAGCTATGATGGCTGGATGGATAACGGCAGCTTGTAGCCGACCATAAGAACCACTTCATTCAAGTACAATCGATTGTGGGTTTTGCAAATAAAGCACATGCCGAAAGCAGGATTAAGAACAAGCAATTAGTTCTGGACAGATGATCAATTTTTTGGAGTGCGGCTTTGGACTTGGGGCTACATACCCGGAGGCTTAGTTAGCGATAGGGCAAATAGGATCAAACCAGGCAGAAGCAAGGAGATCAGTTATTTGAGGGCAGTGTGTGGTATTAAACGAGAGAACAAATGGGTTTCTAAAAAACCCACCCCTACTTTAGATGAAAGTTCGTTTCTACTCTTGTGAAAGACGTCGATCACTCTATGGCCTTTGTTGCTCATCGTTGGTGCCCCAGATCCGTAAAACTCCCGAGAAATGAGAAAGACAAAACCAGGAAAAAATAACAAGAAAAGTATTTAGAAACACAGAAATTATAGATTACAGAGATATTGGCCCCCGGAGATTTCTCGCCTCGGCTGTCGCCATTTGCTTTCCCTCATATACACACAATCGTGGTGGTTAGACATTATCAATATGCTTGCCCGCTTTTGCTTTTCCCCTTTTTTTCATGTTTAAAAACAAGTACCCCATCCAACCTTGCAACCATTGGACTTGTAGCAGCTGCTGTTATTGAACCACAAGGATCTTGTGTTGGCACAAACACCCCTGCTCGTGCAACAAAGACCTGTTCCGCACTTTTGGGCAGAGGACTCACCACAGGTATCACCGGCTCTGTTGACAGTCTTGATAGGCTTTGCCGTCTGCGTTGGGACAGATGCGGAAGAAGTCTTCGAAGTCGTCGCCAAGGTGGTGCTCCTGCTGCTGCTAGAGGCTGGAACGTTGCTGCGGCTGCTGCTCGTGGAAACGACGGCATTGACAGAAGAACGAACGCTGCTACTAGCGGTGGACGTTTCAGGTTTCTGAGAGACAGTGTTAGCAGGAGGTAGGATAGAAGAGGTCAACTGGCTTTCAGTGCTAGTGACCTCGATTGACATACTACATGTGCCAAACTTGGATTGACATCCAGTGCCACAATGCGCGTCGGTGCTACCGCAGAAGCCGTATGCCGAACAACAGTTACCAAAGGCTGAGCCTTGGCAGAGTACCTGACCAAGAGTTGAACCTAGGTCACCACACTTTCCATCACGAGAGACATTAGTGTCAGCACCAGTGCCGGAACACTTGCCATAACCACTCTGACAACCGGTATCGCAATGACCGGAAGTGGTACCACAGAAACCGTAAGGCGAACAGCAGTCACCAAAAGCAGTGCCCAAGCAGTTGAATCCATTGTTGGAAGCGCCGCAGGTGCCATCAGTGGAAGGCTTTTTGTTGGCTGTGTTGCTGGAAGCTGGAGCAGCCGCTGAGGCAGCAGAGCTCGTACCGGCACCAGCATTACAAGTACCAAAACCGGACTGGCAGCCGGCACCGCAGTGGCCCTCAGTGTTACCGCAGTAATTGTACTGGGAACAGCAGGTGCCCTGGCCAAAGCCTAGGCATGTTTGGCCAACCTTGGCACCGCACTCGCCGATGGAGGAGACCGGGAGAGTGGAGGAAGGAAGAGCGCCGGAGGCAGCCTTTGTGGCCGAAGAGCCAGATCCTGAAGAAGATTGAGTCAGAAGGGGAAACACGAGAAAACAATCATTACAGTGAGAGCTTACCTGCACCACCTGCACTGCTTACGGTGTCACTGTTGGTGCAAGTGCCGAATTTGGACTGGCAACCTGTACCGCAATAAGCAGCGGTGCTGCCACACCATCCGTTGACAGAACAGCAACTGCCAAACGCGGAATCTTTGCACGTATATCCGGAGGTGCCACCGCATGTTGCGTCCTTGGAGATATTCGTGCTTGTGGCTGAAGCGGCCGCGCTGCTAGCAGTACCGGCACGAGAAGAAGCACCGCTGGTTTTGGAAGTGGCAGCACCTGTGGCAGAGCAAACAGGAGGTGTTGCGGCGGTGATCTTGAAGTTGTAACCGGGGTTGCCACGGCGGTACCAGTTCTCGACGGGATCGCCCAGGCACTCACCAACGGTGACAGCCTTCCAGCCGTTCTTGACGAGGGAGTCGAGCATGTGGGGAGTGAAAGTCTCGGCAACTTGCTGATGAATGTCGTGCTCGATGTGCAGGTAGCTAGCATTGCAAGGAGAGCGGGCAAGCATGGCAGCGTCCCAGAGATCGTTGCTGACGCTAATACGACTGGGCTCCGTGTGCAAGTAACCTTGGGTATCAAGATCAAAGTAAGTGATGTGGTAGCCAAGATCAGCCATCTGACCCTGGCACTCGGTTCCGCAAATGGAGAAAGGCGGGCGCATGTATGTGGGATAAAAGCCAAGAATGTCAGTGAAGGCAATCTCGTTGTAGACCATCTGGTTTTTGCGCTGGGAGAGAGTCATTTGGTCAAGGTTCTCATGAGACCATGTGTGGCTGGCAATCTGATGACCCTCGGCGACCATTCGCTACTGCTGTTAGATCTCCAGTTCATATTGATACAGGCGTAGGGGCCACTTACCTTGATGACATCACGATATGCTACATTAATCATTCCCTTGCCAATGTTGTTTCCGGTAATATACCAGGTAGCAACAGCGCCATGGGCCTTGAACGCGTCCAACATTGCCGCGGTGTACTTGTACGGGCCGTCATCGAAGGTGATGGCGATGTCTCCATCTTTTACACAGCTGTAGATACCTAAGCCGCCATACGGAACACTGCCACGTTTGGGCCTTGCATCATTCGACGTGTCGGGACCGTTGGGCTTCTTGTTGCCGTCACAGGCTGGGCCGTAGCTGATCTGGCAATCCGGCGCCGAGCAGTACTCTGGGCCTGTTCCACACCATCTGTCCATCGTTAGTTGTTTCCTAAACCGTTTTCAAAGGATGCTATGCTAAGCAACTCACCCAGCAGATGAGCAGCATTGGCCCGCTTTGCAAGCACCTGCTGTTTTACCACACGTAGAACCATCACCCACTTTGATGCCGGCCGGAAGGGCTTGGTCTCGAGTCTCCAAAACTTTCGAAGATTCCTCACGAGGCTTCAGTGGTACTGATGGGGGGTTCCACGCCTCGTAGGCAGCACGTTTCCTCCGCAACGCGTCGGGTCCACGGCGGCCCCTGATGATGTTCATTATCGGCTCATCGTGGCTGTGGGCATGAGCGACATCTAACCCAGCGAGGGCGGCGAGAAGGATGTGAGACCAATGCATTGTGGCTCACTGTAATTAACGATAGGAAATAGTTCTCGACGTTGGAGCGAGTGGTATAAAGAAAAAGAAAAATAGAGCTCGGAGATGAAAGAATGACTCCTAAGCTTCTTTTAGGGACTCTGAAACACCTTGATAGAGGATACCAAGAGAAAGCCATCTTGTGGTACTGGTGCGGGCGGTGATGTTATATACAGCAGCAAGGGAGCGTCGAGCTCGATGTCGCCGCATCCAAACGGCGTCACATTCTCCACAACATTAGAGATGAATGCGCAGAGCCACTCCCGCCGCTCGGAGGCTCCAGCAGGCTTCGATGGAAATTGGAGGATCGAAGGCCTAGCCCGCTAAGATGTCCGGGTCGGGAAGGTTTAGGGTGGCGTCCAGACCTCCAGATCACCGCCTATCACGGACGGACGAAGGTGGTGAGCTCGTAGCTATGGAGAAAATAGGATATGATGTGCATATCTTCCATGTTATCACCGCAAACCGTCCGAACCGTAAAAGAAGCGCATTGTAGTTGTTTCCAAGAACGAACGGGAATGAGACCCGACAACAGTTTTCAGGTGAGACCATACCGAAGGCAGCGAGACAGAGGGAACGGGTATCAGCCATTGTGAACCGATGGGGCAAAAGAGGTGGACACGAGATAAATGCGGTCAGAGCGGCCTAGGCTTAAGCCATCGGTTGCGACTGTGACGGTCTGGCGAGATGGCCAGGAGCGCCGCCGACAACTGGCGAGGTAAGCCACCGGAAGGAGGCGCACCGACGTTGCTGAAGAGGCTCGAGGGGTGAAGAATGCTACGCTGAGGAACATTGTTTGACCCTCTGAAGCCGTCCGCGTGTTATGATGTACAAGATACGAGAGATGCAAAAGTCGAACATGTAGCAGTAGCAACGAAGCCGGTATTGGACAAGCTGGGCGAGGGCGCCACCGACATCGTCACCGACGTTCCTGGCCAACTCGAAAGACCGCCAATTTGGTACTGCACCTTCACTTTGCTGCCAGTGACTATCATCAGCGCGAGACCTTTTCCAACTTAGTCTAAGGATCAAAATCGCGGCAAGTCTAAACCAAAGCCGGCAGTTCCTGACAGTAGTGCTCTCTGGTGATTGGGTCATAACTGGCAGGATCGGGGGAAATTTTTAGAAATGAGACGAACGCGTTCGGTCTAACTGGTCGATCTCATTTTAGCATTTTCCGCGGCGTGCCTCCAGGTTTGTCTCTCTATCCCAGTAAGGAACACTGATAGCCTTGGCATTGCCGCACCGCGTAGTTGAAGACTTTCCCCTGACACCTGGTGCTTCTCCTGTAATCTGCATCGATATCCGTCGCTTTACCATCCTTTGAAGTGTTCTTGGCATTTGACGTTACCCGAAATCGATCGGCGGAAGGGCATCCCACGGATGGTGACCATAGATTTTGACTTCAGGTCAGAACAGACATAAGCGAGTCCGACAGTCTGGTCTGGCTTGCAGATGATGTCCCTGCTCTGCATGGAAAGACCCAAACTCTGAGCACCAGTTGAACGATGCGCAAACACACAAACAAAATAAACAAAGCCATACATACTCAAAAATGGATAATCAGGGCACCGACGCTGCCATCTCATCACCCTGCCTACAGCTTACTAGTAGGAACACAGCCGCTAGGGTCGCGATTATTTGACAACGAGCAGATTAAAAGTTGAAAACTACCTCAACCCCGTTTTAAACGGCGTCGCCGGTAGGTATGATGCTTTAAATTTACATTGAAACCACCTAAATGCTTCGTCGCGAACAGGCCCAACTTGCTCTTGGAGTTGTTTTGCGAAAATTTGGTTTTGTACGATGTGTTACCAGTCTGTTCCCGAAATGCCGGTAATCCGAGAATCAAGCTGTTGAACAAGGTTGTGCATATAGACTCCAGACGCCTCAACTCCACACCCCTCGCCGGATTTGGTATCTCTCAATCCATTATCAGGCCATTTGTCACCTCGCCTGATCAAAGATCTTCTCTCATACGGCCGCTTGCGGCAGCTTTGATCATCTCGACAACCTTACCACACTAGTGCCAATGGTATTGCTGGGTCACAGCTCGACTTCCCCAAAGACCCTGATCGTCACAAAGCTTGAACATGATCATCTCAGCGATGTCCAACCTTGTATAAGACTTTTCCTTTCAGTATCCCATGTCCCTGGGCTCGGCACTGTCAGATCCGAGCTAGGTTGTTGTACAACACTCATCGGTTGGTCTTCGCCCTCAGTGATCACAATACGCCGCTTGCTTTTGCAACGCGGGGCAACTATGACGCGTGACGATTTATGGTGCCTTTGCCTTTGCCTTTGCCTGCGCAGCCGCCTTCGCCTTCGCCTCCTCGGCCATCGCTTTAGCCTTGGCATCAGCATCATCAGTGCCCGTTGCACCAGATGTAGGGGAAGGACTGCTACCTCCTAAGCCGTAGTCAAGCTTATGCAGGTCGTCGAGGTCTCCAGACCCCATTGAAGGAGAGGGGCTGTCCGCAGCCTTACTCTGCTCGGCTTGCTTCTTCCGTTCATCTTCGCCCTCCTTCTTGCGGCGTTCCTCTTCATCTTCTTTAGCTTTAGCTGCAGCCTCTTCCGCGGCTTTAGCTTCTTGGGCCTTCTTCTCTTCCTCAGCCTTCTTGTCTTCCTCGGCTTTCTTTTCTGCCTCCTTCGCAGCCTGCTCCAATTCATCGTCTGTAGGGCCTATGCCGCCCTCCATATTGTCGTCCTCGCAGCGTTCGCGTTCCAGCTTCATGTCCATGATGAGGCTAATCTCCGGGCAATAATTTAAAATCTTTTTGCGCTGGGTAGGGTTCTTCCAGACGGAGTCGGGCAACGACTTGCCGCCATTTCGAACATGGTAGCCCATAGGCTTCTCCATGTACACATCCTCAACAGCCAAAACACCCTTCTTACCGTGGGCAACTTTCTCTCCTTGCATGATCCACAGTCGCTTCCCGTACCATTCATCTTCCGCTTCAGTATTGTTGTACCTTTCTTGGAATTGCAGAACCCTCTTGATGGAGGAAACGCGCCGAAGAGAAAGCCCTCCATTGCCTGAGAAACGGTCATCGGGCGTCCTAGAATTGAGTCAATAATTGAATAATGTTTCGTGTGGTGGACAATCTTAAAATGCATACCTCGGAGCGCCGGCCCAACTCCAGTCGAGCCACTCGTTAAGACTGGTAGGAGAATTGGAGCACAGAATACTGTCCGACTCGAACTTCAAAATCCATTCTACACCAGGAAGAAACTCGTCGTAAAAGCGCACGTCAGTCAAAAGGCGAAAGATATGTTCCTTGGATTCGATCTCCCAAGGCTCAGGCAGAACCATCAAGTCCAGCTTTCCGATGACTTGCTGGTGCTTCATGCCATAGCTTCGAGAGACACTGGCAACGCTCTTGTTGGAGCCTATGAACAAGAATCTCCAGTCGGGAGGTACGACCGACGTCATGTGCAACAATTGAGGCACAAGATGGGGTATCGGACGGGGCTCGATGATGAGCGCTAGCTTGGACGCATTGTACCTTGCTCTTGGGTCGTCGGTGGGATTCCAGTCGACCTTAATCTTGGGAATTTTTTGCCTTGCCTCTTCCAGTCGCGACTTGAACTTGGCCTTGATCATGGGCTTGTAGTTGGGGAGGATGTGGGCAAACCACCACCTGCAATGAGTGTCAGTTATCCCTTCAAGAATGTCACACGTCGCGATTGCGGCTAGGTGATAAGACGAACGTAATAGCCAGCGAGGCAAGAAGCAGAAGCCGCCCTTTCGTGATGGCAAACATGCCTGCGGAACCATTCATGACAGCCATGGCGAAGATGCGTCTACGTCAAGGGACAGTGCTGGAGAGCCGCGAGGCGAACGTGAGTAACAGAAAAGGCGATCAACTGTATAGGTGGAATGAAAGATTAATGGTGAAGGAGTCTAAGAAATGTCGAGGCGATACAGAATCGAGGGAATAGAACGCTCGGGGCCGGCAGCGGATTCAAAGACGCGACATATCGAGGTTGCGTGAATCCGGCGAAATAGAGCGTCAATATGGACCTGGTACGTAGTAGCACCCCGTTGTGGACAGCTTGACAGGTACTTGGAGGGGATGCCAGAAAGCTTCGCTTGGACGCAGGCGGGAATTCCGAGAGCCTTGAGGCTGAATGTTCGGTCGGCTTCGGTGGGCTGGGACGATTGAGAGACAATGTCAAGTGAGGGAGAGAAAAACGAAACACAAGGGGTTCAAGGGCGGGATGGGAACCTGAGATAGATAGGGCAAGGCTAACCAGATGACGAGTCGCTGCAGCAGGTGCCGATGTTGATGTCGAATGTCACCAAAGTGCCACCCACTCTGCCGTTAGTTGGTGCAGGGTCTATTGATGGAGCTCGGGAGGGAGGGAGGAAAGCTGGAAATTCAATCAATTCCACCGATCACCCACCCACACCGGAACACACTAACACTAACACTGACGCTGAATGATGGAGGGGTGGGCCGGACGGGAGATGTGGGAGACAGTGGAGGTCGAGGTTGATGGGCCTGTCCTTACGGCTGGAACAACACCTAAAGGTAACACCTGGAGCACACGAGCCGCAGGGAGAAAAATGGTGAAGGTTGCGCGGAGGTATCTGCAAGTACCGCCTTCCCCGAGTAAGTGCTGTCGTGGCATGCATGCAGGGAAAGAGCTCCTCCCGCATGTCCCACTTATTCGGGTCGCTCCTCCCTTCCACGTCGCTACAGCTGATGGCGGTCATTCAGTGGACAGGACTCCCTGCGTATGAGTTCGGTCTCGTCAACTTTGCCGCGCAAGTGAGTCGTTGTCTTTCCGTCCCGTCCAGCGCCTCTACATCCAACACCACAGGTTGCCTTAGTTGCTCAGTAGGTTTTGCACTTAGTGTAGCATCGATTATAAGGTATCCTGGCACAAGGTTGTTGCAAAATCCTATGTTCATCTCGTGACGGCGGGTCGTCATTTCTTCTAGTCGTCGCCCAAACTCTTGCTGCCCTGAACCATTTATTCGATTGATAATGCAAAGAAGTACGGATAGCAAAAGAGCCGATGGGTGCACGGCTCGTACAACTCCAGATGACAGCCGGAAATGCAGCAACACTGTGATAAGACTGTTTTCATATGCCACTCGACTATATCCGTGTATGCAGCTTGGCTGCAGCGACAACTGTGGCGCTGCCCAGCCCAAATCCTGCGTGGTTACAAGATTGCAAATCCTGCGTGGTTACAAGATTGCGGTAGGACTGATTCCGCGCTACTGGGAGAAGAATCTCAGGGGGGAGGGGGATCAGGAAGAAAAAAAAAAGTTTGAAATTGGAAGAAAAGAAAAAGACACCGTTCCTTTTCACGTTGAGACAAGAGACTAGTTGATCGACCGTGCGTGCTGAGGCGGATTATCTAGACTCTATTCTGCTTGTCGCTTTCTATCCACGTGATAAACGCGACAAATATGATACGGACACAAAAGCAACATAGAACTTCCGCAAAAGATATAGATGATCGCCGGTAGCGGATTGCTCTCTGTACTCGATGCATGAACATGACTGCAGACCCGATCAGGAGTCTTTTCGTTATGGTTTCCAGCGATTCATTAAGAATGACCCTGATAATATAACTACCCAGTACCGGGAAAGCCTTTCAGGACGTAAATGTCCGCGAGCGGCGAAGCAGTGTATCAGCGTATCAGCTGGATCCGCCAAGAGAGAAGAAGATACACGCCGCATCGCCTTTCTGTTGCATGGAACGAACAGACCTTGGCAAGTCGTTGACAGAGCCACCTTGTCCGCTGTTCACTCGTATAATATGCTTTCATCGGTTGAAAGTCAAAGTGGGCGAGTGTTGTACGGGGTCCTCAAGGAACATGAGACAGCGTCGCACACGGCCCCCCTTGCGTGCCCTTACATGCTGTCTCTGGTGCCTGGGTCTCTCTGTCTGCGAGCACGGAAAACGTGATAAACTTGATGTTGGGTGAAATAAATCACAAGGCTACCAACCTTTTGCGACAGACAGGCTTGAGGAAGCCGGCCATCAGGAACCCGTGTATCCGTACCACCGCGCACCACACAATTGGGCGACGTCGCAACCCCTGACCCTTAATGCGAATCGATTAGTGGATGATACAGCCGGCGATACCGAGGGTCCGGCACTGGGGTTTGTTGGTTACGACTTTGCGCGCGCCCGTACGGGGATCCTGAGCCTTTGAGTGCCAGGAGAGGGCTGCAAAAGTCAACAATGTCTCCCGGATCGGTTCGTGAGCATGAGACGAAGTTCAACGCCCGTCACGAATTGCATCTCTCCGCTGCTGGGTCGTTCATCATATGCCACCTTGTGACTATGCATGGCGCTTCGTATTGAGGAACAGCAACTGGAGGTGCTCGAGAAAACGCAGTACGAGTGGTGGCGTGACGTCCCGTAGCCATCCACCACTACGGCTGGGTGATGGAAATTAGAATGAGAATCGGAAGTCTGGAGATTGCAGACAGAGTGGCTGGGAGACAAGTAAGACTGCATTGAACATCATTTATAACCATCGATGAGGTACTCAGAGGTACACGGTAGGTACTCGACCGATTTAGACATGCTACAATGGGCTGCATTGCGCGGTTTGACAGGGTCTCGGCGATTGTCGACTGCAGCAAATAGCAGGGGTGGGACCTCACCTCTAGTTTTCAGAAGAAGAAACCGGCGTACACTAGGAGCCCACTAAAACACCTCATTGGGTTCCCTTGGTTGAAACTTCCACGACCCAGGGCCAGGCCTGTTGATTGGACTTTGCTGCCACAACTCTGTCTGGCCTGGCTGGCGTGGACAGGTGCCAAGTGCAAGGGGAAAGGGATGGGGCGTCTTATCATCGGATAGTCCGAGGGTGTGGTCAAGGCGACCATTGGGGGGGGGGATAACCTGACCAATTACCCACTTATTTTGTGATTTGTGGGGCTACCCTGAGATCAGCTGACCATGGTACCTTAATCAGTAGTGGGACGTAATTAGTAACTGGTCCGTGCACCTGACCGATTAAAAATTCCATGGTCAGGTGGACCCACTTCACCTTAATACAGCCAATCATAAAATTGGTCAGATAGACCCATAATTCATTTAAATAAGTGGGTAATTGGTCAGGTTATCCCCCCCCCCCAATGGTCGCCTTGACCACACCCTCGATAGTCCCTCATGGACAGTTAAGTCGAGGGATGTGCCAGCCTGAAGAGCGCATGTAACCAGCCGCAAATGTGAGGTACTCTCCCGTCTTAGTGCATGTACGAATCGAGCTTTTTTTTTCTTCTCCCTCTCTTCCCCATTCTCTCTCAGACGATCTTCTGTCTTCCACTCATTCTTTCTCTTGTCCATCTTTTGTTCATTTCACCTTCTAAGTATCTGCCAACTCCAACGAGGGCAATGCGTAGTTGTCGGAGTGAATAGCACGTCTATTCGCAACCCGCTGTCGTCGTCATCGGCCGCGGAACTGGACATGCCTTAATTCCCTGCAACGACACCACCGACCGACCCATCCGCGCCATTGACCTTGCGTAATCGCTGTGGACCGGACGGTTCTGCGAATAGCGAGCACGCCCGCTCTAAGCACCGGTCTAGTCTCGAACTCGAACCCCCGCGCATCTAAATTTCCGACAGCAGGTGCCTTTCGCTAAAATTGCCCCCTCGAGCCCTGTTCCCAAAGACTTATCTACTAGCCATCTTGGCTTTCCCGTCAAGATGGCTCAATCACCTCAAGGCGAGACCACCATGGCCGACGTATGGCAGCAAGTGAAGCTCTTGCTTCTTGCCGTCTGGGCCTTGACGAGCCGTCGCATGAGGGTAGCGGGCGCCTTCGTCATCTTCCTGTAAGTCACATATGAATTTCACCGGCCGAGTGAACATGGCATCGTTCAGCACACTGACACTTGAGTGACAGCGGCGTTTCAATATGGCTCTCGCTCCCTACGATCAAGACCATGACGGTCCCCAAGGTCTCTCTCGAATACGCACACTCACCATACAACCACTCCAAGGTCGCGTTGCTTATTGAGAACCGACCCAACCCTATCCTCGCGCCTCTGATGCTGCACTTTATTTCAGTAGTGCCTCCCGACTGGCGCTTCCGCTTCATGGGCTCCATCGATTCCGTGCGGTCCATCAACACCTCTGTTGCCATTCGCGAGCAAGTGGCGGCTGGCAAATTGGATCTGACTTACATTCCCTCTAACATGAGCACTGCTGGTCAGGAGATGATTAGTCGCTTCCTGACCAATCTTTGGCTTTACGAAACGGTCTTACAGCCAGCTGAGTGGCTTCTCGTCTTCCAGACGGACAGCATACTGTGTGCCAACAGCAAACACAACATCAATGACTATCTCGAGTATGACTGGATCGGCGCCCCCTGGAACCCTGGCGGTCGCTGGGGTGGCAACGGTGGTCTGTCCATTCGCCGTGTGAGCGCAATGATCGATATTCTGCGGAACCAGAAGCGTGTCGACGGCTCCGAGCCCGAGGATGTGTGGCTTGCCGAACGTCTAGCTCACCACCCGGGAAGCAAGGTCGCCAATGGAACGGTCTCACTGATGTTTAGCGGCGAAATGCACTCGGGCCCAGGCACGGAAATCAAGAAAGAAGGACAGAACGCGACCCTTGAAGCAGCTGCCGAGGGTGAATATGTCGAGGGTATCGATGACTACCGTGAGGGCTACTACGAACCCATGGGTTACCACACGGGCGGCAGTGGTATCTGGCTGCACAGTCCTATCTGGGGCACACCAGCTTTGCGGAAACATATTTGGGAATATTGTCCCGAGGTTAAATTGACGTTGGCTATGGATGCGGCCAAGTACGTTCCTGGAAACTGCAAAGCCAACTGGAAGAGAGGCCTCGAAGAATATGAGGATGGTGAGCTGGTTGAGCGTGAGGAGGAGATTGACGAAGACGAGGCTTTCTCACAATACCCATTCGGCACGGAGATAATCGATGGACAAGAATACCCTAAGCTGCCGCCCAGCTTGATGGCATGGTGATGCCTGGCTACCCCTCAGGACCCTCATTGTCGCATCAAAAGAACCATAATGCGAAGGATATGGAACCGAAACGGAGGGATGCAAAGTTTGTTACATTAAAGGTATTCTTTGACTGAGGAGTTGGCTTGGCGTTTGGAGGGACAACTTGCAGAAGGACAACGGACAAAGATAGCCCGTCGAATGAGTCATGTATGACATACAGTCATGTAGATCACTATTACCAGTGAATATGGACAGTTCAAAAGAAGATTTATGGCACCCGTTGACATCCAGTGCTTCCGGGCGGAAGGGCGGGCGGTAACATGACGATGTCTGTGCCAATGCCCGATCTATAGGAGGCTCCTCCTGACATACGTTCTCGAAAAAGGGAACCCCCCCGCTACGTAAGTTTGCGCAAATTCCTTTTCTTAGCCGATCTTCAATCTAATTGAATGACACACCACTGTTAAGAGTTTATGAAGCACGGGCCCGGGTCCGAAACCTTAGGCGGATGGTTAACAAACAGGGCGGACAGCTGCAGGTACATTCGCCGCCCAATGCACTCGAAGTTTCCTTCGTTTTCCGTCTCTTGCGCGGATTGATCTCGCGCCTAATTGCCAATTTATAAGACAGATGAAAAAAAAAAAAATTTAAAAAAAAATAGATTGACACGGACGCTTCCGACAACCGCAATTTTTCCTTATATCCCCCTCGTCCCCGACTGCCACCATGCCCGTTTTTGAAAAAGGGAAGTTGAGGGTGATGATGGACCAAGTTAAGTAGACGAGACAACGTCGTAATATATGATGCCGCCACGGCCCGCGGAGAACGATGCATCTATCCCTGACTGAGATATCTGCCGACGGTTTTCTCCGAGGAATGCAAGCAGCAAGCGAGAGAGAGAATCAGACCAGTACGGCAAGGGTGGCAATGAATCGTATAGAATATTCGGATATCAAATTTTTGCTACAAAACACTGGCCATCGGTTTGCCGGCGGGCCTATACTGAAGTGTCTACGCGTCTCATAGCAATAAGCCAAATGTGCCATGGCAAGAATCAAGACAAGGTCGCTAAACGCAATCGTGGTCTAACTACAGCGACCACTATTAGAGCACATAACCACCGCTGCCAAGACATTGCCACTCTCTAACACCCCTGTGCTCCTCCAGTTCGACACACCACCAAAGTACCTCCTTCGCCTTGTCAATTTGCCCACTCTCCTCATGAGCCCGGGCCAGCGCGAACCAGGCTTCCGAGTTGTTCCACGCGGCACCAAGCTTTGTAAGTGCGGACAGGAGGCCGTAGGCGCGATCACGCGCGGCCAGGCGGTCGATCGTGGGCACAGAGGTCGCCTTGTACGGCGCAGGGAGCTTCTCTTCCGACTCTGGCTTATCCAATGACTTGACAGATGACGCAGTGGTTGCCGACTGGTGTGCGCTGGGCTTGCTAAAGCCCGAGCCCGCCGTCTTAGACCCCAAGCCCAGGGGCTCTGATGGGAGGTCCTGCTGGGGAACTGATACTTTAGGTAGGTTCGGAGTTGGCAGTGATAGACTTGAAATGTTCTCTGGCACGCTAAGCGCGGGTATAGCTGGAGGAGGAAGGACTTTCTCGCTGTAGATGTCGAGCAGGATGTTGGACAGGCCGATGGTGGCTGCGGGATGATCTGGGAAATGGGTGAGGGCCATTTCAAAGTCTGACCTGGCAAGGTATGGTGATTCCTTGGCCACTGAAAGGTATCCCAACTGCACCTGCTGTTAGTTAAGTTGCACCGGATCTCATATAGAACAAAACTCACCTCGGACCAAACATCTCCCAAAAGTTCGTCGACGCCCTTCTTTCCCGTCCAACCGCCACCCTTCAATGATAGAGAACCGGTGGTATCCTTGGCCACCTCAGCCTCAAGTATTCCCACAAGTTTCTGAGCCTCCGAAATTGCCCCTTTGCTGTCCTCATACATATTGGCCCGGCGGTAGAATCCTGCAATCATCAACCATACTTTGACAAGAAGAGAAAGTCTTTGTCTGCGCTGAACATCCTCGGAAAAATGTATTAATGGTAAGGGGTTTGAAACGGTGTAGGTTGCGCTGGCGGAAATCTCTGAAAAGTTGGTCGATCTTGACTTCTGAGAAGTGTATGATTCCAGATGATGAAGTGATCGACCGCGAGAAATAGAGGATGCTGTTGAGGCCTGGCGATTGCTGAGGGGATACTCGTTTTGTTGTAACTCGTCAGCAGGAGTAAAGTATACTTCGCCATCGACGACAGTCGGCGAGTGAAAGCTCGTGCCTACACTACCAACACTTGCTGCCCTCTTGAGGCCGTCGGTGCTATCCCGCTTGCGCAGGCTGTGTCTCTTGCCCGACTCGCTTCGTCCCCGGCGTGTAACGCTGGAAAGTCTCCGTGATCGCTTTTCGGTAGGCGAGCCGTTCTCTTGGGTTACCTGAATCGTCGGCGCAATGCTTGCAGAGGTTTGGGTAGTCTGAGGCCGAGACAAGGTTATAGTGTCAGCCGTGCTTGCCCGCCTCGTTCGTTGAGAACCAAATATGCTGCCCCTGATACTTCTCAACGTACCAGCGGAGCTCTTTGGAACCATCGTGTCGACAGTCTTCGGCGGCTGCATGGTAGGTTTTGTTTCGAGGTTGCCAAAAAGTCGCGTAAAGAGCGAAAGTAATTCGGGGCTGGAATTGACAGCGACGTCGGGGCCCTCAAGAAGCTCGACGAGTGCAAGTTGAGTCATCTTTACCTCGAGAATGCTTTCTTTCTCAGCGTCATCCATGTCATCTACGACTCCTCTACGCTCATTAACAACCTTCTCGTCCTGAGCCTCAACCTCGTTAAGGTGCTCACTTTTGAAGTGAACATCCTGCTTCCCAAACAGAACGGAGAGGTTTCCGAATTGCTCATAAGCACCGTCACAAGCCTTGGCTGCCATGTTGTAGTCTTGTCTCGCACTTAAGAGCAAACCCAGGAGATGCCAAAGGGGGACAAGAGATCGTTCTTGCCAATACGAAACGTGATAGACGCTGTCGTCCTCATCCGCGGATTTGTTGGAAATCAACGCCGTCTTGACAATTTCGATCGCAGGCGTGAGATCCCGTCGTTCAGCAAGAAGAAGACCGAGGGCGAATAGACTGCGGACGTCTCTAGTGCGTCCCAGCTCTGGGGACAGAGATTTTCTCAGACACCTGATTGCCCTTGCCTGGATTTCAGTTCGAGAAGCCGCATCAAACGTGGTTTTGGACCAATGGGCTTGAGAAAGGCCAATCGCTTGCCAGGAAAGCGCAATCAAATGAGGCCGAATCTTGGGGTGAAGGGGAGTCGTGTCATCCTCTTCAGGAACCGTGTTCTCATTTTCGATGCTGTTTTTCAGCTGCGGCAGCCTTGCCAACCAGTCCTCGAGCTCATTCCCGATGTCACGGGCCTTTTCGATGGCTTCTCTTCCTCCGTAGCGGCATAGCGCCAATATGCATTGCGACATCGTCTCGAGTACTGTACCGTCATCGTCGAGGTTGACCTCAAGATGGCCCGTCTTATCAACTCTGGCCTTGCCATGCCTCACCAGATCAAGGTACGAGTCAAAAGCCTTAAATGCGAGGTCGAATTCCGCCACAGACAGGTGAACCGTGAAAAGACAACGGAGAATGGCTGTAGAGTGGTAGGTCTTCGTCGCTGCAGAATACAAGGTGTCGAGGACGCCTCGGCTGAGACTTTCTCGGCCACCCTGGCCAAGGTCTTGTTCCTTCCATCCACGGCCACAGAGAATAGACCAGTTCTTCACGACTGCCCGAACAAATGACTCGACGTCCTCTCTAGTCTCATCTGCTCGGGGGAAGCTAGTTTCGCTAATGAGAAGGCTCTCGTACGCGGCCTCGACTTTCTTAAGCTCAATTCTCAACTGGTTTCTGGCGGAGCTTTCGTTCGCAATATTGCCAAGAAAACCTGTAGGGTAGGGTAGGTCCAGCTCTAGTATAGTCGTAAGAGCCAGGTAATACTCCAGCCAAACCTGTCTTCTTGGCACTGAGCCCCTATACCCGTATCCTCCTACTACTGGTCCTGATATCGATTCCCAGTACTTCGCCCACGACCGGAAACAGGCGAGTGAGTTAGGATCCTCCAGCGATCTTTCGTTCGAACGAAGAGCTTCGCTTTGCAGTATACAGTATTCCGTCAAAAACAACTCCGACCACACTCTAAACTGCTTGTGATTGTTGCGGGTACCTGGGGGCATAGAAACGGAGGGCAGTGCGGAATCAAACACAACCAGAGCTGCAGCCGTCTCTTTGCTTCGTGATAGGCAGTTGGCCTTGATAAATGCAGCCTTCAACGCGCAGATGTTGGTCCATTCTGAGAGCTTGTCGCTCGAGTCGAGCTGCGCAAGTTCCTGTTCGAGGTTCTGCGGCAGCTTAGCGACGGCTTGGTCGAACTCCCCTACCGCCCAATGTAACAAGCCAGTACAGATCTGAGCCTGGAATCTATCCTCGGGGAACCTCGTCTCTCCGTCGACAGCGGCCTGGAGCTTGGTGATCACATTTGCGGCGTCGAGGTCCTTCGAGGTAATGGCGGTCGAGGGTCGGCCAGCTCCCGAGGGATCGGTGGCTTTCGCGATGGCGCATTCTGTTTCGGCAGCCAAAGTCAAGCCTAAGAAAAATACGGTGTCAGTAACAGGTTCGTCTCGTCTCGTTGGCAAATTTCGATGAGGGCACCAACAGGTTCGGTCAGGCGCATGTTTTCTGATCTTGCGGACAAACTCAGGAACAGCGCTCCAGTTGCCATCGCATCGAGCATCGTCGAGGGCCTTGATGTAGTGGGCGGCCTTGTTCGGATCGGGCTGCAAGAAACAAGCAAAAAGCATGTGGTCAGTCCAGTTCTATCCATCTCGACGTCATGGGTCAGGGACCGCGCAGGTGGTCCAACTGCAGCAGAAAAGCACACTCACTGCCATTTCGCGATGCTGAGGCCAGTGCCAAAATTAGGAGGGAAATGCAAACCAGTTCTTCTATTAGCACAGCATCTGGACACCCTGCATGTTTTGTTGGAGATACCAGGGGGGCGGTGTTTGGCGATGTTTGGGTCCTCGCGCTGGCTTAATTAGGGGAAAGCACGTTGCATAACTGATTGGAGCGAACGTGATGGACGCTTGTGTTGGCGGTGCTGAGGTGCATTGGACTGGCAGAAAGTGACGGTGGGCTGGCCAAGCTTCCCTGGACAGCAGGTCCCTTAGCGGAAGCACGGGCCAAAAAACGGGTGATGATCCAGGGGGGGCGGACCCGGGTAACGTCCCACACCCACTTCTGGGCACCCCCCACATTTGGGCACCCCATTTACACCAAAAACGCCGTTTTTCGAAATTCTATATTAAACTAACTACTATACTTACTAAGAAAAGAAAATATATATAAACTATGTTAAGTATAATTATAGCCATCTAATTTTTTATAAAGGTTTAAATATAATAATAGTTATAATATAGAAGTTTAAAACTAAAAGCTTTAAAATGTTAGTAGATACTAGTAACTTACTAGTATTCCTTAACATTAGAAAAATATATTTTCGCTTATATATACTTATTTAAAAAATCTAGGAAATTAATATTTATACTTATTAAAAGTATATAATTATATCTAAAAGAGATTTAAAAGTATTACTTTAGTAAATATAGTATAATTAAGGGTTAAAATTCTATAATAGAAACTTTTCTTAAGGGAAATTTTAAAATATTATTCTAAGCTTAAAGAATTTTTTACTAAGTATAAGAATATATAAATCTACTATATCTTACTTAAAAATTCTAATCATATTAGTTAAATATCTCTACCTATTTTATATATTAAGATATAGGCTAGGTAAATTAGTATTATAAATATTAAACCTTGAATTTATAATACTTATTATTAATAATACTAGTATATAGCTACTTAAGTATTATAATTAAGTCTTAATCTATTTAACATATATTTATTCTCTTTAATAAGTAAAGTATTTAGTTTAATATAGAATTTCGAAAAACGGCGTTTTTGGTGTAAATGGGGTGCCCAAATGTGGGGGGTGCCCAGAAGTGGGTGTGGGACGTTAGTGCGTATGGCTTTGTACAAAGTGCCGTTACCTTGTTGTGCCTTTGTTCAGTATCCGAACACCTTACATAACCTGCAAGCTAAGTCCTGTTCACCCAATCAGATGAAAGCAACCTTGCCAGCCAGTGGTACATGTGAAAGGTACCTTTTTCACTTACAGAAAAAAAGTTTCACTCAGCATCAACCGCCAGTGGAATATTGGCTGAGATCAGATATTGCCAATTTTTTTGACGTGATTGACCTCTCGACTGTCACCAAATTCTCAATTGGCTATCATCAACAATCTTGATCTCAAAATATTCATTGCAATGTCTCTTCCTCCCGATCTGAGGGTGCTCTGCCGCCGATTGACTTCCACACCACCCGCTCAGTTACCTCACTCAATCCCGGCATTCATCAACCATGTCCTTCGCTGCAAAGACGTTTTGTCTGCGCCTCAAGATCCAAAGGCGAAAGACAACTCATCTGAGACGGCACTTCTGGTTCACAAATTGAGGACCATTATTACGACTCTTTTGAATGGCAAGAGCGCCATGGGGCGTTTCACTGGCGCAACGCTCGTCAAGGCTGTTGTTGACGTCGGTGGGTGGGAATGCCTTAAGGAGTCTGGCCCTTGGGTCCGTAGTCTCTTGGCTATGGTTCAGGTAATATGTGACATCAAAAATCTTAGGGTCCAATGCTAACGTATACCAAGAAAAACGACCCTGTCCCTGTGAAGGAGATTGCAATCGTTACTCTTGTCAGGATATATACCCTTGTCCATGACTACCAGACCCTCACTAGAGAGATCGCAACACCCACGATTCCGACTTTCTTCACTGCATGCCTGCAACTAATCAAGCTCCCGCAAGCTGGCCAGAGGCTCAAGACTCCGCTTGTTGTTGTTGAGACTATCCTGGATGCATTCTCCGCCCTCATCCCTTTGTACCCCACGACCTGCCGCCCTTTCAACGGCCAGATCAGGACTGCCATCCGGCCTTACCTAGCTCCGACTTCTTCGGATGGCCTTACTATTCCTCAGTCACTCCGCCGCGCTAGTAGGCATCTGGCCATCTCCCTGCATCTCACCACTGCGGGCAAGACAGGGCCGAGTGACGACTGGAAGAAACTGGTCGAAGATATTAGGAAAAGTTTCCACTCAACCGCTGACCAAGTCTTCCGTGCCGTTCAGGAATCGTGGGAGCCGGCAGTACCGTACCCTCGCTCTCAGAGTAATTTTGATGCGCCTCCGCAAGAAGTCGAGGCGGCAGACCAACTGCCGCCTTGGAACGGAATCTCTGCTGGCCGTGACAGGCTGGTCGGCTTGCTTCACTACCTCGCCGATGCCTTGCGCTACTCTACTAAAACACCTGTTACGGTTCCCGTTGGTGCTTTATTGGACGTCGTCTCCCGAGTCTCGCTGATCAGCAGAAATTCTAAATCTCAGTCTTGGGACCAAGCCCTCGAAACGCATGCTGCTGTGGGAAGAGAGGAGAAGGAGGAGCTCTGGGCCGCGATGCCCGATATCCATGTCGCCGCCATGGACTTGTTGCTGGTTCTGGTTCAGAGACTGGACCATAACACACTCTCTCTCGGTCCTGAAATTTATGACAACCTGCTGCTTGTTTTCCGCTCAGGCATTAACGTCCCCTCGGTGCGATTTGCCGCGTATAAGCTCCTTAACGAGACGCTGCCCGTTTGCGGACCGGGTCTGCAGAAGCTCACCGTAGAGACTCTCGGTGTCATTATCCTTGCCTGCTGCCGCGATATTCAGCAGGAGAATGGCTACATCCAAGAGGCAAAGCCGATCAGTAAGACCGGAGCTGAAACGAAGAAGAGCGGCATCGCAGCCAATGCAGACCTTTTCCTGCCCTCGCAAACATCAGAAACCCAGTCGGCTTCCAGACCTAGCCTTTCCAAGGACCACATTGCCGCTGCAGAGATCCTCCTTGCCAGCCTCCTCACTTACCTGCCCCAGCAGCACCTCAAGCCGGGTCTGCGCGGCCTCCTGGACCAGACCGCCATCCTCTCGCGCAACAAGAACGCCATGCTCGCCAGCGTGCTGAACCCGTACGTCAACCAAGCCGGCGCCATGTACCCCAGCATCCTGCCCTACCTCTCGCAGCAGTACCCCAACGACCAGGGTGTCGAGATTCTGCGCTCCAACATTCGTACTTCTACGCAAGGGTCGTCGTCTGACGAGGGCTTCGGCGCCGCCGCCGCAACCCTTGAGGAGCTGGAAGCGGAGGAGGCAGACAAGGACGGGGAGGAGATTATCTCGGAGATCGAGGTGGCACAGGACGAAGAGATGGGAGAGGCACCCCAGCTGGCCAATGGCGGTTCCGCCGAGACTATTGTTGTTGCCAATGACAATGACAACGACAACGGTGGCAACCCGTTCAAGCCCTCCACTGGTGCCGGGGAAGGCTCAATAGAGGTTGCGAACCCCTTTGCAGTGTCCTCTGCGCAGAAACGCAAGCACGACGCCGGCGACGCGAGCCCGCCCAAGAGGCAAAGTGCGGAGAGGAAAGTCGAGCGGACCGTCGTGCCCGAGCCGGCGACCAAGCCTGTCGGGGAAGCTGACGCCGACGACAGCGACGACGAAAGTGTGCACCTAAATATGGATTTAGATGATGAGGACGACGAGGACGAGTAGGATGTTGTTCTTGCCAGTTAAGTGCAAGTGGACATGATACCCCTGGAGCAGCTTCTGTCCGTCAATTTTATTGAGCCTGGTTATAATACAAAAAAAGTGCGAGCTCGCGACTCTGTAGTCTAAGCTATACTCCGTACCAATACCGAAAAGAGCAGTATCCAGGGCCGTTAGGCCGGCGAGTATTCTGGTGTGTTTGTATGTAAAGTATGTTCCGCAGAATGACGGATTTATTTGGCAAACTCTGAAGGCATCCCGCCGATAGCCTCTCGCAACGCCGCCGATGGAAGATTTTCCCCTCCATTACCCAATTCCAAATAAGCCCAATTTTGTCAACAAAAAGAAAGCAATTCGCAAACCAAGAGCAAAAGAAACCCCCATAGCGTACACTCCACTTGTCTCAATCCCTCAACCATGCCCTGCGCTTTTCCTCCTTCCTTGCGCGTCTCTTTTCCTTGAAATGCTTAAGCTCTGACTTGGAAGGCTTCTTGCCGCTCCGTTCGGCTTTGAGACTGCGGCCGTCGTGCGCGTTGGCGGCGGCGTCGACGTCGAAGAAGGCGTTCATCTGCCGTCTGCTCTTGGCCTCGTCCGAGTGGCGGTCGGGACCCTCTCCCATCGTCTGGAACTGGCCAGTGAAGCGATTAAACTGCGCAGTGGCGTTGTAGCCCTGCTCCGCCAGTACGGCGGCTTGTTGGGCCTCGTCGTCCTGATCAGTCTTGTCTCCCTGCGCGTACCACGCGTTCGGATCATAGTCGCCGTGAATGGCGGGGTTGTAGCCACCGGCGGCTGGCCGGTCGTTCGACGGAAGAGGCGGGGGAGCCAGGGGCAGCGGAGCAGATGTCGTGCTTGTTCCGGGCGCTGGTGCTGGTGGTGCTGCAGCAGTGCTGGTCGACGCAGATGCTCCGGCTGTTGGCACGCGCGGGTTATCCCATTGGGTCATGCCGGTAAAGCGGTTGTAGAAGAAGTAGGCCTGGGAGTTGGGATCCCACTGGAAATCCCAGCCGTCATCTTCAGTCGCGGGAGGCGGCCCCGAAGGCAGTGGCGGGTGTTCGCTGGGGAGAGGCGGCGCATCGGAGGAAGATGCAGGTTTCTTCTCGTCGGCAGGCGCGGGGGACGCGCTCTCGCTGGCCTCGCCCGATTCGGACGAACTAGAAGACGGGACTTTTGAAGAATCAGCAGTTGCCGTCCGTTCTCCTTCTGGGGTAGAATCTAGATCTCTCGAACGATTGTGGTCGGCCGAAGCATCCGCCGCTCTGCTTTGCTCTGGATCAGCCTCGCGCGGGGAGGCGGGTCGCGGCGACTCTGACGCCATGGTTTCAAAGGGAGTGGAATGCAGGGTTAAATGAGATGGTGCGTCGCGAAGTAAGTCAGTTGTCTGTCACCGAGTAAGGAGAGTCCTTTTGCCTGGCTGGACCCTCATCGCTTGGAATGGATGCGCGCTTTGGGGGAGATAGAGAAAACGCACGTCGCAGACCCAGTGCTCGGATGAGTGCATCACTGAAATTTGAAGACAAGGAAGACACCGTCCAAGGTCGCAAATGACGGCGGCTGACAGGGGTAAGGGGGGCACTTGCACCGCCATCCCACACTGTGCAGTTGTGGCAGTGGGATCCGGGATACTGTGTGGGGCATTTCCCTTCCAGGACCTAGTTCAGAAGCAATACGACCACTGGCTGGACAGAAACACGGTAGTAATAGTAACACTAGTAGCAGCAGCAGTAGGCACACACTCGCACGCATACTTTCTCTTAGCTGGCCGCCCTTACGGTTAGTGGACGAGGGTGGTGGCTAGGGCTAATTGGATATGAATGGGGGGGAATGGAAAAGTTGGAAGAAGCAAAAGTGAGGACCCTTCCCCCGTCCCGTCGACCAGGTTAAATAAGTGGTCGGAACCTGATGGAAGGTGACGGAGGTAGGTCCGGTCTCGACTGCTCGATTTATTCATCGATTGCCCTACCTAACTAAGCTGAGCTGCTTTTACTGCTCGTAGAACTATTGCATTACTCGCGCCTTTGGACCCTTCAATCCACTTGTTATTTCCTCCAACATTCCCATCAGCAGCCGTTGAGCTTTTGCAGCTGCTTCACCATCGGCTTTATCCGCCCAACCTCATCTGCATCGTCCGCAACGCTGATGACCTCTCGCGGGGAGCCGCAATCCCCCGTCCTCGTCGCTAGATCCCCCAAACCAATGACTGCATCTGGTGGAGCTCATCTTCACTTCATGCTCTGTTGCGTGCCGTCGTCACCCCGACCTCTGGACGACTGTTTGCCCTTTGTTGCTACTCAGCGCCTCGGTTATTATGCTGCCTCATCTCGTGCCAAATACCCCTCTTTTCCCTCCCACAGCGACGAGTGAAGCTCGTTCTGGTACGCCTGGCAGCGCGGCATTATCGTGGTCTCATTTCATTTGAAGCACAACTATCGCACCCGGGCAAGCAGCCCCTTACATCAGCCCACGGCATTTCGATTCAAGCCTTGTGGCTATAATGCCTGATCAGAATCAGTCCTTCCGGCGATTGCTCCCTGCCCCCAAAGCTGCGATACCAGCTTTATCGCGTCTTGCGCAACCCCCCGCAAGAAAACGCCCGGCCGTCACCAAGGTTGCTTGCAACGCTTGTCGGTCCAGAAAGAAGGCTGTAAGTACAGAGCCACCTTCCAACCCTTGTAGTGGTCAACGTCTGATATGTGTGGCTCTAGTGTGATGGCAAAAGACCTTCTTGCTCGTCATGCGTTGAGCTCAGCTCACCATGCATCTACATCAGTGTCGACGAGAAAGAGACACCTGTTATGGCACTCAAGCGCGAAAATCAGGCTCTTAAGAAGGAAAATGAGACTAAGAAGCGCCAGATCGAGGCACTCCTGGCACGGCTCAACTCAATGTCATCGGAAGCCCGGTCACAGACCATAAAAGGCATCAACTTTCTCACAGACCCCAACGTTGCTCTCCGCACTACCAGGCCATCAGAGCCAAACCCTCTGGAGTTTTTACCGCGCCTTCACACCAATGTTGAGTTCGAGCTTATGAGGAAATACCCGGCTGCATATCCTCTCCTGAGAGATATGCCACAGCCTGCGAACCCCGAAAGTGAAGACTTTAGACCGTCCAAAATGCGGCGGATTACAGAGATGACCGATTCAGAATCATCCTCACCAGAGCCTAGTGCAACTCCTGCCAACCTCACAAGGACCGGATCTTCTTCTTACGGCGCTCCCAACGAGCAGGCGCTGCTGCGACCAATCAGCTCGAGTTATTTTGATTTTTCGACCCAAAACGTACATCCACCGGTTCGCGCAGATCCACGCTTGAAGGATCTAGATATCACGTACTGGACTGCGGTGTCTATTCCCAGTGATGTTGCTGCACAGGTCATCTCACTCTATCTCGAGACTGATCATGCAATCCTAGGTTTATTTGATCCTGACTTGTTCATACATGATCTTATTCATTTCGAACACCGCTTTTGCTCTCCTTTGCTTGTCAGCGCTCTCCTCTCATTTGCATGCGTTAGTCTTGGCCCCTTCCTCCGCTTTCGTTAGGCCAGAACGGCTGACTTGACCCATTAGCAAGCGTACGCAACTTATCACTCAGCCGCCTCTGGTTGGAGTCACGAGTTGCAGGCAGAGGCCGACAGACTTTGGCGTGCAGACAAAGAAGACTCGCTCACCAGCATTGCCGCTTTAGCATTTCTGGTTCAGTCTGCAGGGTGCAATGGCGACGGCGAGCTCGATGTTCAGTACATCAAGGACACAGTTGCTATGGCTAAACGGATGAAGCTTTTTGGTACTCCGGATACATGTACCGCAACTGATCTAAACAACCTGACCGAAGAAGATGCAAGGGCTAAGGTCCAGGCTGCTTGGGGAGTTTTCGGCACTCTGTGGTGAGTCTTGGGGAGGACCGCCCTTGTCAGCGACTGGATTCCCTAATCGTGGGAGTAGCTTGGCAGCGCAGTTCTATCTTCCAGCTACTACCGAGTACCCTCCAACACTTCCCATTCCGGGGAGGGGCTCAAAAGTCGGCGGTTGGAAAACAAGCGAGAACACAAACACCAGTCGTAGTAGCAGCCCTGAAGCTTTTCTTACCCCAGAACCATCTCCCTCCCGTCGGAAAAGAGAACAGCTTACACCCGCTTCCGAGACTTTTGCGGCCTTATGTGAGTTATGGGCTATTGCATCCCGAATAACGTGGTATTATCAGCATGATACAGGCCCTGGACGAGCATCTCAAGGGTTCGCTCTAGGGAAATACCACAAGCTGCTAGCTTGGGCAGCCAATCTGCCCGAAAGCATGACGCGTAGCAAGCATAGCCCTGGCCATGTACTCTTTTGTCAGTATGTCACCCGTCACAGATGGCTAGAAGCAGGTTCAACGCTGACGATTCTAACAGTATGTGCTTTCACGGCACGGTTCTCTATCTGTTTAGGCCTTTGATCCCTACTGATATGCAACATGGTATCAAATCGTGGTCGCCGTCGGCGCCTCCTTTCCCGTCAATCTTTGCCGCTTCATTAGAGCAGCTCAAAGACCTGGTTGATGTCTACATGACGTTACCATCTGGAAGAAATTCTATCTTTTGGCATACGGCACTGATGCACGTGGCAAATGCGGCAGCTAACGATACGAGCGATCCGGAGTGGAGGCATTACTTCCTTAAGTGTATTTATGCCTACCTAGGCCTGTACCGCTCATTTGCGGTTGCCGGAGTGATTGCGAAAGGCCTTCTTGCAATGGCGGTGAAACGAGGGGCGCTAGGGACTGCAGAGGGATATGCGCTGTTGCAGGAGCTCAAAGCGACCAAGAATCAGAGGCAGCTAGAGGCTGCAACTGGATTATTTGTGACGGATCTAGACCTTGCCGTGACGGATCGCGAGGCTGCAAGGGTGGACCGGCTGATCGAGGAGTTTGAGGAGTTAACTCTATTAGAGGAGTTTACGGTTGGGGTAACTTGAAAAAGGAAACAGTGGCAGGCAAGCCATGTTGGTACTTCTCGTGCGGTTGGCGAGGCAACATAAAAGTAAAGCACAAATGAGTATGAAAATGAACTACTTAGCATCATCAATCTTCTTGGGGTCTCGTATTCCATGATGATGACTTGGAACTGGGCCCGCTGCTTCATTATCGATGAACTCAGCAGTTGAGCTTGCTTGGTACAAAGGTATGGCTCATTGCACCTTCTTCGTAAGAACCCAGATTTCAACTCCGTAGCAAGTTTGGCTCGTTTATCATTCTGTCGATGTTGGAGAGCGGCTTTGAATCTTTGGTCAGATGTCCCGCAGGAAGGACTGAGCAGTCGGCTAGCTAGCTAAGACTCATTCATAGTAAAGCTTTCTTGAAGGGATCTAAAGATATTATAGTCGTCGAGTTGGCGCTTACCAACTATCCGTTCAAGTGCAAGCTCAGCCAGCCATTTTTGACCCAAGAAACTATGTGTGGTCCGTCTTGTAAACAATCGGTATCGTTCGCCCAGTTCACACGGGGACACTAGCGCACTTTGAAAGGATTATGTGACCCGTGGATTCTGAAGTCTCGCACATACCTCACAAGCTACAATAGCAGCTTCATATCCATTTACAGCTGCCTCCATAGATAGCGTTGGAGTCCACGGTCCTTTGATCAACTTAACCTCCTACCGCACAGTCTCCAATACGACTGGAGGAGTCGTCTGAACCACAAATAGCTTCGCATGACACTCGGTGCCCCACCAGCTGGGAGTCTAGTACAATACGGGAAGCTACACGGGGAGCGACACTAAACGACACCAACCGCATGCGTACATTCGATTCATATTTTGCCCATCACCCATCCTCACTTTACAAGCTGCCGGCCCCTGGCGGGAATTGTTTGTGCTCAGGACGCTCTGTCTATAGCCCGCACCACTGTAGCAGTGCTTGCGCTAGCCCTGGACTGCACACAGCACCCTCAAATCATGGCGACCTAATGGCCGCTAGCCATGGAGCTCCCGTTGCCGTTTTCGTTGCAATCTTGCATAGCTCTCATCCCTACTAGTACGTGCTTTTGCCGCCTCGCCGATCTGACCATTATTGTTCCGACGGTGCGATGGCCAGGCCGCCAATTAGTTCGATGACATTTGAAAGTAGACTGCTACGCTGTATCACGTCTCACATTCCGGTGCGTCGTGGCTTGGTAAATCCAGAGCTAAGTTCTATGGAAAGACTGCGACAATTTGTCACGCGGTTGTTTAAAACAATGCTGCCCCCTCTCGCTCTCTTTCGTTCTGTATCCCGCCAGAGCCGCATTATTGGCTTCAAGCCCTCCTGATCCAAAACAGCATGTCTGTCGCGCGGTCATCGCTCCTGGCCTTTGGTCTTGCTTTTTTGCCTCTGGTTGTGGCTGATGACCACCCTGTCGTCCAAGATGATATCTGCAATTGTTTTCTGACCAACAGTTCTGAGAATTACTTCACCAACCACATGTTTTATGACTTTCGCAACCTAGGCCAGTATGCCGGTGTCCCCGATATCCTCGACGATTTCAACAAGAGCGGATCGGCGCTGCCAACATCCGACTATTTCAATTCCGATGCCTGGACGTCAGTATGGAGTGTCCAGAGATGGAACAATAGTGGAAAGTTAGGCAGGGACGGGAATGATGCGACTATACGCATGACCAACTCTCACAGCAACGTATACATCGAGAAGAACAACGATCCCAATCCCTCATCAGACACATTCTTGAGCTTCCGCACCGCACGGCTCAAGAACTTTCAAAGCTCTGCTGAGATGGAGTCCGTTTCAATGGGTTATCACTTCGTCTCCGTCCGTATGCTCGCCCGCACGATCGGTGACCCCGGCGCCTGTACAGCTCTGTTCACCTACCGTGAGGCAGACAAATACGCCAACGTCCAGGAAGCCGACATTGAGGTATTGACAAAGGACCCAGACAACAGAATTCAGTACACGAACCAGCCATCCTTCGATTCCAAGGGCAATACCATCCCTTCATCAACTGAAAACGGCACATTGCCCAGCGGTGTATCATGGCGCCAGTGGGCTGTCCACCGCCTTGATTGGAACTCCGAGAAGAGCACATGGCTTGTCGACGGCCAACAGGTGTCAAGCATCAAGTTCCAAGTCCCTCGGGACCCCAGCCGTGTCATGATCAACTCGTGGAGCGACGGCGGCTCGTGGTCGGGGGTGATGGACGTCGGCGGTTCAGCCGTCTTGCAGATTCAGTGGATCGAGATGATCTTCAACACCACCGACTCACCAACAACGCCTTCGAAACGTAGTGCTGTCGACCAGCGGCACAACCACGGACCCGAGGGCAAGCTGATTCGTCGTAAAGGCGATGGCCAATGCCAGGTTGTATGCAGTATCGACTCCGCACCCGCCGTCGGACAGGTAGTCATGTTGCACAACGGAACTGCACCTGGCTTGCTGCTCGCCCAGTCCAGCACTGCGGCGTTCTGGTTGCCGGTGCTGCTCATGTCGGCCATGTTTCTCCATTTCGTCTATTAATGACAGCAGTGAGTCTTGATTCGGCATAGCGAAAGATTCAAAATCGGCGTGATTTTCAGGTTTCCGTTTTTTTGCATCAAAGCTCACGAGCTGTCTGTATAATAATTCTTCCTAAATGGCATTGAGCCCTGTTCATCTCAAGATTGAGTTTGAAAGACAAATCAAGAGCTGTCGCCTAAGGTAGTTGAAGGGACGAAACCGCGAGCTCAAACCCCCTGTAAATCTGTCATGACGCACTGTGACGTACCTTGTACAGTGGGCCTTTTCCCCCCTAAAAGGGCCTGCAACATCAAAAGAAGCCTCGGCACCCGATCGAGGGGCGGTAACGAATGGGAAAGCTCCTGTGTCCAAACCCTTGCTGCAGCTCAACCTCCCTCAACAAACTTCATTGATCACGGCGGAAATAAAATTCCTTCGACCCCTGTGATCACCGCCCCTTCCCGACCGCAACGTACACAAAAAGTGCGAACTCCCCAAGATAGCCATGGCCGACACCGCAAATGCCCCGACGAAGCCGCAACGGCGTTCGTCGCCCGTCAAGAATGGTTACTTGATCCTCTACAACTTCGTCTCGGCCGTCGCCTGGTCCGTCGTCCTTGGCCGCACCGTGGCCCTGTTCAACCTCCGTGGTCCCGGGTTCGTCCACCTCGGCGTCGGCGAGTGGACGCGATGGACGCAGACTTTGGCTGCTATGGAAGTTCTGCACGCGCTGTTGGGTATGCCATCAAGATTCCCCTCTCGCGTTCCCCTTCGGTCGATTTGCTTGGAAGAATGAAGCCTGTCTAACAATGCATTGTCCGCAGGCGTCGTTCGCGCTCCCGTCTTCACGACCGTCATGCAGGTTCTCAGCCGCTTCGTCCTCGTCTGGGGCGTCGTCTACCCGTTCCCCTTCCTCGCCCGCAGCACCTGGTACTCTTCAATGCTTCTCGCATGGAGCGTCACCGAGGTCATCCGCTACTCGTACTTTGCGCTCAACCTTAGCGGCTTCCAGCCCAAGCCCTTTGTCTGGCTGCGCTATAACACTTTCTTCGTGCTCTACCCCATCGGCATCACGAGCGAGTGCGCCCTCATCTACTACTCGACCGGCCCCTTGAAGGAGCTGGGCGAGATCTTCCCTTACATTGCGTACGGCATTCTGGCTATCTACGTTCCTGGTATGTTGAAGCTTGCTGTGGTATAGGTTAAGAAGTATGAATACTAAAGCAGAGCAGGCTCGTACATCCTGTACACTTACATGATGAAACAGAGGAAGAAGGTCATGCGCAACATGAAGGCCGAGGAGCTGGCCCATTCCAAGACTCAGTAAGACATCCGATGTATTCGGGAGGTTCAAAATTACAAGGTGGGTATTCGGGAACTAGGTGGGTATGGATTTAGACAAAAAAACGGTATCTAAAAGTGCCAACGTTGCTCTATCGCAGCAACATCCGTAATAAGATAGAAAATTCAAACCGTCTCGTGTATCAGGCTGAGGCACTCTCTCCAGCCTCTTTAATGGCCGGTCTATCCTCTGCACTCGTCTCGTACCAGTCATTCTTTGTCCACTGGGCGATCAGAGCGGCCGCATCCTGTTTGAGGCTCTCGTAGCCCGGGTTCTGTTTGGGATCAAACATGTCTATGTTGACGTCAGCAACACAACGTCCAGATCGAAGAGGGAGAACTTACTCATGTGCGCCAGCGTTTCTTCGGCAGCTGCATCATTTACAGCTTCCTTCCAAACTCCTCCATTAGCCTTCTTGGGCAGATTGCAGAAAGTGCGATCCTTTCCTAGCACCGTCCCTACAACACTCACATCCTTGTTTCCTGCACCCTTCCCAAGCCGCGTGTACAAGTTCGCAAAGCCCACATCGAGCTCCTTGTTCAGTTTAACCATGTACTGCACTCGCTTCTGCAGCTCGGCGCCTTTGGCCAGGCAACCCACAAACTCGAGATGTGAGGTCGCCCACGTCCAGCCTTGCGTGATTTGCTCGCGGTTATAGTATGCCGCTCCCGCGCTTGCCGCCACGGCTGCTGCGCTACCGGCCACCATGGCAATCTTACCCCATTTACCCCAGCCGCCTTGCTGTTCCTTCTGCTGGGATGGCGCAGCCGGGGCAGGTAGGGCTGCGACAGGGCCCTTATTGGGGCTCCCAGCACGCGATGGGGATCCGGCTTGCTTCGCACCCCAGAGGGCTGTCCCAAGACCGCTAAGCTGCGTCATGGCCGCCGACGCAGAATTGTAATGCCCTTCGGCACCGTGGGCGACTACCCCGGGTGAGATCCCTAGGTAGGGTGTGTCGAAGGCGAGGACGCCCTGGACGTAGGGGAACATCAGCCCGTTGAAGGTAGATGGGTTATCAGCCTTCTCAACGCCATCTTCCGAGTAGATGGGGTGTTCAGAAGTTAGCCCGATGACGGTCTCTGCGGCGACAATACCGCCCATGGAGTGGCCCACTAGCACGATCCTGACGGAGGGGTCAACTGTAGGCGATGGGGTGGCATTTGCGACCTCCATATCAATGACTTTCTCCAGCAGCCTTGACGAATGTTAGTTGCGCCGCCCAAGCTTCAGGCAAATGAGGGGATTTACGGAAACTTACCAGTCGCGGAACCGGCTGACGCATTCTCCGAGATCCCCGCGCGTCTCATACTTGGGGTATATGAGGTGCTTTACATTGATCTTGGGGAGCGCAGAGGCGAGCTGCGAACGCAACTGCTCTGTGAACCCTTCCTTGTCTCCAAAGGTGTCATCACCTCCCTACGGAATGTTAGATCATGCATCTTATTATTGCGACAGTAATCGCTTACTTTGAACCCGTGGATAAAGACCAATAGTAGTGTTTTCTTCATCTTGCCGCCGCCATCGATGTTGAATCCGAGTTGGATGTTTCGGACAGCTTGGTTTGCCTCAGCCTCCTTCGGGCTTGACGGCCCACGGTGCGCACACAGTGTGAAATGCATGAAGCGCCCCGCATCGCCACCCCGCCCATGTGACTGGCTTCCTCCCTCTCTTGTAAGAGCGGTCACGACTTTGACTTTGGACACATTTTTTTAGCTCTTCATCTGCACCGGTTGATTTATTTGAGACGTTGAAGCCTCACCAACATGTCGTCAATCACCAGACTCTACATTTGGGAAACTTCCTGACGTCAATGACGCAGTGCGGGCAGCGTTCTGACTTAGCGGGCTCGGTCCTCCAATGAACAGGCCGTCATGTGAGGTAGGAATAGGCAGAATGCAGCCCTATTCTGATTCGGCAGTGGCTATAAAGGTTATTCACGGAGTTGGTTGATCAGGCTGGCAAAGTAAAAGTGTCGGTTTTTGAGATCGCCAACCCCTTTCTTAAAGCACAGAATCTCTTTTGTAGACAGGTTGGCTTTGATACATATCCAGCCCCTGCAACAAACAGCACCTTCTATGTGCGCCTGCTCAGCTTCAATACGCAACACCTGGACGACAACTTTCTTTATAGAGAAACTATTCCCAGGACGTCTAGAATACACAATATTGTCACACAGATGGAACGACGAGAAGGCCAACTTCCAGCAACTCCAGAATGTTGACTTGCCAGAGCTTGAGCATCAGGCAGGGGACGCCGAGATAAAGATGGCATGAGACTTCGCGAACAGGGACCACTCTCAATACGTGTGGATTGATTCATGCTGCATCGACAAAGCGAACAACACTGAGCTCTCCGAGGCTAGTAATTTCATGTTTCAGTGGTACCAGGAGGGCTGGTGTAAGTTTCTTTTCATTCCTCTGATACTTTCCATCCGGCTACTACTCGATGAGACGAGGGACGTAGTTTTACTGGTAGCGAGGTCCATGGAGATTTTGCTCCCTTCCTTCTTTATCCGTATGAAGGCTCGGTGCGCTACCCACTATATAACCTTTTCCAGCAGGGTCGTGACTGATTTTGATCTTGCATTTCATCACTTCATCTTGGATGTGACATTCTTCGCGCTTTTCATAATTATTGAAGGCATTGAAATACCTAATTACGGTAATATTTGTGGTTTGTAGTGCAAGGTTGTCTTGTCCTCTCTATGGGAGGCATATGGACGCATGTGTTGGAGTCAACGGGTTCCTGGCGCAGCAAATTCTCTTGAAATGATTTAATACATATTATCTCTTTTTTCTAGTAGCAATTTCTTGTCGATTCCTCGTGTTTCTGCAAAGTTATTTCTGGCATTCCCTCAGCAGAAGTTTACACGAGCTTGCTGGCTCTGGTGAAGAAATCAGCGTGTAGTTAATGAAAAACAACATAGACTCCCTAAGAGCTGTCGTAAACATCAGCAAAACACGCCTCTGAGGACATTCTCATACGCATTTTCTAAGCAGCAGCCGAGCTTCGTGCATGTTGTCACATACTACCATCCAGACAGGAATGTCCGACTCACCCCCTCGACTATACAGCAGCAAGTCAAGACATCTTTCCCAATCATAATGTTGTTATATATATTATTTCGTTTAAAAAACACGTGTTCTATTTTCAACCAAACCGCCCCGTCTCATCCAAGTCTTGGCAATATTGAGATATAACTACCTTTAGGCTCGGGAACAATCACATACGACCATACCCATTGGAAAACTCGGGATCCCGTCCGCTCTCCCATAGATAAGCCAATGAGGGCCGGATTAGTAGTTGGGTCGGTGACGACCAGCGAATACCTGGTGTTGTATGTTTTTTTCTCGCGGTGGGACACGATGGCTTCTTTTTGAGCGTCAACCACCCACTCCATCCGTCACTGCCAACATTTGGTTTGTATTAATTCACTTTACAAACTCCTCTGTTATGCTGAGTCGTAACATTGCATTTTGATGGCAAGCCATGGGAAAATAGGAAAGTCTCCTGCAAACTCAACCTTTGTTGTTGTGATGACCTCAGTCTTGAATAAGGTGAAGCGTAAGTGGGGTTGACTGTGCTGTCGATACCATCACCATCTGTCCAATGAATAGCAGAAAATGCAGGCAGCAGCCGGGGAAATGGTGCTTTACTTATTCAGGCTCTAGGCCAATCACGAACCGCCATCACCTGACAAGGCTGAGCAAGTACGCCTAAATCAGGCACCTGTTTCCAGAACTCTCTGCTGAGAACGTAAATAATCCTGAACCCTCAAGAAAATTTAGTCCCAGAGCCATCTAAGCTGTCAAATACCAAGCGGAACCATGCGTTTACTCAATATAGAGACCAGAGAACTGGAGGAATATTTCGACAACTTTCCGGCTTACGCAATACTATCGCACACTTGGGGCGCGGAGGAGATTACGCTTCAAGACCTCAAACACCCAGACCACATCAAGAAGAGGGGTTATGTGAAACTCAACGGATTTTGCGTATTGGCAGCAAAGCTCGGCTACAAATATGTGTGGATCGACACCTGTTGTATCGACAAGACAAATAGCGCAGAGCTATCTGAAGCCATCAACTCCATGTTCCGGTGGTATGCAGACGCTCCTGTTTGCTGCGCTTACCTCGAAGACGTAACAGAAGGCGGCCATCAGCAATCTGAGGCCCAGTTTCGAAGCAGTCGTTGGTTCACTAGAGGCTGGACCTTGCAAGAACTCATTGCTCCGCAACGTGTCGACTTCTACGACAGCACATGGTCATGTTTTGGCGACCGACACTCTTTAGCAGAGACTATCAAGGCTATCACCAACATACCTATTTCGTATCTCTGCAACCATCTCACGTTTCGCTCAGCAATGTTTGCTGAGCGTATGTCGTGGGCTGCTAATCGTGTGACGACAAAGGTGGAGGACAAAGCATATTCGCTTCTAGGAATTTTTGATGTTAACATGCCCCTCCTATATGGCGAGGGTAATCGGGCGTTTGAGAGATTGCAACTTGAGCTCATGAAACAGACAACTGACCAGTCTATTCTAGCCTGGAGTCCATCAGTTTCCACATTGGAGTTTTGTGTCATAAATGATCTCGTGCTCAAGCTGACCCTGATGGGGGTAGTGCCGGAAAGCCGTGAAGAGAGCGCCTCTCAAGATCAAACAGAAAGCTCTCATGGATCTTCAAACGACAGATTTCTTGCTCGCAGCCCCAAAGACTTTTCATGTTGGATCGGCATATCTGCCGCACCCGTGGGTCAAGCAAGCTCCGTCCTGGAAATGACCGGTCGAGGCTTGCGGGTCACTCTCCCTCTATTTCAACTCGGAACACGCATCTATGGTGTACTCAACTGTCAGGTTGGAACAGATTTCAGATTACTCATAGCTATTCCTCTGAAGTCTTCCTACCACAACGACGAATACACCCGTCAACAAGAACCCCCTTTCTTACTCAACCTTCCTTGGCACACCACACAACAAATCCGGTATCGAACCATCCACATCAAGCGGATGAAACTGCCTAGCAATACGAATTACCCCTTGTGGAATTCAGGTTTTGTATGCGGATATGTTCGGCTGCAAACTTCAAAAATGCTGCCCGAGCGTTTGGTTGAAGTTATGCCAAGATCAGCGTACAATGAGCAATGGAACTCCATATGTCCCGTTGCGGACAGCCAGAAAAGATGGAGGCGAGTACTTCTGCACTACAAAAAGCATGGAACCATTGAAGAAGGATTTGTGGTAGTTTTGGAACAGCGGCCATATCTCTCCGCTGTCTTCTCATTTCAAATGATCCCGCCCCCTTTTGTTTGCCGCATCGTCCACAAACCTTCGAATCAGTCATTAATGGAGATGACAAAGGATCTTGACTTGTCGGAAGCAAAAAGCAACCTTCTTATGGAAGATGGTCTTCGAGAAGTAACGGTGAAGCGGGACACTTTTCTTAAATATGACATGTTTACAGTTGGCATCTCGAATCTCCAGCCTGGGCCCGGCGCAGGACACAGAAAGGCAGGATTGAGCGAAAATCCCCATTCTCAGAAAATATTTCCTAATTTCGGAGATGCATTTTACCAAGTCGGGAAATATATCTATGATAGTTGCGCGCTTAGCTGGGAGGAATTCTTTCCCATCCCCTTGTCCATCGCCATGTGGGCTCTAGTTTATAACGCGATCAGCGTTACCGAGGCGCTCATATTAGCCATGTTTCTGCTACTGTTTTTTTCAGTACGCTTTAAGGCTCGACTGGCTGCTCATGCTATCCGAATGTCAAGTCGCGATACCCCTGACTACGTTGTTGGTTTTCGATACCAACGTCTAGATTTTGTGGTCAGTGTCGCCTACTCACTGTTGAGTCTCTTGGTAATGAACCGAGAGGCTCGACGCGGCAGTAACCATGTTCTACATATCAGTGTAGAGTATTTCTTCTTATTGAAATGGCCACTTTGGCCTAGAAAGCTTAAGACAATAGTTGCTGGCGTTTGGTTCAGGGCGTTTTGGCTTATGGTTGCACTTTTCACTATTTCCCCCGTTTACGCTCGGGTCGTAGTTGCTGGTGTTTGGTTTAGGGTGTCTTGGCTTATGGCTGCAGTTTTCACTATTTGGCTCATTTTCGTCTAGGTTGTGTTTGCGTTCATCAGCTTTATCGCAGATTCAAAAGCGTTTCAAGGATCGAAAAAATACAAGAAATGAGTGAAGAGTCATTTGGGACCTTGGCGTCCTCTGTCGTGGTTTCGTATTGATATGGGGCCATGTCTGCTGATGCTTGGGCAAATAAGATCGAAGCACCCGTAGCGAATGGATGTTCTATGTTTACAGCTGTTTTGTCTTCGAAATTGGGTCAGGCTGGTTTCGAGTAAAGCTGATCTAAGAGAGATCTTCGCCGCCTTTACATCACATGCATTGGTATAACACTTTTTTGGTTGTACGCCTAAGAGACTAGAATTCTAAGATCGATTGCCAGCGCTTACATGCGTCTTGTACTTGAAGCACAAGATAAAGTTCAATCAGTACGTGGCTGCCAATCTCTGTACGAGGTACTGTCCGCTGTTGATGCCTTCATACTTCTTCTCCTCTTCCGTTGCGTATGTGCCAGGGATGGCCTCGATGTGGCTCTTGAAGTTCGGGTTGCAGAAGTACCTGCTCGCCATTAGTATCTCGCAGGCATCAGTAGAAAGCATGTGTACTTACGCAATGCTGTACCGTGGGGGGTATTCGGCGCCGTCCTCTGGCTTCCTCGGGGGCTCAACGACGCGGTGGATAGTGCTCTTGATAGTGTCATTGCTCCATCTCGCCAACAAATCACCCGCGTTGACGACTACGGCTCCCGGAATAGGCGTGGCATCCACAAACTGGCCGTTCGGGCTTCTAACCTGCAGACCGCCGCGGTCGTCCTGGAACAACAGTGTAATGGACCCGTAATCGCTGTGCTCGCCAGCGCGGACCTGGCCTGGGTTGATCTTGAAGACCTTAGGGTCAACAGAGGGATAATGCAAGAGACGCAAGGTATTGTCGCCAACATCAGTAAACCCATCAAAGTAAGTCTCGTCGATACCCATCCCTACGGCAATGGCGCGCATGACCTCGGTGTGCAGATCCTTGCATTGGTCAAAGAATTCCAACATTTGGGATTTGAACCCTGCGACGGGAGTTCCCTCCTTCTCAACAGGCCACTGGTTAGGGTGGTCAGGCTCGCCATCACGGCCAATCTCAAAACTCTCCTTCAGATCAGGGTTACCAGAGCGCTGCTTTTTGATGTCGTCCGCGTTCATGAATTGGCTGACCTTCTCGCGGCCCGGGGCAGAGTAGCCGCGGTTGGCCTCCGGTGTGGTCCAGCCAACGGCCATCTTTTCGGCATCATCTTGAGCAAAAAAGTCGGCCGACTTGGCAAAGGTGGCGCTGCGGAGTTCTGGGCTGATGGGCACGTTTTGGAGGTAGATGAAGCCGGCGTTCTGGAAGCCGTGGAGGATCTGCTTAGCAGTCTCGGTGCGCTGTGCGACGTCGCCGTTGAGGAAGGCGGAGAAGTCGATGAGCTGGGGGGGTTAAGCGATTACTTTGATGAGTGTTTGAGGTGTCTTGCTATACTTACGGGAATGAAGAGGCCCTCCTTGTCTACTGCGGTAGCGGCCATTGTGATTGTGTAGCTTGAGGCCTATGAATAATTTGACGAAATCTCAAGGACAAACGTTTCAGCAATGCATTGACCGGACTCAAGGACTGGGTAGGGAGTCGCGATAAAGTTCACGAATGAGATTCCGTGCGGGCAGGGCGCCCAAGTGACTTATATTGACTGGTAATACAAAATCCTTGTGAAGGACGCCACCAACCACAAGCCGGACATCAGACTCTTTCATCCGACCATTCAGTCAACTCAACCAGCCAAGGCCCTCTGTTTGAACCCGGTACAAGGGCAGTGCAGGAACAAACCCTTGAAATTCTCTCTCAGAAACATGGGTCGGTTCGAACCGCGAGTCGCATGAGCAGCCGTCGGAGAGCTCCTACGCGGTATAATACTAACGTGTAAGACAAAGTGGCGTTACCCCGCCAAAGAGGACGGAAAGATAAGGCCGGGCATGTTCAAGGACCAGTGCAGTCGAGATAACGGCGGGGTAAAGATAATCAAGAGGGGAAGGATTGGGTTGCAGCCACCATGGTTGGAGACGGTCGCGTGTGGGGAGACTGGGGGGATGAATGGCTGTATGGGGAGAAATGTATTGGCGTGCGGGTCAAAGCAACCTCATCACCTTCCTGGAAAGACGTAGTCCCTCCGGTATCTGATACTTACTTAGGAAGACAAGAGACCACGAGCGCTTAGGAAAGAATCGGCCAGGAACATACGCTTGTCCTTTAAAATTCCTGAATTGTATGTGTTGGCTAGAAAACTGCACCACACGCGATTGAACCTGGGATTTTGTAAGTCAGCTAAGTCAAATCTCACCCTTCCAAGCTACTCACAGGGGCTCACCAACGACAGACAGGAAAAAAAAAAACACCTGTGTCGCAAACCACATACCCCGCATCTCAGCATAGAGTAGAAGAAACTCAAGAGACTCATACTCATTTTCGGGCTGAAGACACAATGGCCTCTTCCGCACCCATGAAGGTGGTGGACATCCACACTCACATGTACCCCCCGTCGTACATCAAGATCCTCGAATCTCGAACCACCATTCCCGTTGTGCGCCGCTTCCCGCAGACACCTGATCCGCGCCTCATCCTTCTCACCTCGGAACAGCAAGCTCTTGATGAAGCTACCAAGGACCCTGCGGCAAAGCCTCCGGGCCGGCCGCTGACCTCTCACTATGCCTCGCTTGAGCAAAAAGTGCACTTCATGGACATGCACAAAATTGATATCTCGGTCGTCTCCCTGGCTAACCCATGGCTCGACTTTATCGACGCCTCTGAGTCGGGCGTCATGGCCCGCGATGTGAACGAGGAGTTCGACCGCATGTGTGCCGCCCACCCGGGCCGCCTTTTCTTCTTCGCCGCTTTGCCTTTGACCGCATCGCTCGAGACCATCATTGAGGCCATTGACCATGTCAAGGCTCTCAAGTACTGCCGCGGTATCATCCTTGGTACGTCGGGGCTTGGCAAGGGTCTCGACGACCCGGATCTGCTGCCCATCTTCCAGGCCATTGCAGCAGCCCGCCTGACCATCTTCCTGCACCCGCACTACGGCCTACCGAACGACGTCTGGGGCCCGAGAGCGAGTAACGAGTATGGCCATGTGTTACCCCTGGCGCTAGGTTTCCCTATGGAGACCACTATTGCCGTGGCGCGTATGTATCTGGCTGGCGTTTTCGACGCGGTACGCGACTTGCGAATGCTACTGGCTCACAGTGGCGGAACATTGCCCTTCTTGGCCGGTCGAATTGAGAGCTGCATCCTGCACGACGGGCAGTTGGTGCGCGAGGGCAAAGTCGGTAAGGGACGGAGGAAGATCTGGGATGTGCTCAAGGAGCAGATCTACCTCGACGCTGTCATCTACTCGGAGGTCGGACTCAAGGCGGCAATTGATGCGAGCGGTGCCGACAGACTCATGTTTGGTACAGACCACCCCTTCTTCCCTCCATTGACTACCGATGAGCAGGGTGAGTGGGAAAGTGTGAGCATGAACGCGGACGCCGTAGCGGTTGCGGTGGGTGAGGGAAGCGAGCAGGCAAAGGCGATTATGGGAGGCAATGCGATTGAGATTTTGAGATTGAAGGTGGATTGAGCAGATACATCTCATAAAAATGAAAATTGTCTTGACTAGTTGACATTCAGTGGGTTTGAGTGAGATGTACAAAGTCATATGAGAACCGGCTTGGCAAGGTGAGCGCCACTGACCGCTTTCCTCTCCCGGCTCGCAGTGGCGGGGACATGAAACACCGCCTTCTGAAAGTATCCATTTCATTAATATTCTGCCGGCATTTTCTGAAAATATGCCTGTTTGGCCCGCGACCAGTTTTATCCCACATCTGAACTCATACAAGTCCAATTAACTCATTTTCATCAGCGCTCAAGTCCATTCCACGTGAAAAAGAGCCCAGGTTGTAATAAAATACATTGTATCATTATGACAGCTGAAGTCCGCCGTTCAAACGGCACGCGTCTCGATGCGTCCCTTGGCATCACTGAGCGCATCGCCCCAAGCATGACTGCTTGGACAGGCGACATGCGCAAGAGGTGCGCATCCCTGAATTCTTACTAGTGGCACAGCTACTAACTATCATTCAGATACACCGACTTCCAAGTCTACGAGATCAACAAGGACGGCTCCGTTCTTCATCTCCAGGAAACCAGGATCCCTCCTCCGCCAAAGGAACCTACTCCCCCGCCACCGGCTCCCGAAGAGAAGAAGGAGGAAGAGGTGAAGACGGAAGAAGCGGAAAAGGAAGACACGACTAAGAGCGGCGATGCCGAGACGCCCGCTATCCCCGAAATCCCGGCTGAAGATGTCGCAGCTCTCGCCTCCCTCACAAACGAAGACTTCGCCAACCAGCTCGTGGCGATGTACCAGGCGATATCGGCTGATAAGAACGCCAAACCCGAGCCGGCGACATCTCCCGTCATGGAAGACAAGGACCAGCGTGGCCAGCTTCACCAGGAGGTTCGCCGCATCTTCCGCTCCGTGATTGATACCTCGACAGACCCTACCGGCGCCATCATCGCCAAGGTCCTCCCTCCTCGCGGCAAGGGCAGGGGCGTCCGCGGCGGTAACAACAATAACAACAACCAAAAGAAGCCCAAGGTCAAGGCCCCTGGCGAGGGAGAGTACCTCCACTTCACCCTCTACAAGGAGAACCGAGACACCATGGACGCGACTCACCAGATCGCAAAGGCTCTCCGCATCAAGCCCCAGGCTATCGGCACCGCGGGCACCAAAGACCGCCGCGCCGCCACCACGCAGCGTTGCTCTATCCGTCACCAGCGCGCCGACGCCCTTGTTCGCGCCAACTCCCGCCTTCACGGCATCACAACGGGTGACTATGTCTACGCCAAGACGCCAATTCACCTCGGTGCGCATGCCGGTAACGAGTTCGTCATCGCCCTCAAGGACTGCGTCGTCGCGGGGTCTCCCGACCTGCCTCACGACGAACGCCAGGCCAAGATCCAGGCGTCCGTTGAGGCCGCCATCGCCAGCATGCACTCGCGCGGCTGGATAAACTACTTTGGTCACCAGCGCTTCGGCACCCATGCTGTCGGCACGCACGAGGTCGGTCGTCTAATCCTCCAAGAAGACTTTGAGGGTGCCATCAACGCCCTCCTCGCCTACGACGAGGACATCGCCAAGCGCGCTGCCGGCGGCGAGGTCCCTGCCGAGGGTCACGCGCGCGACGACTTCAACCGCCACCGCGCGTGCATGATCTTCCGCGAGGGCGGCTCCATGGACGATGCCCTCAAGTACCTCCCCCGCCGGTTCAACGCGGAACAGAGCGTCATCCGCCACCTGGGCAGACCCAACAATACATCCCGCAGAGACTTCATCGGCGCCCTGACGAGCATCACCCGCGGCCTGCGCAGCATGTACCTGCACGCCTACCAATCCTACGTCTGGAACCATGCCGCAAGCCACCGTTGGCGTCTGTACGGCGACAAGGTGGTCGAAGGCGACCTCGTCTTCGCCGATTCCAAGACCCAGACCGAAACAAACGACGACGACGATGAAAGCAACTCCGACGCTCGCGCGCTCACCGCCGAGGAGGCGGCGTCGGGTAAATACACGATCCACGACATCATCCTCCCCTCGCCAGGCCACGCCGTGATCTACCCCACCAATGCCCTGGGCGAGTTCTACAAGACCTTCATGAAGGAGCAGGGCGACCTCGACCCTACCAAGATGATCCGCCGCCACCGCGAATTCAGTCTGACGGGCGCCTACCGCAAGCTCACGGCGCGGTTCCTGGCGGAGCCCAAGTTCGAGGTTCGCGCGTACGAGGACGACAACGAGCAGATGCACCCGACGGACATGGATCTTCTCCGTGCCAAGCGCGGAGACCAGGCGTCTAAGAAGCGCGGCCGCGAGGAGGATCAACAGCAGCAGCAGCAGCAGCAGCAGCAAGGCGAGGGAGCGAACAAGAAGGCCAAGACGGAAGCGGGGCCAGGTGCAGAGGTCCCGGCCGAGGAGGAGACCAAGCCTGATGAGAAGATGGAGGATGCCGTAGCTCAGCCCGAGGAAAAGGCGGAGACGGACGAGAAGACGGCGGACGCCCCCGCGACGGATGCGGCGACCGAGCCGGAACCGGCCGTCAAGAAGACGGCTGTGGTGGTGACATTCCAGCTCCCCAAGAGCGCCTACGCCACTGTCGCCCTTCGTGAGTTGATGGGTGTCGACGAGTCCGAGGTGATGACTGCCCCGGCGCCTGCGGCTACGAAGGCATAAAAGTGTGTTTTAAGGATTTTGTTTTTTTTTTAATTTAAAAAAAAAAAGGAGACCATTGATCATTCTACTTGGCATGTGAATGGTGTAGACTAGATACCCCCCATTGGACAGAGAATCGTTGGGTCAGAAATATATACAGTACTCTCGCCGTGCAAGACAAGACCCCCCCCGTGTCGGCCGGAGAAAGTGCGTTGAGCTTCATTGTGTACTCCTTTCAATTGCTCCACACTAAGAGGCCATCGCTCCAGTACCGTGATGGAAAAAAACAAAAAAATCAATGCCTTTTACTGGCAACCACCCCAGAAATACCACAACAATTTTGTGCTGAAGAATGGCTTTGCTCATCATTCCTGACCATATCCGCTACCACGACTCATCCAATAACAAATATGCTCTGTCCGCGTGACGGCGTAATGTTGGTAATTCTGACCCTACGCCCCCGCTCTTTATTAAATCGTGCAAGATAACCATTTCTTTGAGATTAATTGCTTGACCTCCAGCTTCGATTCAAGATTCGAGTCTTTGTCCTTGGTTGCCATTCTTGGCAGTTCCACGCTTTCGATTGTTGAAGCTACTTGTATGCAAACGCTGAGCAGCTCTCCTTTCGTATGTTGATGTGTCTCCTTGGTCAATGCTGTCTTCGATTCGTCCAAATACTGCGTCTCCGTTCAAACTTGGACTTGCAGGGGTGCGAACATAGCCGATCCTGGGTTGCCGGCATGCATGCAGTGAGTGCATCACTTGACCTCCTTCGTATCCCAGCCCCATACCTGCGCCAGATACTTGGCCATATTGACGCGCTTCGAACGCATCTCAACCATCCAAGGGTGCTCAAGCATCCTCCAGGGGCTTGCTCTCCGAGTGCTCTCCTTCTCCAGGCTAGGTCGCGTTAGTATATGGCTCGTCACTCTGAAGATCCTACTTACCAGCATTCGATAAAGTATTTGAAATTGTCACTCCAGAAGATGTTGGCATCCGGCTCATCTTTAAGCTTGGGTATCGGCTGCCGCACAATATAAGTGAGAAGGTCGATGAGGCCAGCGCGGGGCTGCATCTCAGTGCCATCCGCGGGGAAGGGGAACCGATGCTGTGCCACCTCCAGGAGGGTGACTCCCGTTGACCAGACGTCGGATGTGATGGTATATGATTGGCCGGTGATACGCTCCGGGGCCATGTAGTAACTTGTGCCGATAAATGTGTTTGCTTCGCCCTTGGTGCCAAAGTCTCCCGAGACACCAAAATCGCACAGCTTGACGTCTCCGTTCCTGCACAGCAAGATGTTTGATGGCTTGATGTCTCGATGGATGATGCGCATACCGTGCAGGTAAGTCAGTCCGCGAAGCACGCCCTCGGAGATCTTGCCGAGCACCTTCTCGCCAGTCCGGCCTCCAAGCTTCTTCACCTCTTTGTAAATGCTGTCAAGGGAACCACCCTCGCAGAACTCCATAGCGATCGAAATAGTGCCTGTTGTCGTGTCCTCGAACGCACCGTAGTACCGACAGATATGCTCCGATGCGCACTCCTTGTTGAAGCCAAGCTCTCTAACAATTTGCTTTTTGACGTCGGGATCAGGATTTGTAGTAATGACCTGTGGTTGTTAGTCTTGAGTTCTAGCGGGCCACCGAGATATACGCACCTTCAGAGCAAAGATTGTCTTTCCACCCTTCAATTTGGCCTTCGTGACGGCACCTCCGGCACCTTCACCAAGAGAATCAAGCTCCTCGATCCTCTTCTCAATGCTGGCAACTCTCCAGCCATCTGCATCAAGTTCTTCGACATCCAGCGTCCTGCCGCGTTCCAGGGACAGCTTATCGAAACCTTCGAGGCCTTGGAGGCTGTTGTCTCGCTCCATGCCCACACCTCCGTCACTCCGCTCTGAGTATATGGAGCCAACAGCAGACGAAGGATCGGGGGTTCCCTGGGGTCGTGCCCCGAAACCATATTGTGAAGCAAATGATAACGCCGAGTACTGAGAGCCAGCAGACGTAGGGTTGCTAGCTCTGCCATCTAGTGGACCGAAGCTTCCTGACCGAGAGTGGGCCGCACTGCTCTCACTGCCACCGCTGGCTGACTGTCCCACCCCAACTGCTCTTGGAGGTTGCTCGTATGGTGTTGTTTGGCTGCCCATGGGAGTGGCAAGGTGGAGGGTCGGAAGAGGAGGTCGAGAGTTTACGGGTTGGGGCGCCGTTCCGCCGACGGGTTTTGCATTTGGTGATGGGGGGATTGCAAGGCCGAGTCTCGGTGTTCGGGCACCGCCACTGGGTCTTGACCCGGGGATGGCAGGGCGAAGGAGAGGAACCGGAGAGTTCATCATGGGGGCGGAGCCGGGGGTAGAGAGAGCGGGAGAGGGGGCACTCGGTGCCTGTGAGATGTCTATCAGCATCGATCTTCAAGGAAATGGGATATGAAAGAAGCATTATGTGGAGGTAACTTACCACCTGCTGAGGAGCATCCATGGCCTGAGGTTGTGACGAGTTCTGGTCGGCCATGATGACTGTGCGATATTGAATGAACCAGAAGACAGTCGAATCCGGGGAGGGTTAAGCAATAAAGGCTTCCACTAGGTCGCAATAGGGCCGAAGCCAAGCAAACTTGGAGACGTAGTTCGGCGTAGATTTGGAGTGTGGCCGCTACGGCACGAGACGCGGGCGGAGCAACAAAACTAGCGTGGTTGAGGGATTGTGAGAGGAGCTGACGTAGCGTTAACAGAAGCTGGGGCTAGACGAAGGGAGTCGTTGACTGGTGGTCCCTCTGGTTCGAGGTAAGATGGTTTCGTAGTATCTGTCTAGATCGGTACGTTCGGGGTAGTTTTCTGAAGATCAAAGTCGGACAGAGTGCGAGGCAGAAACACGAAATGGAAACATGGAAAACGAGCAGCTTCTCAGGTAGGGTCTCAAGACAGGTCAGGGCTGAAATCGCAAGTCGAAGTTGGGATCCAGAAGGGGAGGGGGTTTCTGGTGAGAGAATGAGGGAGATGCAGTCGGTCGTGGTTGCGTACGCGGTTTCTATGGTTTAAGGGCCTGATCTGTATCGGAACCGGGGTCTGGAAGAGGGGGTTTCTTCCCAAGAGGGACTACAAGGACCACACTGGAGCAGGAGGGGGGGAAGAGCAGCAATAATCCAGAGCCAGTTTGTGGCGAGACCAAGGACCAAGGTCACAGGTCCTTGGTACTTTGGAGCGCCTGAGTGGGATTGGGTGGGCAAAAAAGGCGGGGAGCGGCGGGACGAAGTCGAGCTTGGGCGCTAATTTCAAGGCCAAGTTCCAATGGAAGACGGGACGGGGGAGGAAGGAGAGGTACCGGTTGGGGGGCCTGATTGCACTGACAGGTGCGGCACCTCTCCCCCTTGAGGGCTTATGTATGATGCTGTATAGTGTAGGTACACGTAATAAGCCAAGAAAAAGCTGTACCTTACTCTTGGGTATTCCTGTCGCCGAGGTATTGATTGACTGTGCAGTGTCTCACTTAGTACAGGCATAATATCTACTATTTAGCAATATGCCGCCCTAAGTGAGCTGTAATCTGTCATCGCAGCCTCGACCTTTACCGCACGAACCAAAGTCAATGAAGCGAGTCAATGGAAGCTGGACAGAAAGATTGCGCTCGGTCGTCCATGGCTTCTCTCTTCTCTCAAATGGTATACCAATCGGGATAGAAAGTCGCGCCACATTACGGAATCCCTTGCTTCGTCTGAGGTTTGCACTTCCCGTTCTGGTACATTCAACGTCAAGCTCGGCACCGGGCCTCCAAACCTGGACTGAACCGGAGAAAACAAGCAAAGCTAGAATTGAAACTGACAGGAGTCTATCTACTACTTACTACCTTTACCTAGAAGAGAAACCTTCAGTAAATAATAGACGCCCCGTCGGGGGGAGAAGGAGACCGAGGCAGCAAATGCAATGCCGCTGTTCCGACTCGAGTCAACAACAGTCGCCAAGTAGATTACTATGTACTCCCCTCGGACGCGTACCCGATGATTAAACCATCTCATCATTACATACAACAACCTCCAGTCCCGCAAAAAAAAAAAAAAAAAAAGTGTGCTGAATGAGCTTTAAAACGAAGCCACTAACGGGTCCGGCGATCCAATTCCGCGTCTGGTTTGGCTGCACAATGAGCAGACAGATGTCTGGCCAGTAACACGCAGCCCTCGATTGACGAGATGGGAGAGAGCACATTTGCGATGCAGCAAAGCCATGGGGCCTTGAGGGACGCTACAGGGGTTGGGCTGCAGTTGGTGGTGTGTCGTCTGTGTCTTGGGCTGCCATTCGATGCCATACCCTGCGCTGCTTGCCCGCTTCTTGTTCCCCTCGAAGCCAAGCATCTCGCCGTGGGCATTGGACACCAAGCAAAAAGCTCGAGCCTGTTTTTTCCCTGTCGACCCAGCACCGCTTCCCGGCCGTTTTCTCCTCGTGTCTCTAATGCATTCCGCCCTGGTTCTGCTGCGTAAGGCGGGGGCCATCCCCGATGCATCTTGGTAGGAGCAGCAGGCAGAGACAGACCATGGGGATTTGATCGGCAAGATGGGACATGCCACTTGTTCAGTCAAAAGCGAACTTGTCGGACGACGGGCATGTCTCCTTTCGCATCCTCAGCTGCATTGGCTATCCACCCCCCTCGCCTCCCCTCGATAATTAGCCAACATCTGGCGCGCAAACAGCCTGCCATCAATCAGCAACCAGTCCTGTCACACACTCTCACACACACCCACGACAAGACCATTGTGAAGTATTCGCACATGAGCACAGGATGGGAGAGCAAATTAATGCCGTCCATTCAGCAGCCAATCACCATCCACAGCGTTGCCATTGTGGTCCAGAGAATGCCGATGAAACTCGCATAAGCCTGTTGACAGCGTCGTTTTGTCTGGAAAATGGGGCTTTTCCGTCGGCGGCAGACGAAGAGAGGGCGCACCACCCCAAGGAGGCAAGACAGCAAGGGAGAAGGGGACAAATGGGGCACCACACGGAGCTCCCCTTGGTATGTGTGCCAGCCCAGTCTCTTCATACCCGTACCTTTGCATTGGTTTCATTCCAAATCATTCGGCACTGCCACTATAACCCAACTCGGCAGAAGACTGGCAAAGCAAATTTGGACCAGCGCTCGTAAGCTGACGGCAAAGACGTTGGGGGAGCAAATGATGGGTGGTACAGACCGTCTGCAGCACTAACATCCCCTCCACTAGTCCTGCGGCATGAATGGGAGGACACCCCCCGAGTTGAAGGGGAAGTAGATACGGACGGGAGGCAAGGAATCCTTTGGGGTCCGAAACATCATGGCAATTTCCCCCTTCGTTTTTTCCCTGCCTTATTTTACACCCAACACGGCAACACGGCAGCATGGCAGGCGCCAGCTTTGCTACAACGTATTAGCTAGACTGTTACAGCTGCGTTGTTTAGCACCAAGCACCCATTTTCTCACCGCATCGCACCGGCCCCCGACAGACTTCGGACGAGGGTCCGATTTTTCGATACCCTGTCCAGGACACGCACTCCGTCGGTACGTGGTGCACCGTTGTTTGACGGTGCTTACTGCATAGGTTACCTTGGTCGGTGAATTTCCGATGTCTGGCTCTGCCTCGAGATGTATGCCTTACGTGACGGCTAAACAGTTCGTCTGCGGCGAGAAACCGAAAACAATCGTTGGCTAACGGTCGCTTTTTTACATTATTGATTCGTTGAATTCGCTACATTGAGGCCTAGATGCGAGGTCAAATAAAGCGACACTCAGAGGCAACCCCCAAAAGAGTCACTCACTGTACGGTAGACAGTGCTTTAATTCCCCATCAAGCGCTTATACTTTTAGGGTGGTACGTCTTGGGCAGGGGTCCGATACTCGATTTCTTCCTGGGCCGCAAGCTTACTTTTTGCCCTCCCCACAAGCGATACATACATCCAACGTGTGTGCTTCCCTCGGCTTACAGACGCCAATGTAATCGTGGGCGCGGTGGCCGATGTGTCCGAGGCTCATGCCATGCACTGTCATAAGCACCAGTCCAGGAACCGGTACCTGGGCTATGCCAAGAACATAGGGCAACAAATGCACTGATGCTGGCCGCATCCCTGGACGGGAAGCAACGTTATGCTGTCATCATTCTCAGCCCTGAAAGTTTCCCGGGGCCGGGCACCAAAACAACGACTTTACACTTGGCTACGCTTCGAGTATGGTCAGTCGCCTCTAACATCAGCCCGACACACCTTTCTCAGCCAACCCATGTCTAGAGTAATACACAGGTTACCACCTGGAGAAGTGGTATTGCAGCTCCAGATGAAGTATGTAGCCAAAGGGATGACAGTTATCCGTCTTATCTATCCTCGAGCCTTTTACCAGCCGAACGCTTCGTTCAATCTTTTTTTGCCGCCTTGTGAGTCTGTGACTGGCTGATTTGGTAGCCCGCTTCTCCAAGCGCGCGTCTATCCATGCAATGCGGATCGATTGCCGCTTTCTGATTGGATTGCCCCGCCAAGACCCTGGTATCACCCCGCCTATCCGCTAACCATGTTCTGAACCCGCCCAAGCTTTTGCGCCGACAATCCAAAATTTTTGAGACCAGAACAGAAAATTCTCTTACGCTGGTGCAGCCTCTATCGCCCGCCCATCACCAAAGTTCCGTGCCGCGCGTCTCAGATCTCCGTTTGGTCGCAATTGAAGCGACAGGACTCGTGATTGATCACCATAATGCCTCCCTCCGTAGCTCCTAGGCGCCCCGGTCCCGCGGCCGACGATGAGGATCCGGCTTCATCGCCAGCCAACTCCTCTGATACCGGATCCGATGCCGAATCCGACTACCTCGACAGCCCTGCTTCGCGCAAAAGGCGGCGGACGGAACCGCCAGTCAACACAGACCTAGCCGATCTTGATGGTGACGACGATGATGACAACGAACAGGAGCTCAAGGCTATTGTGTCGACCATCCAGGCACCGTCGCGGATCAAGCGCGCTGCCGCGGAACAAGCACCGCAGACCGTCCGCCCGACGCCATCGCAAAACGCAATTACCGCGCCGACAGACCCTAATACCACCTTCTCCTCACTCAATGTTCGGCCATGGCTGGTACAGTCGCTGGCCAACATGGCCATTCGACGGCCAACGGGCATTCAGAAGGGCTGTATACCCGAGATCTTGAAGGGAAGGGATTGCATCGGTGGCAGCAGGACAGGTTCTGGTAAAACGGTCGCTTTCGCGGTTCCTATCCTCCAGAGATGGGCTGAGGACCCCACGGGTATCTTTGCCGTCGTCCTAACGCCCACCCGTGAGCTGGCGCTGCAAATCTTTGAACAGTTCAAGGCCATCTCCGCGCCCCAGAGTCTCAAGGCCATCCTGATCACTGGTGGCTCAGATATGCGCCCACAGGCCATCGCACTGGCACAGCGTCCTCACGTCGTCATTGCCACTCCTGGCCGTCTGGCAGATCACATCAGGACATCGGGAGAGGACACTATCTGTGGTCTCCGGCGTGTCAAGTACGTCGTGCTCGACGAAGCAGATCGCCTGCTCGACGCCACCGGACCCGGCAGTATGATCCCCGACGTCGAGGAGTGCCTCTCCGTCCTTCCCCCGTCGTCGCAGCGCCAGACCCTCCTCTTCACCGCCACCATCACCCCTGAAGTCCGCGCTCTCAAGGACATGCCTATCAAGCCCGGAAAGCAGCCCGTCTTCGTCTGCGAGGTCGACACCCAGTCTCTCGCCATCCCCGCAACCCTCTCACAGATGCACCTGCAAGTCCCCGTCACCCACCGAGAGCATTATCTGCACACCTTCCTGCTCACAGACGGTAACGCCTCTAAATCCGTCATCATTTTCTGCAATCGTACCTCAACTGCAGACTATCTGCATCACCTCCTGCGCATGCTCGACCATCGTGTGACATCGCTGCACTCGGGCCTACCACAGCGCCAGCGTGTCGATAACTTGGGTCGCTTCCGCGCCGCGGCGGCGAGAATTCTGGTTGCTACCGACGTCGCATCCCGTGGTCTCGATATCCCCGAGGTCGCCCTCGTTATCAACTACGATATCCCCCGCAACCCGGACGACTATATCCACCGTGTCGGTCGTACGGCGCGTGCGGGACGCAAGGGTGAGGCCGTCACGTTTGTAGGACAGCGTGATGTCGAGCTGGTTCTGGCGATTGAGAACCGTGTGGGCAGGCAGATGGAGGCCTGGAAAGAGGAGGGCGTCAACATCGAGACGCGCGTGCTGCGGGACTCGCTCAAGGTTGTGACCGAGAAGAAGAGGGAGGCGTTGTTGGAGATGGAGGAGGGAAGGGAAGTTGGTGGAAAGAGGAAGAGGACCAAGCAGAAGCTCAGAGCTTAGGGCGACGCTGCGGCCTCGCGGGTTGCCCCTGGATGTTGAGAGTGTGTATAATGAATGGGAATAGACGGAATAGACAAAATAATACCCAATCTTCAGGATTCACTTCATGTTGAGGCAAGCTTCTGTGGTGAATATGGAGCGGTTTGTCGCGAAGGTAATTGGCATTGTCCGGCGTTGCCTTACTCGTTGGCTCTCTGGTGACCTTGCCTTATTACGCTCGCGACCTTCAAGAGTGGTGATTGACGAATCAGTGGGACTTTATGAAAAACTAGTTCGTCAACTGAGGCTGTAGTAACCCAGTCAGTGTCGTATATTAGGTCTCGCTTCTCTTAAAAGTCGGCGATAGTGGCGTATTTACTCAAGAGGAGAACCAAAAGCTTGCGCCGAGTGACATGAGAGGGTTTGGTTGTAGAGCACCACTGTTGAGCGGACCGCAGGAAACACCGCTCAATTGCCCCCAGTGAAAGATCTCGTGGGCTGTTGAGTCTGTTGAGAGAGATGACAGGCTGGAACTGAGTCCTCCCAATATGTTTCCTCAGCTTATGGCAAGCTAGCAAGCAATGCATACTTAATGAAACATCTTGTATAGTCGTCTTCAAGTAGATCAGGGAGATGTAAACCATTATACGCTTCGCTTGGTGTACCTTTGATCAATACTCGGCACGGTATAGATGATAGGACGCCCCTTGTACAGGAGGAAGCTGTGTGCCACAGCTTTAAACTTGGTACTGGCGAAAGCAAGCATGAGACAGATCTATTTCCTCATGCTTGCCCAAAAGGCTGACTATGCGTAGCATGATTCACCTTCCATTGCAAAAAAGTTGCGAGAATACGTGTAGAATCGTGAAACCTATTTAACTGTAACTGATAATGCCTTTTGGGGGTGAAGAGTTCATCAATACGGGCCTTCTCCATGTTGTTCGACCAAATAAATGTGTATTTGAAGGGGATGTCATAAACAAGACGTATCATGGGTAGTTGTTCCCTAATCTAGACGACTTTGATAAGCCTGACATGTGTTTTTTTGTGGCCGAATCCAAGTGTTAAGTTTCTCCTGCAAGTGCATTAGAGGGAAACGAAGGCATGCTACAGTTGGATCAATAAACCGATAAAGAAGTCAGACCACATCCTGAAAAGTGAGTCACGATCTCTCTACGTCAACTGAGTCGAGATATTGCGGAACTCGATAAAACAATCAACAGTGGCATGATGCATAGCAGACTGCTCTCTTGGACCGTTTCAGCATATCAAGTATGTCTCATTGGGTCTCTTATTTATATTCTAACAAGTGAGTACTCGTGTCGTCTTGAGGAAACCGACGGTAGCGATTCCAAGGCCAGTCCCATTATCACACGAGAACCCAGAAGAATTCCAAGGAGCAAAACTTGCATCAACTTGTTCTGTCTTGTAGAATCACGGTCAATAAGTGTGAAGTCATGGGGTAAGTTGATGTGAAAGCAACTGTTTAAACTAAGTTACCCTGAACAGGCTTGAATAGGGGTATCACGATGCACTACAGTCTTATACAGCCTCCATGTATCTACAGCGGTAGAACTAGCGTTCTGTAAGAGAAACAAATACGGAAGTAATCTCCCCAACAGTCCTTCCGAGTGAGAAGCTCCGCTACAATGGCCAGCCGGGAGGCACATCAGTAAATGGTAAGCAGAAATATATGATTGCTTAAACCTCAGTACACAGATAATGCTGAATTATCAAATTTAAACTTACGTATTGTACTCATCGCAGCCTACCTCAGGGCTGAAAACGTATTGTGTGTGACTTTGATCTCCACACGGGAATAGGAGAGTCTCCGTCCTGTGGCCTCAGCTCAGAATTGTACTGGAATGTCTTGACCTGGTGATCCACTTCAGCCAACAACTTGAGTTTACTCATGAATATGATCAGATCCGCGCCTCGGCATCCTAGGCTGATGTCACAAACACCTCCACTCCCAAGGCTTCAGGATCGCCGTCACCAGGCCTATGAGTGAATCACTATAAAGCTCCGATGAATCTCTAGCTTTCGCTGCTCCCTTCGTATCGAGCTTATCTCGCTGATCCCTTCCGAACCATCGTCATTCTGTACAGCCTCAAACCACTCTCAGCCGTAAGAAGTATACCACCACCCCTTCCCCGCCTGCGGATCCGCGTCAAAACCGTCACCCAGCGCCACGACCAGAACCGCTGTAGTTCGCCATCCACGCCAAACAAGACGTCAGGGGAAACACAATTTACACCCCTTATCCAGCCAAGAATAACCTGTCAGGAACGCTTGGCAGGTACCTCTTCCAAACGCCATCTACAAAGACGGGCTGAGCCCCTTAAAACAGGGTTTTCTTAACGCACTAGGCGCCGAGCGCACCGGCATCGACCGTTCTTTGTTCCAAGAATAATTCCAGTCGCGAATCCCGTTCCGCGTCCCACCGACGTCACCGCGGCGGTGGGCTAAAAAGACCGATCTCTCGTATCTCGTCCTCTTCACCCCGGCCTCGGTTGAGAGGGCTAGCGTGGTTGCGCAGCACTAAGACACGTTGCAACCGACCTTGGGGCGTCGCGTTGTTACATCGATGGTTTTATGCGAGGCGCCGTTGTGGCCTGCCCCCTTCATGTCCTCAGTCAGCCTTGCGGGACGGGGTTATTCTCGGAATGGATTGGGTTCAGGAGCATTCGAGGGATGCTAGGCCGCTCCACGCCATGAGAGGGGTAAGCTTGTGTGCAAGCCGATGAGAGGTAGGCTCCTCCAAGACACAGATAGTCTTTGGCAAAGCCTGTGTGGTAATGCCGCGAATTCGGAAAGCAAGACACGGGGTTAGCCTTTTCAGCCCTGAAGGGGGGGGGGGGGGGGGGGGGGGGAGGGGAAGAAACGAAGGCACTGTGAGACCGGAGACATTGGCCCCATTCAACATCATCACCATTACGAACTAACCCGACGAAAAACATGCATGCGATAACTCATTTCCTCTACTTTACACCGCCAGCATTCCCCCATGCTCATGTCTTCGTAATCCGCGGCTTATACAAGGAAAGAAAAAAAAAAGACATCAATCACATCCAAACCAAGGGGCTTTGGCAAGATGTCTCAGACCGCAGGTGACGGCCGACATGGCCCTGGTACAAGCCTGGTGGAGACCAAACCCGGGCCAATCCGCTTTCACGGAGACACGTCCCCGAAAACTCGGCAACAGGTCTCGGGGGAGATGCTGTTGCGGTAAACGTAGCGAACTGAGGGGGAAAAAAAGAAAGGTAAGACCTCCGTAGGGCCGCAGGGTGATGTCTCTTCAAAAGCCTTCGCTTTCGCGACCTCAGCTTCAGCTCCTGTGGAACGTAGAGAGGGGCATCGCTCCCAGTTTACGGAGAGAAGTGGGTTACAGTTTTGAAGATTAGTTAGCAGGGTCATTTGCGGAGAGAAGTGGATAAGTCTTGCGGATAGAAGTGGGCCATAGCTTTGAAGATAAGTCAGCAGCGTCAATTGCGGAAAGAAGTGGATATATCGTGCGGCGGACTCAAGCACTCCTCAGAGCCCGGCCGAGCAAGTGCTTGCCAGTAATACATTTGCTGTGTTGGTGATAGACACCAGATAGAAAAGATTTGTTTGCAACAGTTTGTAGGAGTGTATAGAATATAAAACCCAAACGTCCTCATCCTCAAAAATATTATCTCTCCCCATCTCGTTACTTCTTCAACAACAAGTTACTATAAGCTGTTAAGAACTTCTTCTCTCTTACCAAAATTCAATCATGTCGAAACTAGTTACGGTAGTTGGTGCAACTGGCATCCAGGGCGGCTCCGTCATTAAAGCACTTTTGGGTGATGACACCTACAACGTGAGAGCTATCACAAGAGACCCGACCAGCGAAGCTGCTTCTTCATTGCGCGACCAAGGAGTTGAGGTCACCAAAGCGGATCTCGATGACCTGTCTTCTCTCAAGAAGGCATTTTCAGGCTCCTACGCTATCTTTGCTGCCACCAACTTCTTCCAACACTTTCCAACCATTAGCGCAAAGGAAGCAGTAGATATAGAGGCAATGCAGGGCCTGAATATGGCCACAGCTGCTATGGAAACCCCAACTCTCCAGCACTTCGTCTGGTCTACTCTTCCTAATGCGAGCCGAATCAGCAATGGCAACTCTTATGTGCCTCACTACGCTGGTAAGAATAAGGTTGATGATTTTATCAAGTCGAAGCCAGAATTACTGCGCAAAACCACGTTCCTTTGGGTTGCCTTCTACGCATCGAATCTGCAGTACCCTTTCTTCCAGCCGTTTCCCATCCCGGCCACGGATTCGCAAAAATACATTCAACTCTTACCAACTCCACCAAGTGTCCCGCTTACTTTGGTCGGCGATGCCAGAATAAACGTCGGACTTTTTGTTCGCGCAATTTTGAACCAACCTGATAAGTCGCTTCCGGGTAAATTTGTTCTTGGTGCGACGGACACGATGACGGCTGGGGAGCTTCTCTCGCTTTGGGCTTCGATTAAAAGCAAAAAGGCGGAGTGCTTAACGGTTGACAAAGAATTGTACTACCGCTTGTGGCCCAAATGGGCGCAAGTGATGCATGCCAATTTCATGTACTTTGATCTCGTACGAGAAAGGTCATACTCGGGAGAGGAGAGTATCCTTACAAGGCAGGATTTGGGCATTGTGGACTTGATTGACACCGCCACTGCTATAGCTAGAATGGGTGATTTAGTAGCCGATAATTGAGTCAAAGAGTGACTGATTAACGTTGGTAACCAGAGGCTAGAAACAGACCTGAACCAGTTTGAAATATAATAATAACATAAGGATGGATTGATTTGCCTTTGTTAGTTCCAAATTGCAACTGTTCTTCTCGCTTGCTCTGTTAGTGCAGGGGCCCTGATTGATGTATGACTCCACTCTAGTTGAAAGCTTAACGCTTTTGATTCAACGACTCTCCAAAAGCAGTGCTCGGCTAATCGCCTGGTACATAGATAATACTAAGGCAGGATACTGCTTATCAATCCTCTCTCACCATTCTGACTCTTCTGCTTCATTCAGTTCTTGCTCACGGAGCCCAGACCAATTGGCTCTAAACATTTTTTTTTTTTTTTTTTTTTTTTTTTTTTTTACCGCGGATCAAAATGTCGCTGCGAAAAACATCGTGCACGGCATGCGTCTCCGCCAAACGCCGCTGCGACCGTGTCTTGCCAGTATGTCATCGCTGCCTCCAAAAATGTTTACCATGCACATATCCCTATCCGCAACGGACGACCACACTAGACGTTCCACGGCAAGAAACTCTACTTCTTGACCCAATATCAGAGAAATTGCCAGAGTCCATGGAAGTTCCATTGTTAGCAGAAGACATGGGTGCTGGCGAGTTCCAAGATTTTGATCTCTCAAATATAGACGAGTTAGCTGGTTCAATCCTATCTTCTGAATGGGAGGCTTCTTACTTACCGAGTTTGACTGATGCCCTAATCTCGGTGGATATGGTCGATGTATTAGATGCATGGGAAGATAGGCCAATGTCAACCACCGACCTCGGTATGGATAAAAGGGAAGGCAATGGTAAGAGGAGGGGGACAAAAGCACAAAGTCAAGGGCATAAGGGTCTCCCAAGACGAGATCGTAAATGGCGCTATCGCGACGGTCAACAAACTACAACAGGAATGCAGGGCATACCAGCTATTCCATGGCTATTATCAACTAGCGAGATATGGCCACGAGGTCGTGATACAGAAACTTGGAAATTTTGCGCCAAAGAATTTCTCTCATTTGTCGACTCGTTCGCGACTACGGCGACAAACCCGTTCATTCTTTGGCCCAACAGCACCCTTCACACCAGTCTCAATCATCCACTCCAAAGAGCGCTGGGCGTATGTGCCGCGTCCAAAACACTGAATGAAGCAAGTCAACATTCTCTTAACCAGCTCCTCGAGACGGAGATGCAGAGTCTTATCAACAGCCCAGGAGCGGGGATCTCACCGATCGGTTGTTCAAATAGGCCAGGGATACACAGGCTCGGTTATGACGAGAGCCTTGTGGCCTTTCGCCACAGCCTTGGACGGTTACAGGCGATGGTATTGTACCAGATTATTGGGCTATTTAGTCCCAATTCTTATCAGCAATGTCTTGCTAGAAGCTATGAGCCTCTCTTAGCTGCATGGACAAGAGAGCTTTTACTTCAGATACAAATACTGGAGCTGAAGGCTAAGGATGCGTCATTGCCATCTCCCTTCTCTGCTGCTTCTTCTCATCCTAATTTTGACAACCCCGAAGATATTCTGGTGCGTCAACCTACTGGACTAGATATAGAGTGTCCGACGCCTCTTTCTTGGCATGGCACGTCGCTACAAAAGGAGGAGATGAACAGCGCATATAGAACCGTTCTCTTATCAGTTCTTGCCCGCTCCGTCTTTTCAGCACTCACGGAACAGACCTGCATGCTACTAGCAGAGCTGGGCTCATTACCCGTTTTCATACCTTCTGGTGTACCAAATTGCCAAGTTTCGGTCAATGCTTCACGACGAGTCTTCTGGAGCGAGCTACGACATCATGCCGAGGGGCACAAACGCTTCAACCGAGAAAGTCGGACATTATCATATCACGACTTTGCCGACCTTTGGAGCCAGAGCAAACTAGAGCTCGAAGATTGCGATCAATTCATTGTTCTGTTGCTCGTAGCCTGTAAAGGGGTTGAAATTCTTAGGAAATGAGTAACGTTTTTCATTAAGAAGGAACAAATGGTGCATCCATTGCGGCAATATAGGGAAAAGCAATGAAAGACCATTTCGATTCAACGATGTGGTGATTGTTGTGGTAGTCAGAATGCGGGCTGATGGGGCTGCCCGGCCGGCCACCCAGCCAGCCAGACGCCCGATAGGTTGGGCCAGAAAGGCACCACAGCCTACCCCTCCACATATGTTGGACTGCGAGAATCTTTTGAGACTTCAGTTATAATCCACCACTCCTACTGTACTTATACATAGGACGGTTACTAGGAATGTATTCTTTTGCTGTTTTTAGTCCGTACGGGACTTCTTCAGAACTTGTGAAACATCCACTCATGAGGTAGTTTCGTGGTTTACTTCGCATTTACCACTCGCAACGGACGAACCGCAGGTCAGCAAAATAAATTAAAAGAGACTATTGACCTTCTATGCCCTAACGTCACAATCTCAAGATAGTTCCGCGAGTGGGTACAGTAACGATTAGCGTTTCGGGAGATGATATTAAGATATAAAAAAAAAATGTCCCAAGCACCACTCACTATCAACCCCCTCCCCCAGGCTCCTTCACATCCGACAAGAATGAGAACTGGAGTTAACCCGCCAGTCAGTACCGTACGAATGGGAGCCTTCGTCAGAGGGTAACGAACCAAATACCCGACCAAAGGGGGGGGGGGGGGGGGGGGGGGGAAACCTCATTGAATCCTACGTCCAGCGGGTGAGTGAAGTCGTGGTTGAAACGCCATTTTAGACGAGTGCAATAATTAACCGGGGTATATGTCTTGCGACGAGACTGATGTGATTAATCACCGGCCTCCCAAACACGCCCCGAACCAATTCTGAGAACTCCCAGGCCGGTAACACCCACGGGATTATAAGGCCGGCTAGCGACGACAGAAAAGTAAATAAAGAATTTTTTTTAAAGATGGGCTTCGGAGCCCGGCGTCGGGCGGCCATACCCTTACGCTTCGACCTCTTCCGCCTTATGCCATCCCATGACGGTTTGTCATCAGCCCTGGCGTTAGAGGTGTTTTTACATGTCACAGTCCCACAATAAAAGAGAGAGGGAAGGGAAAGAAAAAAAAAACTTCATACGGCGACGCCCTCCCTTAACAGGGGACATGGCTTGTCATCTCCATGTGGGTGTATCTAGCAAGAAGGAAGAAGAGGAAGAAGAGGAAGAAGGGAAAATCTAGACCCAAGCCCACAAAAAAAACCACAGTAGGCGTCGAGAAGCGACCAGAATTGATGGGCAGAAGGGAAAAACACCAAGGGGAATGAGTAAAAAGGACAAAATTTTTTCTTCATGATATCCACAACGATGGATCCCCGACGCGAGCCGTTGTGCCTGCTGACGTCAAAAAGGCGTACAAAGAAAAAAATTCTCCAACGAAGAAACCCACTTGGTTGCTAGTGTTGGTTGGGATTTTTTTTTTTCCCATCCCTCTTCTTACACCTTGCTTGCTTCGTCGCCGCCCAACCGGTTCAGTTCGTTGATCATGGATCTTGGACCCCACCGTTCGTTCCCGCTCGACGCTTCGCTTTCGTGGACGAAAGAGCGGAAAACCTCGTTGCGTGGAGTGGGTTTGTGGTGGTGGTGGATGACTGGACCACCCTTGGGGACAGTCATGGCCCATGCAACAGATCAGGCACATCCCATTTCTGGTCCTCCACCCGTCAGGAACGCGGACATACTACGTAGGAAAAGGGACCCACATCAGAGGTGAATCATGGCACCTTGACAGATTGGGCGGGAAACCACGCTAGAAGCACGCTAGAAGGTTGAAATTCCTCGCTAGACGCTGACGCAAGGGCCATATAGATGGGTCAAAAGCGGGACTCCGCCATATGGAAGGACGCTAGAAGGGCGGGAGAAGGTGCAGGGATGCTGTATCTGAAGCTGGCAGCATATGCGAGGGTTGCGCAATCCTCAAATCAAAACCCGCATTCTTCATTGGGAGACTGAGAAGCGAACTTCTCTGACGTAGTGCAGAGAGATTTCGGAGCTTTATTCCCGTGGAGACATGCGGTTTAGGTTAGCCGTGTCGCATATATCACAAAGAGTTACTCAGCGCAACTGATAAAAATGCAGAGACATCGACAAAAGGCCGTCTCACTCACCGTAACCGAGCAATACAACGCCGACGACCCCCGAGCGATAATCGACATCACGTCCCGCCAGCCACGAGTATCGAGATTAATGACGCCCGTACGTGCCTCCGCAATGGAAGCAAGGGCGTGTTCGGACGAGGCCGAAGCCAAGCCTTCGCGAACCTAAACCCTTATTCCACGGCGACATTCCGGCGCGCCTCATTCCGCAGCATGCTTGTTTGCACCCCCCCATGTCGATGGATTCGGTGTCGTAGGGCATAGCGGCTGCCAGCAAGACAGACATCCACAGGGAGGGAGGCAGCTTGTAGCGTTGTATACCAGAGTCACTCGGACAGCAGGCGAATAGCCAATCTGCAAGATATCCCGGTGGCCGGCAATTCGTGGCACAAGCCGCCCATTACAAGCCACGAGCGGTGAGGATAACACGCAGCTGGGGTAGCACCGCCTCAATGTCTGATAGGGTATTTTGTTGCTACTGATGCAAGGAGCGAATCATCGTGAGGGACTACGGCGTAGTCGATGCGGTCAGCAATGACTGCCTCCCCAGGGAGTGGAAAGCTGCACTGCAAAAAACAATTGCTGATTGGGGGTCCATCCCGCGAGCTTAACTCTCGTTGGCTCGCAGCGCAGCCCTATCTGTGAAACCTGCAGCGCGGCGAGTTACTACGTTCCATCCATTGTGTGTGTTGGGCCCCTGGTGCTCTGTAGGGAGCTTACCAATGACTCTACATGGTAAATTTTACGTTCCCCATCCGAACACTTGGCTTTGCGCACCATAAGCTCTAGTCCCATTTCTCACGGCGGGCATGCGAGCAGTTGTTTTCCACCGAGGCCCGCTTGCAGGGCTGTAGCCTGTAGGGGACCTTTTGCATTTAATGATTTCGGCGATGTCCATAGGCTGACAGGGAGGCAGTCTGCCTACCTACGATTACGGGGGTAAATAATTTTTTTGGGATGAGCCTGAGACTCGTTGGCATTCTGCCATTGCCATCCCGGAGGTGCACGTAATTAAGGTAGTGATTGGGGGTTGCACAGGGTTAGTATAGGCTAGCCGCCACAACCGTGGGATTGTGAGTAGCAACAGCGAAGGAAGCTTTGGTGTTTAACCTTTCGGCAGTGATCGTTATGGCGAGTGCGTGACGGCTGTTGTTGTTGGTTATTGCTGATGATGAGTAATTCTTGTGATGTAGGAAATTGCTCGCCGACAGCCGACCGTCCGTCGGAGGCACGGCGACAAGTGAACCGTGCGGGTAGTTCGGAAGGGTGGGGAGGGGGGTGTTGTCAGATAGCTCTGGTGACGCGCAGAAAAGACGCAAAGAAAATGCCGAACTCCTTCTCCCTACCAAAAACCCTGATTATCGTCGACAGTGGAACTTTCGGACGACATGGGACCACCTCGTGAGCCCTGTTGCTACGGAGAGAGTCGGGCGCGGTCGCGGGCCAGGACCATGGAGATAGCACGGGTTTCTGCTGTCATCCCGAGTAGGTCCCAGGAACATGTGCTGCGTGCGCCGTGTTACGCCGTAAAACGCGATTTAAACATCGTGGGGTGTGCTTGACTGCAAGACCCTAGACTGGGTCAAGACTGGCCGCCCCCAATTCCCGCAACTTGGGAAGCCAAAGTGAAGATGGTCACGCGTGAACCGGCGGTCTAACCCACCAGCCCGGGCGTCCGCTCCGCCGCGTTAGGCACCCCCCTTCCCCCAGTATGAAATCGTGGCTTGGGTTTTCTCACGAGAGACTGGATGGTATTTGGTTGGCTGCGGAGGCGGCATGGTGTTTCTTCTGGAAGGAAACATAGACATTCTGCGATCTGGCCCAATTGGCTGAACCGAATTCGCGGTGGAAGCGAAGGGAGGAGGTTTCGAAATATTGGCATGCTATGCCGTGGGCCCCATGCAAGCCACTTGTAATGACGCCGTGTATTCGTACGTGAACATAGATGCGAATGCGCAGCAGGCAGGCAGGCAGGCAGGCAGAAGAAACATCGAAACACCGTCCCCCGTCGACTCAAAAGGCGTCGGTCGCATTCGCGAGTGTGTCTTGCTGCATGTTACATGCGACAGAGCGTGCCAGATTAGGCCTGGGGAATTAGTTGTGGCTTAAACCCTGCCAGTTCATTGGCAGATGACTGATGAGCGATGAGCAATCCTGCTTCGAAGTGATGACTATGTTTTGAGTTTCCCTTCGTTGCTCCGTGCCCGACCGCGGTGCCGATGGTGTCCGACACTTTCAAAGCAATCTCGGAGAGTAAAATCAATCAATCCAGGGCTTTCTTTCGGGATGGGCAAAATCGGAAACGGCCCCATCTTGTTTTGTCATCACTTGACAGCTTTTGCGGGAGCCAGGGTCCTTTTTCTTTTCGTCGGTATCCATGGAGACGGAACAAGTCGGCGACATGGTGTTTTTTTCGTCATTGATTCTTTCTCACTTTCTCAATCGTGGCCGAAACACTGGACTGGATTGAATTATCGCATACTCTATAGTGCCCCAGAGAAGCAATTCTTGAGTCGCTTTCGATAGGTAGGGCGGGTATCCGCACCTTGGACAGAACAAGTGAGGCTTCACCCCCCCTGGTAGGTGTGTTCTGTCGCCCCGGGCAATTGGGCATTCGCGGCAATCCGACGTGGGGTACGAAAGTCGACTCATCATGACCGTGGCTGGTGTCTAGGCACCATCGTAAAACAAAGCGAGCGAGAGCGAAGATTGGTACGGCGAGTGCAGCAGGCAGTAGGCGTTATGCCTAACGCGGAGGGGTGAATGCCCCTCGCTTATTGGCTGTTGTTACGTTGCCTTCAGCCCTATCTCTATCTCTTTACGACGTAGGTATCTCTTCCCCTCGTTGCTGCGCGTAAGGTACGGGAGTGTATTATGAAGCAGGGGTCGTAAGGTACCAGACATAAGGTACGTATCTGGTTACTGCTCTCGGGGCCTTTCGTAAATCCGCACATATCTCCCCCATTCCCCGTTCGTGTTCCTCGCGATGGCCTCTGATTGGTGCTTTTCCGACATAGCCAGTCAGCTGGGTTAACCGGTCCCCCGTCTCAGGCTCGCATTCGCAGGGGCATGTGGACGTGAACGTGGACGGAGCCGACGGGCGGCCGGGCAGTGCAAGTGCTAAGCAGTGCTGCGTACGTTGTGTACGCTGCGTGTGTGAAATGAGTTCCCGCCAGCTAGGCAATTACAATTCATCCATATTGGTGCAGTCGTGGTCTCTCGGCGTAGTTTGTCAAGACTAGTGACCGACGGGGGTTAAGGTAGCAACCGCGAAACCGTTCTCGGTTTGCTCGTTTAGCCCTTTAGATCTTATGCGAATTGGTAATGCTGCCCATTGCACGCTTCGACTGGGCGATTGTACCAAAACACACCCCCCGCCAATTACCAATGCTGGGGCTGTTCCCCAGCCTGTCGCAAAGGTGCACGAGAGTTACAGAGTGGTGTAGCAGGAATATGAGCCACGGGAAAAATGACGGATACCCCGAGGCAACAGAGAATGCCCACGTAGGCGCCTCAATGTAAGACTGGTAATTGACGTCTTCATTTTTATGTTTACTATACAGCGACCGGTTCAGATGAGAATGAGCCCTCAAGGTGACGCGGCGGAGATTGTGCTATAGTTAATGCTGTCTCCGTCCAGTGGTGATCATCTAATCATGGCAGGTAATAACCATCAAGGGAATAAAAGCATCAACCAGTGGTCGGTGCGGAGTTATGCCTATCCCCTATTTCCAACGCGGCCTATGAGCAGCCCGTGAACAGCCGGGGAGGGGGGTTCCTGGGGAAATGGTCGACGTCGATGGAATTGATTACAGAGAAAAAGCGTGCACTGGCTGACAAACTATCAACCCCGGAAGTGTACAGTAATTCACCTTAACTGCGTAGCATTTTCCATTATCTCCAGGCACTAAAACGGTACGTACCGGCTCGCCAATTCGTGGTCGTCCGCCGAGTGCGTCAGACACCAGGACTGAGACGGAAGCCACGTACCTGCCGTATTGCACCCGGCCAAGCACTGGTAAGCTGGAAAGTCCGAACGCCCACCAGAAGGCAGTCACCACCGCAGTTTGGGTCGCGGAGGCTCGGCGCCTCGGGCTTCTGATGACAAAACCCGCCAAAGTCCACAAAGCCCACACTTTCCGCTGTGAGTGAGTATGAGTCCTCCTTTCCCCCCACTTGGTCTCACACACCCCTCCCCCCCTGGCCGCTAACCTCAGCAACCCCGGTGGTCATCACCCCTCTGCACCTGCACACACACACACACCCCTCCCCTTGTCACCGCTTCCTCCTACGCTTTTCTTCTCTCCGAGTCCGACAGTCCCAGGTCAGCGGTGGAGGAGGTTAAAAGAAAAGTGTTTCCCACCACGATCTAGAATCCCATCATCCAGACATCAGCTCAAGATTACAGACAAACAGCCTCAGATATCCGAACAAGAAAGTATTTTCTAATCCAGCCTTTTAAGAATATAATCATCCCTCTATTCGGACATCAGCCCAAGCTGTTCGCCTCACTTCTCCGACTTCATACCGAGATAGCCCCCTTGGATATTATCAAAGCTTCAGACACCAGCACTAGTAGCCTAGGCACCCCTGCACCACCCTCTACCCCCGATCTCGCTTTGAGTCATAACTACCAAAATCGCGACATCAGTCACCGTCGGTGCAAAGTCACACAAAATGTCAACAACAACCACTTTTTCCCATACCTACTCTTCCTCTTCACCACTCCACATCACCGCCCAGAAGAAGAAGATGAGCATCACTCAAACTTACTACCTTGCCCACAAGGCCAGGGCCAAGCTCTCATCTGAGGCTGCCCGTGCCGACCACGACCTTCGCCTCCTCGTTGGCCACGCCAACCTCCTTGACTCCTTGATGCTCGAGCTCGCAGATGCCGAGCGTGAGCAGGAGAGCTGGTTCAACCAATCCGTCCGCGGAGCCACCAAGAGCGAGGAGCGCCACGTGCAATGGGCCGATACCATCGTCGAGAGCCCCGAGGATGACTGGGAGGCCAGCTCTGACGACTCCTCGGACTCTTCCGACGACGACTACGACGAGGAGGAGGAGGACGACATCGAGATGGCCGACACCGTCTCCCTCCGCCGCATGCCCTCCGCCCCCGCTTCCCCGAGAACAACAAGCGTCTCCATCTCGGAAGACTACGACATGGAGGAGGATGACCTTGAGGACGACTACGCACAGCTCGAGCTCGTCCGCACACCTTCCCACTCCTCCAGCAGCTCACCACCAGAGCTTGAGCACGACTCGGATATCTCTGACGACGAGTCGATGCCCCCATCCCCACCAAGCGCCGTGCTCACCTTCTCCGAGAAGGAAGCCAAGGAAGAGATCTCACAACAACGACAAGAGGACGCGTTTTACTCTGAGGGCTACTACCTGCCCCCGAGGAACCCAGCAAGGCTCGTGTCTGCCATCTCAGTATACTAGACACATCCTCTCTCCTCTTGTGATTTAATGATCTCTTCTTTGGTTTTTTTACAGCGAGCGTTTGCATGGCACGGCGTTATTACTCTTACCGATACCAAGAACCGGCACGGGTTATGATTTAAAATGGCGGGTTTACAAAAAGACAGCAATGTCACCACTCAGGAATTTCCCTCTCTCCTCTTTTGGATACTACTCTTTTTCTTATGTCGCAACGGAAAGCAAGGCACGATGGTTGATCAGGTGGATCACATATGAGGGCCTTGATGGATGAATGGACTTGTTACTGGGATTTCTTTTCTCTTCTGCTGCCGCTCCCGACTCCCGATCTCGGATCGTGGAGCATCGTGGTTGAGTGGTTCAGCCTATTGTGTTACAGACAAACAGTTAGAACAAGCCGCTGGGGTTGCAACAGTGCCCCTTTAGCGAGCCAGAATCAATTGAAACAAGCTCAAATTGAACCCCCCCTTTCCCATCTCTATGCCCACGTGAAGAGGTCACGATTGCATCATTGCGCTTCATTCGCCTCATTTCGCAATTGAAACTGGCTGACGAGTCATTTAGGCGGTCCACATGATTCAGCAGAAAAGATATCGACACTATGCGCGACAGCGAGCGAACAGCGAGAAAAGGCCCAGTGTGCCAGGCTACCTTTACCTCAGCACACCAAGGCACTGAGAGAAGCACGCTATAGCAACTACAGTACGCCCAACGTGCGCCCTTCGACCCCCGGCAGATCGGCGTCGCCCAGCCTCCGTCCTTCCTTGCTTACCTCATTACAACCCTTACACCGTTTGCACTCGACTATGGTTTTTGTTCCCTTCCCTATCTTAAACCTCTAGCTTTGAGCCGGCTTTCTATCGACACCCCCGCCAAGTCGTATCATGGACCAATCATAGGAAGGATACATGCATCGCATTTCGGACTTTGGGCGGTGTGTTTTAACTCCCCTAGAGTCGGAATTACCAAAGGGCTGCCTGGAGGAAGCGAAAACACCGACGCCCTGCGGGATGACTGTCTTTGTTATTCCCGTGCATCCGCTGTAGCGCAATTCAATTGCATAGTCATCGGCGACTGATGCATCATGAGTTGCTATGGCTATGGTGGTATTACAGTTGAAGGATCCACGGATCAAATCGACGTTGGACTTGTGTGTATTGTCACGATCCGAGGCAAGGAATCAAAAACTTACGAATACGATTTCCACAGTGATCTGACAGATCCGGTCCTATCGCCTGGTGCCGACCGAATGCGAACCGACAACAGAAACCAAGAGAAAGTCGGCGCAGGCGCAAGAGTCTTGGTACTGAACGATTACGACGATGCGACACGTACAGGCAGGCGGTCGAATTGAGCGGAGCGCGCGGCCTTGCGAGCAAATGCGAGTGGCCGAGGGGGGTGTGTGTGTGGCAGAGGCTTGAACAGTCATCGGTTTCCAGAACGGACGAATCCCGTCCGACCGTATACGACGACCTACTGCATGAAAGGGGAAAATTCGAGGGTGGGTAAGGATGTCGCGGAACAACAAGTTGCCCAAAAGGCGACCTAACGGAACCCGTTCGTCCTCTCGGGGACCGGCTTTCGCTGCGCTCGGGCCGTCCTACACCACGTGTCTCCTCTTCACGCCCATTTTTCCTCCAGCCATCAGGCAGGGCCCTTGTCATTAGCGACCTTGGACCCCCGCTGACATAAGGCGCAGCACAACCCAAAAATGCGCAATAGATCTCACTCGAGATTGAATTGGAGATTAGGGGATGCCCGAGTAAGGAAAAATCACACGAGGTTGGCTTGGCCTTGTCTTTACAGAGATACAGGGCCCCGGGCTTCATTTATCTCACTCAGCCCGTCGTGGCCAAATGAGATTGGCAATTGGCAGGTGTCAGCCAGCCAACCCAAACCCAGCCTCTTGGTGTCGTTCAGCTCACCCTCAAGCCGTGCTGACACGCCAGGATCGATGTCTCTATGGTGAGTTTTTTTGGCTGATCTCACTCACAAGCGAGGGACAGCTGGCAAACAGGGCTGAGAAGGAGGGCACGTTTTCGGTTGGATAATCCGTCCGACGTTTTTTGGTTACTTTCCCAAAGACGAGTCCGACTTCGCTCTGACTCTACCGGCGAAAATTATATCGAGCCGACAATCAACGATAGATAACGGAACGAGGAGGGGAAAACAACGACACGCGGATAGAATTTGCAGATCATGCCGTTCCCAGCTCCGCCCGCTACTCGGCTTCGGTAGCCGACACGGCACCGCCAGGTTTTCCTAGAGCGTTTGTGCTAACAATCGGTCCTCATACCCGTTTTTTTCCTCGGTCGCCAGTCTCGGCAAGCCTAATTGTGTGTTGGCTTAGTTCCTCTTCGGGAAAGTTTTAGCAGACGTGCGGGCTACAGGCGAGCTACAGGCGAGCGACAGGCGAGGCGACGCTTAATTGTTTCACCTGAGGATGGCCACTTTCCCAATCAAGTGTGCGAATCCCGCGGGGAAGGGAAGTCGATGGAAAGAAAGCGGAGACGGCGGTTGTTTACTTTGAGAGTTTTTCTTGAGGGAGTAGTTGCTCGCTGTGCTGTTCGCACGCAATCAACCGAGTCGATTAGGTCTCGGATGGAGAAGTTTCCTTTTGGTGGCGCCCAGAAATTCTAGGCTGTATGGGCGCTACGCTACAGCGGTCGATCAAGACCCTGGTTCTGTCTACGGTATCTCTGGGGGACGATCACTGACCGCTCTGCTGTCACCGGTTACCTGTCACAAACTACCAGCCCACTAATCTTAGAAAGAATTGATAAATTTGAATCAAAGAAAATTATTTTGTTGTAATTGCTGCCTTATCGTAGGGATTAACATTGTTATGCATTTGCTGCGGTTGAGGAGAGGGCCTCAAATGTTGAACCAGGCAACGGGCAGGGCGGTGAAAGGGTGGCCTTGCCTTGCCTTGCCTTGCCTTGCCTTGCCTTGCCTTGCCTTGCCTTGCCCTGCCTTTTTTGTGCATTCGCCTTGCCGGGTGCCTGAGCCTGGAGCAAGCATTAAAGTGTAGGAAATTGGGGCCAGAGAAACCATAAAATCCGCTGCAGCAAGGGCGGGAGAGAGTGCGTGCAGGTGACACGTCCACCCCGGATGAGACATTGGGCACGCTGGGCCTGGGCGTGGGGTTTTCCTCTTTGCGTGTTGTGTCTGGACTCTTTCCCCTCTTATCTTGCTCGGTTACTGTATGGGTACGGTTCAGATAGATGGGGGGGTCATGTGAGGCCGGATTGTGCAAGGCACCGGCCTGGTGAGCTCTTCGCACGCAATGCTGTTGCTATAGTTGTAGTTGCTGTTTCTGTCTTGGATCGCAATAGTATGCATTGATTGTCTGCTTCGCACGCATTATTCATGATAATGGGAGGTGACACGACGACGACGATGATGATGGATGTTGCAATAGCCCTAAATCGAGTCATCATCGCATAGCCGGTGGCGAGCTATACTACTAGTCTGTAACCCCGTCAAACGCGATCTTCGCATCGCTAATTGTCATACACTTGTAGACCGTCTCCACGGCTCTCGGCTGTGGTTTGTTGATGATCTCTACTACTGATAAACGATAACGGCCTTACGGATCGGCCGTCCTTTCTCCTCTTCATCACTCCCTCCCCCTGGTGATTACGGAAACCCTTGTAGTATCAGGAGCCTCCCGACCGGTATGACTGACCCCTCCGTATCCGCACCGCGCACCCCCCCCCCCTCTCCACCTTTGTCCACCTTTTCTCTCCCGTTAGCTCCGATCCGTCGCAGACCGTATCCATCGCAAACCACACGCCTCCCTCCTCTATTTCCGCCGGGGGGTATGCGGCGAATGGGTAAGAAGCGGAATGAACGTGGCAGTCCTTTTCTTTTCTTTTCTGCACTTCGGCACGGCGGGGCGGTGGGCTTTAAGACTTACTTACATGGGCCCCATCACCAGCACTGTTGTCAATCAGAGGGGGGAGAAGGTGGGCTGAGGCTGAAGGGGGTGAAATTGAAATTTGAGGAGTATTGAGGATCGATGAGGTCGAAACAGGGTCATTATAAAAGAGTGCAAAACAAGCGAGAAAGAGATCAAACTGTCTGGGGGCACAGGGCCTCGACCAGAGTCTGTCCATCACATCTCCGCTTTTTGTTCTCTTTTCTTTTTAAGCTGTGTGTGGTTTGTTCGGGGAGTTGAGTCACCCAGCGATGCGAAATCTTGTCTCTGATGCGCAGATGCAATCTTTCTCCGCTTTTATTTTTTGTAATGGGAGTGAGCTTGGCGTTGGAGTTAATCTCACTTTCTTGCCATAAGTCCAGAACCTTAGCCCCCACAAGGATACATAGTACGCGGGAAGGGGAGGGTGTGAGCGTAGTATGCGAATAGTGGATTGATTGATAATTGTGCTTGCTTTGGTAAGCCGAAGCCGAATTATTCATCGAAGTGGGGGAGAGGGGAGGGGATGCGGTTCCCACACTTTTCCGCGCTGATGATGAATGATGTGGAAAGGGAATGCAGATGCGGGTACGGCCGCCGCTGGTTGACTGCACGGCCGTAGGTATGCTACCGCCCGGCCGAACCCCGCTGGAAGATGCTGGATGATGGAGAGAGGTTCTTCCCGTTGCTTCTTTATTTTTTTTTCCCTCCCCAGCCAGATTTGTCACAGGCAAATGGTGTCTGGTTGCCCGGGGTGTTCACCTCGGTGAGTCGGTGTCGTCAATAGTCCCCTATACCACTACCTACAACAAAGGCTCCGTTCTCAGACATGATGGAAACGGCCCGCCTATCTTTACTACGTGGAGCATCCATCAAGGTCTAGAGCTTGAGGGTTCATGAATAGAGACATGATCAGACAGAGATAGGCAAATATCTCTCAAGTAGGGCGGCACCAGATGAATTGAACTGTCTGGCCGTACATGTTCCCCAACTCACGAGACCACCCGTCTCACCTCGGTCCACCACGCGCCCAGCCCCCCCGCCCATCCGGGTGTTCCAGACCAGCGGTTCACTTCAACCTCGTTCAAAGTGCAGAAACAAGAGTTGGTCCGTCCGCATGTCTGATGTTCGGGTGCCTGACAGGGAACGAAATGGAGATTCGGAATTAAGAGTGTCTGTCGTCCAAAGCGAAAGTTGGGTGTGGGGAAGGGGGTGAGTGATTGAGCAAGTGTCTGACAGGATGAACGTGACCGTGACGTTAACCATCTCTCGTCCGGATTTCGGGGTCTTGTGACGGGGGAAAGAGAGACAAGAGGACACTTGCTCTACACTGTCCCTGTACACTATGAGTGGTGCCTCATTTCATTACTGCATTACCCCATACTCGGTGGTAAGAAGTGCACTGCCGCATTCTGTGTGTACAGGGCCTCAAGACCCAAATACCACGCGGACAACAAGCGGCGGCGCGGAGCGGATTTCGCAGTCCGCGCCGACACCGAAAAAAAACTCAGGGTCATTGACTTTGGGTGTGCAGGGCAGGCTCGCTCACACAGAGCACACCCAGAGTGCACCCGGGTCGCCGGATCCTCGTCGGGAACTTGCCAAAGTCCGGGAGGACCCACTATTTAGACATACCACTGGCGTGCTGAAGGTCCCTTGCTCTAGCGTTTGTCAACGACGCAAACATACATACACACACACACCTTCTACCCGCGAGTCCCGGTTTTTTGGACCCTGGAAAATGGTGAGGTCATCTTTGAATGAGCGATCTGCTACCGTTCTGGGGATGGGGGGGCTATGGCGTAGTTCGGACGGCGGTGCGGTTGGACGAGTGTCCGCGCCCCCTACGTTCATGTTGTCACCATTTTATGTTTGTTGGAGATCAAGGGTCGATCGACGGCCGATGGGCAGGGGTTCAAGGGTCTTGGTTGACGTTGAAGACTGAAGTCGCGGATCGCAGAGGTAGCTATGTTTTGTGGCCGCGACGGAGGCGGGTATGCGGTTCCCCCCGTCGTCTCGTCAGGGTTCTGGTGCCGGGCTATCGGTATTCGATCGTCTGCTCGTGGAGAGTGCATCCTAGCGTATATGTATCTGTATGATGGCTTCCTTACCTTTTGATGGTCTGGGGTTTGCAGAATAGAGCATATGTTACATTTACGTGTGCTTTTTGCACCTTTCATGCCTATGGCCTCTCGCTCTAATCACCAGGCCTGAATCATTGGTGTGCTGTGCAACACTGATTCGCCGATGACGGCCATGTGTACTTTGGTTCAGGTAACGTCTTCCCATTAGGCTGAACATGAGCAAAGAGAAACTCCAAAGCTGGGTTAGCAAGTCTGCCTCAAATTAAGCATCTCGTGTCAATATCCATAAATGAACAAGTTTGCAATAAGATATACATCGGAGAGCAAACCGAACGTATCCATGCTACATAGACAACTAGTTGTTTCCCCAAGTCTCAACAGATAGTTGCAAGGGCGGCGGGGTCAACACTGGTAGTTCCTAAGAGATAGACTCTAGCACGAGAGATGATCATAAGGTGACTGGGAATTCAGGGTAACCCAGAGCGACAAGATAGAAATCGGAAAACAGATAAGGCCCATCTCACAAGTGTTGTCACTCAGGTCAGAGTGTAGCACCATGGTTTGACACTGCTACCGTAAGCTTGAATCATGAGCAACTACTTTCCGGAGTAGAAACACGCTCCGTTATGCAAGACTGGCGGAAACCTTTATGCAGTCATCATATCCATAAGTTGGTTGTCTAAAGATCAGTTCAAACTGAAGTCAGCGCGACTTCTGCCTTTGCCTCTGCCTTTGTGTGAAGGTCGGCTTCCTCGGGCACTTCTCTGTGTCAGCAAGAGTGGTCTTTTCATATTCTGTAACCTCAACACAAACACATTCATCCCACTATTGGTAAGCCTTTGTCTTAAGTCCATGAATCTTCAAGTGGTTCAGCACTCAATAATCCCCGTCAAATTTCAAGTTTACATATCAGAAACCCTTGTGTAACTTACACCAACACGTACGCAAATCATAAAGTTCACTTATCACATACGCAGTGAAAAGTATTCAAGTGGATTAAAGTCACCGCTGGCAAGGTTGTATTCCAGGTAAATGTCTTAAATAGCGCAGAAGTAACTACCTTCGTGACGTCTGGCCCTGTCTCTGCGCCAACCCACAGGTGTTGTCGCATGCAGCAGTCTGGACCAACAACGATACCACGCAGCTGGGTTCTCTAACCACTTTTCAACTTTAATGCCTAAAATATGCTTTATTATTACAATGGAGCAAGACGGTTCACGGGTTTTTCCGTGTCAAACTGACAATGACACATCTACTCTTGGGGATAGAGCATTCGAGGAACAAATAGGTGGTGTTGGGAGTCAAGTGGAGGGGCAAGGCACGTGATGACTTTCGAAAACCAACCTGTTTTTTTATTGCGTAGCTGCATTAGCAGTTTCCGTATTCATTTGTGACTAATAAAGTGAGTAGCAGGATTGGATGGAAGAGTAGACGTAGAAATGGCAAGGCGGTTAGTCACCTCGACAACTTCTACAGAGCCGGAGTATCTGCAAAAGTAGTCATAGTTCCCTCCGCATATCTTGCACCTCTGACATCCGCGTTCTCGCATGCATCCCTCAGTTTTCTGATCTCATCTTGTTTCAACCCAATATCTAAACCAGCCATGTTCTCCTCCAGCCGAGCCAGCTGCGTGGTGCCCGGGTTCGGGAAGATGTTGTTGCCCCGCGCAAGAAGCCAACTCAGTGTGAGCTGCGACGGCGTCACTCCCTTCTTCTTTGCAATCTCCATGATGATATCGACGAGCTCGAGGTTTTTGGGAAAATTCTCTTCACTAAAGCGCGGCAAATGCGCCCGAGTGTCGTCTGAGTCGAAGTTCGGCGCGTGGACGAGCGGCACTGGAGAGGAGACCGCGCTCTAGGGGGGAGTCCGCGACAACAGCGACACCCAGTTCCCTGGCAACCTCGAGCATCTTGAACTGCGGCGACTCGATTTCGAGAGCGAAAGGCGAATAATCCATCTGCATGGCAGTTATGGGGTGAATTTTGTGCGCGCGGCGAAGCGTCTCGGCGCTAACCTCGCTCAAGCCCAGATACCCGATCTTGTCTTCTTCCGTGAGCTCGCTCATCGCCTAGACTGTCTTCTCAATCGGCGCCTTTTGGTCGACACGATGGCAGTAGCGCAGATCGATTTGGTCTAAGCCAAGCCGAGAAAGATATTTCGCGCATGCGGTTTTGCAATATTCTGGGCTAGAGTCAACAGCCCAGGTGGGCTGGAAACCAAACCTCGTAGCCAGAATTACGTCCTTGCGCTTCTCGGGATTCTTGGCGAACCACCGGCCGTTAAATTCCTCAGAATCCCCATAGACATCGGCTGGGTTCTTAATCTCAGTATATTGACTACAGCAAACAGAAGTGATGGGTTGCATGAACTTACCTGTGTCCCAAAATCTCTCACCTAGCTCGTAAGCCTTGTCTAGAAGAGTCATTCGCTCTTCGTCAGGCTTTGCAGGGCCATAGAAAGTGCTGAAGTCTATCAGTCCAGGTCCAGGCGGGTGACCTCAGGACCATCGCAACCAAGCTGGCGTGTAAAAAGGATGAAATCTTGAGTTTGATTAGGGAGATAACCAAATTTTGGACTGATTCAATTTAATAGGGCTGTGAGTTTTTGCGTATTATTAATCAATTAATTGTTTGTCCATATCAAGTTTCTCATGGATGTTCAAGTAAAATGTGGCTATTGATCTATAGTACCTGCAAGTCAGATTCACTATGAAGATATCAAGGTCATATATCCGTCTTGTCCTATCTCCCTCTTTGATTGATGACAGAACGCCAAGTTCCTTACGACAAAGTCATGGTTATTTCAGAATAACGGCGTCTGCATGATCTGCTTGGTACCAATATTCGCAAACATATTCATTATGAATCATTTGGTTGGTGTGGCGCCGGGGCAGGCTCCGATATTGCAGCAGCCGTAAACGTACACGCCCATGGATCTATCTTGCGGTCTTGCCGGCAACGATCCTACCAGCAGCATCCAGACTGATCACATGGTTCTGTTGATATTGGCTGAAAATCCTCATAAGGACAGGTTACTTACAAACAGTTCATGGTTAGTCGGGAAGCAGCTCAGTTTTAAGCTGGAATAAGTTTCAGGTGAAGCTGGCGAGGCTGTCGGGGACGCGGTAGAACGGACAGAAACGCGACGAGACGATGTCGCCCGAGACAATGAAGTCTCTCTTGCAGCCTAGATGCATCCCTGGAAAAGGATGTAAGCAAATACTGATAATTACTGGTATATCGGTATTTGAAATATGCCAGCGTCGATGTATAGATGTCGTTATAAGGTTGCCCGCATAGTTTGAGAGTTTGACTTAGTGAGCTCCACACCTCTATATGGTTACCGAGGAGCCGCAAGAATGCAGGGGACAATATCCCACTTACGCTTTCGTTGACCAGAACGGGAGCGCTTGTGCAGCGTTGTATAAGCCGTTGTGAAGTTGACAAGAATCAGACTGGTCAACTATAGCGCAGCAAGTCAAACCGCAAGTCTGCCTATGACCCGATCAACTGACGTTCCCTCAGATGGTGGATCACTGACTGTGAAAACTGGGTCTTTCATTACGAGTTTCGAGATGACAGCTCAGTTTAGCTTGTGTTAGACTTGATTGAAAGCCCATGTCTAATATCTAGCGCGTTTGTTTTATAGCCTTCTATGCGGACATTCATTTCACCGCATTGCTAGTTCTTGAAGGCGATTTGTTGACTCGAAGCAAGCGCTTTCAGATAGCTAATGCCAGCAGAGCGATGGCGTTTCGTTCGCATTACTCATCCAGAAATCAGGACAACCACCCAAGGAGATAAGCGGTCGACACCCAAGGCAACGTTTGGGAAGGAATTCCTAGCACATTAACAACATCCTGACTGTTAAAGAGTTTTAGCCTTTGTGAACCATGATAAGATTCAGAATCGACAGCTTACACTGCAACACCCTTCTGGGCCGGGGCATGCGCATGGGGGCTGAAATAGATTGCTGCAGCACGGCGGGTTTTGCCTGCCGAGAAGATGGCGACCAGACACTTCTTTGACAATTGCCCCATCGGGCATGAGAATGTCGCACGCTGCCAAGGCCGCACAGGAGAGAAGGGTGAAAAATTGCAACCTCATTTTGACGATGATACACCTTGACCTGTCTTGCTCAGCTGTTGTTATAATTCGGTGTTGAAATCAACAACAATCATTGTCTGATGGCAAGCAGAAGGTCGTTCGTTTTATAACCCACGTTGGACGCGTTGCCCCTCCCTGGCAACAACTTGAAGATGATCGACAGGGGAACCACTGAAAGCCACATTTAGAGTTTGCCATTTATTGCTCAAAGACTTGGCTATCTGACGTATCATAATAAAGACACAGTGGAGTTCGGAATCGGTTTCCAGGTTCTCAGATCGCAAAGTTCCTATGCAGTAATGCTTGCCGAAGGAATACACCATTTAGGCAAGTCCAAGATGACTCGGCAGAAAAGCTAGGAAAGGGGCTCACACTGTTGTCAGACCCATTTTACAAAGTTAAAGATCTATTATAAGCTGCTACAGTATTATATGCACAAGTGTACTTTTCATTTTTGTGCAACTTACTGACGTCCATTCAATTGTACGCATGAATTGTTTCTCGAATCCAGACGATTCCCGCCATTGGGCTTTAGTTCATGGGTGAACCTACAAAAGCCCGGTTCGCAGCACCACACCGAGACACTCTCGTGACAAGGATGTTATCGCAGTTCCCTCAGAGTGAGTAGACCGGAAAGTATACATAACAAATTGATCAATACTATAGTAAATTCAGTCTACCGAAGCCGTAGAACTACAGTCTGTCCAGTCTTCTAAACTAGCAGGTAGATTGTCGTCTGCCCTAAAACTCAAAGGACGCCCCGATCCCAGTACCTTCTCCCTCAGCTCGTGTACTGATGTATGGAGATAGCACGATGGTCTCTTCCACGCTGCATAGCCTTGGGGAGGCCCGTAGTGGTCTTCGCTCCCACTGGCGTGGATCACATCTCTCTGTTCCACTTTTAGCTCTAATGCCTGTTCATCCATCTGCTCTGCCTCTTCAAATTTCCCTTGTTCTCTCAATACGTCCGCCAAGACGCCCATGCTAATAAGTGTGTCAGGATGCTTAAGCCCTAACACCTTCTGCCGTAGTTCCAGCGTCTGCCGATGTATCCGTTCTGCCTCTTCATACTGTCCCTGGCTTTCAAGCACAAATGCTAGGTTATTCATGCTAGTAAGTGTGCTAGGATTCTCAAGTCCTAGCACCTTCTGCCGTAGTTCTAGCGTCTGCCGATGTATATGCTCTGCCTCCTCATACTGTCCCTGGCTTTCAAGCACAGATGCTAGATTATTCATGCTAATAAGTGTGTCAGGATTCTCAAGTCTTAGCACCTTCTGCCCTAGTTCTAGCGTCTGCCGATATATATGCTCTGCCTCTTCATACTGTCCCTGGCTTTCAAGCACAAATGCTAGGTTATTCATACTAATGAGTGTGTCATGATTCTCAAGTCCTAGCACCTTCTGCCGTATTTCTAGCGTCTGCCGATGTATATGCTCTGCCTCTTCATACTGTCCTTGTCTTTCAAGCACGACTGCTAGGTTATTCATACTATTGAGTGTCCTAGGATTCTCGATTCCTAGCACTTTCTGCTTTAGTTCCAGTATTTTTCGCTCAATATGCTCCGCCTCGCCATACTTTCCGAGAAGCTCATGAATTTCTCCTGTAATAGACAACAGATTCCATAATGCTTCTTCGTCTGTGCATCGATCCTGAACCTGAAGGGCCGCTTGCGCATGTGGAAAATAGGCTAGCCACACTTCTCTGTTCAGGTGATCTGGCCAAGGAAGCCTCTTTCCAAGCCAGTAGATCGTCTCCGTCACCTCATCTTCTTCCTTCCCTCGCTCCCTCAGCCAGTTGCGCATAATTAAGCGTACCAGTCGATGGATGTCGAACCTATTCGCAGTGTCGCGCTTCTGGATGAACGCGTAAGCCATCAGCATGCTTATTGCTTCATCGGCGTCCATATCGCTATCAATATTAATACTGTCGTCACTAGGCGGTAAAAGAGCTCTAGGAATATCTTTTTCTGCGAGGTAACACATAAAGCTAAGGTAATCTGCTGCTAGTCGGTTGTCCCTTGATATATGCTCAAAAGAGATCAGCCATGTCGTGGCTATCGGATTCTGAATATCCTCGTATCGACCTTGGTCTTCGAAGTCTTTGCTAAGCAGTCTTACTAGGGTATCGTCACTAGACCTACAATATTCGAGATATCGAGTAATAGTCACATTCGTGTTCGTAGCCATATAAGCAGATGCTTGCCGAATAGCTAGAGGCAGGTATGTAAGGTGTTCGAGTAACTGTGCCGTACTTTGATCATGGTCAAACTGGCTTTCTTCTAAGCCGCTGTGCAAGAGTTGAGTAGCTTCGTCGATACCCATTTGCGGGAGAAGCATAACACTATCGCGAGTAAATCGTGCCGCAGCTTGGCGGTTCCGTGTTGTAAGCAGAATAGATCCTCTTCGATTAGAGGGCAGCTGCGATATCAACTTAGAGCTGGTAAACAGCATATTCATATCGTCGGCATTATCGATAATAAGAAGCCAGCTGCCAACATCATGTCGTTCTAGGGCAGCTTTGACCAATCCTTTGACGTCCGCTTCGTCGTCCTCAATGCCTTGGATGCTGAGCTGTCGGCCGATGTCGCGATAAGCGTTCTCAAACATGACCATGTCCACGGCCGGCACCCAGAACACCGAGCAGTCCGGGTATACGTCGCGAACGCGATAGGCGGCTTCGATCGCAACCTGTGTTTTGCCAACCCCTCCGAGACCGAAGATAGCTGTCCTTTGACAGGTATCGCCATAAGCAGACGGGGGAATCCTTTCGAGAAGTTGCGTTAACATCTCGTCTCTGCCAACAAAGTTTGCATTCCGGCCAAATGGGACGATAAATTGAGGTTTCTGGTGAGCTGGAAAGCATTAGACTTGATATCAAATATCTCTTTATTTTACTCTCAATCTTTACTTACAATCTTCTTTCCCATGTAGATCGCTCGACACCAACGCCGGGATGGTGGTCAGCAATTCTTTGGCATATGCTGCAGCAGTCGCTGCCGCGTATGGTTGCCACCGCTTGTTCTTATGCGCGTCTGCATAGTCGCAGATTCCACGGATGACAATACAAGGAAAGTTGTTCATCAATCCGGCTGCCTCCATTTCAAAGCACAAGACTCCTCCTAATTCCCGGCTATGCCTATCGCGCGTCGGTCCATCCTTCATCACCTGGTTCCCAGATGCGATGTTGCCAAAAAATAGAACTGGGTCAGTCGTTGTGCGTGGTTCCCTGCGTATCATGTCTTCTGAACGGCACTTTACACATGTGTTTCCGGCAATGTGTATCGACGCTGCTTCGTAAAAGAATGTCTTGAGCTGAGCCTGGCGATGCGAAGTTTGGACGACTGGAGAGTTTGGATAGATGTATAGGGACTTGCGTCTTGCCCCGATCATCATTTGCGCGGAGTTTAGCCAGAGCATTAAGGAGGATTGTCGGTGGCGCATTGAGGCTACCGGTGCGAGCGATGCGACCGTTAGCCCCAGTCTTGCCGAAATCATATTGAATTACTCCACCATGCTGCCCAGTCGGCTGGCTAATGACGACGTCGCCGAGCCGAATGTCGATGTCGTCTTCAAGGTTCGGAACGCCACCGCCGATTCCAACGAGGACGCTGAACCGCAACGAGGGGAAGTTGGTTTTCATCTGACTGGCTACGACGGCCGCTTGGTTCGTGCCCATCTGGCCGACGGGCAGGCAGGCAGCTACGATGTTGTGGACGCCGATGCGGCCAAAGGAGTAGACGTTTGAATCAGACTGTTGTGACGGGAGATCAGCGTATTCCTCGTCCATCATTTCTATTGCGGCTGCGAGCTCGATGGGCAGAGCGCAGACCCAGCCGACCGTGAAGTCGCGGGCAGTGATGGCATTGGTCATGGCGCCTTAATATGGGATGTGAGTCTGGCGAAGAAGTGTCGTTACAGAAAATCGACATGACAGGACGTGCCAGCACTATGGAGTTGTTTGTTTTGTGAAGAAGCCTGTAACCGCCGGGGCACTGCGACGAGAACAGCTTTGTCTTTTCAGCCTGATCGTGAGGGGTCATACGCATGAACATGAGAATGCTGTAAGGCCAACCAAATTAAGGAAAGCTGATGTGGTTGGTCGCCTTTCTCTCCTGCGCCACATGCATGCATGCTTTCTCGCCTGGGTAAGACGAAATATTGCCCATACGACCACTGCATAGGCAGTATACCACCTGAGAATAGATTAAAATTGAGAGTAGCAGGAATCTCTTGTAAATTTCCGTTGATGAGATTGAGGCATTAGGAAAGTACAGCGACATAAACGCAAGACTTTTTATATTGTAGATGAAGTTCTCGAGGACTTGACACTTCGAGGCCATCGCTATTTGGACTTGTGATATCTTGGCAAATGGGCGGGCCGTAAAGCGACGGGGAAAACCACCAGTTAAATTTGAATGGCTTTACCACGTTGGCGACTTAGGCTGGACGATCTAACCTACGGTAAATGGTACAACTTGGCGCAGACGCTCTCAGGAATCATTATTCGTTGACCAGTCTCCCTTGACATCTGCAGAGTGCCAACGGTATAAAGGGCTCTGACACATGTTACATTAAGCCGTTTGGAATGCACGTTGGCATCCCGACCCGATGGAGGCAAAGGTTCGAAGGGCAACTGAACCAAGTCCGTAACAAAACATCAATTTACCAAGCCGTAATTCAGCTCATAAGGTGTGTGTACATGAGTCGCCCCTAGGTCGCCAAACTGTTTGTAGTTCAGTAATGTACACGTGCACTATAATATGTTCGGAGTTCTCTGCTCATTCAGTATTCAGCTGATGACTGATCATATGAGATGAATGGTTATTCCTTCTTCAATGGCTTTGACTTAGGCTAGATGAAGAAGTGATTGTTGACTTCGCCCATGCGATGAGCCATGTTCCAAGCTTCAGTCTGTAACAAATTAAGTTGCAACAGCTCAGGTCATAAAAACCGAAAGCTGGTTCGATACATGAACTAAATGCATCGAGCGTGCAATGAATGGTGCAACGGCAGTGTCCCGTTCAGGCAATGATAATTTTTATATGAATGCAACCCCCGGGCACCATCCACAGCCCGTTCGTGGCTTATACCGCCGGTTGTGGTACTGCCGCGGAAACACCACTTTTAAGAATGATCTCCGACTTTTCCTTCTCGGCAAGGCACCAAACCGGTTTCATTTACGTAGCTAGGTAACCAGTGCCACTGAGAAAAAGCCAGGTTTATCACTAGCAGAAATTCAAACCGTGGATACGTGAATAAGATTGTGGGCAGTAAACCAGGGCTTAGCTTGGCTATTGCAGTCTCCTCGCCCACGCGAGCAACTGTTGTGCTTCAATTACCGGCGGGTGATCATTTCCAGCCGTTCTCTCCCATTCTTCGACAACATATTCAACTAGTTTTGTCCCTTTTTCCCTCGATGATTCACTGGTATTCTGCAAGTATGCCCACGCAAGGTTGTACTGGAGAGCCAATAGTCGAGCGTCTCCCTCAGATGCTGACCTCTTTTGAGTTGCCACTACTTGCTCCAGTAAATCAATCCCTTCAGCATGCTGTTTAAGTTGGACATATGCTAGTGCCAATTCCAACTGCGCCAGAATGTATCTGTAGTCTTCTGTTGCTTCCGAAATTTTCTCATAGACCGTCATCAAGCTCTTTAGTGTATTGATCGCTTCATCATACTGACCTTCCAGACGGTATACCCTGCCCAGTTTATACTTGGTGTTCAGCAGATACGGATCCCATTCGTACGCCTTAACCGTCGTCTGGTACACATTTAGTACATGCTCGAGTAACTCTACCGCTTCCTTGGTCCGTCCGCCACTTGAATATGCGTCCGCGAGACTCGATTGTACTTGCAGAAGTTGCTGGGGGTCTGAATCGTCTTTCGCCGCTTGCACTGCGACGATATGCTCTAGCAAATCGATCGCAGTACTGACTTTTCGCAGATCTAGGTTTATTCTGGCGAGTAACTTTTGCGTACTAAGTAAAGCCGGGTCATCGACCTTGAGCTTTGAGCTTCGCATATTTACCACGTGCTCAGCAACAGCGAGTGCTTTCGTTGATTGACCGAGAGTGCAGTATTGTAAGGCAAGAAGCATTTGCGGTTGTAACACCATTTCGTGGTCTTCTGAATACTTCCTTGCACGCACTTCTACGACGTGTTTTAGTATCTCAAGTGCCTTGTTTCCCTCCTCGGTGTTCATAAACGTATAATTTTCGGCGAGGTCAAGCAGGGCTTGTAGTCGAAAGGGATGTTCCTCGTCGAGCGTTCTCTTTCGGCTTTTGACCACGCATTCCAGCACGCGTGATGCTTCCCGGTAGCTTCCTTCATATAACAGAAAACGGCCTACCGAGCTGCCTAAATTGCATGCTGCCTTATTGTCAAGCCCGAGCTCTTCACTGGTCCGCAGGAGCCTAAGGGCATGGGGCAAACACTCTCGGATGCCATGCTTGAAGAGGTCCGAAAACACATTGTTAAGCTGCACCAATGCATCGTCCACGGCCTTCCTGACGTTTCCTTGCTGTTTAATCCATACGCCAGCTGCCAGATGTACAAGACTGTGCATGTCGAACATCTCGTCGTCGTCTCGGGCGGTAATGAAGGAGTATCCAAGAAGTGTTCCGATCGCGTGCACCGACTTTTCTTCTGTGTCAGAACCATGGAGCATCGAGCGAGGTATTGCCTTGGGTTCAATTTGTGACAGAAAGGTGAGCAGCTCGGCGGCTGGAGGATCGGATTTTCGAATCTGGTCAAACGACACAAGCCATGTCGTTGCGACTGAGACCTGCGAACCCCCGTATCCGTTATTGTTTGAGAAGCTCCGGCTCAAGAGACTAACTAAATCCTTTTCAGAACGTTTCATCAGACTCAAATAATTAGCAACGGAGATCACGTTTCTGTTCAAGTAAGCCGCAGCATGCTGGATGGCCAAAGGAAGATAGTTGAGCTCTTGTAAAAGTTCCTCTATGATTTTGTTATTATCAAATGGCTCTGGTCGGTTCAAGAGCCTATGAAGAAGATCTTTCGCCTCATATTCGTTCATGGTTGGTATCTTGACCACGTTTCCATCTGTGACCTCCGAAGCCACATCCGGCGAACGGGTCGTGAATAGTGTGAGGGTCTCGTCACGCTGCGGAAGAAAGGTTTGTATTCCGTCGTGGCCTAGAAACATGTCCCCGTCGTCGGCGTTGTCGACGACAAGAAGCCACCGGCCAGCTTCATCTGAGCTCAGATAACGTTGCACCGCCTTCGTGGAGTCCTGCCTTCCAGAAGCTGCAAGACCAAGTTGTTGAGCAATCTCTCCGTATGACTGTTCGAAGCTTTCATGGCTCAGGGCCGACACCCAGAACACTGAGTAGTCTGGCAGGCTGTCTTTCACCCAGTAGGCTAGGTTGAGTGCCGTTTGTGTCTTTCCCACACCGCCAAGCCCAAGAAGAGCCACTCTGTCGGATTCTTTCTGGACCAACATCTCTCGCAGTCTATCGACTATTTCAGTACGACCAACGAAGCGAGTATTCCTGCGGATTGGAATGTAGTGATGCGCTCGATCTAAGGCAGGATTAGTCTCACATTATGCAGAACAAAACAAAACTGAGCACACTCACTGCTCTTGATCTCCGTGATTGACTCGGATGACTGGGTTGTTGAGTTAGCGCTTACCGAAAGCTCGTTCAGAGCCTTGGTAACATTTTCCAGTTCATCATGCAAACCGAAGACCTCGTTCATGGCCAGCGTCTTGACGTGCCCCAAAATCTCCTTCATCAGGCCCTCGACCCGGTTCGCTTTTGTGCCCCGCAACGCCTCTCTATACCAGGCGCGTGCCCTCGTCCACGTCTTTGCGGCGGTCTGGTCCTCTTTGCATTTTCCCTCGAATTCCGCAAAGATATCCTTCAGTATCTTTGCCTTCTCGTTGCAATCTCGAACGGTCGCACATACTACCTTGTAAGCTTCATCATCTTCGGCGAACCTCGCTGACGTCTGAAGTCTCCTTTGCAAGTCTTGGAGAATCTTTCGAACAAGAGGGAGATCTTTTTTCACTTCGTCGAATGCTTTCGGTAGACCGTTTATCTTCTCGATGGTTTTGTAGGATTTCGCAATGATGTCAATCAGTGCAATCGCCGAGGTAGCAACAGCGAGCGCCTCCATGTCTGTCGACTGCATCGCCTGGGTGGACGCACGAGCGGTATAACCCTGGTCCCAGAAAACAAAGGGTGATACTGACTCTGTGAGATTGGAAAGCCTCGTGCCACAGCGGCGCGCGGTCGGGATTATAATCCCCCATCCTCTACAGTCAGATCTGCCTTGCCGGCAATCGTGGACTAATACCCTGGGGGTTGTTGGTCAGCTGCGATTTCGTCAACCAATAACAGCGATACGTGGAAGTTTGGCTGCATGAACGCAAGAGGATGTGTCGCGGGCCAGTTGGTCACCCTGTCTTACTATGTACAGGCCTAGGGCAAAGTTCTATTTTTGATTTTGCGTCCGTCTTATGCCTGTGTCAGTCGAATTTGCGGAGGGACGCTACAGGCGTGATACAGTCTTACTTCACAGAGAACGTCGCTAGTAGCATCGCTGACTTCAAATGAATACCAAGCAATGCCATGTTTTTGATTCAAAGCTGCCTGGCACCTGATATGTCTAACTTGGTCCCGATTTTGTAATTACTTAGACTAAAGGTATCATGGAATGTGCACCGACTTGATCCGACCATCCGACGTTTCCAACAATGTCACCGACGTCACATTACTTATGCGTTCCCGTCCCGTCAAGCTCGTATCTTACCCCTGTGTCCGCGGATAACTCAGGAGGCTGAACCATCTTGGGGACGCTGGGAGGAGGACTTTGGTAGTCCCGATCTCCGCCCAGTTCCGAGGCCGCTATGGTCGTGGACGCTGGCACGGGGGAGTAAGCGTGCTGCGGGGCGTACGGCTGCGCCTCGGCGGTGACAGGGTCGGCTGCACTCGGAGCTTGCTGCTTCTTGCGCCGCCTCATGATGCAGAAGGCCACAATACCAGCCACGGCGAGTACGACCACGCCTCCCACGACTCCACCGGCGATGGCACCGGTGTTCGAAGAGGTTGAACCCGACTGTCCAGAGCCCCCATCGGAACCCGCATTGGAATTGGACCCATTGAAGAGCGCGGCCACTTCGTCGCTTGAGTATGAGACTTTTGCGAGGTTGCTAATTCCTTTTGTCAGTGACTCCTTGTCCGGAAAAGAATTGTACAAGTAGTGCTCACCCTGCAGTATACCAGTCTTTGACAACCTCTGGGGTCTCATAAGTGGCAGCTTCGGGTTCATATTCGTCCTTCCACTGCAGGTCCGACATGTCAAAGATGCCAATGCCCTGGGGAAACGGGTCTTTATCCTGGAAGAACTTGGAAACCGTCAAGCTCCGGTTGATGCCGCCGACGGTGATCATCTGGCGGCGACCGCCAACGGCACAGCCCATGGCGTCGCGTGGGCTGGAAGACTTGTAGTCCGCCTTTGTCCAGACGAAACCGGGGAGACTCAAAATCCAGACCTCGTCGTAGGACTCGTCCTTGTTGCTACCACCGAAGACGAAGCTTGGGAAAACTGGTTAGCAACTGTTCGAGAGACCGAAGAATGGCTGGCTAGCAACTTACATTTCGTACGTGTTTTGATCGCCTCTTGCGCCAACCACACAGTGCCATTGGCGCGGCGCCGGCGCATTACCAGAGGTCCTCTGGGTGTACCACTTCTTCGTCACCGGGTCCATGAAGTAGAGGGTGTCGAAGGCGAGAAGCCCGACGTCATCCGCAGCCGCGCCACCTCCGACCGCATATTGGCCTCCACCCAAAAGCATGACCAGGCCGTTGGGACCGTAGTTAGGCACATAGTGCGCCGCGCCGCCGGCGATGGTGCCGTACTGGGAGTAGGGGACGTCGGTGTGGTTCGTCCATGCTTGCGTCTGGTCGGTGAAGTTGAATTGCAGATATCCCGGCACGGGGCCGCTGGGCGTAGGATCGGATGTCGCCTGAGAGTAGCCGCCAAAGTAGAAGCCCGAGTCGGGCGTGCTCACGTAGATACCACCTTGAGAGCGTTCGAGGCTGACGAAAGAACTGTGACCGGGCTTTATCTCTGTGTTCCAAGAGCCGCTGCCGCTGCCGTCCGGGTTGAATCTCCAAAGCTGCGCATCGGGCAGCTTGTTCTGGTACGAAATGAAGCCGCCCCAGATGTAAATCGCATTGGTGGAGTTATCTGTGAAAATCGCCTGTCTCATCATCGTTGGTGCCGACCGCTTTTTGGTCTCTTTCAGCTGCACATTCGAAGGCTTCCATGACGTCGTGAGGTCGATTGAGAGCGTGCTGTTTACTGTTGATAAATGGATGACTTAGTTCGGGCTACTACAGACACCAAACACGGCATACAAACCTGGGTTAGAGTTGCGATATGTGAGGTTCTTCCCATTAACAAGCTGTGATACCTCGCCTCCATCGATGTACAAATAGTTTCCCACGACAGTTGCTGCTCATAGTCAGCATTGCATTACGGGCTTGCGACTAATGAAAAGTAAAAGCATACTACGGGCGAATACCCTTCTCATGAACTCATCAGCAGATGGCACATCGGATACCTGTGCGGCGGTTTGAGCATAGCCTGTAGTAGCCAGTTGCCCAATGGCTAGCAATGCCGCCCATCGCGACACCATTGGAGCTGATTGGTAATGTGAGCTCGGGAATATAGCCCAGGAGGATATAGCGGCGATCCTAAAGATGGCGTCGACGAAACGATCGGTATTCAATATGAGGCGGGACGCAGCATCGAATTCCTCACATCCGACGACCACGGAAAACCCAAGAACAGGATGGCATTGAATAACAAAGGGAGAGACGGAAGAGACCAAAGCAAGGAAACCGCCCTAGGAAAAAGTCTGGGAAATGTAAGATTGGATCGGCAGAACAGATGATCAGGCACTGCGCATCAGGGTTCCGCTCGAGTAGACTTGTTTTTCAGAACATGTCCAAGGGTAGCAAGCGGCACCTGCCCTCGCCCCGAGATTTCGTATTAATGGTATTCCCTCCAAGGCCAGCTGGGATTTTGATCCTCAACCGTGATTTGTGGGGTTAAGAGACACCTCTGGCGTGTTTGATGTGCCCGGCTAATGATGCTCCTCGCTTCACTCTCGAAGAGCCAGCTTAGCGCTCATAGCCACGGAGCATTGGGGCTTTAGCGCATCCTGCGCCCACTGGACCATGCAGCCGTGATGGCACTGATTGGTAGCTCAACTGCCAGGGTCGATATTCAGGGAAATTGAGAGCCACTGGCCCGCATACTGTAGCATCGCTCTATCAGCCTTGCTCAAAAGACCGCCAAATCGAAGATCTTGTTGTAGGATATGCCGTTGTTGGTTGCCTACACTACAACGGGTGTGGCTGTCTACGGGGCCAAAACTGAGCCAATACCTGCAAACAACACATCTGCCAAGGATCTTCTAGCTTGGAGTCAATGGGGGCTTAAGATCGATCGACTTGAGAAGGCCGTATGTTAGTTCATGTTGAAGGATTAAGCAGTGATGTTTCAATGAGTCTGTAAGAGTTGCTGAGTTAACAACGCTTGAACTCATTGTCGTCCCAGGCATCAGCGAAAAAAGCAAAGCACAGGCCATGATTCATTAAGGACGAACCTGGGAAACCGAATTCGCCTTATCCGCTGGTGCTTTACCCGAACTTTCGTCCGGGCGTCGGGGAATAGTCGGCATTAAGCGATCTGATTGACTGGCGTTCCCGCGTTGTGCCCCGTGCGTCCCGGCTCGGAGACGTCATTACAAACCCCAGGAACAATTTTCTTGCCAGCTCCCGAGCCCATCGTGTGAGATTCGGTTTCCTGCGGCTCGGATTTCGGCTGACCATAGCTTCAAGCTCCGGACATTTGTAACAACACCTGAGTTGCAAGTTTACTCGATTGATGCTCAACCGGAAGCCCCAACAATGCACGGAATTCCACGGAACGCGACGCTTGCGGCGCGAAAGCAGCTGTCCACGGCAAGCTTCGTCTGCCGCAGCTGCCGCCAGCAACAGCAGCAAAGCCGTCATTACTCGAGCAATATAACCCCGGCACCCCCGGCACCGCCCGCCGCTGGCTTTGCAGCCCTCTCATCGCGACGCCTCATTTCCGTCGCCGGCCCAGACGCTGCCAAGTTCCTCCAAGGTGTCATCACGGCCAACATCGCGTCCAAGGAGGCCAGAGCGAGGGAGACGGGTTTCTACGCTGCATTCCTCAATGCCACCGGCCGCGTTCTTCATGACGTCTTCATCTACCCAGATATTGCCGGCTTGGGCGGCGGCGCCGCGGCTGGAGAACAGCAGGCCGGTACCCGGTTCCTGATCGAGGCCGACGCGAATGAGGCCGAGAGACTTGCCAAGCACATCAAGCGATACAAGCTGCGCGCCAAGTTCAACGTGCGGCTGCTCGCGGCCGATGAGGCGACGGTGTGGCACGCCTGGGACGACAGCGGCAAGCCCATCACGACGGACCCTGCGGCGCTGAGCAGCATGACGCGGGACCCGAGGACGCCGGGACTGGGATACCGCCTTATTCAAGGCAAGGACACGCCGCCACAGTTGGACCTCGATGCTACCACGGAAGATAGTTACACCATTAGGCGGTACTTGCAGGGCGTCGCTGAAGGACAGGACGAGATCATTAGGGAGCATGCTCTGCCCCAGGAAACCAATATGGACTACATGAACGGCATCGATTATCACAAGGGCTGCTACGTAGGACAAGAGCTCACGATCCGGACGAAGCACCGCGGCGTGGTGCGCAAGAGAATATTGCCGTGCATGATTTACGAAGTGGACAGAGCTGCCCCTCAGAGCCTGCAGTACAGGCCAGATGAAGAGGCGAATCACGGACCTGAAGGTCTGCCGGCGGAAACGATTCCGCGAGAAACCAGCATTGGCCGCTCTGGTAAGAAGGGCAGAAGCGCAGGCAAGTGGCTCAAAGGTATTGGGAACATCGGCTTGGGCCTTTGCCGCCTGGAAATCATGACCGATATTGTCCTGCCCGGCGAGGCGGCTACCTCGACCTTTGACCCTGCTAACGAGTTCATCTTGCGATGGGGCGAGGAGGACAAGAGCAACGCAGTAAAAATCAAGGCATTCGTGCCCGAATGGCTGAGGAAGGAATTGAACGAGGCACCTGCCCACTAAAGAAGTCAGTGCCATTCTTGTTGTAAAATAGAAGAAAAAAGAGGGGTATAATAATCGTATGTATGATCAAGCGGTTGTCGTCGTTGTCGTCCCAGTTTCCATTATGTCCTTCGTCGCATCTTCCGTCTTCGGCCCCGCCTCCGCCGCCTTCTTAGCTTCCTTCCGCCTCTGGGCCTCAAGCATCCGAGCCTTCAAATCTTCCCATTTGGGTGGCGCACGCGGAGCTGCCGGTGCTGGGTTGGGGGCAGTACTCGTAGTGGTTGGTGCACCTGCATCTCCGCCGTCCGTTTTGCCCTTCTTCCTCGCCTTCTTCTCTGCCTTGAGCCGCCTCTTTTCGTCTAATTGCCTTTGTAATTCAGCTAACTTCTCGTCGTACTCGTCCGGCTCCCTTTCCCGCTCGAGGCGCTCCAGTTGCTCCCTCTTGAAGCGTTCGGCCTCCTCGGCCATGCGCCGCTGTCCTTCTTCACGGAGACGGGCCTTCTCGCGCTCTAATTCGCGGTCACGTTCCTCCTTTTCGACGCGCTGTCTCTTGGCTTCTTGTTCCGCAGCCTCGAGCTCGTCAATCACACGCTTGCGTTGACCCTCGACACGTTGGCGCTCGGCCTTGCGAAGGAGAACGGCCTTACGGGCGTTGTCGTATGCGGCGCGGGCCTCGACATCGAGAAGAATGTCTCGGGCCGTCTCGATAAGTTCCCATTTTTCCGGGTCGAAGGCATCCTTAGTTTTGTCTGGGTGGTACTTGAGCGACTGTTTACGCCACGCGCGTTGAATTTCCTTTTCTTCTTTCGCAGTGCTGTCGATTTGGAGTAGCTCGTACAGGTCGATGTTGTTCGTCGAGTATTCCTGCGCCTTAGCGAGGAGGTCCTTGTTGTTGTCCACCATTTCCGGGGTACTAGTTTGTGTTTGTGTGTATGCGTGTGCTGTTTGGGGGAAGTCAGGAATTGAAGATTGAAGAACGGGCTGCTGAGATAGCGGCGGTCGCGTAGGCAAGTGGCACGTCCTAAAAATTAGTGGGGCCGCATTTACGTCCGTACACCCAACGGTGCCATCTTCAGCGCTGAGTCCAGTACGTGTTGTTCAGTCGCCCCTCACAAGACTCTTCACATGGCAACCAGAATACTATCAATCAAGGCAGTTTACAGGTAGATACTATGCAAACCGAAATCAAACCAGCCTCCATCTTTAATCTCATCGTTTTTAATCGATTGTTGTTCATCTACTTTTACATCAAATCGGCCTCATGCAGGATGCATCAGAGCTCAATGAGCCACCGGTTCAAGGCCCTCGCGACCTTGGTTGAAGCTATCTTGAGTACTAGTTCCGAGGCGTGATACGCAAACATCCATTCTATCTGAGAAGCTGTTGATTTATCTCAGTCCAGACCCTGTTCCTGCGTAAGTGGCCGCACAGCCCAGGTAGATCTCTATGGCGGGGACCACAACGCCAACGTGGGGTCGAGATATTCCTCGATCTTACGTCCGTACACATTTTCTGTTACTGGGCAACCATGCTCTGGAATCAGAATACCACATGGCATTTTCAACCGTCTTGTAAGGGTGTAACGAACGGGCAATTCTCTCCGCCTCCTAAAAGATCCTCGTCCCGGGAACCGGGTTGACTCTAACTAACGTATCTGTCTCAGCCATTCCCACCATATGAGACCATAGTTTTGTGATCTTGTGTGCCAAGGCCATGCGATAGAGTATTGGTCCTCAAAAAACAAGAGAAGCACTACAAAACCCCCCTCATGTCAATCACATGTTATAGCTTTTGGCCGTTGGTCGACAGTTCTGCTGAGAATCATGGCGTCTGGTTCCCCCAGCACTCACACCCATGGCTGAATGCCTGATACCATACTCTTTGTTGGCACCCACGCGTTCAACCTCCATGTTATGCTGATGCAGATTATTTCCACTCATGATTCAAAGGTTGGCTTTTCTGGCAACGCCGCTAACTCGTTTCACTTCCAGGGCTGGTTCCTCGGCCAATCTGGTTCAGAAGACACAAGACCCATCCCCTGCGTCTGGTTGCCCATGTCATTCGGGCGCCTCATTGCCTGTACCGTATGCTGTGCCAATAGCCTCGATGCCCTTCATCACTTCGCCGACTTCTGTGGCTTTCACGATAGTGGCAACATCAGATCCAAACATGTGCTTGTTAGACATGTCTTCATTTGGCATACCTAGGAAGATCTTCAGTAGATCTCCTGTTTTCCACCGACGTCAGTGTCGAATGCCGCATCCACTTACATCCTTCTCGCGACAAACTCCTTAAGGCCTTGGTGGATCTCATATCGTAAAGTGGCTGGCTTGGTGGTCTTGGAATAGTTGACACAAGTTAACACAGGCACTGTAGAGCCGGAGAAACCTGATTTCATAACGTTAGCTCAGCATTACGCACTCGGAGCGAGAATAGCGAACACTGAAAAGCTAGCCAACTGTGATGATGGGAGAGACAGCATGCAGACCAAGCTTACTTGCTTTCTACAACTTACCCGGCTTGGGCATGGTGACAACGGTTAAGCTGACGGTTTTGGTTCACATAGTTGGATTTCCACGGGAAACCGAGACAAAGGATGGCTTTAAGCAGGATCGGAAGCGAATCTGGACTCCACACGGGCAGATTCAAAGTCTGTGATGGTGGACGCCACTGATGAGGTCGTTACAGTGCACTCGGGGATCTCAAATGCGACGTTGGTGGCACAAAAGTAAAGGAAACAGCGGCTTGAATTCAGTTTCCGGGCTGTCTGAACCTTGGCATTGGGGAGTCAAAGACTTTCCTCGACACTAGGGTCTTGTGTGTGCCGCAGGTTACTCTGTTTGATGTCCGGAAAAGGCTAACCACCGCAACACCTGAGCCAGACATGAAGACACTACAACTTTTCCGGAGCCGTACCACATGGCTCGGCAAGGTGCCGGCTACTCAAAGTGAGACTTTTACCTTTTTATACACTAGACTGCCATGCGTGTTATGCACGCTCTTTTCCAGTATCGGGCTTCTCGGGTTGCCGTCGGGCTTGCCCTGTAACAATGAGTCTCACAATATCGCCGGAATTGGATTAATCGCTACATTGAGTTGCGCCCAAGAGGTAGACCGTAGGCGACACGGACAATTGCAGCTCCCCGAGTCCAGTGGCTTCGTGAGGGCTTCAATATTCCTGATTTTCTCCGTAGTAGCCTCTATTGGAAGCAGCTGCCTTGAGCACAACAACTCTCTACTATCATCATGGGATGCTGTTAGCTTCCGGAAGTTTTGATTACCGTTTAGCAGCGTGGGTTCACAAGGAACTAAGACTCACCTCTGCCGATCTGTGAAAGTTATTTCTTTAGAAATATTGACCGCTTCAAGGTCCCGTATTCGTTGTTCGCCCTCTTCAAGCACTCAGTAATAGTGGTGTACGCCACCAGCTGAAAGATGCAATCATTTTGTCACTGAGGTTTCCCAGCCTACCACCACCTCTACCCAGCTATCTGGATCCAACGGACACTACTTTCCCCTTTCGCATGTTTGTCTCACCCAAGCTGCCAGGAACCTGAACCTTACCTCCTTCCGGTCATTTCACATCACCTCGCTTCGTTAGCCCAGGGGTCCATGTCTCATCTGTTCAAACACCACATGTTTTCCAAGCCATAAGCTGCTCTCCCGATTTTCATATAATCTACAATTCAATCCTCATAGATTATGAGGTCTCTTTCGGTTTTTGTTCCTCACTGGAAAACAGAACCATGCGCAGATCCAATTACTACTACTTTGACAACAGTAGATGCAAGGTCCGACACCTATAAGCATTCACCCTACGAAGCCTGTCTCACCAAATCTGTTCGTTTATAAAATTCATAAATATGTCGCCTACCCAAGTCGTAACCAGGCCCTGGTGCTCGTCGTTCCAAATGGATGGTGCGGCAGACGCGTACTTCGTGAGGTACCCAGGAGCAGGTCAGCAAAGCCCTAGGCGAAGCCCATCAAAGTCTAACTTTGATACAGCACCTCTCACTACTTCATCAGTCGAGCCATTCCCAGCCAAGGAGGAACTCCTCGACCTATGTGACTCGGTCCGAAGCTCGCTTCGACAGGAGAGGACTCTAGGGCCCTATGCAGACAGGATCCAGAGCCTTATGGAAAGAGCCCTTAAAGAAGAACTGCGTCACACCCCGACTATCGACCTTGAGACGCTCCAGTACGCCCGACTAGACAAGGTCCTAGCCGATATCCTAGACCCTGTCCATCGCCCTTCGCCGCTGCCACTCCGCTTCCGCGCTGACATGGCCGTCGCTGAAAGCCTCCAAAAGATGTGGCGTACCCGCTTCCGCGAACAATATTTCTCCTTAGATCAGGCCCGCCAAAGAACCCTATCTATTGGCGGCGAAATGCGCGATATCCGCTTCACCGCCAATGGCAAGGACCCCCTCGAGTCGTGGACTGTCCAGAACAGCTGTCGCGACCCAATTTCGGAGCTCGAAGGAAACCAACAGTTCGAGCCTGGCCAGTATGTCGACCCGACAGTCTATTCCGCATGAGCGCATGCTAACCTTTTACAGCTGGTGGCTTAATCTGGCTTGCGCCCATCGTGATGGCATCATTGGGACTGCGGTCGAGAAGCCCACCAAGGGCAAGTACGGCATTACAACTCTGCCTCTCCTGACCGATCGAGAGGAACATGTCCACGGCAACCTCTACCGATACGTCCGTGAAGGCAACTTATCCGACATGCACATCTCACTTCTCACCCAGGTCGGCACTCAGATCCGGATTCTCAGGGGCTATCGTCTCAAGAGTTCCCTTGCGCCCCAGGCTGGTGTGCGTTATGATGGACTGTAAGTTGATCTTTCGTATTTAATATGCCAGAGCCATGACTAACAAGTAACCAGCTACACTATCCGCCAGTACGGTAATAAACTGGACCCTGCTACAAACAAGTACCGCCTCGAGCTACTCCTGGAGCGAGTCGCCGGCCAAAAGGCACTTGAACAGGTACAGCAGGTGCCCCGGCCGTCGCAAATGGATGACTGGGAGGCCTTTAAGAAGGTCGAGGCCGAAATGGTCCGCCAGCGCAAGGGCGACGACGGCTTGCTCGATTTTAGAATGCGAAAAGAGGAAGAACGAATCGATCGCGAGCATTGGAGGCGAGCGAGCGAGTTCAAGGCATCACTCAGCCAAGAGGGATGCGGCCTTGGGCTTATTATGCCCGTTTAATGTTAATGTTAATGGAGAGGAAGCGGACGAGGGTGTAGTGTTGATGATTTCGAAGATACCCTGTGTTACCTACTCAATCCTGTACTACATACAACATGAATAATGATAATGATTATGAATAACATCTTGTAAGGAAAGACCCTCCCTAGAGGTTCAGACAAATGAAAAGAGGAACCATAAAAGTCAATTCATTTACATATTTACACGGGCATTACAAATGAGCCCAAATTTGACTCAGTGAATATCCCAGCCAAGTACTCGTTAATAAATATCTCGGGTGTAGACCTGCTATCGCCGAGATGTCGCCTCTCCATGTATCTCACTTCCCGCTATATCAAGGGTGTACACGACGACCCCACAAACATAATGAAGATGCTACATGGCGTTCCCATACTTGAACCTACGGTTGCTTCCAGCATGGCTGCCAGTCCAAACTTTTGGCAATGGTGCAAGTTTCCTAGACTCTGCATCACCACTCATGCAGGTCTGAGCTGACGATCCCAGGGAGCCTATAATATATCTCCTGCCACACTGTGACGGGACCTGCCATCATGCAGTTGTCTCAGAACAATGAAGCATGATTCGCACTCCGATAGCGCTTGCTTCACACGGTATATGCTGATTTATGGAGACGATTCATAGTCTTGTCCATAATCTTCAACCCTCTGCTGGCTTTCCTGCTGCTGCACAATTCCCGCTTCCAGGTTGCCCTCTACCTCGGTTAGGATCTCCTTGCTAACGAGGCTCCGCCATGTGTACATCTTTGACGGCTCGCCCGTTGCACTGAACGGGTACCCTGTGGAGGACATCAGCTCCATCTTTACCAGCTTGTCATACTCCCAGATGAAAAGCCCCAGCCGGCGGAATGGATGAAGGGGAACACCGCGGATAGGAGACGGGGGAAAGTGACGGAGGCGGATGTTAGCGTATACCCATCCGACGGGGTTCTGGCTCATGAGAAACCCCCGAGTATGGCCTGCACTTTCGTCAACTGCGAGAGGCGGTGATGGTTCTGGCCAGAGGCTGGGCAAAGCATCCGGGGGCAGGTTCGGTAAAGACCATGTTTGGCCTTCGCAAGTCACTCCGGCGGCGCACACTTGGTCGATGAAGTCCGACACGGTGAGAAACTCTTCTTTTTCGTAACGCAAAGCCCCGTACAGGGTCTCTGCGGTTATTAGCTGGTGATGGCTGCCGTTGACCCAACTCAGACGCCCCTCGAAGGACGCCCTTCGGAGTTCGTAGAGCAGCTGGAGTCTCCAGAACCCGCGGGCCGCCCGCTGCTCCTCGACCCAAACAGGCGGGCCAACATCACAGGGAATGTAAGGCCGATCTGCGTAGCGGTTTCGCCAGGATTTGTAGGCCCATCCACGCATATCACCTTCTGTATGCGAGGGCGTTGCAGAGAGCCACTGTTCACGGTAACATGAGAGGCAAGCTGGGATCATGTAGGCAACCCGGCGAGCGGTTTGCAGGATGCTCCTGATAGAACCAGGCGCCTGGCAGCGATAAGTCTGGGTTAGTGGTGGGACGGTGCTGTGGAATCGGCCCTTGCCGTTTTGTTGTATGTGATGGTTGGCGCGTTTGATGAATGCGCCGAGAGATGCAGCTGGTGGGTTATCTAAGGTTGACGTCCGGACAATGGCGACAAGCCGAATGAGGCCGTACACCTGTGGCGCCGTGGAATTCGCCAAGACATGTTCGAGGATTTCAGGGCCGATGGTGGGGCTGTCAAACACGCGGGATACGGCTGGAGAAGCCGTAATAAGGTGGTAGAGTGTCCTACAATCGGTGATGTATGAGACGATCTCAGTGATGATCTCAGTCGGGAGGCTGTCTAAAGAAGGCGGCGCCTGAGCCATGACGACCGGTAGATAATGAGCTTGGCGACCACAGGTTGCCTGGCTTTGTCAAGTCACGGCCGCCTCTGAGCTGAGAGATGGGAAAAAATTTCAGCCCAACATTGTCCAAGCCCAAAATTTTGGAGCAGGCCATGCCGCATTTTAAGCTCTTGATGTTGCTTTTGCTATGACAAGCGGCTGAGGCCAGCTCCCCCGCATTTCGCCACACCACTCCTGAGTTGATCCAGGGGCTTGGTTGGTGGGGTGAGGGAGAGACTCCATGTGCCACGACCTCGATTACCCCCACCACAGACTCTCAATCCAATTTTTACAACACAATCATCACGTCAACTCTACGCGGTCATTATGGGTAAAAACGACAAGAAACCTGCCGACAAGAAGGACGGGGGCAAGTCCGCCGGCGGCAAGAAAGGCGGAAAGGGTGAAAGTGAAGAGAAGGGCGGCAAGGTCAAGGGCGCACAGTCCATCAACGTCCGACATATCCTGGTGAGAATTGACCTGGTCTGAGAATTTCCGAGGCAGTGGAACCTGACGCGTGATTCCAGTGCGAGAAACATGGCAAGAAGGAGGAGGCGTTAGCCAAGCTGAAAGACGGTGCCAAATTTGATGAGGTTGCAAGGGAGTTTTCTGAAGATAAGGCCAGGCAAGGTAAGACCTCAGCTCATCGGATGACTCGCCGAGAACGGAAAGGGAGGGGTTCTGGAACTGAAAACCATACAGGTGGCTCTCTGGGCTGGAAGACGAAAGGAAGTCTGGACCCCAAATTTGAGGACGTTGCCTTCGGTCTCGCTACAAGTACGACATCAAGCCCTGTCATTGGAGAGGCAAAGTCGGAGTTTGGATACCACATTATCATGGTACGTGAATGTTCCACAAGTTACCCTCTCACGGGGTTGCCGCAAAGACACACTGACAGGTGATACAACCAGGTTGAGGGCAAGAAATAGATTCCCGGGCCGTGTCCCACATTGGTAGCAGCAAAATCACTCACGTCCGAATCAAAAATTTGCACAAGTAATTTGGTTCAAGAGTGCCCAATGCCGTTTCTCTTTATTTGACCTAATGCAAGATGACCTGACTTCCAGGGAAGCCCTCCATTTTTTTGTTTCGAGATGCCAGCTGAAGAAGCTAGAGTACAACCGAAAGATTCGTTCGTTGCGGCGGGTTCCAAATTCCCCGCCGCCCCTCTATACCCTTCACCCCGTCGTGACGCCCAAATTCAAATCATGAAGACGACCAAATTTACTGCTCGGTCTGGAAGTAGTTAAGGAGGATGGAGCGCTCCTGGGACTCCTCACCCCAGTCCTTAACGACGACGCAAGAGCAGTTGACGACCTTGCGGGCGTTACCCTCACGGTCAAGAACGCCTAGTTTATCATGTTAGTGCACAGTCCCTCACAACTGAAGCCAACGTGGGGTAACTCACAAAGGCCAGCCCACTCGCCGAGCTGCTTGCCATCGGGAACCTTGATCAGGGGGATCTTGTGCTCAGAGCAGAGAGCAATGACGAGCTTCTTGTAGGCCTCCTCCTCGCAAGCCTCGTTGAGGACGCACATGTGAGCCTGGCGACGGTCAAGGGCCTTGGAAGCCTCGCGGAGACCGCGGGCAAGACCGTCGTGCATGAGGGCAAGCTTCAGGACACCCTTAAGGGCGTCAAGAACGGACATCTGGCCCTTGGAGCCAGCATCGGCGGAAACCTCGACCTCCTCGGCCACCTCGGGGGCGTTGTTCTCTTCTACGTCCGACTGTGAGATGCGCAAGCCATTGGTTAGCGAGTCTGTTTCTGCAATAGATGTGGGAAAGCAACCCCAGAAAGTCCGGGGGTCTTGATCCCTTGCCCGCCCGCAAGAATTACGATTGCCCGCTGCTAAGTTGGGAGCTTTGCGAACAATGCGAAAAACTTGCGTCGCCAGGCAATTGAGCAAGAAAATCAGTGGTGACTCACCATCTTGAATGTTTGCGGTCAAGTCTCTGTCGGTGCGATCCTCGAAGAGTTGTGTTGTAATGTGTATGGGTAGTTTATGAATAAAATGAACTTTTACCTTGTCGCGGTTAACCTGGAAAAAGTGACAGAGGTTTGTGTGCAGCCGATAGAGGTCGCTTATTGGCTGGAGGGTGGGGCCTCACAGCCGTGCGCTTAGGGCAATTTTTCTCTGTGCACAGACCACCCACAAGACCGCTGGCGAATTTTTTCCTTGGGTGGGTATCTGCTCCCACTACGACTTCGCTTTTTTTCCCGCTCTCCCATTCCCATCACGGTCTTCCATTGACAAGTATTGCCAAACCTTCAGCGGCACCAATTACCCAACGAGGTAAGTAAACTAACTCGACTATGGCCTCTTGATTCAAGCAGGAACTCTTGCCTTTTCCTTGATGCCGGAGAGGAGCAATCAGACGAGTCGTGCGATGCGAGAATGCGATGATTTCGACCTCGGTTTTCTGACGGACGCTGCTGCGGCCCCTCTCTCATAAGGGGTCGCTTGTTGCCGACGACGATGATGACATCTGATACGCTCCTTCTCTTCAGCAATGAGCTGGCAGAACCCTCCTCTCGATCGATGCTTGCCTGGGAGGGCACTCTCCACGCTCAACAGGCCTCGGAAGGCTAACATAAACTTCGCTGGCAGATACCTCATTTCACAACAAGACTTGAGAATCTCCGCATTCACCAACCGTCAAAATGGTCCGCACTTCCGTTCTCCACGATGCTCTCAAGAGCATGAACAACGCCGAGAAGGCCGGCAAGCGCCAGGTCCTTATCCGACCTAGCTCCAAGGTCATTGTCAAGTTCCTCCAGGTCATGCAGCGCCACGGTACGTTATAAGCTCTTGATGCTTTGCTATACTATTCTCTTTTTCTATTTTTTTTCTTCTTTTCTTTGGAGGACATATGGAATGTACCATTCGGCATGATAACTAGGGTGACCGTCTTTTCTACTCCCACGACCCAGCCCCTATAAGTTGCCGATAGATAAATAGCGGAGATCTTACACCTTTTTCGGATTTTATCTCGTGATGTTCAAGGTTTAGTCTTACGCGACATTTTGCTAATGCATATTTTAGGCTACATTGGCGAGTTCGAGGAGGTCGATGACCACCGCTCTGGCAAGATCGTTGTCCAGCTCAACGGCCGGTAAGTTGTATCTGATCTACAAGATGAATCGCCCTTGTAGCTAACGCACAATCACAGCCTCAACAAGTGCGGTGTCATCTCCCCCCGCTACAACGTCCGCCTTGCCGACCTCGAGAAGTGGGTTGTCAAGCTGCTGCCCGCCCGTCAGTTCGGCTACGTCATCCTGACCACCTCCGCTGGTATCATGGACCACGAGGAGGCCCGTCGCAAGCACGTTGCCGGCAAGGTCATTGGCTTCTTCTACTAAGTGGAATGGGAAACCAAAAAAAGTTTTTGAAAAAAGGGGCATGGATTTTCGCGGCGTTTGGGGGGACACTTGGGTTAGCCGTGGCCGATACCAGCGGACGCCATTGAGCTAGGATCTCATTTACACCAAAAGCAATGAACTTCAAGCAAGACCCCCACCAAATACGACCAGCCTTCCATGTGTCAATCTGTTGTGTTCTTCTGTGAACGTTGTTCTTTAGGGCTGCCCTGAGAAAGATGTTGGAGGTGATGTGAGCCCAGAGAATCCCATTGTGCATGACCTAGGTATGCGAAATGGAGATACTGAATCATCAGCACGGTCCGTAAACGATCTGTCTTGTCAAAATTTGCCTGCCATAAGAACCGTAAAACTTGATGAGCTAGGACTACATGCTGGGTCACCGACAATGTTCGACTCAGACTTATGTTGTCTTTCTAGGGGCCACAAATTGTTGAGTCAAGCGGCCAGTGTAGGATCTAGATGGCCCTAATGATGGTGATGCCATTGACCTGGGTTCGGTCTTCGAAATAATTCCTCATGATTTGAAATCATCAGAAGCTCTACATGGAGCCCTGGTGGGTTCACCTAGGCTAAGGAAACAGGCTCCGCAGGTGAATGGTTGGAATTATTTGCATTCGGCCTCGGCTCGGCGGAGGCATCGGGCAAGGACGTCCTGTACAGACGGTGAACTGGATCTACAGTGTATCAACAAACAGGAAAACGTAAATGATTGATGGGTACCCTCTTTCAGGGTGACATGACATGCACTTTGTCTTTGTGAGGTTGGACATGGTTTTGTTTTGTAGGATTCGCGTCCAATTTGCGACGCTGGGGTAGTCTTGCAAGGTTTGCCGTAGAAAAAGCAAGTCTAGAACACGGGGTACGTGCTTGATGATCACATATACTATACATAGTAGATAACTACCGCCAGTGTCCGCTCATGGCGTCTTCGTTGAAGCTCGGCTCATCGAAGGCGTTGGTGGGTGGTCTGACATGTCTATAAATAATGGCCATGAGGGGGAGAGCAGCTGCATGCAGTGTGAAAGGCTTAGTCCAATTTTTGTTTTATAGATAGCACATTTGGAGGGCGAACACCTGGTGAGGTTGATGCAAGATTGGATGTCCAATGTCAACTGCCAGTCTCCAGCGGCAGCTTGGTACTGGTGCTAATTGAAAGCCCATGATTGGCTGGGTTGTTTGCCGTCAGTAAAGAAAGTAACAGAGCAAAAGTGCTGTGCGTTGGAATGTCTGCCACAGGTTCCACCCGAGAAGCGTGTACGTACTTCCAGCCCCTCAACACCCCGGCTCCGTCCCGGACACACCTCCGGACAGCTGCAGCGCTTCCCCTGCAGTCATCCAGGGCATGTGGCCTTGGACTTGTTTCCTTCTTCTTGTCCCAGCTTGTAGACATTGTGATTCTTGTGCCAACTAAATTGCATTTTCTTTGTGTTTCTATGCTCAAGGCCGCCATTGTTTGTAGATCGATGGAGTTGACTGTTGGCGCTTGCTCATTGGCTAATTCCGCCGTTGTGAGCAGAAAGAGGAAAGTAAAGTCTGGCTTTGCCGTTGCTCTGTTGATTTCAGCCGCTACATCACAACCACGGTCTTTCGTCATATTCAGACACAGTAAAGTACATTGCTTGCGCCATTTCCGCACACGGGATGCTTTCCAGCAACCTACCCAGGCCACACCTCTTTCTTCCACCGGCTTGAAAAGTGTCGTCATGTTCACTGTACTTAAAATTGTTCCTGGCCATCGGCCTCATTTCGCGGCGATTATAAACAACAAACAAGCAGTGCGCCTTTACCCCCCCCCCCCCCCCCCCCCCCCACCCATCACAGACTTCAGCGTATCATTCCGGTGCAATGATCCTACCGCCTACAACCGTTCATCTGACCAAGCGAACCCCAATCCCGGGACTCATCACACGGAAACTTTTGAGTGGGCTGCCCTGTAACCCACATTCGCGCGACCCATGACGGCAGCGAAAATCCTTGTCTAGGCCACACTTCCCTCTGGACCCAAGTGATTTGTATTACAAAGGCAGCACAGGCACTATGTTTTCTTCTCGGCTGATACGACGGGGGACGGCCCCACCAAAGAGCCCGCCCGATGACGACGAAGGCTCGGCCTTGCTGATTTCAACTTCGCACTTATGCAGCCGAGCTCTTTTCCTCTTCTATCACAGCGTCGGAAACTGAGCCTGCATACGGAAATAGCTCTCTTTTCCATTTGTTCGCGTTTTCTTACGATATCTTGGCAAAGAACCCAACCTTCTCCCATCACGAGTGAGTACATCTGGACAAGGTTAGATGTTGTCTTTAACGAGGGTCACAGGGGTTGATGCCCCTCCGTGGTAAGATGCAAATAAGCGTCTGTCCACTTTGCCTTGTCTATGACGAAGGCGTAAGGAAAGGCCTGTGATTGATGAACCTGGCCTGAAAGCTAGGCTGGGATAACTGTTGGGTAGGTTGTTGCTCACGTTGCTCACCTACTTTCAGTAGACCCAACATTACGTATGCCACGGTGCCTTCTTCAGCGTCGGTCACCTATCGCTTGGACTTCACCCTCCAATGTCGCACAAAGTCGCCTTGCAACAGCGCGGTCACTCCAATGTTTTTTTGTTTGTTTTTGTGTATCGCTGCTCGGGCCAAGACCATGTACCGGCTCTTTAAGACATACAGGCTCGCACAAGCATCGAGTGATGGCACCGCCCGCCGCCAGTTTCGATCTTTGCAGCCACATCTGCTACCCAACAATGTTTCTAATCCAATCGAGCTCACCACCATCCCAACTGCCGTACCGGCCTTCTCCAAGACGTTTAATGACCTCTTACACTAGACTATTTCGAGTCAAGCTCTTGCTCCTCCAACCCCTTGCCCACGTTGTCTTTTAGATGTAACCTTATATCGAGAGGAGCTGTAATCAATGAACGTACTATTTGAGGCTTCGTCTGCCTCGACTATTAGGCACAAATGCAGCCAAGGTATGCACGCTGGAACACACTCAACATCAGAGCTTCCAGCACCGTGGGCGCCCTCACAATGAATCACAAGGATGGGCTTTCTAATCTCATATCTTCCCCCCGCCCCCCTTTTTGTGGAGAGCCACCTGCCTAGGATGATTATGATGCTATCACCTCTGTGTCTTCCCGGCATGTCTCCTTCGCAAGAGGCTGCATGTTGCACTCACCGGCACGGGATGTGGATAAGATTTTGCTCTGGGCAAGTAGTTCCCTAGTCTAGTGTCCTTCCGGGGCCGATGAAGACTTCTTTCCCAGGCTACCCCCGTGTCTGGGATTGGCAAGAGCAACGTAATCCCTGGCCTTGTACTCTGAGAAATGTCGTTCTCTTCCCGATCGGGCCTTTGACGGAGCCCAATAGCCTTCTCGGCCTCATCCTCTGCCAGTAACTTAGACAGACATTCGTTTGTCAATCCAAGTATCTGGAGTATATAAGTAGTCCCCTTCTCCTCTATCCATCTTGACTCTACTCAATGGCTTTTGGGTCAATCGTCTTTCCCATTGTCGAGACAAAGGAACTAATCCCCGGAAGTTGCTGGCTCTTCAGCTTCTGATCAACGAGACGGTCACTGAAGGCATAATAGCATCCTTTTGGTCAATCATTTAACATGCATACCAACCTCCTGCTGGCCGGTCTCGGCTTAGCCTCCCTCTCATCTGCCGCTTGTCCCTTTGCAGATCCTTCCAACATCAAGAAACGGACCGAGGGTGGTGGCTCGCGTGACCATCTCACCAACTATGAGGTTGATGACAGCGAAGGCTACATGACTTCCGATGTTGGTGGACCAATTGAAGACCAGGTCAGCTTGAAGGCAGGCGTTCGTGGCTCGACATTGCTCGAAGACTTCATCTTCCGCCAGAAGATCACACACTTTGACCACGAAAGAGTGAGTGACCCTTCGAATTTTGATTTATTAGCGTGGCTAACGAATATATCCTCAGGTTCCAGAACGAGCCGTCCACGCCCGAGGCGCCGGTGCGTACGGTACTTTTACCAGCTATGGAGACTACAGCAACCTCACCGCCGCGTCCTTCTTGAGTGAAGCGGGCAAGCAGACGCCGACGTTCGTGCGGTTTTCCACAGTTGCTGGTTCCAGAGGAAGTGCCGATACGGCAAGAGATGTTCACGGCTTTGCCACCCGATTGTGAGTGCTAGCGGCCTGTTGAAGGTCGATCAATAGCTGACAAAATAGTTTTACGGATGAGGGCAACTTTGATATCGTGGGCAACAACATTCCAGTGTTTTTCATTCAAGATGCAATTCAGGTGAGCTAAGCATGGTAAACTCTCTACGAAGCGCAAGGCCTGACATACCTTTAGTTTCCAGACCTCATTCATGCCGTGAAGCCGAGGCCGGATAACGAAATTCCTCAAGCTGCTACAGCTCACGACTCGGCATGGGACTTCTTTAGCTCTCAAACCAGCACGTTGCATACCCTTTTCTGGGCTATGGCTGGATACGGTATTCCCAGAAGCTATCGTCACATGGTGAGCAAAAATGTCATGAATCCAAGGCCGCAGCTAATAGTCTTAGGATGGCCATGGCGTACACACCTTCCGCGTTGTAACAGAAGATGGCAACTCGAAGCTTGTAAAGTGGCATTGGAAGACTCTTCAAGGAAAGGCAAGCTTAGTTTGGGAGGAAGCTCAAGTTGTGTCAGGCAAGAATGCCGACTACCACCGTCAGGATCTGTGGGATGCCATCGAGTCTGGCAATGGCCCCGAATGGGAGTTGTGTGTTCAAGTGCTTGAAGAAGAGGACACCCTAAAGTATGGTTTTGATCTTCTAGACCCTACGAAGATTGTTCCAGAGGAGATCGCACCCCTTCAAAAGCTAGGCAAGATGAAGCTCGATGCCAACCCTGTGAATTATTTTGCAGAGACCGAACAGATTATGGTATGTCCACCTCTAAACCAGTTGTGACAAAGCTAATTGGAGGCAGTTCCAACCGGGACACATTGTCAGAGGCGTCGACTTTACCGACGACCCCCTATTGCAAGGCCGCATCTTTTCGTATTTAGACACGCAGATCAACCGCCACGGCGGTCCCAACTTTGAGCAGCTTCCCATCAACCGCCCGGTGACTCCCATTCACAACAACAACCGAGATGGTGCTGCTCAAAATTTCATCCACCGCAACAAGTATCCATGTAAGCCATCCGATCTGAGAAGGGCCATGATCATCTACTGACTTGGGAAGACACTCCCAACACCCTGAACAAGGGCTTCCCAGCACAAGCGAACCAGACCCAGGGTAAGGGGTTTTTCACCGCCCCCGGACGATCCAGCAGAGGAAACCTGGTTCGCGAGGTATCTGACACATTCCTGGATCACTGGTCTCAGCCACGCCTCTTTTACAACTCGTTGACGCCCACAGAACAGCAGTTTCTCATCAACGCCATCCGATTTGAGACCAGCCACCTCCAGTCGGACGAGGTCAAGCAGAACGTGCTGACGCAGCTCAACAAGATCCACAATGACGTTGCGAACCGTGTCGCTGATGCCTTGGGCTTAGAGCATCTGGAACCTGATTCTCAGTACTACCATGACAACACCACCCGGGGTCTCTCGATCCTCGGCGAGAAGCTCCCTACCATTGCCACCTTGAAGGTTGGTGTGCTTACCAGCCTGTCGGTCGATGGCACTGTGCGTCAGGGCAAGGAGCTAAAGGATGCTTTTGCCGCTGAAGGCGTTCTTGTGACCGTTATTGCCGAGAAACTCTCTGAGGGCGTTGACATGACATATTCTCAAGCTGACGCCACCACTTTTGATGGTGTCATCGTCGCCAGTGGCGCCGAAAGCTTGTTTAATGGAACCAACAAGTCGCCGCTGTACCCAGCTGGTCGGCCAGCACAGCTCGTCATCGACTCCTACCGATGGGGCAAGCCCGTAGGTGGTGTCAATACGGCGCTCAACGAGTCCCCTGCCCTTGGCGTGGAACAGGGCGATGGTGTATACTCATCCGATGGGGTGAGCGGCATTGTGGAGGACTTCAAGGAAGGTCTGGCAACGTTCAGATTCACCGACCGTTTCGCAACGGATTAGGTCTGCGGTGTGTAAACGAGCGGTGTTTCTCTTCGTGTTTATAGTTTACGCCACCATCTGGTCATCGCACACGATGAGGCAGAGTAGGACTTCTCTGGGTATCAATACAAATCATAACTTTTCTTGTTACTACGCTTTCGGATAAGGGCTACTAAGAAAAGTTGTGCCGCTTCACTAACTAGTTGCTGTTGTTCTCCAAGGGACACGGCATGGGCATAGTGTTAATCACAGCTCTGATATCAAGCAACGAGTTGAATGGTGGAGGGTAATTTGGGGATCAATTCATCCGGTGGTTCAAGAACCACTAAACGCCCGCCGTCCCGTTAAAAAAAAAATAGAACAAAGTCTGCTGATCCAAGACTATCTCTTGATCCGCCGATTTCTACTGGTAACACTTCACACGAACACCCCCTCTCCTATCCTCCTCTCCAATCTTTCACACATACACACAAACGCACACGCACACAGAGCATCGCATACTGTTTGAATCGTCTCCTCTCCTCGGACCTGCCGCAGTCTTTGTCATGAGTTTCCATTTGACCTTTCCCTGATTTCTTTCTGCTTTTCATCATTCCCGAGTGCGTAGTCTCGCCTCTACGGCCTCCTAGTTCCCCAACGTGCTCGTTTTTGTCCGTCCATCCTTCCGTCCCCCCCTCCCCCGTGTGTGCGCGTGTTTTTGGTGATGCGCAAAGGGACGGCAACACGGGAAGTAGTCGAGGGCACACCAACACTGATACACCACCAACTCCCGGAGAAACGGATAGCAACAAGATAGTAAAAGAAAAGGAGAACGCCAGCCCGTTGGGGCCCTCTCCGCGATTTGATGGGAGAGGGCCCCGACCATGCATATAAGAATAGAATAAACCAACAAAAAAGTTTACATCGTGCTATCGTCGCTGCCTTTGCATTACCATTTCGTTTGGGAATACACCAGTAATAATAATAGAAAATAAAAATAAAAAAACGCAGCCGGCCCCTTTCATCGTCATCATCATAGGCTTCTTTCGCGGCGGCCTTCCACCTTGGCAAGACTGTCGCGGCGTGCAGCAATAACGGGATGGGAGGCGCTTCAGTGGCCCTGAGGTCTGGAACTGGCCATCTCACCGTAACGTCCGCGGTGCTGCGTCGTGTCGTACGCCTGGATGACCCTCGTCTGACTCTCGTCTGCCTGGGAGAAGGCGTAACCACGCTGCTTGCGCATGCGCTGCACTTGGCGCACCTTGCGGATAGCCTTTTGGAATTGCTCCATTCTGGGCGCGGAGTTAGCAAACAAACCAGAAAATATGGGCGGTTAGGAGGGCAATATACCTTGGTCTGTAATCTTGGATGTTGTACTTCTGAATCTCCTGGATGTGATGGTACGTCTGCGGCATGTACATGCGCTTGGCGAACTTCCATGCGAAGTCTCGCAGGAGACACATAATGGCCAACGAGATGGTCTGCAACCAGAAAACGGGGCTGGTGTACAGCTTAGGGATGACGCCATGGTACTCAGCCGAAAAGGGGATCATGGGTGCGACGGTACCGTACAGCGCGATGAAGCCCCACCAGAAGAGCATGCTGCCGGGGATGGCAATAACATGGTACTTGGTCCAGTTGTTTGTGATTAGAGCAGCTTTACCGAGGACGGTGAGCAGGACGGCAGCATACAGAGCCGTACCCCAGACCCAGTGTCCCGCGATCTGTCCATCACCTTGAATGAGGTCACCATACCAGATAAGCTGGCCAAAGACATAGAGGATGATAGAGTGGTAGATGGCGTTGGCGACCCACTCGGCGAAGATCTTGATCTTGAAGAACTGGTTCTGCTGGCCCATGTTGTACAGCTGCGGGTAGCGGTCCAAGAGTCTGGCCGAGATGAACTGGTCAAGGATACCCAAGGCGAGCGGAGGCAGGACAGTGTAGAAGACATTGTAGAATGACAAAGTCCACGACTCATAGATGACAGCACCAGAGAAGACGTTTTGGAATGTGTACTGCAGGAGTCAGCAAGTATGCAAACGTGTTGGAGTGGAAATAAACTAACCCAGAATTGCGTCATGTACAGAGTGATGTTCTTATAGAAGGAGAAAAGGATCGTCTTGGCAACACGCTGGTAACTCCAGGCGCCGTGCACCAACAGCAGCTTTCTCAGATACCGGAACTGACCGATGGAAACGTCGGCACTTCTAGCAGCTTGGAGACCTTCCATACCGCTGATACCAACGCCGATGTGGGCGGCCTGGATCATGGAGACGTCGTTGGCACCGTCGCCAATAGCGAGTAGAATGGATTCCTTCTGATATTTCTTGACCAGCTTGACGACAAGAGCTTTCTGTAGGGGAGAAACACGGCAGCAGATAACCGCCTTACACATAATGGCCAGATCGAGGAACAGCTTCTCCAAATCCTTCTCCAAAGCGTAGGTCAGGGACTTGCCGTCGATAATGAGAGCCAATGTCTCCGTCTCGATTGTTCCGTCACCTTGGGTTCGAATAGCGTCCAGTTTCTTCTGCAGGTTGTCCCGTGTTGCGGCTGCGCTTTCCTCGTTCACAATCAAAAGCATCATGTCCTCGCTAAGAAGCTTGCAACTCATGCCGATGTTGATGGCAGTCTCCTGACGATCACCAGTTAAGACCCACACCTTGATGTTGGCCTGCTGAAGCGTATGAATGGTCTCGGGAACGCCATCTTGGAGACGATCTTCAATAGCGGTCGCTCCCAGGAGATAGAAATCGCGTTCAATGATTTCAGCAGCCTTGTCCAACTCATCGGCACGGTTGCCACCAACAGTAGTAGATGCCTTGTCGTAAATCTTGTACCACTCCTGAAACTCTTGGTCGGGAACTTCACGCATTGCGAGGCACAGTGTCCGTAGACCTTCCGACGCGTATTCCTCCAGATGGCGAAGGGTGGCTTCAACATGAGGGTTCTGGTCGTTGAGACGTTCGAGAATAACAGTATCAGCACCCTTGCAGTAAACACGGACCTTGCCATCGGGGCATCGGTAGATTGTCGACATGCGCTTTCGGGTAGAGTTGAACTCGCAGACCGCCAAGAGCTCGTATTCAAGTTCCCGTCCGTTGGCTTCGATAAATACAGATCTCGGCTTGCGATCCGTAAAGACATAGCCAAGTTCAGCGGCGCCCTCGACGAGTGCGCCCTCGTCAGGTGAGGCCGCCTGGTACTTAATCTTGCCACCCTTCTCCTCGCTTCTCTCGGGGATGACCGTATGACAGGTAGCCAGGAGAGCTAGGAAATGGTCAATCACAGGAGCTGTTTCGTGGCTCTTGAGGTTCTCCGCAAGTCTCTTATAGTCGTGGATTCCAACCTCAACACCATCCTGAACCGTGGCTCTAAGATCTTCTGGGACATCCTCCGCGTACTGGATTCCACCAATCGAAGCTTGCTTAAACTCCATCATGTTGCAAGTCAAAGTGCCAGTCTTGTCAGAAAAGACGTATTCGACCATACCAAGTTCCTCAACCAAGCTGGAGGTTCTGCAGTTCGCTGGGGTGTCCGTCTTGTCGTAATAAATGTCCAGGTCATCGTTGATGAGAATGCCGTGCCAGTACTTGACCATCTCCAGAGTGACGAAGAGTGAAATCGGCACAAGAGATGAGAACAAAACCCAGTAAGTGACCATGTCCTTGAAGAAAGTCTTAACAATGTCGCCTGCAGAACCAGTAGAGTCGAGCATCAAGTATTGGAGAGCGTCACCCTCAACCTTACGTTGGACCAGATCACCAACCGTGCAAATGACACTGAGAACAAGGAGGATGCCAACAAGAACCAAGACCAAGATATTGAGCTTTTTCTCGACCTTGGTGCGCTTAATGGGGGCTGCTGTCGCGTTACGCATGAGCTTTGTCTCGTGACCTGTGAAGACAACGACACCATGAATCCAAGGAGTGTTGCGCAAAGTCGCACCACGAAGAAGGAGCTGTTCGGGGTTCAATGCCAATTCTTTCTCGCCGCCGCCAGCCTGCATCGTCAAGGTAGCCTCGTACGTATACAAGCTGCTGTTTGGCTGTTCAGACTTGATGCGGCCACCGAGTCTTGAGAGCTCGCTGGAGCTAACCATGGGGCATGTCTCCGGCAGAGCTTGCTTGATCTTCAAATTGGTCTCGCCATCGAGGTTAGCTGTCTCAATATAGCACAGGCCTTCCGGTTCGGAACTCGCGAGGAGAACAAGATCGGCAGGGAACGGCTCCTCCGACTCAACACGGATGATGTCTCCCACCGAAACGTTGATCCACTTGGTCTCCTGGAACCCAGTGCCACGTAGGACACGCGCTTTAGATGTGTTGAGTGCGTTATCGGCCTGTTTTCGTCGGTAATCCTCTACGAGCTCCTTGCCTGCGGAGACCATCATGACGATGAACAGCGGAATAATAGTCGTATATCGGTTGGTAGGTGAGAGGTTAGGGATCTGTTGCAGCGCAGCTGTGAACAAGAAGAAGATGTTGGCGAACTTGGAGAACTGCTCGAAGAGGAACTTGGGAAGGAAGGTCGCGACATTGTACTTGGCTGTCGAAATGTGGTTGTCCACATACTTGTTCGCCGCGTTCGCCGGAGGATTGTTGAGGTGAATAATTCTGGGGCCCAAGGTCGAGGGGTCGGGCTTGCTGCGACCGAAGCCAAACTTGAAGTTGCCCATGTCGAACTTCTTTCCCTGTTTCGCCTGTTGGTCGATACCAGAATCCGTCCGCCCATTTCCTGCCTCTGTTAAAGGGAGATCCATCTCTGAGTATCCTTGTCCCATTCCCAATCTGTTCTTTATTCTGCCAAAGAAGCCTCCACCCAAGCTGAGAACGCTATTACGGTTCCGGGCGTTGGCCCTGGCTGCGGGATCAGTCACATTGCTCTGGCTCGCTGCCGATCCTCCCTGTTGATAATACGAATCATGATCCGCCGGATAGTCGTCAAAGTCGTCGGCGTACCGCTGGTAGTTGTTCAGTTCTGATGTTTGACTGTAATGCCTTTGCATGTAAGGGCCGGAGGTAGCGCCGGCGCCGGCGCCCGGTGCTGAGGGACCACCAGGCGTAGGCCTCAAAGCCGAAGGTTGTTGCGCATTGTGTCCTCCTCCTCCTCCGCCGCCGCCACCACCAACAAAATCGTCGTAAGATACGGAAGGGCGGCCCTGGGCCTGGTTCTGATCTTGGCCATAGGATCGCAGAAGGTCATCGTCGTTCATCGCGGATCGCTGTCCTCCACCGTAGACGGGCTGATCATTTTCCAAATCTAACAGTAAATCGTTATTCGAAGGTCCTCCTGGAGGGCCTCCTGTCGGTCGTCCAGCCATGCGGGGGAGACTGGTTGTATTGGTGGGCGATCAAAGTACGCAGCGTGTCTCTCAATTTGCCCAGCATGCGAAGTCGGGGGGTTTGTAGATTAAGGTCGTGTTTCCGGACACATGAGTGAAGGAGCGATGGAATCGAAGAAGGGCGGAATTGTGGAGGCTTGTCGGTAGCCTACTAGGTCAATCGCGGGAGCCGCGGCGAGTGAAGACGACAACGGCGACGACGACAAGGAGAGCAGCGGCAGTAAGAATCAACGCCTCAGCTGGGCGCTCGTGGTAGCTGGTGGGAGAGTAGAAAAAAAGAGTGGCCCTGCAATCCGTATTTGTTGCAGCACAGCCTCCTTCTGACGCAGGATTAGGATTACACAGTGATCGACTTCGCGCTACGTCAACGGATAGAAAGTGCCGAAGAGATAGGTAAGAGGTCGAGCAGAGGTCCAAGAATGCAAAGCAACGCAGTCGCTATGATTGGATTGCAGCGGTCGAGGAAACAATAGGGGATGTATGTCAGATCAGAGGTAAGGAATTGAGGTGATGTGTGAGGAGGTCGTCTGCGGAAGATGGGATCTGCGGATGGCCGTGTTTGAGGTACTGGTGCTTGAACAGACGGCGCAAGGGAGCAACGGGACGAGACGAGAGCAGGGCAATGCTGCGCAGGTGGCAGCAACTTGGTCGTCTCAAGGTTGGTTGGGGGGGGCTTGCTTGGTTGGCTGGAGAAACTGAAAGGGTCTAGCCTGGGCTGGTCACAGCTGGCAGTGCGGGCTGGGCTGTGGGCTTGCTGGCTTGCTGGTGGGCGGTTGTTTCCACGGTACGGAAGTACTGCTAGTACTACACTGAGGGTGGTCTCTCACCAAGTAGCTAAAACGGTACCTGGGAAAAAGGTGGCCCAGGGTTCTTTTTTTTTCTTTTTTCCACGGCGCTGTTTTGCTGTGCTTTAACCTCATCAATCAGCTCCTGCTACGAAACTGGAGCCTAGGTATGATTTTTGGAGGGTGTCAGCTCCACTGAAAGGGGCACGTGGGGCAAGTTGCTATTCGTGGGCCGCTTAGTGGCCGCTCCATAGAGCCTCTGTCCCCGGCTTGGGACTGGCTGCATCCCACTCTACGACCTTCTCATTCCCTCGTAACCGATGGGACGAGCTGACAAGCTTGCATTCTCCAGCCACAATCATCGACGACGACAGGGCGGACTGGACGGAGCATGAAGGAATGCTTAGGCTTTCCCCCTCCCACATCCCCCTCCTCCCATACTAGTAGTCTTACATTCTGGGGCTGGGGGGATACGCAGCGCGGACTTTTCGCACGGAGACTCGGGGCTGTCTGTCCGTTTGATAAGCCACTTGAGATTGACATGAGCCAACCAAACCACATATCGATAGGGTTGAGTTTAGCAACGGTCCTTGTTCTCGCTCGGACATGATACCCATATGCCAACAGACGATGGGTGACGCCAATGCCAGACCTGCGCCAGGCGAGAGAGAGAGAGACACAAAGGGGCTAGATTGGCAGAGTCAGGCTTGTCATTGCCAGGGTTGCCAAGGACCCCGTCCAGTCGTCATCAGGGAGAGAGGAACTAAGCATCTCCCGCAAACAAGAAAATTTCCCTCCGACAGATCTATAAGTATGAATACGGGTGGATATTTCAGTCTCGCTCGTCTGGATTGACCAGATGAAATTGCATGTAGCCTTGAAAAATTCCCACCCTGACACCGCTGCTTCCCGTTGGTTAGCGAGGCGACCTACCGCTGGAGAAAGCTGATGAGAAGATCCAGTTTCAATTCAAAAAGTGGCTGGGGACCCCGTAAAACAGAAGAGAAAACATTCAAAGGGCCCCTATTGTGGCTACTGGCCACCGTCCCGACAAGTGTCGTTTGCGAATCCCAGTCCAGGCCGCTAGCTCCACCCTAATGTCTGCTTCGGACCCACCGGGTGAAACTTCAGCAGAAGAAACTCGGTACTCTAAACGCGGAAGCCTGTTGCGTCTTGCGTCACTCGTCGCTCAAGAAGACCACCTCTTCAAGCCACACACGCGCCACAGACCTTAGCCTTGTGCGCCACCAGCCACTACTATCCTTCCATCAGTCGCCGTTCCATCTTCGTCCCCCATTTCAACGTCTGTTCGGTTGCATATCCCCAACAACATCCCCACGACGACGTCTATTGATACATCACACATATAATTTCAAAAATGGTGTGCACAAAATGCCAGAAGCTGGGTAAGGGTGGATCGACCCTTGCGACTCCCTCCGTCAAGAAGAAGAGCGAAATGTATCATGGCTCCGCCGCGTCCTCCTCCAAACCGACTCTGGGAAGCACAGGCATCGGCAAGAGCAAGCTGCTTTCAAAGGCGGCCAAGAACCCCTACGCCCAATACTCGAGCGCGTGCTCCAAATGCAAAACAAAAGTGTCCCAGGGTCACTCCTTGTGCCAATCGTGCGCCTATCGCGCCGATGCCTGTGCCTCATGTGGCAAGCCCAACAAGAAGAAGACGGCTGCGCCAGTCGTGGCGGGGCAGAAGTTTACGCTGAAGTGAAGAGACAACGTATTGACGAGGAAGAAAAGATACACTGTAGAGCCTGCGCCGATGTTTTCGATGGACCCGATGCCAATACCACACCCGCCACAACGCCGCCACATGACGCAGGCAGAAAAGTCCGCACAACTCGATACTACATGTGCTCCTTCGATGCTTGTGAGTATTTGATAGCAAAATATCCGAGAAAGTTATGAGTAATTGTGCGGAATGTCAACAAGACGAGGAGGCGGGGGTACAAGAGCTGGAGGAGTGGCATGAGGGAGGCATTACGTTACTTCCAAACACTTGACTATTCCGTCATCAATATACACGGCGAGGGAACACACGTCTCAGGACAGGCGCATCATCACAAGGCAAGACGCAATGGCTATAGGAGAGGACGAAACCGTTCGCAAGCGGCAGAAAATGGGAATGCGCCTCGATTTAGCCAGGCCAGTCCGGCACATTTCCGTGCCATGTAACGCACCGGTAAAAGACGGCGCGTCATACTGCGTTGATATAGATAGGTCACGCCAGACGTAATAAGAGGTCTATTGCTTGATAAAATCTTCAAATTCATTATCGCTTTCTGTCATTACCGACTACCAATTAATCACTGCCTTTTTCATCAAACCGTTAATGTCCAGTACCATCATCGTCCAAATCCAATAACTCACAGGTTCGCTGACGGCTTGTTGACCTTGCTATCCAACCACTCCTTAATCTGCTTGTTGACCTCCTCGGGAGCCTCCCACAGAGCCCAGTGCGACGCCTTGACCTCTCCCCGCGTAAGGTCCTCGAAGTGCTGATCCATACCTGCTGCCATGGCCGGGGGCAAAGCCGCGTCCTTGCTAGCAAGCACGAACAGACTCGGTGGTGTGACCTTGATCGGCTTGCCTTCCTTCTGCGCCTCCTCAGCCAAGGGCAGCTCCTCCTCGTAGTTGAGCTTGCGCGTGCGGTACCAGTTCAGGGGTCCGCAGAGGCCGCTCTTGGCGAAGTTCTCGGTGTAGTACTCGATCTCGGCGTCGTTGAGCAGAGGCGAAGGACCGATCTTGCCAAGGTTCTCGAAGACGACACCGCGGTCCGTCGTGAAGGCAAGCTCGCCCTCGGAGCCGCGGCCTCCGTAGATGCCCTGCAGGAACTGGCGGATGTCCTCGGCCTTCGTGAGGCGGCTCTCGACCTCGGGGCCGCGCAGCTGGAGCTGGTACTTGAAGTTTTGAAACTTGCCCGCGGCAATGAGATCGGCGAGGTCGAACCAGTGGGTCGTGGGCGAGTTGTAGGGGGTGCAGACGCTGAAGACGCCCTTCAGGAGGGAAGGGTGCCAGAGGGCGACGCGCCAGACGAGAGCACCACCCCAGTCGTGGCCGCCGAGGATGATCTGCTCGCCGGGGGCGACGTGCTCGCTCAGCTCCTTGATATCATCCGACATGCTCTTGAGGGTGAATTCTCCCAGCTCCTGCGGGGATGAGGTCTGGCCGTAGCCCAGGCAATCCGGGACGACGACCTGGTAGCCGAGGGAGAGGAAAAGGGGAATCTGGTACCGCCATCCAAGCGAAATGTCGGGCCAGCCGTGAACGAGGACGACGGTGCCCTTGGGGGTACCCTCAGGCTTGCCGTAGAGGTAAGAGTAGGTCTTGCCCCTCACATGAGCTTGCTTGCGCTCGATGCGGGGGTCGTTGGGTGCGATCTTGTCAACAGCCATGGTGAATGTGCGTCCAATGAGCGTGTTCTGTGCTGGGCGTTGGAGATACGACGTAGCTGCCCTCAAGGCGAAGAGATGGCGTACTTATATGTCTGAGCTAGTACTCAACGTCTGCCAAGGTAAGACCCTTGTTGACAGGACAGGACACAGGATAGCCTGTTTCCGCCGCAGTTGATGAATCCCGTTCTGCTGTGGGGGTGTACGAGAGAGCTATGATTAGGCAGAGTGTTCGATCTGCAGTGTGCCGGAGCTGTCATGGAGCAAACACCAGTCTAAACTATTCCAGTATGCTGATTTGTCGCATCCGAGTCATGAATCACAGTAGATTACTATACCACGCCGAACGCTTTAGAATTGGCAGTGCGACCGTACGAGCGGTGTGATTTGAGCCTCGGTCCAGCTCAGCGAGAAATGTCTCGCATATTGCGACCACGGCGGGATAATTGCACCCAAACTTGAGAGAAGAGGGGCAACTTTCTGGGTGACAAGGACGTGACGTGGGGTCCGCGGGCGACACGGCCACAGAGACCAAAGAAACGGCCACGCCGGGAACCCACCCGCGCGGGGCCATCGCATGTCTATCTTCGGAGTCCCTGGACGGAATGGTTCTAGTGCCCCCCGTCCGTGTTACAGTGATGCCTCGGTCCAGGAACATCAGGCAACTTAAGCTAGATTGTCGGAGCTACAGGTCTCCGATCTCCGATGAAGAATTGGAAAAAGAAAAGAAAAAAGGGCATCACCATGTCTCACCCCATTTTTTGTAAGTATTGACGCCGGGCTTCGGTGGCTGTCGGCGATATGCAGGTGGTAACAGTTTTAAACCCATCGTGCATTGCATCGATCTCAGTGCCAACAAGCTCGGCGCCAGACGAGGATCCACAGGCTGAGGGGAGGAGCAACACACGTCACTCGGCCGACGTCGAGTCAGCACATTGCCTCAACCGCTCCACGAATGATGTCTTAGATAGCAAATGCCTTGATTTATATTTTCAGGTATTAGTCGTAAGTATCTTTAAGCAAAGGCCGCTCTGAACTCCAATTGGTATCGTATTCCCGACGTTCAACTTTTTATTTCCCCTTAAAAAGAAAAAGAACAGCGCCTCAACCAGCACCAAAGCCTGGCAGTAAACAGATAGTAGCATGACCAAAAGATAAGTTGCAAGACTCCAAAGAAGCTTGAGGGTCTGCGGCCTGTTGCCGTTAGTAGATCACCATATCCTCTTCGGCATCCTCGACGACGTCACCGGACTCATCATGCGGCTCTCTGTCGAGTCTGTCATTGTCATACAAAGATGCAGTATTAGTACTGCCCGCGGCCGCAGCATCAACATGAGCAGCTTCCGGGGCTGGAGGCGCGTCTGCTGAACTCTCAGCAATTGCAGGCGCAGGTTGGTTTTGCACTATCGACGGCCTACTTCGGCCGTAGCGCTGTTCGTGCGCTTCCTTACGATCATTGAAAGCATCAACCTCCCTTGCTATGATGGCTTTGGCGTCTTGGATCTGGTCGTCGATCGAATCTTCTTGCTCCTTCGAGAGTTTCCATGGTCGAAAGTACTAGGTGGTCCGTCAGTGGAAGGCCAGAGACCCGGGATCGGTTGAAGACTCACAATCGGCGGCTGCGCATGCGTCTTTAACGAGTGTGCCATTGCGAGCATATTGGCGTGTCGAACCCTCATCTGCGAAGAGCATCAGCAACCTTGTCCTTGCAAGGGAGGGACTATCCGCATACGGCTTTCTCGTCAAATTTGATCTGCTCCTGCCAGCGCACCTCGGTGATCCTAGCAAGCTTCTCGGCCCGCCTCTTGTCATCCTCCGCTCTTTGCTTCTGTGCCCTCTCCTGTTGCCGTAGCTCGATCTCCCTGCGCTTCTTGTGCTGGGAACTGGTGCTTGTTTGACTTAATGTATTCAGTAACCCGCCGAATAACCGCTTTCCACGCCTCTTTTCCTCATCTCTTGACACAACGCTACGACGAGCAGTGCCGGCGTCAGCGTCCACGTCGCGGTGCCTAGGTTCTGTAGGCGAGGAGTTCGGGTTTTGTGAGCGAGAGTCGTGATGGTCATCGTCATCAACCCTGTGTCTTTTTGAGATTTCTTCGTGGCCATCTAGCACCGAAGAGGCTTTGCGCTTCTGCGAGACTTCGGCTTCGGGGCTCATGGACTCGGCTTCAATGGCATCGGCAGGTGCCCTGTGGTGGTGTCGTCAGCTGGTTGTGCTCTTGGAAAGATGGAAGGCGCATACTCTGCAACGGTGGCCATTTCAAATTTCGCGCAGGTTTATTGGCCTTGTTTCAAGGATGCGACAATGTTTTACTATAAAAGAAGAAATTTAAGACGACCTTGATCAGATAGTTTTGAATGCGACCTTGTGCCGTGCTACAGCTAGGAAGCTCAAGCTCAAGCTCCGAGGCTGAGGTTTGTCAGCGGGGTCCAGCCACTCACATCAAAAGACCCGCTTGTGACCCCACCTCGGCCCGGATCAGACTGGGGCCGTACCAATAACGGAAGGAGAAACGTCGAGAAGATGTGGCGAGGCTGAGGAGCGCGAACTTCTTCCAAGGTCGTTGTGATTTCAACGTCCCGCCACTTTTGCGATCAACAACAACGTCGCTCCCAAATTTCGCGACACCCAAACACTGAGATCACAAGCGGCGTTATTCTTTCGAATCACACAAAATGTCGCGCCATCATCCGTGAGTATTCTCTCTTGCTTCAAATCCCTTTTCAAGCAAATAGACCCAAGACTGACTATGTATTCTTCAGCGATCTCGTCATGTGCCGCAAGCAGGCCGGCATTGCCATTGGCCGCCTCTGCGACAAGTGTGACGGAAAGTGTCCCGTCTGCGATTCTTACGTCCGACCCACGACCCTCGTCCGCATTTGCGATGAGTGCTCCTTCGGCAACTACCAGAACAAGTGCGTCGTCTGCGGCGGTGAGGGTATCTCGGACGCCTTCTATTGCTTCGAGTGCACGCGACTCGAGAAGGACCGCGATGGGTGCCCCAAGATTATCAATCTGGGTAGTTCTCGAACCGACCTGTTCTACCAGAAGAAAACGAATCGCACGGCGACGTACTAGTCCCTACGTCGCCCGGGTATGGGCACCGGTGGTGTTTACGAGCGTGGTGGCTTGAAACATGGAAACGAATATCAGGTTTTTGTTTTTTTTCTTTTGCGAAACACAGGCTTGGCATCATGTGTATGGCGTTTGGGCGTCAATGATCAGAGACATGGCGGAAGGGTTTACGATTTAGACCAGAAATGATATCTCACTCTGCATGACGGAATAGTTTGTGTCGAAAATCTTGAAAACATGCTCCCATTTGCATAAAGAAAAAAATTCAAGACCACATGGAATTACGGCCATTTCATCCAGGTTCATATAGTACAGTGAAAGTCAAAGCTAGCCGGTACCCGTGTCGTAATCATATGTAGCTAACCTTGACTCCCATTCCCGCCGTTGCCTTTACCTTATTCCAACCATTAGCAAGCAAGCGCTGTATCCGCTCTCTGACGTTCTTCTGCCCAAACATAACTACCAAACCCAAAATAAAGGCCACGAGTCGCATCAGCAACATGGGATTTGTCTTGAACGACGTTCCCAGCTGATCTATGAGCTCTTTCAGCCGAGACACAACCATGGATGCCCTCGTAGCGAAGGTTGGATTGGCTGGCGGTTTGCCCTTCGCTTTTGAAAGGGGCAACTTTGAATTTGAATTCGATCCTGATGAATTCGAAACCGCTCTTGCATGTCGACCCTTGCTTGATCCCGCTTTGCTCGAACTTGCTCTGCTTGGCGTCCTTTCGATACCGTAGTCCACCTCAGTACCCTCTCTTCTTGCTCGCTCCTCCTCCAGTCGCCTGCGTTCCCTCTCTTCGTTTTCTGCCCTCAATTTCTTGGCCTCTTCGATATCACGCCTCAATTGCTCCTCTTGCTGGCGTCGTTCTTCCGCATCTCGCCGTTCTGCTTCTTGCTGTTCTTCTTGCAAGCTTTGCAAGGCTTGTAAAAACGCCTCACGGCGCTCATCGTCTAATACGGAGCTGACGCTGATAAACTCTCGAGCATAATCCCATTCATTATTACGGAGCAAGACGTGCAGCGTGTAAAGTTCGAGGATCTTGACCCTCGCATTAAGATCCCTTGGTGTGTCGGCTCCGCTCGTCCCCTTTGCCGGCGACCTATGCCGATTGTTCAACCGTGGGGACGGCGACGGGGAGTCAGAAAATCTCTGTGAAAGATCCAGATTTGGTGAGGTCGAGGCAGCGAGATAACTCTCCAGCCTCTTTTGATTCAGTTCCTGTGTCCGGGCGTGGGCTAGGAGGAGTGTGGCGCTAAGAGTTTTGTTAGCCAAACTACTACCGGCCACAAGACAAATAAACAACTGGATGGGCGCTTACAGGTTAATGACGACGTCTGAATCGACGTCGCTTTCGACGCCGTGATATCCGTTGCGGACGACCTCCTCCCACACCTCTCCCTCTCTGACCTTGGTGCACAGTGACCGCCACTCCTGGCTTCCGAATGCATCCTTCCCCTCGTCCGGCTCCAGCTCCACGATTGCGTTGAGAGTTGTCAGGTAAAGGCTCCAAACCTTGATCCGGGTGGATCGGGAGGCCCTCGCTACGGGAGCTGGCTCTGTCTGGTCGCCGTTGGATGGTGGCGGGGTGATCAATGGCAAGATGGTAGATAGAGCTTCGGGCAGACGACGCGTGAGAAAGAGAGTCGAAGCCTGGCGGTAGGTCTTAGATATTTGTGAAGTATGGCGCGAGGAGGTCGAAGAGGAAAGAGACGAGATGGAACTCGAGAGCATGTGTGGAGGGAATGCAGATGCGGATGCGGTTTCGGACGAGGCAATCGTGGGACTCAAGGTCGCCGTGTAGGAGCCGTTGAGGGACGACATGTTGGCGGGCATTTAGAAGTCGAGCAGCAGGGCATCCAATTCAATTTGTCGGCATTGACGTGCCCCAGACGGGAAGGAAATTGACAGGGAAATAACCAAAAAAGAACTGGGTTTATTGTTATGTATCCGACGTGCGGAGAATGGCGGCCATCATACGCGTTCCTGGTCAAATGCCACCTGCAAGTTGTGAGGAGAGCCGCGACATGTGGTTGTGGTTAGATTCGGGTTGCCGGTGCTCGGTGGTGGTCGTGCTGGGTTGCTGGCCGCTGGAGAATGGAGCTGGCAGTCTGCTGACTGAGGTGGAATGGGGGGATGCTGGACCAATTACCGCCCATAACCTCCAGGCACAGATGCCACTTTTCGGCCCTGGCCAAAGTTTAGCCTCGGTTTGTTCTCCTGGCAAAGCGTGAAGGAGGTGGGCTCCCCCCGGCTTCTGCAACTTTGTCGGCCCAGCCAGCTGACCGCCAAAAACGAGAGGGGGACGATAAGCGAGTACATGGTCTTGGTCCGCTGTACCCAGTGACGTCGCCCCGGATTCCTCACACGTGAAGTACCCCTCTAGCCTCCACGAGCGCTGCCTCTTCCCGGCTTTTGGCCCTCCTCATTGGGCGTAGCTTCCTGATCGGGGAAGAGCGCAGGGCCTGGACGGAGAAAACAGGGGTTGCCCTCGACGACCGGCCGAGCTTCATCTCATCTAGCGGAGATCACCAACCATTTAGAGACGCTCGTCTCATGCTGTCGCTTGCCTGTCATTTCAAAATTCGTACTCTTTGCCCTCCAAGTTGGGGTTCCCCTCCACGGATTTGCCGTAATAAGTGAAATGTTATTACTGCCTCTTTAATTGACCCCATCAGATGTCATGATCGCGTTTAATTAAGAGTTCGCGTGCCCCTGTACTTACTTCCCCAGATTATCCCGAGGCCGTTCCGAGGCACGCCGGTAACAGAACAAGCCGACGTCTAGCATCAGCCTTCTCGTCCACTTGGATTTTTCCTCTCCCCTTGAGGAAGAGGAACAAATTTCCAATGATGTGATGAGTCTACTATTGACAGTAGAACAAAAATGGTGGAATACCGAGTATCAAATAATGATACTTAGACAAACTTAGCCAAGATCATAATAAAATCGAAAAAAGAACAAACCGAACAGCAAGAAACCCACAACCCAATCTCAGCGGGGCCTTTCGAAGAAAATGTCTAGGATCAGTCCCTATTTTTCATCATACTTTGTACAGTTCATCTCTATTTGCGTACAACGCGTCGTTTCTTCTACTTAACGCGTCTTAAACGTCATGTTTTCCCCTCAGTAAACCCCGCCGGGCCCAATCCATTAAAGATCATGGTAGGCAGTCCACTCTATCTCAAGTGGACGACATTCGTCGAGGGCCTCTAGGAAGAGCGGTCCAGCATATGTCAAACACAAGATAATCCCAGTGGAGAGGTTCAAGTTCCGCATCTGCGTCGTCCGAGTCTTTTGCGGACTAGTCAAAGGCCGACTACGAGTCTGAGCCAGAGTAATTAGGGTCACGCACAAGGTCCAGCAGCCAATATTCACTGTACAGCCGCTTTGTCATCTTATCCCAAGTCTCAAATTGGTGGGTGTTCTGCCAAACGCCTCGCAAGTTAGTTTGGGGGCCAGACGTAGAAGAATAGTAGTAGCCATGAAACCTGGCTGCTTGTCAGTCAACCCCGCAAAGGCTCGACCAGTTAACATACTATCGCAACCTGCCTCGTGTGCATTTTATCTACGATTATAGCCATAGGACAGTTCCCAGTAGATATATGGCTTCGCCTCTTCACCATTGAATTTGTCAAACATACCCGCCAGAGGTCATCTCCTTCAATAGCTTGCTTGCTAGTAGCCACAACCTCCATGCCCATAGCAAGCAGAAGTAATTCGTGGACTTAGCGAAAAAAAATCACCGGAGGAGTCAAGAAGGTCGTCAATAGAAGCTCTGTGAAGGAAAAATAAATCCCAGAACTGACTGAGACTGATGATGCGAAGTCGGACAGATTGGAGTCGAGCTTTGAGCATCTTGAGATCGCTTTATGTTTTCTTCCGGATATCTGCTGACTTGGAACTCATTTTGCGGCGCGAATGATAGCTACCTTCCGGTTCTCACAAGGAACAGAGAAGATTTGTGGGCAATGGTGTGTCTGGTATGCTCTACTAGCAAGTTTCCCAACCGAGGCAATAAAGCCCTAACTATGCGAGTTGGGCCTGAGACGTCTTCAAACTCTCCATCAGAAAAAGTTTTTGTAATTGACGGATTTATTGGACTTAGATACCAAAGCTTTTTAGTGTTCAAAGACTCTAGCAGCTTCAACTATCTGCTTTCTCAGTGAGTTCCGAACCAGAATTGGTAAGTTATCTATTTCTGAGGCTTGCCTGCTCTAGGTTGCTGAATGACACCATAGTTCCGAGTGCGATACTTCATGTGCAAAAACAATGTTTAGGCGGCCACGCGAGCTATCTTGTGATACGCGGTTCTTCTTTTTTTGCTATCTAAGGAAGTGACACGAATTTTGATTTCTCCATGGCTAACTGGCTGTCTCTGGTGCTTACATCAACCCTACGACCCCCAAGCCAAACTGTGATGTTTTGAAAGACATATGCGCTGGAGAAGCTCCAATCCTCTTCATTCACGATGTACTGATGGTCTTTCTCTACGTTTGAGTGCTTTTGGGACAACCAGGCGCTCAATTGCATCTCAAGCTTCTTTGCGGCTGAGATACAGAGCTGGTTTATTGGATGTCTTGTCTAGTTAAAGGCCCTATATATATATATATTTGGAACTCTAGTGAATTGAGAGGAAGATCGTTATCTTCCTGTTTACACCATAAACCAAGGGGTCGTCTTCTGGTGTATCGACGAGCAGCAAGGATGTGACATAAAACAGGTCTGTGTCTAGTATGGTTAGTAAGTGGCTGTCAGTAGCTGTTTAGACAATGGTGGGCGGCGCACCCTCATCCGGTCTGAAGATGGTAGAACAGGGCTGAAAAACGTTGCGTGTAAGTCAGCGCGATTCTTTAGTTAGGTTCGTATTAACTCTGTCGATATATATCGTCGCTATTCCACGTAAGCTTTGATATCTTACGTGAATTGCCTGTTATCTCAAACCTGATAGTTACAAAGCTCGACTCCGCGATAGACATCACTACTCTTGGCAGCTGGGTCCAGAAGTTATCCGTGGTGACCTCCATGGCTGTGCGGATGTGTTGATGAAAGTAGAATGCAACGGAGAGACTCTGAATACGAGAATAAGTATGATGACACTGCTAGTAGAAAGGTGTACCAACCGTTGCGAAACGCAATATGCCTGCGAAGGAAGGCGTTTATCTGGGAGTAATTTCTCCTTGTGCCTGAGGGAACCCTTTCATAACCCACCAGCCTTGAATGACGCAAAAGAAAATGATGGAATATACATCGGAGACACTTAAGGATGGAGATAAGACGAAATAGTGAAGTAAGGTAGAAATAGGAAGGAGTGGTATTATAGCTGCTAGCGAGACGGCTCGAGGTGGCCAAGGCTGTTCCACGTTTACGCTACAAGCTATACCCACACAGACCGGAAAACACCTGCCATAGAGTTCCCCCAACCAGCCGCTCATACAAAAAAGAGGTGTAAAATCAGAATGGGTATCCTGTCTTTCCAGATCGGAATACGAGATATTGGGGAGGCTCCTATCGGTCTTGTTGGGGGCAGCATAACAATGCTGGGCTTTTCTCAATAGTGATTGGGATCAATACCAGCCTACGTAACACCGGAGGTTCAGGCGGACTCTCTATATTGATGATTATGATCACGCCGCGGCACGAGATGTGAATATAAGCGAGGGGGGGCTTTGGTGCTAAGGGGTGGGTGGTCTAAAAATGAGTTAAGGTAGGAGGGAATTGTACCTGGGACTATTAGTGTGAACTGCGCGCTCGTTGACTTGGAGAACAAACACTTTGGTCCGTCTGGCCACGGCTGACATAGACTGACTGAACCCCCTCTTGGATATCATAGTGTGTCTTTGTATGTATGAGGCAATGGTGCATCGTCACGACCCAATACATGGGCTATAGCGTCATTTGTAGTGCCATTTTGAATGAGGAGCATCGGTAGGCTGACGAGTTGCCGGATGTCTTTGTAGTGTAACGACAATCCGGCCAACTGCAAGACAGTGATGGAAGAGCTAAATATCCTATTTTGATAGTGATACCGGGAGGCAAGCACATCGTCTCTTACTTACGACATCATTAGGGGAAACCAGGCGGCAAAACAAGTTCAGTCAACCTCACCGGTCGACATCAAGTGAAGATATGATTGTACAGTTATCTATGATACAACAGCGTTACACTTTTCTTTCCCCTCCTTCACATGCTTTCACTTCCCCTGGCGAGACGGCTTAAGTAGCGTAGACCAGAAAGAAGTCCGCTTACCTGTCGGCCAACATGTTCCGCACGCTGCGGTAGTATTCGAACGGCAGCGCCTCCTTGAGCTCCTCCTTCGTCAGCCACTGGAACTCGCTGTAGCCGTGCTTGTTGTTCGCCAGGTCCGCCTGGCCGGCCATGATGCGCCACTTGAGGAAGAAGGTCTTCTCGCCCTTGCGCTCAAGGCTACCATCCTGCTTAACGGCAGGCTTGACGACGTGATGCGCGACCGGCGCGCGGCCGACCATCCACGTGTTCATGTTGACACCGGCAGACTGCTCAAGAACGCGCTGGGCGGCCTATTTACTCAACCATTAGCACCAATCATCTACCACTCGTCCCTAACGAAAGAGGAAGGGTAGGGTCCAGGCTAGTAAACTCACCTCGTGAAGGTTCTCCTCCGTGCTAAGTCCCGCCGCGGGGAACTCCCACTTGCCATCCTTCTTGACGACAAGGTACAGTGTCCGGTCCATAGCGCGGTCCAGTCTCTTCTTGTCGTTCTTCTTATCCGCATCCGATACACGCGGCTGGGGTGCCTCGGGAGGCACACGGTCCTCCTCGGGGATGATCTCGGCATCGTCACTGACGCGCATGATGGCGTCCTTGAGAATGAGTTCTCGCGTAGTGTCGTGCTTGCTCAGAGAGTCGCCAACCGTCAACTCGTCGTCCCAAGCGCGAGACGCCTTGCCGTTGTACACGCCGAGTTCCTTGGCCACGGTGCCCTGGCGATCCTTGACCTTCATGTTCCAGTCGATGAGGGCAGGAGTGTCGGGCTTGAAGTAGACGGACGTGATGAAGGGCAGCGTCAGCCGCTCATTGAGACGCTTCTGGTAAAAGAAGTAGGACTCCTCAAAGTCCGTCAGGGGTCGCGTGAGGAGCGGCGCCCGCGTAACGACAACGCCCGACTTGATGCGGTAGCCGGGGCCGCTCTGCGTCGTGGCCTTGGGCTCGGGGGGGATGCTGGAGGTCGGCGGAGGAGGGGGAGGGGTCGTCGTGGCCGCGGCGGTGGCGCCCGAGTACGCTCGCGAGGGAGCTCTGATCTGGACTCTAGCGCATTGTCGGCAGAGTCTGGGGGATGCTGTCGGAGCACATTAATCAGTCAATTGCTTCAGTAAAAAGATCATAGTCGCAAACGCACTTCGTAGGAGCCCTAGAACGGCGAAAGCGCCTCTGCTTGAGGCCGCCATGCTGGATGTCTGGTGGTACTGGGTCTCCTCGTCAACACCTCAGTCGAGATCTCCAGATGGGATTGAACTTTTTTGCTGCAAGCTCGGCCGCAGTACGTACCGCGAAGGTCTGACCACGCTTACCTAAGGGCACATGAGCTCCAGGCCGAACATCCTGTTCCGAGGGGTACGTATCGAGACGGCCCGTCTCAGTGCCGGCGATGCAAGCCTGGATGGGCCCTAATGTCGCGAGGCATAAACTCTCATATTACGTCAGCAGTGGGACTGGCAGCGCAGAACCTTTTCTATCTCTGAAGCGGGCCGTTCTCTTTCTCTCTTTCTTCTCTCTTTGTCATTACGGCACCATTTCCTTATCGTCAAGACCTGTTCCGCCTCCAGAACGTCCTGATCATTTTTCGAGTGCCCAGAGCAAAAAGCAGTCTTTTTCGCTAGCAGCGCCTGCATCTTTTCTACTGGGAATCACTGTTAGATAGATACTGCATACATTTCATCTCTCAATGCGCGGCTGGTTGCCGAACGTCCCGTTCAGTCCACGCCGTCGCGTCCAGAGTGGTGGCTCCTTGACGGATTATCCTCAGGCTCAATAAGCCGCGCCTCAAATTAGGCACAAACTTTTGAATTCTTGCTTTGCTCATGTTTTGCTCCGTTGCTCATGCCCCTAAAGCTGCTAACTGCACCAACAGAGTCAGCAACGACACATTCATCTCTCATTAGGCCGTGTTAGAGCAAAGTCGTTATGTCCATTCATCGTATCGTCGTCTATCTACAGTACAGGAGGAAGCTTGTGCAGCCTATCTCAGAACTCTTCCACACGAGAACCTCAGCAAATGATATCTGAGTCATGCGAGACCCTTAACATACAGAACGGGTCTATCCCTTATCCTTATCCGAGAATAACAAACATTCGGATCCAAGCGTGGGAAAATAAAATAAAATTCAAAGCCACTTTCAGATGAAGTGTTGGGTATCAAACCGCGTGGTTCGCTGCCAAACCCCTTGAACGCCTGGTGCCCATTCCGTCCGTGACTTCGATCAAGCCTTCAGTTCCTCAACTGCACGGGCCACCTCCCTAGCGGCGATCTTTTCCCATGCTTTCTTAGCATCCTCGTCGAGAGCTAGCGGATCGCGCAAACCCTCGTACAACTTGCGAGAAACGTCACGATTAATAGTTGCATACTGCTCAGTTGTGAGACCTTTCGCGCGGTAATGGGGATTCAGCGCAGCCCGGACAATATTGCTGATTCTCTCCTTGTTTTCTAGAGATATAGCAGATCGAGTCGGGGACGAATCTTGCGACCGGGTGAGGTTGGCTCGGTGGCGCATTGGTCGTTGGGGTCGAGGCTGACGAATTTCGGCGCCGTTCGACCGGCTATCGGAGTCGCTGCTGTCGCCCGAAGCTCGAGTCGGCGAGTAGTTGGCCTTGGGAAATCTTGGCTCTACGTAAGAGCTTAGAGACAGCGTAGGAGAACTAGGCCGGGGGTGCGGTGGTGGTGTGAGGGACAGGGCTCGGGGGGAGTTGCGCGAAGAGGGCGAGGGGGATGTGACTGGGGAAGAGGGGTCAATCCCAGAACGAGTGCCGAAGTAGTTGCGCATCGCATCGTCGTCTGACGGGGTGCTCATCTCAACCTCTTTGAGTAGAGAAGACAGGAAAGAGGGTCCGGTCTCCGTGCCGATGGGGGATTGAGGACGGCGAGCCGGGTGGTTTGTCTGTCTCGAGGCCGGTGCGGTCGTCGGTGCAGGCGAAGAGGTTGCTGTGGGCACAGAGGTGGGAGCAGAGGCTGATGCAGATGCTAATGCTGATGCTGATGTTGATGTTGATGCTGACGCTGACGCCGACGCCGAGGCAGAAACAGGAACAGGAACAGGAACAGGAACAGATCCAGAGCCAGAGCCAGAGGCCGACGCTTCTCCTTGCAAAGGCAGCCTGCGAGTACGGGGTCTCTTCAATTTGCGCTCGGGTTCCTGTGCGGGCTCCTGCGGGGAAGCCGTAACAGATCTGGACTTTCGCTTCCGGGTATTGGGGGTGGTTTCGGTATCACGAGCCCGTTCAAGTGCACCCCAAGCTCTTTGCTCGTCTCTAGTTTCGGGAGCAGGAGGAGGCGGAGGCGGCTGAACTGGCTCAACAGGAAGGCCGTCCAAACGGTGACCAACGGTCGGGCGAATATTTCGCACAAACACATCCCTCGCGCCCATGCGGCTGGCAATGCTCATACGCTGTTCCCAGTCGCGATGCTCCTGCAAATCGCGGATCTGTTCTCTCTGCTCCCGCTGCGATTGTACTCGACGGAAACTCTGGAAGGCGTCGTCCTCTTCATGGTTATCGAGGTCGATATCAGTGGCGTCGTAGATACGGCTCGCAATACGATCCCAGGCGCCTTGCCACTCAAGGGATCTAGCCTCGCGTCTGGCATTTCTAGCCTGCAGTTGAGTACGCAGGAAGCCACGCCGGGCGTAGACGCTCCGTCTGTTAGAGGGGCGTGCAGCCTGCGCGATGGCCTGCGAAATGGCCTGCGCCTCTTGCAAATCGGCCTGTGAAATATCTCCAGGGCGAGAATGACCTGTGTTGTTCTCGGTACACTCAAAACAGAACCAATATTCTGTCTGAGGCACGCCGGCCAGACCAATACAGTGTGTGTGGTAGGCTGCGTTGCAGCCATCGCAGAGGAGCAATACGTCTTCGTGATCTCCAGACTCGCAGATGGGGCAAATCGGACTGGGCTCGGAAGCATCATCTTCGGGGTTTTCCTCAAGCCATCTGTGAATATCGAATTCCTGTTCTTGCTTCTTATCTTGAACAGCATACGAATCGACGGGAGGACCTGCAAGTTCGACAATTAGTTGCTGTTGTTGCCATGTCGAGGGTGAAATGCTTTGGGGGGCGGATACGTACCGTTCAGCTCAGATGATAGACTGACTTCATTGAAAGGTGTACGACAGATGGGGCAAGTATTGGAATTCTTTGCCCAACTCCTGATGCATCGATCATGGACAACGTGATTGCAGCCGACCAAAGTAGCAATATGGTTGTTCTCGTCTTCTTCGAGTATTTCGATATCGGAGTCGATGCGTTGGTAAGTGGCTTTTGATGTTGTTCCTGTTGTCGCTACTGTAGGTCCCGCTCCGTTTGCGCCGTCCAGCTGGGACGAGGGGGGCTGCAGCGACTCCAAACATATGATGCACTGATCCGGCTCAGTCATTGTGGCAACAGTGGTAGTAACGCTTCAGATTTGATGAATTCATAAAATTCGTAGGTTGGAGAGGCCAATATTTGGCTTTTGAAATGCACTGAAATTCACGTCGAATGTGCGTTGTTGTTCAGCAAAAGGGCTTATGGCGTTTGTTTGCTTGTTGTCTGTCGCGGGCAGTGGGCGGTAAGTGGTGTAAAGAGGCGAGAGTGCAACAGTGCTGCTGCTGGTGGTGCTGAGGTGATAGAACTTGGTAGTGCTGGGTGCACGCCCTGCACTGCACTGCACTGGCACTGGGTTTGTTGCTGAAGAGTGGGAAAGGGAAAAAAAAAAGGTGGAAGGTGGGTAGGAGGTAGTAGGTTTGGTTTGGTGCCTCTTGCGTTTCTGGTGGGGGAGGAACTGTCAGCCGGTTCGGGGTGTTTTGCCGCTGGAAGGACGACCAAAAAAAGAAGTTAAAAAAAAAGAAATAAAAAAAGACGAAAGCTGCAGAACAGCCCAGTGTGGGAGGGGTTATTCACACTTCCGCCTTTGGGGGAGGTTTGTTGTGAGGCGAGAAGTGCTGCTGGGCTGGCTAGTAATTACAGAGGAGGAGGAGAGGATGAGATAGCTGCCGAGGGAGACCTGGAATTGTAGGAGGGAAGGTTTGGAGCAACAAAGCCCCCAAAGCGGCTTTTGCGAGCTTAGCGCAGGCCTGCAACTGGCCTGAAGCGGGGCCAATCAACGGCCGGCTTGTGCAGCGGTGCGCCACACACCTCGCAGACCGTAGTCCAGTGAGCTGGACAAGGGACCTGCACCTGCTGGGCTTGCCCAGAACCATCAGCAGCCCACAAACTCAGTACCTGGTACACACGCTGGACACTACAACTGGACGGGTCAGACCAGCCCACTAGGGCCGCTGCAAAAGCACAAACCCCCAAGGATTGTTGCAGTATGAGCAGCAGAGGCACCTCACTTTCACCTCGCAGGACGAGCAAGGTACACGGTAACGCAGGTAGTGGACAAATGGGGCACTGACTCCTCGGCAACTTCTTGAATCGGGAAAGTGAGGAAGCACATAAAAAAGAGAGTTGATACGTACCTGACTTGGCGGGCAGAAACCCATACGACGGGTTGTGGAGCTTGCGTGTGTTGTGTGTTGCGTTGCGTTGCGTTACGTTTGCCGACCTTTACTCCTCACAGTTCCCTTGCTACTCTCTCATCACCGAGCCACCCTCCAAGATCACGAGCGGGCTGTGACTGGAGACGACGACAAAAGGGTGGTGGGAAGAGGAGGGGAGAAAAGAAGCGTTGGTAGTGGTGGTGGTTGTTGTGAGGTAAGGTAAGGTAAAGTAGGCTGGTAGGCAAGTAGGTAGTATCGGTGGGAGAGTCAAAAAACTCTCTCGGCGGGTTGGCTCGTGCGACGTCAGTTGGTCAGGTACCTCTGGCCAGCTGAGCACAGGGTGCAATCGGGTTGGGTTGATAGCGTCTGCGTCTGCGTCTATGTTGCGTCTGGCGTTGAGGCGAACTGAAAAGTGAGATCGGGATGTGCGAGTGAGGCGTTTACGTCAGACAATGTCAGGTGCGATCCACACAACTAAAGGTAGTGCCTTGGAGTGCCTTAACGTAGGGAGGTGGCTTCAGGATTGGAACGCAAACTCGGCAACGACAAGCCGGATGATAAGGGGGGAATTGGAAAGACAAGAACCGGTTGGTGGAACAAGTAGAATGGAAAGAGGCAGTCGAGGGCGACACGGGCTGGCTGAAGGGGAAAGGCCGGGGCGCAGGGTGTGAATACTTGGGCGCTGGAATGGGGTCAGTCAGTACAACTAAAAGTGCCCATCTCCGCTTCCAAAATTGGGATACTCTCATCACAGGAGTTGGGGGCAGTTGGGGGTTAGGCGAAACTCAGGTCAAGCCAAGGGACTCCGACTCCGTACCGAACTAAGGACAAAAGGCAAGGTAGACGCGGATATGCTGATATACGCAAGGTACACGTGAGACCTTCACGCCCCTCGTCTCGGATGCTGACAAGATTGGCTGGTAGTCTGGCCTGCATCAGTCTGCGACCCAAGCCAGAGTCCGTCTCTTCCTTGGTGTGCCCGAGCGAGTATTCGGGAAAGAGTCGATTCAATCAATTACTGGCCGCCCGTTCCGGCTGCGGATTCGCTCCGGTTTTCCTTGCCTATTTAATTCCCCAGGGCAGCCGAACAAAAGGCAATAGCTAATTTGAAGCGGGCGCAGCGTTTTATACCCTTGTGTGTCTTGGTCGTTTACGGTGGCCGTTCCGCAAGGGAATAAACCCCCCAAATTTGCTTACTCTGCGTAACTCATCTCCATGTACGAACCTTTGGGGTCCTCATCCTTGACTGGTGATTGTGTGTTCCTCCTCAAATGCCACGATATCAGATAACTAGGGGCAAGGCGACCAGCGGGCACACACCGACTTACATGCCGAAATGGCACTAACCCGCCATCCTTTTTTCGGTGTCCTCATGTCCATCGCCGTAGTCAGCCGTCCCATTGGCCCACCTGACCCTACCAGCTGCATCCGCGCCTTGTAAGTCCCAGGCAACATGGATGACTCAAGTGTTAATTCAACGTGGCAGCGTCATACTGCGTGCATATGCTCGCCTGCTTCGAGAATAATCTAAATTGCGTTGTCTAACTTGTGTGAACAAGTAGAGTCATTGCTACCTTCGCATGAGGACCTTGCTGGGGCTTCTCGCATTGATGCAGCCCAATGCAGGCACCCAGCGGGACTTCCCTCAGCTTCTCCTTGGCTAAACACGAAGTTGTTGAGAATCACCGACGCCATAGCCTCGTGGATGCCTCTCTATGACGAATAAGGCGGATCCGAAATGGCGTGGGTCCATCTGGCCATGGGGTTGGTTAATGAGATTGATGACTCTGTCCAGTCCACCCGGCTCCACTCCGTCTGCGACCGACCTGCACTACGCTGTTCATCACATCACGCAAATACTTGCCTCGCAAGTAGAGGGGGAGCACGTCAGGACAAATCGGGAGGGGACGTTTCTGTACGTCAAGTTCTTTTCATTGCTGACCAAGTGGTCGCTCTGGCAGCTGACCGAAGACCCGTTCCTTGTGGCCGTCGTCAGGATGTAGGCATGAATATCCGGTTTTCCCATACACCGCCCGAAAATGCAAAGCAGAAGCCGTCCACCATCCGTCATCCCATCCTTAAACCTCAGCGATTTCCCTCAGACGACGGAGAGTCGAGCGCATGGCAGCAGCAGCAGGGGTGCTGTACTTCTGGTTAGCCAAACTGTTTCCTGTCTCCTGAAGAAGGCGTCGTTATGTGGCCTGGTTAGGGGGTTCTACGTACGCAACAGTGTAAGCACCGCCGGCAACGGTCTTCTTGCAGGCCTTGCAGTTCCAGATACCAGTGGAGTGGCGCTTGACGGTAGGCTTGCCGCAGAAGGTGCAGGTGTACTTGGCGTGCTGGGACACTTCCATCTTCTTGACCTGCTTACGCAGGGAAGCACCGTATCTGGTACCGTACTTGCCGGTAACTCCGACCTTCTGTGCGGTTGTTAGCCATCTATGGCCGGCATGGTTGACATAAGATTCACGGCTTCATCGAGATCCCGTCATACGGCCGTCCCCTAGCATTTGTGACATCAAAGCCACGGATTCCCGCCCACGAGTTGCCGACATGAGAGAGGACAGTCCGAGCAGCGCACCATAGTCGATCTTTCGTTTACGAGACGAGCGCCTGAATTTTAAGCCGAGTTACAGTAGTGACCGTCCAACTGGGGTCCATCCTGTCAATCGTGGGATATACAGGATTGGTCCCGAGTGGTCTTTCTGTCGAAGTAATCAGGGCATATGCGTTTAGTCGTGGTAGACATCGTCGAATCGATCGGGTCTCTCTCTTGTTCTCAACTCGCGGTGCGGAAATACTGATGCTGCGGGGGCGGCCAAATCTTGTCGTACCCAGCCCTCACCCGTCGATGCCAATTCATACTTCGCCTGCCACTGTCGCCAATGGAGCGAATTTGACGGTCGTCAGGGCGGGGTATGGGAATTCGAAGCAGAGTGGGATATCGATGAAGCCAGTCCTCCTGGGTTAATTGCAGAGTAGTACGAACCTTCGTGCGCTTGGCCATTTTGTCGATGTGTTGGGGGAACGGGTTCGTTGACTTGAAGTGCGACGATGGTGATGTTGGATCCTCCCAAATAATTTGAGAGATGGTGTGGTCGGGACGATGAATTTCGGGTACCTAGGGCTGGCTGACTGTGTGCGTGCAGCAGGGGCCACTCTGCAAGAAAAAAAATTACGCGGTAAAACCTCGGCGCAGTGGTCCCTGCCCTTTCGACTGCAATTGCCGTGTTCGTCAAAAAGTTTAGCGAGAGTACACGTGACTGATCACATGACTGTGGTTCGGTAATCTGCCAGCAAGCTCCCAGAAGGTGGTGTCCTACTCAGTGGGTTACACCAGCCTCCTTCTCAAATGGATATTCCAATCAGGCCGGCGCATTGGCGTCATACCTACCCGTCGGGCCTTTTAAGCTGCATTGGGAAAGTAGAGCGTCTGGATGATGGCCATCCAGACGCTAGGGTGCTGAGACAGCACGGGCCAAATGCCTTTCCTAGTTGACATGGCCGTTTGCTACACCACAAAGTTTGTCGCCCGGAACGGTTACAGGGTGGAATGTGTCACTACTGAATCACAAAGCGACTACTGTGAGAGAAAGTTGTCCGTTTAGAAAGGGGCTTGAAGGGAGAGACGGGTGCCACTTTTCGTGACTTGCTGGGATATGTAAAGATGGCCGCCGCGGCGCACGACTTTTGTAGATGTCTGAGACTTTAAGCACTTTGAACTACTGCAACTGTGTTTTTCCCTTTTCTCCTCCTTCACCAGCTCATCTTCCCCGCGAGAATAGTTCAAAATGCCAACCAAGCAGCACGGCCGCCAATACGACTTAGTCGTCTTTGGCGCCACTGGTACGTGCAAGCCCAGGTGTTCTGTGACGTGGTGATGAAGTGTACAATACTCCAAGTGCTGAGCGCTGATCACCATCCCTAGGATACACGGGAAATTTTGTCACGGAGCACATCACGACCCATCTGCCATCCAATTTGAAATGGGCGGTAGCAGGTCGGTCAGAGTCTAAACTTCGACGCCTTGTTGCAGAAAACAAGAAGCTGAATCCTGATAGAGTGCAGCCAGGTAGGCCGAATCATTTAACTTCCTCTTTACATCAGACGGGTGTCTGATTTCTCCGAGTGCCCTTTAGCCAAGCGGCTTGGATATTCCACTCTATTCCCTTAAGACCACAGTGGATTCAACCAGAAGACGAAGAATTGGTGATTTACAATTGAAAAAGAGAAAGAGAGAGCGTGTGTGTGTGAGTGAGTGAGTTAGTGAGTGAGAAAGTGGTGACGAAAGGTGCAGAGGGGGGTTGAATCCTCCGTGCAGCTTCATGCGGGCTTGGCGGCCTCAAACTAGTGCGTGTTGAGCTGTGGTTGAAATTGCTAATCACTGCTTACAGAAATTGAAATCTGTGATCTCAAAGCTGAGGATCTCGACAAGCTTGCTAAAAAGACGTACATTATCATCACTACTGTCGGCCCCTATGCCCAGTATGGCGAGTACGCGTTTAGAGCATGCGCTGAGAATGGCACACATTATATGGATGTCACCGGCGAAACACCTTGGACCGGCACGATGATCAACAAGTACGAGGGCGTAGCCAAGGAAACGGGGGCAATGATGTTTCCGCAGATTGGCATTGAGTCGGCGCCACCAGACCTTGTTACTTGGTTGCTCACGAAGCAGGTTCGCCAACAGCTCTCGGCCAAGACAGGTGCTGTGACTGTGTCTATTCACCAGCTAGAGTAGGCTCCCCATTCCTCCTACCCTGAAACCTTTTACAGAACACTGCTCTAACGCCGAATCTTTCGATAGTTCTGCCCCATCTGGCGGTACCCTGGCCACGGCTCTTGGCCTGTTCGAGTCATTCTCCATCCAAGAGGTGAAAGCACAGCACAAGCCATATGCTCTCTCGCCAGTACCCAACCACAACAAGGTTCCGTCGCAGACATCCCTTCTGACGAAAATACTGGGACTGCGAAATGTCCCTAATCTGGGACTAATGACTACGTCGATCGCGGGCATGACGGATGCGCCTATCGTCCAAAGATCGTGGGGTCTGATGGCGTCGCTTCCCTCACGCGAAAAGCAGTTCTACGGACCAAACTTTTCGTTCCATGAGTACATGAGGGCGAAGAGTTATCTTCGTGGGATAATCATCCACTGGGCCCTTGCTATCTTTGGCCTGCTACTTGCAACGGCAGCTCCTTTCAGGAAATTAGTTAGACTGTTTGTTTATCAGCCCGGCCAGGGACCGGATAGGGAGTTGGCCAAGAACGACGAGGTCGAGTATCGTGGAATTGCTGTCCCGGACAGGCAATCCAAGACCGGATACCCACAGGCTTACTGTCGCGCTTGGTACACTGGTAGCATGTATTATTGTGAGTTCCCTGGCGGCAATCTCTGAACGCTAGAATGCTGACACAAACAGTAACGGGCATATTAGTCGTGCAAGCTGCATCGACGCTGCTTGAGGAAGATGTCGAATTGCCTGGAGGCGTTTTCACAGCCGCATGCTTAGGCCAACCGTACATTGACCGTCTGCACAATGCTGGCTTCAGGTTTGAGTCCAAAATTCTTGAGCATTAGTTAAGCCAGCTAAAGTTATTTGTTGTTTAACTCGTGCGATAATTAAGGGCTATTTCCTTGCATGTAACTTTTTGTGCCTCTGCAATGACATGCGCAAGATTTAACTCACTTTTGAACATCGATTCGTGGTCTCGTAATTGAGGGGTGTAAACTGACTCGGCTGTCCATCACTTGCTCGTAGTAAATCGCATTTCACTTGAAACGTTGAACCCTTACGGCCATTCTTGACAAATTCAATGTTCAACGGAGAACCTATTCTTCCGATGCTGTCAAAACCTGAAAGAGAGCTACAGTTGAAATACAGCGATCGGCGCTGTCATCCATTGGCTTGGGTCTTGGGAATGGCAGTGCGCCTAGACAATAGCCTTATGCATACTAACTTGCCCTAGATTACATAGCTGTAACCCAACGTTAACGTTTGCCAGGGGAAACAGCTCAAGGGTTGGTTGCATTCTGGCTCATATGAGAGCAGCTTCAATCCTACATGGAAGAAAGCGCACCAAGCCTGAAACCAGTTGGCTTTAAGAAGAAAAGAGAAAAGATCAATTCCCTTATTGTATAACTAATGCCATTGTGTTGCGGTAAAAGCTGTAAAGACAAAGACAAAAGATTACTCGAACAATAAAAAAGACTTAGAATAGTTGGTTGTAGAGAAGGCTGGGTGCCTTGATGTTTCCACAGTGGAGTACAGAACCTACTTAACCGAGCCAGCAGTTGCAGTGGCCGGGTAATTAGCGCACCGAAAACAGCTTCCCCGCAGAATTTAGAAGCCCACAGCTGCTTAGAGCCAGGCCCTGGTGCGATGGGGAGCGTACCCAATTCGTGAAAACTGAGGACGTCATCAGGCATAGTGCAAATCCAGCGTCCGGACCCAGCAGCATTGTCGCTTCCACACGTAGCAATGACCTCCATCCCCCGGACACCGTCCAGTTGAGAAACACCAGAATAACCGTTTCGACATGCGATAATACGATCGGACCCGAAAAATTTCCATCACCCCAGTCCGCCGGCTTTTTTTTTTCTATTGGAGCTTTCATTTTGTGATACCCCCCTGGAGCGACAAAAACAGAAAAATAAGAAAGGAAGCTTGCAAAAGATGGATCAGACATCAACAGCCAGTTCGGCCTCGGCCACCGAGAACACGCCACTACTACCGACGACAGAAAACCGCCCCAAGACGGCACGAACGGTCACATTCAATCCAAACCCTGTCACTAAGACGATAGAGCCAGAGCCCGACGTCCCTCGCCCGCGAACGAGCCACCACGGGCTCTCGACGAGCCCCGGCCAGAGCTCTGCCATTGCCGCTATCAACAGCAAACTGCGCCGGAGAAACAGCCATGGCGCCGTACCGAGCTCCATGCCGGCTCAGCTGGTTCCCAAGATCGGACCTCAACGGAGTACGAAGAACGCGCAGAAGTTGAAGCTGCTACCCAATCCGGAGCTCGGCGAAGAGAGCCCTGACGAGGAGAGCGGGAGGGATGTGTACTCTCAGTACACGCGTATTAAGGACCCCACAGCGCGAAGAGACGCCGCGCGACTGGGCAAGGCGGACCGCGAAAGGCTGCCTAGAGTGACGGCGTACTGCACGGCGAACAGGTATCAGATGGATGGTCTAATGCGGTTCCTGAAGGGTCGCGGCAAATCAAGGGGCGCCAACCCCAAACTCATTGATGAATGCATCTACTCGGCCTACGACTACAGCAAGACGGTCGAGAACAGACATGACCGTCGAGTTGGCGCACAACCGGACCCTGTTCAGGCGTACGAGAGGCGACATTCCACAGGTGATGTCTCAGACAACGGCTACCATCGAGAGAATCTGATAGACCTTCAATCAGAAGGTCGTCACGATTCTGGCTTTGTGGACGGATTCGACGGGGGCAACGATCACGACAATGCCATCACCGAGACGAACCCCGACTTCGACACGCAGGTACACACCCCCGAGGTCTTCCTGTTTGACTACGGAGTCGTCGTGATCTGGGGCATGACTTTGGCCCAAGAGCAGCGGTTCCTCAAGGAGATTGCCAAGTTCGAGACGGAAAAACTGGCACCAGACGATGTTGAGACGGAGCATTTCAACTTCTACTACACACGCGAGTACCAGGCCCGCATATACAACGACTTCATCACCTTGCGGGACAAGAGGAATTACATGACCAAACTAGCCATTTCTCATGCGTTAGCACAAAGTGTCAAGGTTTGTGCTGTCTCTCTCTCGGCCACGGTGCTTAAGTTGCTAACTCATCCTAGACCTCTCTCTTCGAGGAGTTGATAGCCTCAACTGTTGACACTTGTAAAGACATTCCCACGCAGATTGCGCTGACTGGCAAGATCGCCCTTAGCCGGACCCAGATCAACATGCAGATTGGCGAGCTCTTCATCCTTCGTATTAATATTCACCTCAACGGCTCTGTTCTTGATACACCTGAGCTTTTTTGGGTTGAGCCGCAGCTGGAACCTGTATACCAGGCTGTTCGCAGCTATTTGGAGATGGACCAGCGTGTTCGACTCTTAACGGAACGGCTTGATGTGATTGCAGACCTGCTGGCTGTGCTCAAAGACCAGCTCAGCCACGGACACGGCGAAAAATTGGAATGGATTGGTAGGTTATTCCCCGTGCAACCGTCAGACCTGATCTAACAAGCGAGTAGTGATTGTACTCATCGCAGCTGAGATTGTTGTCGCAGCTATTAACATTGTGGTTGATTTGTATGCATCGGATTAGCAACATGTATTGTAGGCACTCATATTCTCTTTAAGGTTTTGTTCACGGCGGGGAAGTCGGTGAGCATAGGTAATCCATGCAAAGGACATGCAGAACACACTGGAGTTCGGTTGAGTGCATAGAAGGGGGAGCTTTACGGCGCGAGAAAAGCAGGCGACGGGCACATCAAAAATAAAGTCGCAAGCTGCCCCTTATCCCTGGAGCCGATTATGTTATCTCATAATGTACAAATAAAAACAGAAGGTCCTTCTACCCGCCAGTATCCCCAACGCCTGAACCGTTAATACACCCTAATGCGCGGGCACACATCAGTCATCCGCCTTTTCGTCCTTGTCGTCAGCCGCCGGTGTCTCGTCGGGCTGATCTTCGGTGTCATAGTTGCCCATCTCCACGTCCTCGTCTTGCGAAGCTGCGGGCGCCTGCTCCGGTGTCTTTTCGCGCTCATCCTCCTCCTCCTTGGGCTCGGCGCTCTTGCTCTTGGCTGCGAAGGCGTCCTTCTCCTTCTGGTACTTGGCCATCTCCTTCTCGGAGCGGGCTTGAAACTCTTCCTTTTCGCCCTCGGGCAGGTCCTTCCAACCGCGCGCCAGCTCCTCGTCGACGTTGAGGTCGGCGTCGTCCTCCTTCTTCTTCTCCTCAAGGGCCGGACGCGTCTCGCCGCAGTAGAGGTCAAAGGCGTTACCCGGGCGCTTGGGCGGCTTCGCGACGCCGTTAGTGCGGGCAGTGTCGGCACCCTGGCTCGTGTCACCACCCTGGGTGTGAGAGAAGGTCTCGGAACTCGGCGAGATGGTGGCGGCGTTCTGGCTGAGAGGGTTGGGGGAGTTGTTCTTTGCGGCGGAATCGATCTCGGCAAGGACCGAGGGCTTGCGGTGACCGCGTTTCGTACGCAGAGGCTTCTCTTGCGGCTGAGATGGTGTCAGCAGTCTGCTTTGTCGTCGAGGTGGGCTTGGCGGAGGGCCTACAGTCGGGGGTGGGCTCGGGCTGCCGTCTGAATCCTCCACATTGGTGCTTGTCCGCTTCGCCAGCTGCTCGAGAAGGAATGCTCGCTCCATGCGCAGCTTCTCAATCTGCCGTCGGATGCGGGCCAGGCGCACACGCGTCGCGTCATTCTCCTCCTCGACCTCGCCGGTGCGCTGCTTCAGTTGAATGCATTTTCTCCGATAGGCCTCTTCAACGGAGGGAGGGAGGGAAGGCGGAATCGCTGAGAGGTCGATCGCGGGAGGATTAGCTCGAATGATCTTTTTGGGGGGCATTGTGGTTTATCGCGGCGGCGCGCAGGAGGATTGTCTGGGGTAATGGAGTTCGTGTGTGTAGTAAGAGAAGGACAGGAATTGGCTTTTTTTTTTCCGGGTAGGGGGAATGAGTTACGGCGGGATGGGGTTCGCAGCGGATGTCAAGCGGAGCTTTTGCGAGGGTGGCAGGTTGATTGATTGCTGGGTGCTATTGCTTGATTCAAGGGAGACAAACGTACCGGATTGCGGAGCCATTGCGCCTTAGTAACAAGATTTGAGCTGAAGCTGGGTGCACCAAAAGGACAAGAGATTGAGTTGAAGCTTGATTGGGACGCGAATCTGACGGGATGAAGAAAGGAACTGGGAGGTGAGCCTGCCGAGAGCGTGATCCGGGCGACTGTCGTCAGGACCAACGAGCGAATCGCGCCAGCTGGAAGAGCGAGGCTGGCACCTGTTGTCTCGCAGAAGCCCGGGAGCAGGGGGGGTGGATCAGAGGGCCGGGGGTGACCAAACAACACCCACCACTTGCTATGGGGCCGCCTTCAAACGACTGCGACCCTTGGGGAATGTCGTAGAAGCCACGACTGAGTAGTGGTGTGAAGCCGGAGAGATAGTGCTCGGGGGGGAAATTCGTGAAAAATAACCCAAATTCAAAATCTACATGCAGGATTATTGCAAGACACAACGACGCTTCTGCTACAAAACTTTGCCTAAATCACTACAAGACAACCTCCTGAAGCACCAAAGAATCAGGGAGTCGCTGGAGGCACTCCCCCGAAATTTAGACTGGGCAGCTGTGCCGGATCGGATCAACAGCACGCCTGCCGCACCTTGATTGGTCAGCTCCCACTCCAACCCACCAAGGCTGCAGCATACGCTCCCGCACCACACACGCCTTGCACCCAGACTTTTTTTTGAGCCTGGAGGAGCTCCCGCAACCACCTCGTCAACATCAAGGGCACTCCCACACTGTTGTTTCGAGCGGTACGACAGACATAACCCCGATATCCAAAGCGCATCTGGTAGTCGGTCAATCATGTCTCTCAACATCCCCAACGCCCCTAACGCGGGCCTGTTTAAGCAGGGGTACAACAAGTAAGTGCCTCCTATATGAAGCTCCCCCGCCATGGCTGCCCGTCACCGACTGACCCCTCGCAACAGCTACGATTCCGAAGATGGAGCAGTCTTGCGAAACATCGACGCCTGCCGGGCCATCGCCTCGACTGTCCAGACGTCTCTGGGCCCCTACGGTCGCAACAAGATCGTCATCAACCATCTTCAGAAGATGACCCTCACCTCAGACGCCGCCACTATCCTTAGAGAACTCGATGTCGTCCACCCCGCCGCCAAGCTCCTTGTCATGGCCAGCCAGCAGCAAGAGTCTGAGATGGGCGATGCCACAAACCTGGTTATCGTTCTAGCCGGCGAGCTTCTGCGGAAAGCGGAGGACCTGCTGCGCATGGGTCTCAAGACGTCGGATATCGTCACCGGTTACGAGCGCGCACAAAAGTTTGCTCTCGACACCCTCGAGGAGCTTTCTGTTGACAAGGTTGAGGACATCCGGTCTCAGGAGGAGCTTAGCAAGGCCATCCGCACCGTCGTTGCCAGCAAGCAGAACGGCAGCGAAGACTTCCTGGCCGACCTCGTTGCCGAGGCCGTCCTTGCCGTCCTGCCTAAGAACCCCGTCGGCTTCAACGTCGACAACATCAGAGTAGTCAAGATCATGGGCGGCAGCTTGGAGCAAAGTCGGGTCGTCAAGGGTATGGTCTTCCCCAAGGAGCCGGATGGATCGATCAAGAAGATCCAGAAGGCCAAGGTCGGTGTCTTCTCCTGCCCCATCGACACTACCCAGACCGAGACCAAGGGCACCGTCCTGCTTCACAACGCCAAAGAGATGATGGACTTCACCAAGGGTGAGGAGTCTCAGCTCGAGGCCGCCATCAAGGAACTTCACGACGTCGGTATCAGAGTGGTCATTGCTGGCTCCACCGTCGGCGACCTGGCCCTGCACTACCTCAACAGATACGGCATCCTCGTCATTAAGATTCTCAGCAAATTCGAGTTGCGGAGAATCTGCAGAGTCGTTGGCGCTACCCCGCTTGCGCGGTTAGGTGCGCCGATGCCCGACGAGATGGGCTCCATCGACATCGTCGAGACCCTCGAGATCGGCGGAGACCGTGTCACCGTCTTCAGACAAGAGAACGAGGTTACGAGAACAGCAACTATTGTGCTGAGAGGAGCTACCCAGAACCACCTCGATGACATTGAGCGTGCCGTCGATGACGGTGTCAACGTCGTCAAGGCTATCACCAGAGACCCCCGCCTCGTGCCCGGTGCGGGTGCCACTGAGATCCAGCTTGTCGAGAGACTGAACGCTCTCGGCGAGAAGACTCCTGGTTTGTCGCAGTACGCGATCAGGAAGTACGGCGAGGCCTTCGAGGTCGTCCCGAGAACGATTGCAGAGAGTGCCGGCCTGGACGCTACTGAGGTTCTTAGCAGACTGTACATGGCGCACCACAAGAAGGATGACTGGGCCACAGGTGTCGACATCGAGGTAAGAAATCCACCGGGTCGCAGACAAACACGATACTAACTTTTGTAGAACGATGACGGCAGTGGCACTCTGGACGCCCGCGATGAGGGTATCCTTGACCTGTTGGTTTCCAAGTCTTGGGCCATCAAACTGGCTACCGAGGCCGCTCGGACCGTCCTGTCTGTCGACCAGATTATCGTGGCTCGCCAGGCAGGCGGCCCGAAGCCTCCTGGTCCCAATCCTGTAAGTTTACCCAGCGGAACACTTTCGAATCGACATGCTGACCTGCTGTTTAGAACTGGGATGAGGACTAAATGGGATAAAAGGATGGCTGGTAATGGAGTTCATGTCGGTTTTGATGATCATAGACTACGCCAAAAGTCACGTCGAGATATCCCGAATAGATTCCTAAAGACAACTGCTCAGTGCCTTTAAATGTGACACAATTACCTGCCTCGCTCTTCTACCCAAGACAATCTGTATGTGGTGGGCAGTAAGTTGGTGCAAAACCACAACATCTAACCCCAGTGATTCATGTTGTCGAGAATAATTTTTCAATGTCTCTTCGGAGCCAGGACCGTCCTGTCGAGAATTTACTGGCAATGCCGTATCGCTATGTGAAAGCCTTGATCCTCCGCCCAAGACCCGTCATACAGGAAAACAGATGTAGAAAATCAGAAGCTACTGGATTGCAAAGCACTGTATGCCCAGGACACACGTTCCTCGACCGAAAAGCTAACTGTCCCCCACTCCCCCTGAGAACTGTAAATGTCTGTCACCCCGCCCCCTCACGGTCGTTATGGCGGCTGCACCAAAGGCCACAGATGCGGCGGCCATGACAAAAGAAGTCTGCGGAAGCTGACGAGAGAGTTTATAAAGTATAAATAGTCGGTTTCTCAAGAAGTTGGCTCACGCGGTATCAGAACCCAACTTCCTATTTCTACTCCGTACGCAATCACGCCGGGTCACCGCCTAGGTAGAAAAATCTAGGCATTGAATTGTATAACACATTTAGAAAAACTGCTTTTTTATTCAAACTGCTGTCCTGGCAGATGCCGCCAAAGTTGTGAGTCATAGAACTTCGTCGCCTCTCGCTCTGAAACCACCCATTAGGGACCGCACCAAAACCGACAAGACATCGCAAAACCATAAAACTCCAGGTATTCGCTGGCCATCGTCGACAAAAATACCAATATGGCCTTTACTGGCATTCTTCACATGGAGCAGAGAATGCTTTGCCTGTTTGTGATGGCTTCAACAACCTGAATTGACGGGTGTCGCTCCTCTAGATGGACGGAGAGGAACATGAGAATCTCGATTGGTATCTATCTAAACGAGAGGACTGCTTTATTCCACTGTTTAGTTTAGCACCAAGCTGTAGCCTTCTATGTAGAGATAAATGGAACCCGGTGGGCTGGGCTGCGTTCAAGAGAACATCTCCAAGCGGACGGTTGTGATCAAAGTCACTGGGTAACTCATACCTGCTCAACTAGACTCGGACTTCGGTGCGGGAAAGGCATATATATCTATTAGGTCAAGAGGCAGTTGTTGGGCTTCTGCGAGCCTTGGCTGCCCACTTGGCACATTGTAAGTACGTAAGGGCCTTCAGGGTAGCGGAGCTTTCCAAGGCCCGAATGAAAGATCACAAACCTCGGGCAAGGAAACAAACATCCCTCTGCCCGTTTTTTCTTCCCACGATACACTTTGCTTGGGGGAGGTACTAAGGAATGAGGCCAATTTCATTGATGCGGTTGGAAAGCGTATATGGCACCATTCACTAATCTGAAGTGGCCCATCTTCTAGACAAACTTCCCATATGGCCTGTTTAAGCTGTCAATACCCGATTGCACCTGCGGCCAGGTTAAGTTAGGAAGCCCGCGTCTCTCAAAAGTTAAGTTACATGGGTCAATGGCAGTAGTGTTGTCCTTGTGAACTAGAACGGGTTGGCATTGGACTACTTCATCCTTCCCCCTTCGCAGATGCTTCCCTACCACAAATTTGGTTCTCTCAGGACTCACTCGCTTGCTTATATGAGAAGCGACGACATTTCAGATACGCTTGCGTAGATGGAATCATTACGAGCTACATCATACAGTCTTTCCTGTTGACACAGTCTTGAATACTTTATCAGAAAATATGCAGACAGGAAGGTTGAGGGCATATATGAAACTGCTCAAAAGCTAGTGCTTGGCCCCCTTTCTTTTCCTGACACCTCCATCTCTCTACATTTCTCTTATTGTCCATACTTTTCTTTTACTCCTCCCCAGACTTCCATTCATCACCTAAATTAATCTCGTCCTTCACCTTCATGGTCGAAATAAACATTGTCGAGCCAGACTATATATTGTTCTACCTTTCGGTTTCTTTCGCATCCTCTTCTTCGCGCGGTACACCCAAGGTCATCCAATCATTGTTCATAATCCTTCTTTTCAGATGTCTTCATCATTGGCCATAGAATGTCACATTATGAATCTTCAGGTGAGGATCACCAATGATGACTGCCCTTCGGGGTGTTTGTTATAGCTTTTCCCGAGTTTTGGCAATGAGGACAGTATCTTGTCTAAGGAGAGACGTAGTTCACTCCCCATAATTGCTTCAACTCCTCCTCATCCAAATACCCCTTGATTCGGCCAGAGAGGATATTTGTATAGCACAAGACCCCTTGCCACTTTAGCTTTGTAAAATCTTTTACATTGTGTTACGGTAAGGTAGTCAGTAACCACTGCTAAGTTTCTTTTGCTGTTTCTTTAGCACGGAAAGGCCTCGGTTTTCTCGGGGCAATAAAGCTGTTTCAGAAGCGCTATTCTGAGGATCAATGAAGTCTTACACAACCCGTGACAGCTATCTTCCTCGAAGTCGAGCGGAGCTCCAAACACACATTTAAAAACTTGACTACGCACAGCCAGTCGATCAATTTGAGCTTCTTTTGACTATTGGTTGATCCAAGCAGCTTGGCGCTGGAGTCAAATATCTATTGACGAGATTCACAGGCAGGAGTCCGACGAGTAGAAAGTGCTAAGAAAAGACATCTAAACAGACCTCTGAAAATGTCCCTAGGCAGAAATGCATTCAGGCAGCTACAAAAAAAAATCACAAAAGCAATGCTTCGGTCCCATTGCCGAAGATTTTCCCCTCAGAACAATCCTTTGGCGTCGAACGCCTGGTCTTCGAAAGCTGTTACTTTCCATCACGGACACTGTTCACATCCTCTACGAGGCGCAAACATTGGACCGTCTGAGTACAGAGTTATGATTATCAAGTGGACACCGCAGAGCAAGGCCAACATCTCCGTCTCCGGCCGAGGCTGAAGCGCAGTCTGCACCAACAACAGTACTGAGCAACTGGGTATCCCATACCGCCTTGAACAACGGCATGTAACACAGGCTAAATAAAGTGCGATTGCTGGGTAAAACGCAGTGTAGTTTATTTCGGCATTGGACGACCAATTTTTTTTTTTTTTTTTTGAGGGGATGAGGCACAAAAAAGACAAACAACCAAAAGAGTCCGACTCTCCCGACTTGAACACCTACATGCCACTCTCGTAACTAGGGCACCACTAAGTCATGCAGGCTATACCAGAAGGGTTGAAAAGAGATTTAGACACGCCTTCCTCCCATGGTTCCTACAAACATGTGAGTCGCAGTCACGCACGATATCAGATATAGCACCGGTTGTGGCATGTCAATTGCAAGTAGTATTGTTTTTAGCTCCCGCATATGGACTCTGCCTGTTCCCAATCATGTACAAGCAGCGCACTTTTCGTGGCCGAATATTCCCCCTTTTCCCCCATCCGGTACATGACCATCCCCTCCCTCACTCCGGCATCAGTGGCATGACAAAAGCGACATTACATAAACGCAAGGCCCAATGCTATACATGGGACAGAATTCATGACGTTGGAAGAAAAGCAGGTGTCTCATCAGACAGGACTCGTAGTCCAAACATGTTGGCAAAGAAGAAGAAAAAAGAAAAAGAAAAAAAGCAGATGTGGTATCTTTCCGGCGAAGCGTGCGGCTGCGGAGCGGTAAAGACATTAGCGGGAGCAGCTATATCCGCCAAAAGCCAAAACATAATAAGCTGTAGATCAGGGGTATGATGTTATAAATGACAAGCCGTGCCGGCCAACGACTGTAAGAATGTTTGTCCCGGGGAACCGATGCGCCGCCGCGTAGTCGTCCGGGTGTCTAAATGTGCCCAAAAAGCCAGCCATAAAAATAAGCAAGGCAGAATAAGTAAGAGCTTTTTTAAGCTTCCTCCATGATGCCACCTTCACCCCCTCCTTCTTCTCGCCATTCACGGCTCTTGGAGGTAAGCTTCTTGACGCCTGTAACCCGGCCAGCCCAAAGAGACTCGATGGGTGTGCGGAAGGTGAAGGCGCGCTGAGAGCTGATGACCCCGATGGCTTGAAGGACAGCCTTGCGGCTGTCGCGGCCGAAGACAGCGGGGTGGCTGATCCACTCCAGACTGCTCTCCAATTCGGAATCCAGGGCTGCAACGGTGTTGGCATCGATGCCAGCCCCGAGGCCAAGGCCGTCGTTTGAGCGGCTGCGGCCGATCGCTCCCGCAGCAGGATATCCGTTTACGGCGGAGGAATTGGCAGATTGGGTGGGCGAAGGCGATTGCTTCCTGTCGGGAGTAATGGAGGGTGAGCCCTCATTTCCTGGGTGTGGTGTGGATGGAAGGGATCGGTTTGGTGGCGGTGCCGGAGGGATTGGAGGCAGGCCACCTTTTCCAAGTCCCTTGAGGATCGAACGAGTCTCGTTCAGTAGGGTGTGTGCTCGGTCGTGCTGACCGCGCGATACGAGGGTCAAGGCGCGAGTGAGCATATCCGAAGTTAGCAGCTCCATACGCCGCTGAACAATGTGCGGGTGAGGAGGGATCGGCGGCGAGTTTGCCCACGATTCCTTTCGCTTTGCCTGGGCAGGTAGCATTGTGATTGCCAACAGCGACGGGCGAGGAAGGTGCGAAAGCGTGCCGTCTCGCAGAATGTCTCCCCATGTGAGGTCCGCCTGGATCAAGGGCACCTCCTCTACAGAAGTCACCCGTTGATCGTCGCCATCCCCGGCGCCGCCGAGCGCCTCCAGACCCGAGACAATGTTGTCCCAGGGATCTTGGGGAAGTTGCTCCTGCGATGTGTTGTCCGGCACAATGACAAGCTGCACTAGAACGTCGCGCTTGTCGCCAAATCTAAGATCACCAAGCGAGGCCTCAGCGTCGCGACCGGTAGCCCGCTTGGTAATCTGCAAGGCACCGGATATCTTATGGAACTTGGCCGGTGATCCTTCAGGCAGCTTAAGCTTGAGCTTCACATTCTGATGGGAAAGCGTCTGCATGGCGCCAAGACAACCAGCAAGGCACTCGCGAAGCATCATCCAGTCCTTGACGTAGGTGTAGGACGCCTTGGTACGTGTCGACAATTCGATCATGGTGTCGGGCTTGTGAGTCATGCCCAGACCGAAAGAGTGGATGGTGATCTTGGCAGCTTCGGCTCTCGAAACGACGAAGTCGACACTGTCGGCGTCGGATGTCGAAGCATCGCTGATGAGCATGATAGTAGCGATAGGGTTGTTGTACTTGCGTTGCATGAGCAGGTCCATGGCGACATTGGCGCCTTCAACCACGTCGGCGCGGTGGCTCTTCTGGCCAACCGGCTTAATGGACGATAGTACGTTGCCCCAGCCAGGCCAGGCCTTGGTGGTCATGCCAACAATGGGCACACCACCACCACCAGAACCAAACGTGACGAGACCCATCCTGTCCCGCTCGCCAAGGGTGTTGACCATGAACTTGAGGGCGTCGCGGACCAGGTTGATCTTGACGCCCTGCATGGAGGATGAAATGGGCACAACGACAACGACGTCGATGGGGACGTGAATGGATGCGGGCAAGGTTGGACTCCTCTGGAAGTTCGTATACTCTGTCGGCGCGGTAGTGACAGACTTGGGCCCGCCCCAGGACGAGGCGACCGACGAGACCCTCTGCTGCCGCGATCCACGTTGCCAGTCATCCTCGTCCGTCTCTGAGAAGTCACCTCGGTCGTATTCTGGACTGCGCACGGGAGAGGTCTCGACGGCGTTCAAGTCAAGAAGGGCTTGGTGCCAAAGCTTCAGCTGGTTACGATTCTCAAACCTGAGATGGAACTGTGGCAGCTCTGCCACGGAAAGGTTTAGTGTGAGAATGTTCTCATCGACTAATATTGGTTAGCGCCAGATCCCTCGTTAAAAATAAGGCGACTCACTATTACCCGTTTCTGAGACCTCGTTGAGATGCTTTTTGATGAGAATCGACCCCTTCAACGTGCACTTGGTCGTCTTTTTGGGCATTCCGTTCTCATCCCACTGTCCGGGAACTGGAACCTTCTTCTCCTTCACGCAGATAAGCATTTCGGCGAACAGGAAACATTCCAACTCTTGCCAAGACTGCTTGTCCTTGCCGACGCGCAGTGTGCCATACAACCGCAGTTTGCCGAATCTGGTGGGTGTCAGTTACCTCATTGGCTAGCATGAGTCACCTGTCAGAACTTACCTGCTGAAATCAAGGCCGTGCCAGTTGTCCACCCGATTCCTGAGGCTCTCCGTCATTTCCTCCAGCACTTCCCGAGATTCGTAAGGATAAAACCGCGGTGCACTGCGCGCGGGAGAAGGTGGTCTCGCAAAAGCCTCGTCGATTCTGGCGTTGACAGCCGGGGGGCCTGGAGGGGCGGTCCCCAAGTCCTCTGGGTCCGGTCGCCATTTGTTGTCGGGAACTTCGACGGTGATTAAACAGGTCAAAGTCTGCTGAGTCCGAGACCTGTTGATGGTAGGGAATTCAGATCGCACCGTGACTGTCGGCGCAGGAATCGGGTTTCTTGTGATTGCGCGTGGGCTCCCCGGCGTAGTCTCCATTGCCTGAACGTCGTAGTCGTGCCTGCGCGGCGGGCCGCTCTGGGTCGTCTCGGGATAACCGCCAGAAGAGGCGACGCCGGTGGCCTCACTGTCGCTGCGCGCATGTCTCGAAGGGCCATATCGCTCTGAGGTAGGTGGCTGGCTGCTGTCCCTTTCACGTCCAGTGCTCCGAGGCAGGCTTTCGCGAGTGTGGGTGCTGGGCATGTTCCGTTGGTTCGATTCTATGCTTGTGGGGCGTGGCGTCGGCGTCGGGTTCTCCCAGGGCTGGCCCGTAGGCGTAGGGGTGTGGTTTGATCTAGCGTCGTTGGATGAGACAGATCGAACGAGGTTACTGATTTTTTCTGCAGCAAAGATAAAGAAATTAGGAATGTCTCAGACAGGGGGACGGGGGCAGAACGCTTACCGATATCCAAGACATTGCCGCCACGGCTTGTGTCGAGGTGCAGCGGCGCATCGCACGAAGGGCAATATTGCGACTCAAACTCGCGAATAAACTCGTAAAAGCATGCTTCATGAGATACGTGAGAGCAGGAGAATTGCAATATGCGCTCTCCGCGCAGCGTGTGTTCCAAAGGCTCCTCACAGACGGCGCATTCGCTGCCCACGAAGGTGCGCTCCCTGCGGTTTCGACCAGCGCCGGATGTCATGTTACCGGACGAGTGGCTCTCGCCTCTTCGGTGAGAATCTCCAGAGCTGTTGGCTGTGTCAGGTCGGTGACCAGCCCCGCGGATCGTACCAGCGGCTATTGAGACGTCTGCAGTCAAGAATTGTTAGCAACATGTTACCCAAGTGAACCAGAAACCGCAGGTGGACGAGCTGGCGCAACACGTGACAGCACCGCCAGCAAGTCAGGGTACAGCGAATCCAGACATCGACGAGTTTTGCTGCGCTCAGAACGGTCTGCAGTGGAATTCAGGATTCCTACGTACTCTTTTCGGGAAAAGATGGTGCATCCGTCCATTCGGACCAGGTGTTGTTCGATCTCGATGTGGCGGCGGTTCCAGGACGGTAAGGGTCCTTTACCGCCTTGGGGCTTACAACACCAAAATCAAGGTGATGGTTGTTGCCCTGGCCTTCTTTGGTACTGTTTGAGCTTCCAAAGCCGAACGCTTTCGATCCCTTGCGAGATCGACTGAACATTAGGAAGTCACCAGGTGGTGCAAGGCGCGATTAAGCAATGGTGTGCAGTGATGGGCGTTGGGATTGTTTCTTTTTGTCGTGGGAGTTTATGTGTAGTAGGTCGGCAGCGGGCTCGAAATCGGACTGGGGGAATTGTCGAATCGTAAAGCAGGTCGAAGTGGTGTGTATGGAGGGTTGGGCGGGAAGTATATTTTAAGAATGAGAAATGATATCAGAACAGCGACCGGTATAGACGATCTGGGATCCACCCGCGTGACTGGCCAAGCAGGTGAGGTAGCTGTATAGTGCGAGGTAATAAGAGGACGGCGCCGGGTGGGTGGCTATGGTGGGTGTCACACAGGAACCTGGGACGCCTGGCAGGGTGTTTCAAATGGTTGTATCAACAATGCTGGGTCGAATGGGATGTAGAAAGAAAGCGCATGATTGCAGGGTGTTGACGATGGTGGTTGACAGAAAGCAAGTCAACTGCAGTCGAGAAGAACAGTCGAAAAAGTCAATCCAAAGTTCAGCAGAACGGGTTGAGAAGACGGGTGTGCGAATATAGGCGCAGTAGGTTCGCGCTTTTGTCGTCGCAAGTTCTTTGGGCTTCGGTAGGTCCGTTTTTTGGCGTTGGAGTGGCAGTACAGATGGCGGATTGTGTCTAACCCTCTTTTTATTTTACTTCGTCTTCTTCTTTTTGTCCTTACTTCCACTGTCCCCGTTTACTAGCGGCAGTGTCGTCGGGTATGTGTTGTGGGCTATGTCTCAAGTCGGAATAGGTGTGGTGGTGTGTTAGTCGAGAAAAAAAGAATGGCCAGAGTCAGATTGGACGGTAAGCTAGGTATAGCAGCAGTGGTGGTTGGTTTCGTCTGATTTGTTTTTGGGTATATTCTGGCGGAGATTGGCCGCAATTGGGAAGATTCTGACTGCCCCTTTTCAAGTGGCAGCGTGTCGACGTAAAAGGCGCAAGATGAAGGGTTATTCTGGGTTTATTTCGTCGGGAGCGCCCGCCAACACGGTAGGGAATGTGCTATGCGAGGCAGGAGGGCGCGGAAACGGGGAATGGACGAAGTATATAGTTGTAGAGCCACAAGAAGAGAGACGGGGGGGGGGAGAAAGAGGAAGGGAAGGGGATGAAAGAGCCAGCAGCCCATGTGGGGACGACTGCACGTTTTCCCTTTTCTTTGTTCGGTTAAAACTGGTAGGGTGCCCTGGCCTGGGGCCTTGCTCCCACTCCTACTGCAGAGCGGTGCAGCAGCGCAGCAGTGCAGCAGTGCAGAGAGAGTGAGCACTGTATAGGTAGGTGCATGTAGGTATGTAGGTACGGTACCTAGCGTGGGTGGACGCCGGGGATTGCAGGGCTCCTTGCACTAAAAAGCGAGGGTCCGTATATTTTTTCCTACTATGTAATCTGGTAGCGTGTATGGAGCATGCTGTAAGGTAAGGAACCTTGGGCGAGGTTTTTGGCTAGCTTGCCCGGGGTGCGGCCGGGACCCCTTCTCAAGTGCTCTCCCAGTTTCGGCCCCCCTTCTCATCCTCCCATGTCTATATACGCAGTAGTTTTCCAGGAGGATTGACGCCGTCTGTCAGTGGTGGGTGGTACGTGCCCAGGTGGCTCTTCTAGAAGGGGTAGGCCCACGTTTTTTTTTTTATTCTTTTCTTTTTATGATGGTTGCGAGTCGAAACCTGGCTTGAAAACAGTGGGTGGTTAGTCAACAAGACGACCGCCAAAGGCATGGGAAACACAACGAAAGGAGCAAAATACACAAGTGTCCTTTTTTTAAGTATGGGGATAGATATAAAGCAAAGATCAGCTGAATAGCTCAGGCCTTGTATGTTAAGACGACGGCTGCGTTGCTTGCGCGGTGCAGGGTAGACGCGCGGGCTGGCGGATAGAGCGTGCAAGTGGTTTTGCGTCAGGGAACAGACATCTTGGGGCCATATAGGACGGAGCTTGAGCTAGAACGAAGGACCCAGCAATCTCTCGTTCCTCGCCTTCGTAAACGGGAATAAGGGTGAGGCGAGATGATCGGTCCAGTGTAATACCAATCCTACTACGCCCGCCACCGTACTATGTAGTCTCCGTTACGGAGAATAAAAAGGAGGTGCCGGACCTGGGAAACTTGAAGAGACTAGTGGACTGCTCTCGCTATGCCGGAGGCGCAAATGCAGTACCGGATTGGATATCAGTACATGGCGGGAGCGGATCTCATTGTTTTAGCGATTCAATGGTCGGCACGCTTCAATTTCTTGTGTCTAATATTCGGCCCCCTTTCGGTTACGGTAATGAAGCGATTGTTGGTCAACCAAGACGAATGAACAACGGTACTCTCCGCAACGTCAGTGATTGTCATTCGTGAGGAGAGGAGACAATGTAGGCAATAGGCAGGAAAACCGGGGCGTCGCCAAGCCACTTTTTCATTGGATTTTCATCAAGCCAACTTCGTCTCCTGCGAGCCTCCTGTACCATCATCATCTTTAACGGGTGGCCTGTGTGTTGCTGCTGTCTCCGTAGTATGGACTTTTATGTGTCCCGTGTACTGCTTTGCATGACCTGCTTAATTGACGACCATAAAACGGAGCTGATCAACTTCCCAAGAGAGGCAAAAGAATATCCGCTTTGTTCGAGTAATGACTCTACGTGTTTCGTTTCTTCTTCTTTCTTTTCGCCTCTTCCGTGTAATCTCTTTACCCAATTGTTTATACTCTCCTGTCACAACTTTTTTGTTCTTTGGTTGTCGACCGTGTCCACCCAGCACAGCGAGAGTTTGGCAAGGGGTCCGTGCCCAAGAGTCTTTGTCAATGACCCCCCGGCAATGGTACAGTTCGTTACCCCATGTCTTGGTGCACATCTCGCCAGAACAGGCTGTATAAGACGTGTATATCTGCAGCCAGTGTGTCATAGTGTACATTACGCAACCAAACCCTGCCCGGGCCCCCCGTCGTCCAGTGTGCTGTGCATTGCATCTGGTATTGGATGCCCATCACGAACTCTGTTCACATGGTATACGGGCTTGTTGTCTGTTGTCCGTTGTCCGTGGGCAAAACGCAAAGACCTTGCTTCTTTGCCTCCCAACAGGTGCTTCGCCCCCTCTGTGGCGTACGGATAGAGCAGGGTGCGATCCGATGTTGTTTCCCTGGATGTCGGCCGTGTTTGTAGCCGTTGTGAGTCGCTGTTGGGAGATACGTCTTGTCGTCCTTGGTCGCCTGGTCTTAGTATATCCATGCCAGGTCAACGGATAATCTTCTTTCATAATATTTGTTCCAACACGTAGTATATGACATTGGGCGTCTCGATGCTCCATACCTCCCCAAACTTTGGTTCGTTCTTACTCAACGTCAAGCACCCAGGGTTGGTTCACCTGCAGGCTAAGAGAACGGTACGCTACTGTGTATATGTACTCACCTCTTCCAATACACTTGCAGAATACCTTCAATGCCGCCTCGAGATCCATTTGCTATACCTCAGCCGTACATATCAGTTTACATAGCACCAGACCTGGTGGAGAGAAAGTTCCACTAGTAGCTGCTTGCCTCCCCCTCCTTGGTACTTGCCTCTGCTACATCTGCGCTGCGTGTGATCATGTACCTGCGACTCAGGAAGCCTCCACCGGCCAGGGCTCTGGGTCACCGGATGGTAGGCTGGAATTTCCCTGCCTGCCTTTCTCAGCCAGTCATGCTTGCCCAGAGGGACCAGGAGCCCCGAACCGGTGCCTTTCCACGACCCTTCCTGCCTTCTTGACGAGCTGCCCCGCCATCAGCCCCCGGCCAAACATTGACCCCTGGTCCATGCAATGTGGGTCTTCCCAAAGTAAGGAAACGGCCGCCTGGGATTTTTCTCTGTCGTCCATTTTCAAAGACCCTAGCACTCTCTGCCAAAGGTCCCCTCCTTCTACCCACCGCCACCTCCACCATTATACTGTCCATCATCCTGGCGAGATGAAGCCGTCGACACAACCAAAAGCTAGGATTGCCGTTCATTTCATTTTGGCCCAACGCACCAGAGGGCCCCTCTTCTCCTCATTCCCAATACAGCTTCTGAATAGGGAACCCCCTCGTTCCTCTGTTCGTCCTCATTCAGGTCTCTGTCGCACAAAACAAGGGTTCCCACAGTGTTACGACGCTATTATCGACAATCTCCTGATCGTGAAGGGTTGACAGGTTTACCGATACTCCGCACATCTGCTTGCATTCCAACCTCAAACAACTGTCGCCGTGAACTTCAATTCATCTCCCCGCCTTACCATCTGCACTACTACTAGTAGACCACCCGTATTCGCCTGTGTTAGCCAGCCTCCGCCCTGGAACTCTGACATTCCAACGTTTGGTAAAAAGCAGCACACCCACCCGTCTCAGCTCAGGAACCGAAGCCTGCACCCTAAATAATCATACAGCAGTGCACAATCACCACACCACTACGATCGCCCTCGCTCGCAATGGATTGGCGGTGGCTCTGCATTCGGATTTCATTGGGTCTTCCCGTCCCTCCCTGCTGTATCATCCCTGACTGTGCCGCCTCCCATCTACGCATTAGTCGAACAAACTACAGGTCACCGTTCTGAGTCCAAACTAACACGATGACCTACTTTGCACTGGTTTTCTCACATCAGTACAGTGAAGATAGGACCGTCACAGCTGTACTGGCCAGCCGCGGCCGCGGGACTGTGCAATCTCAATAGAACGGAAAGGGTACCAGAATGTGCAACTAAAATGTTTGTCATGTTTACCGTCGATGTAGTAGTCCGCATCTCTCAATAGTTGCAGCGCCTCAACGCCCACCACCCTGCACCCTACACACTTTCTCACACCCCAGACCAAAAAAAAAAAAAAAAAAAAACCCCATGACCAACCTGGAGAAAGTGCTTTGTGGCTGTAAGATAGCGAGCTGATATATTTCGTTTCCCGCGCTACTGGGTCATTACTGGTCTACGGAGTACCATGCAGGCTGTCCCAGTAGTAGCACGACGGCCAGGCAAACCACAAGGGTTCGAAGCATGGCTTTACAAGTTACAGCACGTGGCAAGGAAGGGCTTGGTAGTCAAATCCCCAATGAAGAATCGAAAAGCAATGGGCCAACGGGACCCGTAGACATTCTTGGCCAAGCGCAAACCTTGCTGTGGCCGCTGAAAGCCTTGCTAATTCTGTGGCCTGGCCCTCCTTTTTCCCACCAACGTTCCCCTAGCCTTCGGGAAACATTCTGGGTGAGACGCCCAAGCGACCAGCCACCCACGATTTAACGGAGCAAACCCCGCCATCAATGGGCTGCTACGGGGCTGGCATAACCGCTGTAGTGTGGAAAATAGCATTAAGGGATCACCGGCTTCCGAAGAGTCTCCATCGGCCATCAATTGGAACCAAAACACACTGTTTCTCATCTAACATGGTAAATGAATCTTTCTACCCGTCCATTCCCCTCTACTGCATAGTTTCCCGTTCAAGAAGACGCGTGGAACTGCTCTTCAAGTTTGATGAATGCACAAGAGAGACATGTTTTCCACCGCGATGCCCAGATAACACGCCCCAGCCAGCAGGAAAAAAGAAAGCAAAAAAAAAAAAAAAAAACAGTTCTACGTACTATATGGCAATTACGTCGGCGAAAGGAAGAAAACGAGCAACATGGGCGTCCCCAAGAATGGCATTCTTCACCAATCATGTCTGGCACCCGAGGATCTGGCTGTTTCCAGAAGACCAACTAGCGTGCCTGAAGTGCGTCAGACTAAAGCACCGTTGCTGCACGAGTGGCGCTAGATCTGCAGAAGGAATTGCAATGTTTCTTCAATTTCAAGAGCGAACGCCCTCAAGCAGGTTCGCGCTTCACCAATTACACCACTGGGTTTGGAAAAGCCATCATCGGGCATCGTAACAACCATCATGCTTTCCCCACTGGTGCCGGTTTACACCAGTAAAGGCGGTTATTCGCCAGCTGGTTCAGAGGGCTCGGACCTCAATCACCTGCGCATCTAACCACACCAACACTGCTCGTCTACAATGTTGACGTGTGTGAAGAACCTATTCGATTTGCGATGGAAACGCCAATGAAAGTTTTTACCCATGCTTTCTCCTTGTTTGGCATCTCCATGTCTGCAATTACCGTTCATACGTGTCTACAGTGTACGTTTCAGCGGACAAGGCCGTTTGCCGTCGCCGGACCGACGCACGAAAAAGGGGACACTTAATTAGCTCGTGGGGACGGATATGTGCATCAAATTCCCCGTTGACGAGGGTCTTCGCCCTGCCCGGATTCGAACTGGCTACACAGTGGGTCAGGATGGGGCCCAATAGAGCCGACCAAATTCGTATGGCGCGACAGAGGCTCTTCCGGTCTCGATTTGTACGGCATGCTAATATCCATCGCAGTCAACCGCACGCAGCATTCGTTGGCGCTGTTGTGATTTGCTTTCTTTTTGGAGATATATCTTTGTTCACCTTGTTCTGAAGACCGCGCAGTAGTATCATCTCTGGCGTTCGTTACAAAGAGGCAAACATTGGGTCTGACCCCGTATTGGGTGTTGAATCTAACCAGGGAGTCCCTCCTTTAAGCTCTATTATAACCAGAACAGGGGCAGAACCCTCCATCAACCTCAGACTTTGCTTCCAGCCGATGCCTTGATATGTATGCATATAGGAATAGTTTTCCTTGCAGCAAAGGGAGGGCGATCCCTGTGCTCCGAGCCAAATCACCAACGGGGGCCAAATGGGAAATTTGTCCCACAAGGAGAGAATATTGGCCACCGCCGGATCTTCGAGCTAAGACGCAACGGGGCCCTTGAGGATCCCGTATTGCTGGCACCGTCTGCCTTTGTGTGGTCGCAAGCTTTACCACTAGATCAGGGTCGGGTTGATGGAGTGCTCGCTAGACCAGGCATCGCAGCTCACGTCATGGGCCTTTCTCACCAATAGCCACGGATTCTGATGACGGGCAGCAGAAGCACCAGTGGCCCTGCCCACCATCTGGTCCAAGCTCGAAATGATGCGCGCCCATCATGTCAATCGTCAGGCGGTGTTTACCACCTCAGCCCATGAGGAGTAGTGTACATGTTCGCAACAATATCAAGATTCGGCTATAGTTCGAACCAAGAGTGGTTACAATACGGACACCAATCCCGATGCAGCGAATTCGACCGATCAGGACTTGGGTAGTCATATCTGATGGTGACATGCTTTCTTTTTTTTGTTCTCATTTTTTTTCAGTGACTGACTGACTGACTGACTGACGGTGAGAGTGGGTCTTATTCCCAGTTGTGCCAGCTATCCGGACAACTCTCGGCTGTCCTGACCTGACACCACATGAGCGCATCGGAATCCTTCTACCAAACCGGGCCCCCAGTCCTTCCTGCATACATAGTAGCGGCCGGATGTGCCGTCTGGCTGAAGGTATCCGCACAAGAACAACACTTATGCAAACGCAGTCATCGCGACGTCAGGGCGTACATGAGAGACCCTCTGGCCCGCCCACTGACAGCCGACTCTGCAGCTTGATGATGCACATGGAGCATCACGATGGAAATCTTGCCGGGCGTAACAGGCACTTGTCGTCGAAACAAGAAGGTATGTACTACACCACATATTGTCAAACAAGGTTGCCACCCCAAGTGTGAGCGGGTGGCCGCGTATCTGGCTTCTCACGAAGGATTGAAGACTTCCCCAGCCATTTCCGACGCTGTGGTTGCTGAGTCTAGCAATGATCTACATGGGTTGGATCTCGAGTTAGCCGACAATCTCCAATATTATCCTTCTCGCCACGTGCAGCTTAGTTGGAACATCCCGTTCTGTTCGCGCAGCCACAAAGACTTGGGGTAGGATCGGCCATCTATCGTCAATGCTCACCGACACGGGAAACGGCGGTTAGCGGTTCAAGCCGTGGAGGAGGAACATGTAGTCTAGTTAGCAGCTCCCTGGTTGTCGGCGTATTGGGGGTTGCACTGTGCCACTTCCTTTGGACCATGCCTGAATGGAGAGCAGCCTCGGTGCCGACGATGGTGTGTGTTGAACCCTTTCGGAGTATTGTAGCATTACGGCAATGCACTCTTTGCCGTACAACGTCGCATTGGCGAGGAAAGAATGCGATCCAAGACGGCACCGAAGTGAGGAGCTTCAGCGACGAGGTGTCCATGAGCAAAATGTCGGTGAACAATCCGCATCAAGACAAGTCTTCGCCCGTTGCGGCGACCTGCGTGCCCTCTGACCTTCACATTCATCAGCGACGGGCAGAGCGTCGGCAGTGCACGATTTCTTCAGAAATGGTCATTCAGAGTTTCCTGACCAGCCCTGTCGAATGGCTACGAGGAACAGATGATGGGAAAAATGGAACCTGGGTGACCATGTCTCGGGAACAAGCCAAGACATATCTGTGTCTCACCATTCCACGGCTCGTCTCCGCGCTGCAAGCCCCGAACATGCTTCGCGAATACTGCTCGACCTTTTGAGCAAATCAGACTCTCGGGTCGGGTTGAATTCGCTCTTGCCGTCCACATCAGACGGCCCAGACTGCGGCGGCGCTAGGTCTCGAAGAAATTCCACGCACATTATCTCGTGCGAATCTCCATCGTGCCGGGTTTTCCTTACAATCGACGCCAAAAATAGGCTTTAGCAGTTTAGCAGAAACCAAGCCTTCCTAATCCCAACGCTGAGAAGGGTATTCTGCTTGGTTTCTTAGTCCAATCTGCACACGCGTGCCGGCGCGCAGGCTGGACAGGTGCCTATGGCCGGCCACATTAGCCAAGTGAGGACCTCCTAGGCTTGGGTGAGGCCTCTTCGTCAGTCGTACCAAGTAAGGTAAAAGACGGCGCCTGTGGCTAATCGAATAGTATAGGCGCCATCCCGCTTGTAGGCGTTTGACGTGGCTATTGCCAATCTGCCAGACTTGCATGGTAATCAAACCCGCGTCGTTCTTGCATTTCTGCTTCATCCCGTCTTCGACGAGGCTTGCATTTGCGACGACGATCCTCATCAATAATACACGCCAAACGGCTCGGGGCTTCGACACATGCGGTTCTAGAAGAGAACATCTTGCCAACCAGTGCTGTCAGCTTTGGGGCCGATGCCCTCCTCTTGCGCCGGCTCGCAACCTGCGTTTGCTTTAGGACTAGTGAACATGGGGGGTTCCCTCGTGCACACCATGTCATCGAGTCAGGCCTTGTGCAGATGTCCTCCGAACAGGCGTCGATCAAACTGAAAATAGGGAGTTCCCAATGCTACAGGTCGGATCCGATAAGGCTCAGCCCGTAGAACCTCCTAGACGACAGACGCGAGTTGGGACGAAGTGAACAGCACTAACTGCTCACCGGGTTTCCGGCCAAGCTTTGTCGGATGATCCGAGTCACAAGCTTCCCACCACAAATTATACACATAATGATGGCAATGTCTAATATAACCCGCGCCGAAAGATGTGCTTGCGTGCGTGAATGGGCTGACGCGGACTCTTCGCTCCAGTCGGAAGATACCTTGATGCCGCTTCAGTCTCAGATCAGAGCATAGCATGAACTTCGGCCGGCACTCAACGGAGCGCCAACCACAGTACAGCTGTCACACATTCATAGGCCACTTGCCTTTACCACCTGATGATACTCGACAGGTTGGCCTTCCCCTCAACCGAGAGATTGGGTTTGTCAAATCGTATCCGCTGGCAATATAGGTAAATCACAATAAAGCGCGGAGGAGTCTCAACTTCCAAGTTTGAGAATGTCCGTGGAAACATGCAGTCTTAAGCTAGGGTCCATGCAAGCCCAGCATTGGATCTTGATCTCGTCCCACAGATGGAGTGTTTCATACTATTTTTCAAACATCCCTAAGACGACCTTGGCCTTGAGACAGAAATCCCACCACTCGATCCAATCCCAAGCCCGGCTGCTGACCGAAGTTTTGCCTTGACACGCTTCCGTTGGTCCATGGCGATCCCATCCTCAATTAGGGCGCCGCCGAGGGCGGGGGGGTTGCGAGTCGCCTGCGACCGATTAAGGACTGCCTTTTCATCTTGCGCATTTTGGAGATTTGTTGCGTCAGAGCAGTCGATCTCGGGATCAGACGATGTGCTGATCAGGTAACTCTATTCGCACAGACGGCCACTTCTGGACGGTCGAGCAGCCGTGGGACCGTTCTGTCAAACTTGTCAAAATCTAATAACTCACGGACGTAAACGGCCGTAAGTGGCGATGGGTTCCTATCAAAGCTACCGAGTTCCCATTCCTACATGAGACGGATACAAGTACTGATTTGTTCGAGACGTCTGTGCTACTGGGCGTCCAGGGAGAGACAGGCTGGAGACGATGTTACCACACCGTCTGCACGAGCGAAAAAAAAAAAAAGAGGTGAAGAACCACGGTCGGCGATCAACTCCGAAAGGACTGGGATGGGGTATATCAAACGTCTTAAGCTGGATTGTGTCCCACCGGCGAGAGGGTTCCTGTTGCAACGACTCTCCGCCTTGCCGCAGCGACGGTCCCCACCACATTGACACCGTGACCGGGTTTGCTTCAACGAATCGCTGAATCACGGCCAAGGCCCAAACAAAGCCTTTTATGTGCATGCCAGGTCGTCAGGTGTGCTCTCTTCGTGGCGTCTAGTTGGCCGTCGGCTCGCGGCTCTCCCCCAGGCTGGAACCCGGACGAAGAAACTCTCAAAACGGGGAAGGGGGAGAAGTGACTCTACACCTGAGGGAAAGCGCGCTTGGCTCGTATGACGGGGAACACGTAGGGCGCTGTTTTTCTTGGTTTCTGGCTGGGGGGAGGGGAGCGTTGTTTCAAGCCCACTCTGTATGCTCCGCTCTGGGAGTCATGTCAGCGGTGGTGCTGCTTGCTGTGGTTGCGGTTCGTGCTTCTGCTGCTGCTGCTGCATCCAACACGGCATGACTCCGGTCGTGGTTCGGTAGGCGAGGCGAGCGAGCGTGCGTATTAGTTGACGGAGCGGGCCCTAACCGCGACGGGGGGGGGGCCTAACGAATGTTTCGGTGGGGACCGCGATATCGTGTGGGCCAATGAGGTGTTGTCGTTTTGACGCATTTCGCGAGCTTCATTTGCGACAAATGTGGCCGCCTTAACAATTACTAATGGCCCTATGGCGCAACGGTAGCGCGTTCGACTCCAGTTCAGGAGCATCATCGAAAGGTTATCCGTTCAAATCGGGTTGGGGTCAGTAAGCGCGTCTTCGAGACGCTGAGCTTTTGATCTTTTTGTTATTGTGTCTGGTTTGGCGGTTATGCAGATGGTCCAACTTCAACGATTCTTTTTGTATGTCTGGAACAGCCAGATGGGCCTGTCTACAATCTGTTTCATTTCACGATGCTGTCAGTTGAGTGAGGGCAAAGATTGTCCAGCGTTGCCGCCTTGTTGTTTGCTGTGCAGGAGCTGTTGACCAGCTCGCTTTGGGTCGTGCCTTTTGCTCGCGCTCATGCGGTATGACCATATTCATCTATAATGCCATGATGTTGGAATCACTCAAATACGACACACCCAATGACACAACAGAACTATAAATGGGAGAGGCAGTTACTCTGCGGCTCAATGATTTTGGGGTTGGAATGTTTACTCGTGTGCACTTGTACAGTCCAGTCCGGTCCAGAAGTTTCATCTGAAGCAGTTCGAGCTTGGATTAGATTAATTGCAACGAGAAATTGATGTAAAGGAAAACACGAATATGAAGGGCCTCATTGAATTCAACCTATCCATCTAGGCTACTCCTAGGGACGTTCTGCACAGATAACGACAGAATCCATCTTGTGTGGAACTAACACGTAGCACACAACCTTGATGGTACAGCATGAACCAATCCGCTCATGTTTACTCACCTTGCCGTTTGCTGCGTAACACGGAGGAAACACATGTGCGAACAACGGCGGGCCGTGCAAAGGGCGTACAGTGAGTGCAGAGAGGCGGGATGAACGAAGACGCCGAACGAAAGGGGGGAGGGGCCTGGGAAAAGAGGAGGCCCGAAATGACTCTCCGGACTCTGTTTGTTGTGATTTTTTTTGTTCTCGTCGGACTGGCCGGTGCTCTGGGTATTTTCCAAGCAGCACCGACGTTTACCGTAATAGCACGCAGGGCTTGGGCTTGAGACTAAAGGGGCCAAGGGGCCCTCGGGCTCGCGCCATCGTGTGATGTTTAGCGGGGGGGGGGGTTTTGGCCGGTAGATTCGCTAGTTCGTCTCAAGGTGGGCTGTGCGGGTATATGCTAACGGCGGCGATCGACTTCGTGCTGAACATGTGTGTGTGTGTGTGTGTATATATACTTTTTATGGTCATCTTGTCGTCGGCAGATGATAGTTGTGGGGGTTTTCAAAACGTCGCGGGATATGTAATCGCACCGGAGCATCTGACGCTAGCATCGCTTTGGTTCGGCGAGTCTGCTAGACGACGAATTAGTCTGCAGTTGGGGACTGTGATTCGATTCGATGATCTTTGGATAGGTTGTGATGGTGTCAGAGGACTAATCGAGGGTTGCTGACAGGTGTTTGGTTTTAGAAGAATGCGTTGGAGAAGCCTGGGTCCTCTTGAGGTGGTGGTTGTATGATTCAGGGATGAACAGCTCCTGGCTTTAGTATCATGGTAAGAGCATGCGGTAGAAAGCTCTCGGCGGAGTTGGGTCTAGTATATATCAAAAAGTACTCACGAGCGACGAGGCTTGGACTGTATCCAGCCAGCAAAGGAGATGCTATGTGGCACTTGCCATCATAACTTCAAAATACCAATTACATGCTGCTTCCACTTTCCTCCGAATCATGATGAGCATTCTCTTCACCACGAGACGACGGGTAAAGATCAGGCTTGACCAATTTTTTGGACTCTCAAGGAACATGTTTTGTTATTTGGGTATATATCTCTTGTGGCTTCACTTCCCACATGTATTGTCTTTGGTGTCTTGTGTCCTCCCCGACACACCCATCACCTGATTTTCGGTGTCCGTTAGCATTATTGACAAAATATTACGAATTTCAGATGGAATCCCCCTATTTTTCAATTTTCCTCCCATTATCCAATACCAAATCTACCTATGTTTTGACGAACCTGAGCCTCATTACACCTCCGCTTGCTTCTCATCACCCGGCACCTGCTCGTCTGCAGCATCCTCCCATTGCTGCTTTGCCTTTCGATCCCTTCTCACCAAAAACCAAATAGCCCCCGTGATGAAGAACTGCACCACCATCGTGGCCACTACACTCCGGAAGCCGCGCCGGAAGTATGGCGCCTCAACGGCTGGGAACTGCAGTAGCTGAGCCCAGGCAACGATTGCCTGTCCGATGGCGTTCATAGATGCCGTGACAATGGCACGCTCCTCGGCGTCGCCCGCCATCGTAACTGTCGCCCAGGCCATAGTCAGCGACGGGATCGCACCCTCGAAGCCGTTCAGCATGAAAGCTGCCAAACGGCCCCCTTCACCGACGTTCCAGGCGACCAGCATGATGACGCCGATCAACGAGGGGACCGTTGCGCCCACGGACAAGCCAGCAAACCAGCCGGTGCGGTCAGCGAGCGCGCCAGCGGCAAACGCAGAGACAATGGAGATGGCTGTCGCAACTGTTGGCAGCGTGTTGATTCGCGTAACCGAGTACGTCTCGGGAAAAGCTTTCAGGTACAACGAAAAAGGGGATCCGCTGGGTTGAAGGTTCTCGTTCATGATAGTCCATTGCGCGACGAAAAGATACCAGTGCCAGCGAGTGAAGACCCTCTTGAAGATGTCCCGTGAGACCTTGAGCTGCGGCGGAGCTGTCCAACCCTCTAGACGCTTCTGCGCAAAGGCATGCAGGTGAGCGGGCAGCAGCCTGGGCCTCGAACGCGAGGGCACGTCCGGGAAGACGAAGAAGCCGATGAAGGCGATGGGGATGGTGATGATGGCGTCGACGATGAACAGCCAACGCCAGCCAGCGAGACCATGGACGTGGTGTAGGTTCGTGTAGGCAGCGGCCTGGAGGTAGCCGGCGAACATGGTGCCGAGGGGTGCAGCGATGTAGAATAGGGCCACGCGGCGGCCGATCTCCGAGGGCTTGTACCAGCTGCCGATGACGTAAATGATGCCCGTGAAAGACGATGATTCAAAGAGACCCGTGAAGAAGCGCATAGCATAGATAGTCTGGACATTCTGGGCCCACGCGAGACCAAATGTTGATAGACCCCAGCCGATCTCCAGGATGGGAAGGACAACGTTAATGGGATACCGGGTCAGGTAGTAGCAGGCGGGGATCATGGATGTGCAGTACGATGACCAGAAGACGATGGTCATGTAGTTGAGCTCGTTGCCGTTGAGGTTGAGGTCTTCTTTCATGCCGCTGTGTTGTGTCAGCTTCCGCAGACGTTGTCAGGAGTGAGAGTCATACCTGACGTAGGCATTGGTTAGAGAGGACTGGTCGAGATACTTGGTGAAGAAGCACAAGCAACCAAAGATGAGAATCAGCAGGTCTAAACGCAGCACGAGGGCCTTCTCATTGCTGGGTGTATCGCGTGAGTACCAGCGGAGAGCCGTCATGAAGCGAATCCAAGGACCTTCGTGAGACGACTCTGATCCTGGAGTCTCATCGCGGGCATCGACAGAACTGTCTGCCACAGCCGGCGACTTTTCTTGAAGCGTAGCCATTGAGAGAATCGCCTGGCAGTCTTCCTACATTCGTTGAGTCCTGAAACTTGAAAATAAATAGCCAGACCGGCCCCGAAGCATCGCAAGCATCGCTCTTATACCAATCACTTGGTCTGACTCGCCGTGGAGATCAAGAAAAAGCTCATCGGCGACCATATCGATAACGAATAGCGATTGATTCGCACAATCGGCAAGGAAGCTTGGTTCCCCCATTCGGCCAATATCCGCGGCGATGGTTGGGCAGCGCGATGGCGCAATGGCTGCCCACTATGATGGCAACATCGCACCCCATCTTATCCTGCCTATGAGCCATCGCCGTTGCGCAGCGTTTTTGGAGGCCCTGTCCTGGGCTGCAGGGTGGGCCGTGTTTAAAGCCTCTGAAGGACCCTGATATTCCAAGAGGCGCCACACAACCTGTGCTAAGCTTTGAGGTGCCGGGAGCCTAGGGGTTAGATCGCGAGTTAATTCTACAAACTGTCCAGCGATAACTGTAAGTGTGGTGGGGGTGTTTGCGGGTTGATGTGAATCACTGTGCACGTAGGACCTTGGATGTGATCTGGAAGTCCAGTAATGAATCAGCCTTTTATCATTAAAAGCAAACCGACTTTTTTTTGGCTGTTGCCTCGCTTGAGCCTCCCTCAAATCCAACTTTTGTAGTATTCATTGCCTTTCCATGTCAATTTCTTCAAATTCTCCGTCCCGCCCATTATAGCCCCCGATTTGTTCATTTTCACACCTAAACAAAGAACCCCTTGCGCGCCTTCACGGGTGTCCTGCCGCGTGCCAAAAGCGCCTTCTTCGCGTTGACTGAGTACTTCTGCGCCCTAGGCGTCATCCTCTCGTCCTCCTTCTTGGCAACCCGGAACACGGTAGTTCCCACAACTTCATCCTTGGGGCCACGGCTCTCCCGCGCAATCTGGGCCTCCACCGCACTCAGCTTGCGGACCTTGCGGGGCTTGCGCTCGTCATCGGCGCCTTCGCCGTCATCTTCGGAGTCGGAGTTGAGGAACTCAGCCGGCAGCTCGGCGGGAAGATCAAATTTGTCGAGTCTACGACGTCCGGGCTTCTCCGCCGCGGCCTGGGGCTTCTCCTCCTCCTCCTCCTTCTCCTCCTTATCCTTCTTGGCCTGCTCCTCAGCGGCCGCAGTCTCCTGGGCCTTGCGAACAGCAGCCTGTTCCTGGAGGCGGACGTTGCGCTCTTGACGCTTACGCTTCTGAGCGGCAGCTTGTCTGAGAGAGGGGTTAGCTATGAGACGCGGACCAAAAACTTTAAAGTACGTACTCTGCGATGGCCTTGGTGGCAGCTTGCGCGGACTTCTTCGCCTGAACAGCAGCCTTGGACGTAGAAACTGCCTCGGGGGCTTCATCAGAGTCTGAATCGTCCGCCTGCTCGGCAGCTGGGGCCTTCTTTTCCTCCGCGGGCGCAGCTGGCTCCTCCTCCTTCGTCGCCTCTTCATCCTTTGCGTCGTTTCCGGACTGTGGCGACGCCTCTGAATCGTCAATGACCTTGTCCTCCAACTCCGGCTCTGGCGCCGGCTGCTCGGGCCCTGTGATCACAGTCTGTCCCTGTAAATCGGTGCTCTTGGACGGGGTCGACTCTGCTCTCAATTCCACCGCGAGAGACGACTTCTTTTTTGATGACGGCCTGCTGCTCTCATCCTTCTTGGCGGATCCCTTCTTGGGAGTAGCTTTAGGTGTAGACTTGGGTGTGCCCTTGCCGTCCTTTCCTCGCACGGGTAGCTTCTTGGGTGTGGTGTTCTCCGCCGGAGACTCGACTCCTGAGCGTGTCATATTCCGTGTGGTGACCATTGTGAATATAAGACCGACGGGTCAAACTGCTTCCCGCTGGGCGCTGGGTGGCGAACCGCGATACGAGTGAAACTGCAAGCTGATCCGAATGAACTAAACCAATTTGAATCTTCTTCAAAGCTCTCCGACAACTTTAGGTGACCGAATTGACTGGTGAAGAATTGTTGATTGTGGTTGTTGATGAGTGAAGACTGAGCTGCTGGCGAGAGAAGAGTGCAGTCGCAACTTTTTTTTTTCGAGGTGGGGCTTATCGTTGAAGAATCATAACATGATTGGTCAATCTGCGGACCCACCTCACTCATCGTGAACTTCAGTCAAGCTTGCTCCAAGCTTCATCTCACCACGTTCACACTTGGGGGACCTCAATGTAAGTAGCCTAGATTATTCAATCCTGGATATCTCTTGGCGCCATTGCAATAATTAGGACTCACAGATCTCTGTAGATCTCTTTGAGCGGCTTCATTTTCTCTCTCCCTTTGGTCTCTCCTCGTTCTCGCGGCCCACTCAGCAAGTATCAATGGAACACTAAGAAGCCTATTCTCGTCCTAATCATCCTCGCATATGGTCTCGAGCGCCATGTTCCGGCTAGCAACTACTCCCGCCCGCCATGCGCGGCCATTGGTGGCCGGCGCTGTCCCACGGGTTCTGGCCGCCTTCGCCCCGATACCTCCAGCCTCTGCTGCCACGAGTAGGAGGACCATCAAGATGAAGCCCAGGGTCAAGTCCACACCAAACCTCCGCCCCGACCCGGATGCCAAGCATAAACGGAAAGAGACCATGACGAAAATTGTTCTCACCAAGCGTGCGTTGTCCGAGTTCCGGACCAGGCACAGGGAGCTGCAAATCCAGCATGTCACCGCCGAGGAGGCGTACAACATCTACAGCAAGTACCTGGACGCTCTCGCCAACAGCAAGAAGTCGCCATATTGGGAGGCGCAGTTTCTTTACGGTAAGTCTGCGTAGTTCTAACGCGACAAACATTCACAATGGATTGTATGAGAGGAGTTGCTGAGACCGCAGTGCCAGACACAAACGCCACGGCCGCTGCCCTCCACGAGACGGCCATCTTTGTCTGCACTTTTCCCAACATGGTGCAGGAGGAGTGGTATCTCTATTGCAACCTCCTTAACTCGGCCGCAGGTATGGGTTATGATGCGTCGGCCCTGAGTCTTGCTCGGATCCTCCTCAAATCAAAAGTATCAAAGAACAGCCCCTTTAGCTACTACAACCCGGCGTGGGCCAAGATGCGCGAGCGCTGCAGCGCCCTCATCAAGGCTGGCCGCGACGCCAACGCCATTGTTGTCGAGGGCCTTATACATCTGTACCGCAAGACCCGCGACGACGACCACCTGGCCATCGAGGCCTTCAAACGGGCCGAGGAGGTCGGCAGCGATGCCACGCACTTTGACTGGTTCGGGACATGCCTCGAGCAGATGGGCGAGACCCAGCTTCGCCTGGGTCAGAAAAAGGAGGCCACGAAGACCTTTACCAGGCTGGCGGGTGAGGACTACGCCAAGGGTTACTACCATCTAGCCCTTCTGAAACCCGAATCGGAGCACTACTTGTACTGGCTGACCAAGGCCGCGGTTTCGGGGATCCAGAGTGCGTTCGAGCCGTTGATGAATGAGCATTTGAGGCTGAGCGAGCTGTACGAAGATGAAGGCCAAAAGAAACTTGCAGAGCGTCACCGGAATGACGCTTTGGAGTGGGGCCGGCTTCACAAAGAGTGGCTGTCATTGAGGTCGAGGTCGACATAGATGCTTTGTACAGAATATCCTTGTATTATTATATGTACTTTACAATCAGCGAGCGGAGCAGAAAAGTCTCTCTAGCTCTCTCTGTCACACACACACATTATATTACTCAAGCATACTCCTGTCGATCCTCCCAGCCTGGCTGAAGGTAGCCCCAGTCGCGGTTGAACTTGAAGTCCGTCTGGTACTGCCCGTACTGAACCAGCTTCAGCCCGTCGAGCTTGGCGCCATCGTCCGTTTGCGCCCACAAGCTGACGGCCAGAGTGTTGCGGCCGCGGTTGTTGAGCACGCCCGGCGGCACGGGAAACCGCGTTTGCGGGCCGATGTGAGGGACGTACTTACCATACTGGTAGCCGTTAATCCAGAACATGACGCGCGCCGGCGTGCCCTTGGGCGCGGAGAACTCGAGCCCGAGCGGCGCGTCGAGGTCGGAGTCGATGTTGAGTGTGAACGTAGTGGTATAGAAGCGAATGCCCGCCTTGGAAAGACCCTCGAGCGGGGACTCTGCCGTCCACGATGATCCGGATGGGGTGAAACCCGGAAGATGCCAGCCGAGTCTCTCTGGGTGAAGGCCGCCCTCGTTCATGGGTCCGCGGACAGGATCGATATTGGCCTCGCCGCCGGCTGCGCCAGTAAGCTTCCACTGCTTGAAACCCGTCGATGTGCGAGTGGTGCCAGGCTGTAGTTGCGCGCCGAGGATGCCGCGCGGGTTGTTGATGCCCTGCGCTGTCGAAGTCTGGTCGTGTCCGTGGTAGTCGACAACAACAGTTAGGACATTGTTAGACGCGCGCAGTGCAGAGCTCGGGAGGGCAAGGGATTTATTGGTCGTCGTCGCCGAGGCCGATCCGACGTCTCCGCCGATGAACTGCCCATTGATCCAGGCTGACCAGCCGAATGCCAACCCACCCGAGGCAGTGATGTTGACGGATGTGGAGTTGGCACCGTCGAAGTAGCCGCGGTAGATCTTGGCGCCTGGGTGAAAGCCATAGTCGGAGCTGTAGAGCACCGGCAGGGTAATTGGAGCGTACGGGTTCAGTGTTGTTGTCTTGTTGCAGACCACCCAACGTGAGTCGTCATAATCGGGGGCCGCCTCGGGGAGCGCGTCGGCGGAGCGCCAGTTCTTGAGCTCAGGGAGGGCAATGGTGCGGTCCTCAGCGCCCGGAATCTGGGCGGTAAAGGAGCCGTAGGAAGTCTTCGTAGCGGGTAGGCGCTTTCCGTTCCAGTCGATAGTTTCGATAGGCTTGTCGCCAACGTAGGCCTCAAGAGTTGTAGCCCGGTCATTGTCGCCGGAGATGTGAAGCACGCCGTGGGAAATGCTGGCGCTGCGGACCAGGTAGGGACCGAGAACGAAGAGTTGCTCGTTGGGCTTGACAGTCGGGTTGGAGGTGGTCGGCGGGGCCCAGAAGCGCCAGGCAGTCTTCTGCTCTAGGAAATAAACAAGGACACCGTTGGAGAATTTGACCGCCGTCGAGCCGGAAGCTTGCTTCCAGGTAAAAGCTGCGTGGTCGCCGTTCTTGGTCGCCTTGACTTCAGAGTCGCCAAAGACTTCAAATGTTACGTCGGTCTCATCCTTGAAAGCGAACTCTCCCGTCTGGCCCTCTTGCAGATAAAAGACGAGCACCTCCTCCTTATCGAAGACGCCGTAGGTGGCAATATCAGCGGAGGCGTAGAGCAGAGTGTGTTTGTCAAGAGCATAGTCCGAGACAAGAATCTTGCTCTGACGACCGTTTAGCACCACGCCGGGAACGGTTACCGAACCGGCAGTCGTGTTGAGGGTGACATCAAATTGGATAGGAGTCTGGGAACGAGTGTTGTTTTGCTGCACAACAGTGAAGCCGGCTTGGGTGTCTGGGTTTCGGAGGACCCAGGTGAAGGCGTTTGAGGACGAAAGCTGGTAGCCCGTACCATTTCCAACCATCTCGACTTTCAAGAGCCCGCTGGAAACTCTGGTGAAGAGTCCGATGAGCTTCGTCTGGTAGAGCTTGGTCCACTGCTCACGAGTCTCTCGAAGAGGAGCACTGGTTCGTGTTAGCGGCTTCACGACGGAGAAATCGGCGTTCCTACCTGTAATCGTAACTTGTGTAGACCACCGGAGCAGCGCCTATCTATCGTTAGCTGAGCCTACCCAAGAGCCGGCATATCACTCACTATGGCCCCAGTTTGTTCCTCCGTAGCTCAGGTAGACGTTGAGCAAGGTGATGCGCTGGCCGATGTTGTTTTTGTAGTAGACGTCCGGGAAGGCTGGGTCATGCTCAGAAGCGCACTGCAGAAATTTGTTAGCTAGCCCTCTTGGGACTTTCATGTGCTCCAACATACCGCATCATAGAAGGTCTCACTTCCCCAGTTCGAGAACCACCCTCCTTCAAACTCAGGCAAGTAGCTTGGCTGTGTCCACGCGACGCTCTGGAACCATTGGTAGTACGTCCTAACAACGTTGAATCCAGTTCCCGGGTTCGTGCAAGACAAACCGCCAGGGTAGCTGTCGAGGCCGTAGATGTTGACAGCGCCGCCGACGTTGTTGTAGTCGGTCGACCAAGAGCGTCCACGGAAGCCCTTTTCGTTGTGAGTCAGGGGCACGACGACACCAGCTTCGTGGAATGCCTTCTTAAGCTGCTCCATGTATATGACCAATGTGTTTTCGGCATTGTAAGCGGTCTGGGTGTTCTCGTTTTCGACTTGGTTTAGAATGACAGGCTACCCGGATTGTAAAAGTCAGCATCACACACGAAACCGTACCTCTGAGAACGAATGAAAGACAACTTACTCCGCCGTTCGTGATTTGGTTGGCGGCAATGATCTTGGCGACCTTGTTGATGTATGGTAGCCAACCCTTGTAATACCGCTCATCCGAGGATCTAAGTTTGCCGAAGCGGCCGTCGGCGCCCCATAGCGCGAGGCCACCGCCGTTGGTTTCGGCCTGTGATGATTAGCACATGTCAATTGGAGAAGGAAGGTGCTTCATACATTGCAATACGGTCCAGCTCTTGCGATGACGTACAAGCCGGCCTCCTTGCAGTAGTCAAGCAGGCGTTGGATGTTCTTGCCGGCGGTTTCGAAGTCGAAGACGCCCTCGGAGGCGGAGTGGTAGGACCAGAAGAAGTAGATGCTATTGAAACCAATCAGTTTTGTGGCCAGAGATAAAGAGAAGTGGTTGACTTACCTCACAGCGTTGAAACCATTGGCCTTGAACTTTTGGAGCACATCCTAGAGGGTGTTAACAGGTGAACTCGGGGATAAGAGGGTGACATACAGGCCACAACTCGGGGACGGGCAGTCTCGCGTAATGGAACTCGGCTGAGCTGTCATCTATAGTTAGTACGAGATCAATGCCAATCAATATTTAGAAGCACTAACTAGATGTATACTCTCGTATGGTTGACCAGAAGACTGTACTGGTCCCACGACACAACATCGGTGAGGCCATTGTCAGTGGCAACAGCCCCAGAGACAAGTAGCCAAACCAAGGCCGTGACAGCCCTGAAGAAACGCATTTCGATGGATAATGATGCGAACTCGGCAGGTTCAAGTCGCAGCAGCTCCCGCAAGTCAGAAAGACGATCTGCGTCGCTGGAGCAGATGCTTCATTGCGAATGGAACGCTAGATCTAATATCTTAAAAGGAGCCGCAAGCCGATCACACAAACACACAGCTTCTGCCCACGTACATATATCGCGGGAAATGAGACCGAGTGCAACACCGCAAGAGTTGCCTGCCCATACGGCGGGCCGTTCGTCATTCCAGCAATCAGCTCACGGCTAATATAAGCTTTCCTTGCGGGGTATCCCAGTCTTTCGTTATATTACGGTGCGTGACGAGACCAGACACGAGGCGGACCGCTCTTTGGCTAAAGCAGGGCAACATTTCTTCCGCTGGCCCATGCTGAATTGATCAAAATATCGCAGGCGGCAATAGGGAAGACGCAGGTTGTGTTGCTAGTTTTGGAGCATTACATAAAGTCTCGGCGTTATAGTGACCGAAGAAGCGTGATGTTGCGGCCAAATTGCGGGGTTAAACCTCTGATCAGCCGGAGATCATAGGGGCGAAGCGACCATCTCCTTCCGTACCTGGACGCCAAAGTATGCGTGCCTGTCAGATTGCGAGGAAAGGGCGAGAAGACAAGCTTTTCTGCGAACAGCTTGATTGCTCTCTGCCGTTTTTGCCGTCCAGGCCAAGATGCATGTGACGTGCTTCTGGGTTAGCTTGGTGCAACGGCCCGCGTTGATGTTTTTATAAGAGGGCCAACGAATCCCGATGGCATTCGGATAACACATCGCATCCATATTGCCAATTGAATTGGAGTCCATACATGCATATCATCAGCTTTAATTGATCTACGTATACACAAAGAATGTGTGATCATGGTCTAGAACCTTCATCGAGCCCGACTACCAAGTTTGGTCTTGGACTGTATATGGAGGGAAGTACATACTGCCCGCTCCAGACGCCTCCGACATATCCGAATTGACCGCATACGCAACGTAAGGTAGATGTGGCATTGTAGCTCTACATGGTATCGATTCTACAGATGGCAAAATACATGATCCGAAGCATTGTAGTACCGGGGGGCAAGAATTTCTCAGGAAATGCGTCAATCTTTCGCCCGAGTTCACGAAGACTCCTTTCGCCAATGTAGCATGATGTGCATTCATCCATCCATCACATCACCCGCCTTAAACTGTGAAGTTCGATCTACGTTTGCTAAAGTTTGTCTGGAGAATCATAATATGACGCGACGTTCATTGCCACAGCGATACCATGAACTTTTGCCGCAGAATCACCAGTATTGCTTCAGTGAAATGCATATACTCAACTCTCGCAGTACCGGAGAAGTCCATTTGCACCGCGTACACCGCCTTGACCGGACCGAAATCCAAAAACGACCTCAACGTCAACATCCTCTTCATTGAGCTGCTAGCGTAATCCTATAACAAAATGCTGATGCAAGTTTGAGGACCATGCTTGAAACACCTGCATTGGCCTTGAAAGAAAGTTGTGATTGTAAAAGTAATCGTCGAAAGTGGAAGATGTCGAAAGTGGAAGATGACCTCTGGATAACGTCTGAAGCTGTCGAGCTCATCACTAACGATGGCATATCGTATGTCTCCTCGGCTCAGTCAAACAGCGCCTCCATTGTCCGCCTGTGGCCTCACCTTAAGCCATATGGAGATTTGGCAAGCCCCAGTTTTCTTGACTAGAATCACCCATCTTGATACTCAAGGCATCTGGAGATAGCTTACGAACAACCTCAGGATTGCTTCTAAAAAAAAAAAAAAAAAAAAAAAAAAAAAACTTAAAAAAAAAAAAACTTTAATTCAGACCATCCCCAAACAAGGGCCGTTGGCATCGTGGCGCTCTCTACGACGCGGATGAACTTTTCACTCACATCCATAGAAACCGGGCGACTAGCCCTTGTAGTTCCGCATCTACCACATTTGGCCGACTTGACCAAATTCAACGCCTGCATTGAGCCCCAAAGTCCGCATTGAACTGGTTAGCACTCGCCAAACAGCCCTGGCTAACCCAAGCGTCCTTGAAACCTGGTTGATGTTGCTGGTGAATCGATAGTGCTAAAGCTTCAACAGCCCCTGAGAAAGGGTTACATCCTGCACCAGCCATCTTTACCCAAGAGAATTTTTGGTGCAAAGATACTTTTCGGGGAGGGGCGGAACATGGACCACGACCGGGGTAGGCGAAATACAAGGGAGACGAAATGCGAACGGAAGCGAAATGCTACAGAAAAAGGGTGCATTACACCCCTTTTCGAGCGATGATGGCATCCGGCAGATGGCCCCCTCTAATCAAATCTTAATATCGGTGCTTGGAAGCTGTTGATGCTGGAGCTTGGGCGGCTTTTCAAAAGCCCTGTCAACAACCCCCCCCCCCCCCCCCCCCCCCCAGATTCTCAGCCGACCCTAGGATGTCGCGTGGAAGTCGGAGAATAACTTCACAAACCCATGCGGAAATTGTGCAACAAAGCAGCAGCAAAGCAGGCCAACGGGCGAAAGTCGGCGACTTTCCCTGCAACGTCGTGTAGGTGCAACGTCGGCCTCGAGTCGCTGGCCAAGAGCGGGCATGACCGGTGAGGCGTCGGAATCGGAGGCCTGCACCAACGAGGAGGAATATGGGCGAGGCCAGGGCGCTGAGCCCAGGCATATCACCCTTCCGGCAGATGTTAGTGGGCGATGTCGGTTGTGGTGGATGACGAGTTGATCTTGCTGGCTAGTATCGTGCTATGGCTGAGCAGATGCAGATAGAGAGAGGCACAGGCAAACAAACAAACACATCCTGGCGCTGGCGCACCGACAATGGTCGTCGCTTTCGTCAAAGCCACCGTGAGGATCTATCCGACGGCTCTGCAGGTTGCCGTGTGCAATGGCTAACATGGGATGGGGACGCCCCCAGCTGTCTCGAACGATCTGCAGCATACTGTCGAAAACCTTTGGGCCAATGACGGCTGCACAGGCGACATCGTAACCTGGACATAAGGACATTTGCTACCATTGAGAAGCGGTGGGGATACAAAACTGTCATCCTGCCTCACATGATGGTTCTAGGTAGACGAATGAGATCATGGGAACAGGCTCGGCCGGTTTGTGGCGGCGTCTAGAAGCCATCGCGCTTCGAGACCACATGCGGGAGCTATTTTGATATCGTAGGAAACGGAGAAAAAAAAAAAAAAAAAGAGGCCGCTCACGAGACCTGGATAAAGGTGAAACGGACGTTGAGAGGCGGCCGAAGTGATCAAGAGGAGGCAGAGCTTTCACGTATTGTGGGCGTGTTGCCTGCCACGATGTCGTTTCAGCTGTTCCTGAAAGGACAAGACAACGATGGCATTGACTGTTGACAAGCATTCGTGAAGTTGTGACGCTCGTTCGTTCTGAGCGCGGATGGCTCTTGGGCTAACCAGACTTTGGTCGTTGGAGGGGGCGCCGGGCGTTTCTTCCAAATTTGGCAACATTTGGGCCCTACCATGCTAGTACACAATGTCAAGATAGGCAATGGGCACTCGTCGAACAGGAAAATGGAGAGGCGGGTTGACGGGATAAATTTTTTTTTGTTTCAACCCATCAAACATGTGTGCGGGCTGGCACGTTGCGAGTGGATCTGGAGAGAGAGACAAAGAGAGGGGAGAAGGAGGAGTTCGCAGCACAAATTTCAAAAGACAACGGGCGAAAAAAGGCTTACCGTCTGCACCGACGGCTGCACTAATTAGCTTCTCATCGTCGGTGCTGTGGCCATGGCGGGGATACCCTCACCAAAACCCCAGAGTAACACCGAGTCAGTTATCGCAGAGAAAACTCAGTCTGTTCTTGAGATCCCGTTCGTTCATCTCTTTGAGCAAACACCGAACCGCCCTCTGGTTCGTGCAGATGGGGGGGGGGGGGGGGGGCACCCTCCCCTCTTCTGGCAGCGGGTGTTTTTCAAGCAAGATCCCAGCGAGGACAGCAAATGGGAAGCAATGGGAGCAACCTAGTTTTGAGGATGGGGCCAGCGGTTCTTTTCGCCAAACTTGCTTCTCCCGAGTCTGTCGCTGCTGCAAAGGAGTTAGACCTCTGAGTCAAGCTCCGCAGCGGGTGGGATCTGAGATAGTGTGTATGAGTCTTTTCTTCCTCCGTCCTTGTCATTCTGGGGCGCGCGTGGGAAACACAAAAAAAAAAATGGAATGGGCAGAAAAAAAAAGACTCAAAATGACAAAGCAACGTGAGTCTGCAGATACATTCAACGTACTATGTACTAATGCAGATGGTTCACCCCACACAAGGTGCATCAGCATGAGCCCTAAACGCAGGAACAGGCACATTTTCAGTACAGGCTCCGGCATTCTTCGTCCGATTAGATATGCGACGAATGAGAAGCGATGGATTTGCTCGATCCATGGGGCACGGAAGAGCGAATGGTCGCCTCAGCATCGCATCACAGCACATTGGACCAGGGTGGTGATAGGCCGGGTACGTACTCCGCACCTCTTTGCCGGATGTCGTGTCGGGTATCTTACTCATACTATTGCTAAGTACTCTCTGTACGACGTGTGGCAGACGACAGAGTGACAGACACCCGGAGCGTACGGGCGTACTAAACATACACTCTGCAGGCAACATTGATTGCGAAATTGTGCCTCCCAGCACATTACATCTGCTTTCTGCATATATTCAGCACTAACAATGTCAGTGAAAAGGCGCAGCTCCGACCCTCCGTCGCAACAGGGACCCTGATTCCGTAAGGTGCCTGACAATCACGAAAGGTCTTGCATCAGATACTCATCCATTCCTGTCAGCCCGATGACCCGCATGTCCCCAGGCCTGTCTCAGCTTTATTCAGCTTCCCAGACACCCCTCAGAGACGATAGCCAACGGGAGAGGTGAGGGTCAAAGCATCTGATTGGAAAGTGTAAGAGAAGAAGGAAGTACGTGTAGAACATGTGGAAATGCGCCCCAAGCCGCCCCTCTCCCTCTTTCAAGGCGTTGGATGGCGCTGGCTGGCGCTGGCTGGCTGGCTGGAGATGTGGGCGATGGACCAGGCTACTGGGAACCGATCATCGAACAGAGCGATGGCCGGCTTGACGGGTGAGAGAGCCTGGGAGAAAGCCAAGTCTTGCAAGTCAGGGCTAGATTCAATTCCAGATCCATTCCTTTCGTCATCAGCGGCGGTCCTTCCAAGGCTTAGGAGTTCCAGCCCTCTGGCCGTGGATCTAATTCCCGCAAGCCCCGTCGAAGTCCGCCGGGTCTTTGGTGGTCCTCTACTGTTCGTAATCCGTTGTCTGCTGCTCGTGGTGCCTTGTCTTGCCCTGCCCTGCCCTGTTTGTGGCCCTGTCTTCGCTTAGCCGGGGAACTGGGCCTGGGTTGCACTCCTGTTAGAACCCAACTGAGGGGTGAAGGAGAAAAGTTTACCAAAGGAGGGGGGAGTGAATGATAGACAGCCAGGGCAGTGTCTTGCAAAGTGGCGCTGTGGAGAGACACGGAGACGAAAAGTTGTCACTCATCAGGGCCATCGAGCGAGATTTACAGTGGAGAGCAAGGAAATCAAAAGTCGGCGAATCACAGCGATGGTATCCTAACAGTGGATAGCTTCCTGCCTAGAAAGATGAGAGCAGGGGCCCATGACTGGCGGAGGCGCAAGCGGGAAGGAGACCTCATCTCTAGTAGCAAGAAAAAAAGACGTTGAAGGGCTTTTCCCAGGAAGGGGGGCTGCCAGGATTAGGTGGCTCCTGTAGCATCTGCCTTTGTTTCAAGCCCTTTCGTCGCCCTTTCATCAGAGCCTCCCTTGTACCATTTCGCAGTCTATACTTCTCCTATTCTTATTGTACACTGTCCACTGAATGGATGTTGTGCTCTTAAATGCGTACGAGTTCGGCGTTGCAGGATCCCACCTGGCAACAGACGCGGAGAAAAGGGAGACGTTAGACGAAGAGAGACCTGGGAGCCTGGGAGCCAGGGAGGGAGGGGGTGAATCTCATCTTGGAATAAATTCGCTCTGATAGTGCTCTGGCGTCATCCCGCTGTGTCTCCGTCCCTCCCCTCCCTTCCCCCCCCCAGCAAGGTAATCCCGAGAATAGAACAGGATAACATGAGACATTTTACATTTGCATTTGCGTTTTATTGCAATGTCCGCAGCCAACCAGTGATTTGGACACCTTTGGGGAGGGATTTTTTTTTTTTTTGGTCTGTAGGTAATACCTACCTTACCTTATTACTTTAATACTACTCCGTACTATGTATGTCGATAGGACAGGGTATGGCAATCAAAAGTACTTTTCAAGCCCATTTCTTGAGAAAAGGTACTTCTCCCATTGCTCCTGCCCCCATTGCACATCTCTATGTAACTAAATTTCTATCATTTCTACACCCATGAAAAAATTTCCTTCCATAGATCGACTTCCCTGTCGCTTTCCAATCCTTCGGTTTTTTTTTTTTCTCTTCTATCCTGTTCGACCAATTTTCTTCTGCCCTTTCGGTCTTCTCACGAGGTTACAGTATCCAGTTCTGTAACTAGGCTTCCGGAAGTTTACTCCCACACACTACGTAGTACGCAATTCTCGACAAAGATTTCTTGGCCCTTTGGGGGCCGAGTCATTCCTTGCCGGCCGGGTCGTATTCGCTGGATACCCGCTCGTTTACTGAGTCTGACAAGCCAGGCAGGCTGGAGGATTCCAGAAGTAATCGACAACCAGACAATGACATTTGTGCGGACCTTTTTCTGCACAGCTCGGCCCAGCTCAGGGCATCTATATCCCATGTTTATCTGACCGTCTGCGTCAAGCTTATGCATTTGCGCCCCGAGCGCAGCCGGGGAAGCGGCACAAAAGCCTCTTGTTATGCAAACTTCCCCTCCTCCAGAACATGGACTATCCATGTGAGCGGCAACAGGTCCCAACCAACTTTTGCCGTCAGCGGTAGACATGCAGGCCCCCCCCTTCTTCTAAGGCCTCAGGTCTTTCTCAACTGCGTAGCCCCCTTTGCCCCTCTCTCCCCTCAGGTGCGGCAGAGGAGGTTCTCCACTAAGGTGCGCCGGGCACGGAGGCGGGAAGGAGGGAACACCCCCTCTCTCAAAACCTGAGAGCATTGGCTTTTCTCATCTGGCGCCTCCGCTCTTTTTATTTCGGCATACTAATTGCCATGGAAACAAGTGGAGGATTGTGAAATTCCTGCCAAGAGCCACTGTCTTCTTGTTTACGACAGGCGATTCAGCGCCAAACCGACGATGTCATGTCTTCCGAAGCCTCCGACATGTCTTGATGCCATCGTCGACTGTGCATGGCAGCCATTGAGTGCAAATAACAAGTTGTCAGCTTTTGTCTGGTTGAGTCGGTCACTTTCTGGCCGTAGCTAACCGACAGGGATCCGCGTCATGTCTCACCCAAAAACAACAACATGCAAAAGGGACACTGCGCATCCCATTGCTAGCCCCGTCGATCAGCAATCAACCTCTCTTCTGGGATGAACACAAAGAGGCACACAACAGCAAGAGAACACCTGCATGGAGCACGGGAGCTTTCGCTGCGACGCCAGAACGCCTGACGGACAATTGATGGATTGTCCAGTCTGATTCATGGAAGCAAGGGAACTCTGACGTTTGGCAATAGGACGTTTGAACGGCGTCAAAGAGGACCGAAAATTGTGTCTGCACACCCCTCACATGGGATGCAACCATAGCCCTCTGAATCCAGCCCAAGTCCAGCCTTACCCTGTGCTGAGCGAGCTGCTAGTGTCCTCCCTGGACACGTTGTCGAAACCATGCCAAAAAGGACAGAATGTAAACAAGCTAGAACAGCCCAGAGCCTCACTTTCATCGAGCCTACGGGTGTCCCCAGTGGACTTAGTTGCTCGACGCCCGTCAGTCCGCCTCCGCATCGTCAAAAAAGCCATGGCGACGGCCGCTCGGCGTGGCAACGTCACTGCCTCTTCTTGGGTACACCCGGTCGCATGTCGTGAGGAGAGAAACACGGCAGTCGATGCCACAGCGAAGCTGAAGTAAAGAAATATCACGTCCGTGCTAATCAACAAACCAGGCCAGGGATATCCACGCAAGAACGCTCCCACTTCCTACTCTGGTCTTATTACAGACAGCTACCTATATCAGAAAGAAATGAGCGATGGAGGCCAGTAAACGATGCAATCTAGAGCAATGGTAATAACTTGGCTGCCTCTGTCTTCGCAGTGCCATTACCGCGGCGTTTGCCGACTGCCCGTTTGCCTATTGTCTGCTGTTGCTTTTTCTGAATCCCATTGTGGCTGGCGACAACAGTCGTTGCTTTTTTGGAGGGGTCAATTGGCAGGATGATGGATATCCCCTCTCCCTTCTCACGCCATGTCTCTAGTCTGTTTTTTCTATCGATGCTTTACATGGCGCTTGTGGCTTCATCCTCATTAATCTGAGTGTCGCGGCCAATCAACCCCTCCCGAAAGCCTCAACCGCCAGCAGCTACCCAGCTCTTCGTAGTCTCAGCTACGTCGTCAGGGTGGTCCATCGCAGCGACACTCGACACAAGCCTCGACCCAGCAGCCACGAGAAGGGCTGTCGAGGTACAATAGAGTCGACGTAAATGATTGGGAAATCTAGTTTGATTAACATAGGCACACAGCAGCTCCTAGTCTTTGGCATGCACTCCCTCTGCTGGGTTCTACAAGCCCAAGAAAGGACAAGGTCAGAGAGTACATAGCCGTCGCATCGTCCGGTCGTCATCCAATTCGCCTGCCTCCTCTGTGCACTGGCAGAAGCATATCATTGCAGCGACAGCGGCAGCGGCAGCGGCACTGCTGGTTGGGACGACAGAGCCCTGCATTTTGCTCTCCTGCCCTTCAAATATATTTCCCCCTCTGCACTCCAAATTGTACGACATCTGTCTGTATCTGCAAAAGTGCAGTCGGACGCACATTATACAAGGCATAGCAAAGCGTCAGCAGCCCATCACAGACCACGAATCATCTCGTCACCGGGCCTCTGTCCCCTGCTGCCGCGGACTCCCAGTCTTGGCCCAAAGTTACAGTCCCCAGTCAGGGAAAAAAAAAAAAACCAAAGTCTCCCAAACCAGGCCGGACTCTGTCCCAAGAGCACACACCCCCCGGCACGGACAAGGGTAGCTGCCAGTGTTTCGTTCCGAGCACCCCACCACGGCATCCCTCCACTATCCTTGTCATTACCATCCTCTCATCCACTCGTCTCTCACTGCCCCTTGAGTTGGGTCTTGTTGAGTCCACCGAACGGCCGAGGCGTGTGCGTAAGGTACCTTACACCCAGAGCACCTACGCTACGAATAAACTCGCTTGGTCTGCCGTCTGCCCACGCGACGCTGGACCTTCTAGTCCCAGTCCTTCCTCCACTTCGACAGGGAATACCATCGACCCCAAACCCAGGCACCGCACACACAAAAACGCGTCCTCGACCGCCTGCCATACTTTATCTGTTTGGCTCCCAGGTTTCGTTCTTCGTCTCCTCTGCTTACACCTACGCCTCTTGCCCACCAACCCCCATTTCCCCTTCTCACCAACTACTATTCTCTCGTTAACTTAACCTCGAAAGCTTCGCTTCAGCCCATCCCGTCAACAACCTGGCTTGCTAACGGCCCATCCTTGCGACCCCAGACCTGAAGTATCTCATCTTGTTCCGTACAAGAGCCTCGCTACCCATTGCCCGGTATTCTATTCGTCGCATAAGCAACCGCCTGTATCATCTATTCAACCTGTGGAGAGTTTCTATGCGGAGCTCTCTTACAGATCGAATAGCCATCATTGCCCATGTACACGGCTGGTCGACCGCGCCCCCCAACTATCTCGTTCTTTCATAGGCGTCCATCCGGGAAACTCTCGTCGACTTGTTACTTACACCAACCGGCATCTCGTGACCGCCTTGCCTCTCTGTGGTTTGCTGCTCATCGAATAAGGTAGTCTGCTTAGCCTACCTACGCTCCGCAGGGCCACTCCAGTTTCTGTTCAACTCGTCTGCAGAGCTGTGAGCTTGACGGTGATCACGATTCGGACAGGCCTTTGAGCGTTTGCATGTAAACCGGCATTGAAGAGCAAACAGATTCTGATACCCACCGGTCTCCGGCAGACCCATCGCAACGCAAACCCGTCTTCCTCATCTGGAACGAGGCGGATACTCACAACAGAAAAACACCATTTCAATTTACAGTCTAGTTCTCGGCTTTGACAGCCCCAATTTCGACCATGGGTTTGCCTCGAGCTCTTCCAGTCGTGGCTGGCGTACTCGCGCTGATCGCCACCATCACGATTGTGGTCATCCATATCGTGCTCGCGATCCACATTACCCAGGCGTCTCCTGTGAGAACGTCATCAATTTTGTCTTCGGTTATGGAAACCATCCTTCTGGTGGTTTTGGGATGGATGTTGTCAGCAAACCTGATTTTCAAGCTCCGGAATTCCTCCAAGCGAGTCATCAGCGCCATGTTTGGCGTCAGCGTCCTGGCATGTACTATGGCTACTGCGGCGTCGGTTGCCACCATGATTTGCCTCGGCAATGCGACGAGGAACCTATCAGACTCTGTTCTTGGTGCTAAGCAGACGAGCTTTCTCATCGCGTCGTCCGCCGCTCTTGGCCTTTGTTTTGCGTGTCAGCTCGTTTTCATCGTCATTCACTTTGTTCTGGCGCGCCTTTCTGCCAGGGAGGAGGCAGACTCTTACAGCAAGGACGAAGAGTCGAGAAGATCACCCACGGTACACGTCAAGTCAATCCCTTACAGCCGTACTTCGCCCACCTACGAAGGCAGGAGCCGGTCTACTTCGATGGGCTCTCAGACGCCACCTCCATCGAGCAGTGGCCGCTCCGCAACCGAGACGCTGAGCTCAATTCGCTCTTCTCTTTCAAACGTCGTTCGCCCCATCTCCTCCAGGACTCGCCTGCTCCCGTTGAGGGAAAAGCGTCGGGCGGAGTCGATCGACTCGAACCACTATCGCTCTCGGTCAAGCAGTGTCAACGAGGACTCGTCATTCGATTCTTGGGACACCTCGTCGGTTGACATGCAAAGCCGTATGACCGTACTTGGCACATCTTCCCCAGTCCCTGGCGGCCGCTTCCTGGAGACAATTCCTGCCAGCCCTACTACAAGCCGCAGCCCGAGTCCTGGTGCGCCACTAGACACGGATTTGGAGCCTCCACGTGCTCCCCGTAGGAGCCGCAGTTACAGCCCCGTGGGATCACTTCGACGTCCAGAGCCTGCTTTTAGCATGGAGTCTGCCAGTGAATCCCACATTCACCCTCTGTTCCGGTCCGATTCACCAGACCCTCCACCCATGGTGACACCTGGCACAATTGTCACGGCGGCGCCCGACGCTTGCCGGGTCATCTCGGACCGGCAAAGCGTTCGCCGAATGAGAAGCGGCAGTCTGCCCTCGGGTCCCAGTCCTCTGAGTCGTACAAACAGCGTTGAGAACTTCTTCCCCAATGGCGAACCTGTCAAGGAGGAGAAGGCGGAGCTCGAGTCGCCCCAAGAGAAGGACGAGGATCCGACCGAACGACAGATGACACCCCCGATCCCGGAGTGGATACTGACCGCCGGAGCCCGCACGAGTCTTCACGGGTACCAGACCCGGAAGCATCGGGTCGAGGACGGGGATGGTCCACAGGAGCAATCATAATGATGATGAAGAATAAGAAGAAGAAGAAGAAAGGGGGCAAGGCCACGCCAACTACGCGTGTGCCTCTGCCCCAAGAAACAAAAGGAAAGGATAAAGAGCTGACCCGGCGTGGTCCCTCATGAACGACTAATTCCTATTTCGTCCTCGGTGACAACGAGGAGTACAAACTCGGGCGGTGATACCATATTTGAGGATTTTATTTTCTTTGTTACAGCGTGGCGTTGTCCTAAGAGATGAGGAGGAAAAAGAAGAGTCGGCTGGCGAGAGAAGCCACCGACGCGCTAGAATAGCTACAGTAGCTACAACAATTAACGAGTCACATGAAACATTTTCTTCTTGCAACAATGACCTGATGGACGATGGCAGAGCCACGAAACGTCGTCGCTCGGCTACGGATCCTTTTAAGTTTGGCTGATGGGCCAAAGAAGGGATAGGCGGCGGGGCACAAAGCTGCTAATCGTTCTTAAGTTGGCTTAGAAGGATGAGCGGATGCTTCGACAGATCTCGGATCATAGATGATCCCGATAGATTACCGCTCGGTCCGGTAGCGTTGGTCAAGATGCAGAGGCACTCAACCTTACGTCAGCATTTGCTCCCAGCTCCGTTCTGAGCGGTCCTGCAAGCAGATGGATGGGAGAGGTAGCCAGCTCAGAACTCAGACGCAGCTGTGTGATATCATCCGTGGTGGTCGCCTGAAAGCGAGAACACACATAGTGTCAATAAAGGTTCCTATACAAATCTGCAACAACGGCTGTGTAAGCAATCTAGAAGTAACCGATACATAAGCCTGCCGGCTGTCGCACCCCGCTTTCTGTGGCTGCGAGATAAAAAAAAAAATCTGCAGGCTGTCTGGGTTGGATGAACGAATGAGTTGAGGCGCAAATCAGAGCAGAGGCTCCCAAGAGTGTGTGCCCTTCCTCGTCCAATGGTTTCCAATGGCTTCCCTAGCAGACCGGGCTCCTCATACTCGCCTCACCCTGCTTGCCCCAGGTTGTGCAGTAAATGTTGCCTGCACCGCCACTCCTACTACAACGAAAAAAGTTTAGCTAGGCAGGAGCCACCCGACCGCTATCCGGACACTAACCAGTTACCAGTGCTCCTAGGAACTTGCCCAAGGCAGCATTAGAGAGAACGTTGTGACTGCTCGGTTACAGTGGGGCAAGAGCGGAACAGCACCAAACCACTGACCTCAAAACATAAGAGAGAGAGCGTAGAGCCCAGCCCATTGGAGCCGCCTCAGCCAACCAACCGCCCGCCGCCTTCCCCCACTGCGCGGCAACCAAACACTGACTTCAGGTCACCACTTACCTTCGTCATCTCCATTAATTCTGTGCTTGTCCTTCCCGCGCACAACAAAACCTCTGGGTGACGGATTTCCCATCTTTCACCCACAGCTTCCGGTGCATCACATTCCAGCGCAACTTCTACCCCCCTAAGCTGTACCACAGCTTATTTCCATCACTCCAACCCTCTCAGCCCCTCCTTCTGTGATCGCAGCCTTTTGCTGCCCTGAAGCTGGACAAGATGAAGGTTACCTTCAAGGTATGCAGCTTCAGAGTGATGCGGCCCTTCGCATTCCGTCTTCCTCCACTGGGCGACTGGCCTTTGAGCTTCAGCTGACAATTTTTGCCTTTTCTACAGGACTTGAAGCAGCAAAAGTTTACGCTCGATGTCGAGCCCACCGACCTTGTGTGTTTACCCCCACCCACTTCCGCCTCCGAGATCCCCCTCCGCGGCTGCCTTGCGACACCAGGCTTGAGACTAACAGGATACGCAGATCTCTGTTGTCAAGCAGAAGATTGCCGGTGAGAAGGGATGGGATCCCAAGGATCAGAAGCTTATCTACTCTGGTGAGTGGTCTTGCGCAAAACAACTGCGATAACGCCGGCTGACAGGGATTTTAGGCAAGATTTTGAAGGACGACGACACCGTCGAGTCCTACAAGATTGAGGAGAAGGGCTTCGTTGTCTGCATGGTCAACAAGGTTCGTATTCGTTGAACCACTGTCCAGCCAGCGGAGATGCTAACTGTCCAACAGCCCAAGGCTCCCAAGCCCGCTCCCGCCGAGACTTCTTCTGCTCCCGCCGTCCCCGCGACTCCGGCCCAACCCGTAGCCGCAACCCCGGCTGCTCCTCCTGCTCCGGCAGCCCAGGCTGCTGCCCCGGCGGCGGTCCCCTCTACGCCGACTCCGGCTGCTCGCAACACGGGCGGCGACGCCGGCAGCAATGACCCCTCGATGGCCATGGGCGCCCAGCGCCAGGAGGTGATTGCAAACATGGAGGCCATGGGCTTTGAGCGTACCCAAATTGACGCTGCCATGCGTGCTGCCTTCTACAACCCCGACCGCGCCGTTGAGTACCTGCTTACCGTGAGATTGGACCGTTCGCTAAAAGAGGAGTCAAGCCATGACTGACGTACGATAGGGTATCCCCGATAACATTCAGGAAGAGCAGCAGCAACGCCAGGCTGCTCCTGCCGCTCCCGCAGCTGAGCCCGCAGCCGGTGGCGGAGGCGACGACGGAAACGTCAATCTCTTCGACCTCGCAGCCCAGCGTGGTGGCAGTGGTGGCACTGGCCCTACTCGTGCACCTGGTGGTAACTCCCAAGCGGCCGCAGCTGCCGCAGCCGCCGCCGCCGCGGCTCAGGGTGGCTTTGGCAACTTGGACTTTTTGAGAAACAACGCTCAGTTCCAGCAGCTGCGCCAGGTTGTTCAACAGCAGCCCCAGATGCTGGAGCCCATCCTCCAGCAGCTCGGCGCTGGCAACCCTCAGCTTGCCCAGCTGATCGCCAATAACCCCGATCAGTTCCTGCAGCTATTGGGCGAAGAGGTGGACGATGACGTTCCCTTGCCCCCTGGTGCGCAAGCTATCGCCGTTACCGAGGAGGAGCGCGATGCCATTGAGCGGGTAAGCTATCCAGAGGGTCTGATTTCCATTAAAACACTAACGAATCTTAGTTATGCCGCCTTGGCTTCGACCGTGACGCCGCTATTCAGGCTTACTTCGCTTGCGATAAGAACGAGGAGCTCGCGGCAAACTTTCTGTTCGACCAGCCCGATGACGATGATCCTCCCCAGAACTAAGCCAACTTGGAACGACTGCATGACAACTCATTCTACGACAGACACGCAAGGCTCAGGGATTAACCGGACGGTGTTGGCTTTGGTAACACAGATTTAGGGAGAGACCGCAGGATACCTTGTCCAGGAGGATTGAAGGTTTTCAACGTCGAGGCCAACAGGGCGCTCCATTATTCGCAGAGGAGGTAGATTTTTGTTCCCTCTAAGTTGACTTGGGGGGCCACAGGGCGATCGATATGCGGGAAACGAATTGACGCATATGTGGTCGAATGCTACTCGGTTGCAAATGCACTTTGTCTGTTGACCGGGAGTGCTCCTGTTCTGGCTCGGAATACAGCGCGGCGTCGGTTCCAGGTAGCCAGGCTATAGGCAGTGCCAGGTAATTCAACTTTTACGTGCCATTCATGCAATCACCCCTGTGACATCTTTGTTGAAAGCAAACTGCACACAAAGGTACGTTCCTGTGAGGCCAAATCCAAATTTGGCCTCAAGTGGCCTCACATTGGACTTGGGTATGGTACGTACATCGACCTTTGCTGCCTGAATTCATTTCTTCACGGGTATAAATGCTCATGTCGCCTCACACTCTCTTGGTAGTTTCTTTCTTCTTCTTATTCATACTTACCTGCTTTGACGATCCGGAGATCAAGAGAACCGGGTCGGGGTGAAGGGGGGACCTGCATTGCACATCGCGGCCGTGCCCGTCACCGTATGGTGCTCCCTGCGAGGGCCGTACAGGGCTTATTTTTGATTTCTTGTACCATCTTTTTCATTGTGTTTCACTGCTGTATGCGGTGACGCGAAGAAGAAGAAGAAGAAGAAGAAGAAGAAGACGACGAAGAAGAACAGGCTCCGGAGGTGTGCCGTTTGGAGCCACTAGATTCACAGGTGTGTCAAAGGACCAATGAGGTGGGGATCGTTAAGGTGAAAGACGAAAGTAATAATCGCCAAGTAAGTGATTGATTGATTGACTTTGTCTTTTCTTATTGTTCTGTTACCCTAGTGAGTGAGGGTAAAATGTGTCCCAAGGTACCATCCTGTGTGTGTGGTCTTTTCGCTGCTGTAAAATACAATTACCAACGCCGCCTGATGCAACCGAGCTCTCGGAACTGTGCTGTCCGCGTAGAGCCAATAATAGGGTATCTGTCTCCTAGCCGCCTGAATCCCACCCTCCGTTTGTCTCTCTCTCTCTCTCCCCCCTCCCCTTGCCTGTGCTCAAAAGCAATCTTGAGCCGGGAGCCTGTCCCGTAGACTCACCCCCTTATCATCTAATGATCTCGCCGCGCATGTTGTACTCCACTGCCTTCTTCTTCGCCTTGCTTGCGCCCTTCTTCTTTCGTCCGGCGTCCGGATCCATGTTTGTCTCGTCAATGGTGATCATGCCATCGGCGTCGACAGTGATCTGGGGTCCAACACTGGCCTGCGGTCGCGGCTTGTTCTTGCCTCCGCCGGTGGAAGACTCGCCATCCTCAAAACCACCTGCGCCGTCGACGGGGTCTTCGAGCGCCGCCTTCTTCCTGGCATTGATGGCATCCTTGGCCGCCTTCGCCTTTGCCTGCTCCGCGTCGAACTCAGCCTGTTGCTGGCGCTGAGCGGCCATGATGGCCTCTACAGGCTCGTACTCCGCCTTGGTCCACGTCTTGTATTCCTCGAGATCGATCTGGAGCTCCTTCTTGCCGACGAGGATAGCGTCGATCCGCGCCGGCGCGTGGCGCTCCTCGCGGTTGAACTTCATCTTGACGTGACGTCGGTTCTTGCCGGGGAACATGCCGCTGATCATCTGGAAGTCCGTGCCGAACATACGCAGTCCCCGGTAGAACAGCTCTGTCTCTTCCTCCGTCCACACGTTGGGTCCCTTGAGTTTCGAGCCGGTACGATAGCTGTTCTGCGTCGTAAGTGTCGTGAAGTCGTTCTCCTCGATCTCGAGCATGTCCTCGGCCGCGGCGTCGGCGATAGCGTGCCGGTCGAGAGCGAGCGAGTTTTGGTCCACCACGATCTGGCCGTCGATGATCTGGAATTGAGGCCCGGACTGGCCCATGCCACCGCCGCCACTGGCTGGTTTCGCCTTCGGCATGGGGACGGGCACCGGCGTGCCCTGGCCGCTGCCGGTGGTTGGTGCTGGCGTACCGCTCTCCGAACCTACGTCTTCTGATCCGTTCCTCTTGTTCTTGAGCCTCTCTCTGGCTTTCAGCTGCTTATCGCGGTGTCGCTGTAGAAGTTCATCGTGCCGACTGAATTTTTTTCCGATGCGGAGGTCTCGTGTCAAGTCGCCCATCGTGAGGACGCTGAGATCGGCCTCCTGATTTTCGGCGTCATCTGGTGTTACTGAACGGGCTCGGCGAGAGGATTCCCTTCTTGGCATTTCGGTCGCTCCGTCCTCCGCCCCGTCCGTAACGGCGCCGTCTTCCGCCGCCTTCTTCTTTCTCGGTCGGGCCGGTCGCTTCTGGGCCTCACTGCCATCTTCCGTTGTTGCGCCATCATTCTTTTTGCGCTGTCGCTTAGGCTTAGGGGCTGCGGACCCGTCTCCCTCTTCAGTCTCGTCGCCAGGTTGAGGGGCTCTTTTCTTGGTTCGCTTGGCCGGGGCCTTTGTAGTCTTGTTCGCTGTGGGCGCTATGATGCCGTCGGCCTGCGTCTCGATAGATGGTAGCGCATCGGTGCCAGAGGGGTCAGTGGCAGTGGCAGGGGGGGTTTGTAGCTGAGCGGGCGCCGTGTCGTTGGGTTGAGTGGTGGAGGTCGATGGCGGGGTCTCCACCACAGGAGTAGTCGGTGCCTGGGTCGAAGTTGCCGGGCTGCCAGTGAATTCGCCCGAGTGCGTAGTATCCTTGAGGGTGGGATCTTCCTGTGCTGTCGGTTTCACAACGGTTGAAGATTCAGGTTGCTGTGACTGTGGCGTAAAAGCCTGTCCCACGTTCGGACTCGTTGATGGCGGGGTATTAGGTGACTGGGTCGCCTCCGGTTCCTCCACTCCAGCAGTGTTAACGATCTTCTGCGTCGTCTTGTCGTTTGAGACGGAAGGAGCCTCTGGCTGCGTCGCTGTTTCCGTGGCGGTCGACGACGGGGCCTTTGGCGGTTGCGTCGAGGCAGCGCCAGGCGCTCGAGGACGGGCCTGGGGCATTTTTGGCTTGAAGGCCATGCCTCCCTTTTTTTTGAACATTGAGCTCATGATGGCGGTGGTATCGAGTGTCCTCTGGTTATAGATGTAAGAATAGCCTCATGGCCGGACCAAAAGTTTGTTGCAAATCGTCGTGGTCGGTTTTGTCGGAGAAGAATTGGCTCGCACAAGACTTTTGAAGACGGCCGCGGGACAAAAAAGTGACTGATAAAGTAGATTAGAGGGACCCCGATGATTAACCGAAGGGTACATTTTGCGCGGGGCGCCTGACTGGCCGATAAGCAGGAGGCAGCCCCATCCGCGAGCGTGACGCTAGTCCTGTCTGGGACGTGCCGGGCTGGCTTGATTTGAACGTGAAGCGTCGGCGTTCAACCTCGAAAATTCAACTCCTTACCCAAGGATTCCATCCCCCTTCGTCCCCGTGAATCCGACTAGTTCCGACCGTCTCGACACCACGCATGGCCCGAATCAACGTGTAATCACCCTCTGGCTTTTCCATCCAGTCACGCTCATCGCTTTTCGCCGCCTCGGACGCATAAGCTGTCTCAGCATCTCTGCCTTTCTCATGCCTGTAGCGACTTCAGCCCCAACTGCCTCGCCCCGTCCGTCCACCTTATCCAAGATGGAGGACAGGAAGAGACCTCCCATCAGCACTGCTGAGGATCTCGCTCCTCCTAGCAAGCGACATCAAACCGTCAATGGAAGCAAGTCCAAGGGCGATAGCGGCGATACTGCCGAGGAGTATTGGATCGAGGTAAGTGTCACGAGACACAGTTTCCCAACACATCAAGTTTTCTCAACAATCAATGGAACCCCACGCGATCCCCCTCTGCCATCAACGGCTGCGCGACATCACGATCATCGACAGCCACTAGCCACGCCCAACACTGGCGGATTGCCGTCGACTGGCCTGGAATGGCCTTTCGGTCGGCTTCCGAGGGCGACGAGGCTGGCTGACGGCATTCCGTCTCCCTGTCTTCCACGCATCCGATTCCCTCCCACAATGTCTGCCTCTGCACACAGTCGCATGACGCGAAATACATATGGAAAAGGCGCGAAGCTGATGATAAGTTCAGAATTACCAAAAGGGCGCCATATACAGGCAACTGCAAGAGACCAAGAGGGAGAAGGCCGACTTTGAGTCACGCGTCGAACAATTGCAGAAAAACCTCGTGTATCGGGAGGATCACATTCGCATCATCGAAACATGGTGGAAGCAGGTCAGTTTGATTGATCCCTTGATTCAGTGCCTGCGCTGACTGTTGCAGGTCTTGGAGGAGATGGAGCAGCTCGTGGATCCCGCGCTACCACCACCATCAGGCCCGTCAAGTAAGTTTCTTTTTCTCAGCCCAACCTAGTTTGATACTGACTCGAGACCCAAGACCCTCCGTACATAACCAGCACGCATTTTAAGGACAATGATGAGTTCCAACGACACCTGGACGACACCGCCTCAGATATCAAGAAGCGAGCCGAGGCTGTGCTCAATCGGATCGCAAGCGCCAGGGGCCAGATTACGCCAAATATCGCCGATTTGGAAACCAGGGTTAACAGCCTTCTCGCCCAACAAAAGGATTATTTGGTGAAACTCGACCGAGCTCACCAGGAAAATGAGCAACTATCTGAAGATCTCAACAAGGCCAGCCTCAGGTTTTTCAAGGCTGAGAAGCGCATGGACAGACTAAAGAGTGCTCAAGTGCAGAAGCTTGAGCAGCAGTTCATCGCCAGCGCCAAGCCAACAATCGCCGGGGGAGAGAATGGCAGCGACAACGCTGAGGCAAACGGCAATGCGGCTGAGGCCTTGATCAAGTTTGAGGAGGCATCTGCTGTTGTCGCAAAGCAGAAGGAGCAGTTGGAGGCTGCACAAGCAGACATCAAGACGCTGCAGGAGGAGAATTCGGCCCTCAAGTCACGACGTGAAGGTCTCACCGATGAAGACTTCATTAGGACCGAAGTTTTCAAGCAGTTCAAAAGCCAGAACGAGGATCTCATCAAGAGGGTCAATCACTTGGAAGCCACAAACAAGCAGTTGAGAGAAGAGGCCGAGAAGCTGCAGTCCGAGCGAACAGCATTCCGGACCAAGCTCAACGACGAGGCTCAAATGATTACTTCGGATTTGGAGCGACAGGTTGAGGAGCGCGACGCAGACTTGACCCGAATCCGAGCAGCCCGAGACGAATGGTATGCCAAGGCCAACATGTTGGAGACGCGAGAGAAGGAGGAGAAGCAGGCGCACCAACACCTCAAGGAGCTCACGGGGGCGCAGGAGGACCGGATCCAGTCGTTGGAATTGGAACTGCAGCGATTGAAGCCTGCCGAAGACCAGCAGATGGCAGACCCCAACCCCGAGTTGGACAGCCTGCCAGCGGAGGAACTGCTGGCCAAATACAAGAAGCTGCAGCAGGATTTCGAGTCCATCAACAAGGAACTTCCCGCGCTTCAACAAGCATACAAGCGATCCATGACTTTGGCACAGAAGAAGGTTATGGACTTTACCGTCCTCGAAGAACGAGTTGCCGCAGCGCTTGCCGAGAAGCAAAAGGTCGACCAGAAGTATTTTGCGGTCAAGAAGGACGCCGATATGAGGGACCGTGAGCTTGGTGTACTTCGAAGCCAGAACCGCAAGAGTTCTGAAATAGTAGCTCAACTGAAGGAGGTTGAGGCGCAACATCGAATCTTGATTAGCAACCTCGAGAAGCAACTCTCGGACCTGAAGCAGGCAAATGCGGCCATGGCTGCGGAACACAAGAAGATGGAGACGACCAGCTCCGACGCTGCGCGCCGGGTTGATTCGTATAAGAACCAAATCAACGAATTGACGAACCTCGTCAAATCTCGGGACGCAGCCGTCGCTGCAGCGCGAGAACGGACGACTACTCAAGAAGCCGAGGTGGAACGACTCAAGGTGCGCGCAGACATGGTCCAGAAGGAAAGAGACGATTGGAAACGCAAGGCGTTGAGCAACTCGTCGGAAGAAGAGGAAATGCTTAGAGTAAGTCAAACCTGCCCCTTTTACCCAAACACGGCCATCTAACGACGATAGACCTTCGCACTATGTACTGTATGCCGCAACAACTTCAAGGATACGGCTTTGAAGACGTGTGGCCACCTGTTTTGCCACCAGTGTGTGGATGATCGAATCAGCAACCGCATGCGAAAGTGCCCCAACTGCTCACGGGCATTCGATCGGTTGGACGTCATGTCTGTACACCACTAGCCTCGTAGAGGATTTTTTCGCTTCGCTTGAATTTCTGGCTCGTGCGATACGAGAGCCTGAGAGCCTCGACACATGGGCTGTAATTTCGATATCCATCGAACATGTTTGCGCAGTTTGGAGTTTGTTTCGCAGCAGGGGATTTCATGGTATGATACCTCGGGGGTCCAGAGGATGCTTGACTTGGAAATGATGTGTTGTACTTTTACGTGTATGGAAGACGGCCTGGACCTGAGTATGTACATACTATCACACCCCTTCAGGGGCTTTTCTTCAAGAACAGGAGGCCAGACAGGGAGGGGCGATGGATGTACGAGAGCTGGGTGTACAGGATAGACCTAGAAAGTCGCCTTAAATTAACCCGTTCAGATAACCAGCTGGTTCAAATTTGCTAAATCATAATGATGCTGTGGGCTATCTTCTGCTTGTAGACCCGAAACCGGTGCTTTCACGACGCGCCGACGAGCTAGAGGAGCTCGTCGATGACCTGGAAGGACCGGCACCCCAAGAGCTGCCGCTACTGTCGTCGTTTCCCCAGCCTGAACCGTAACCCCGTTGATTTCTCGCGCTGTTTCGTCCATGATAGTACCCAGCACCGTAACCCGCGGCGCCACCGGCCGCTGTTCCGCTCCAGAATCCAGGTCTCCAGCCCTGCTGATTTCCGGCCTGCCAGCCTGAAGGTTTGTTGCCAGGGTAGGGCGGCGGAGGGTCATTGTTATCGGGGCCGAAGCCGGGATCCCATCCGCCTCCGCCTCCACCTCCTCCTCCACCACCGCCGCCTCCACGGCGTTGACCGGCTCCGGCCCTCCGATTCTGTGCACCTGCAACGCACGCCGAGTAGACGATCCAAGCCAGAACGGCGAAGAATAAGATGCCAAAGAGAATTGCACCCCAGTCTGACTCGTCGCCACTACCGCTACCTCCACGGCTCTTACCCAGGTTGGGATACCTCCGCTCACCCTTCTCCGTGAGCGCAAGACGGTACTCTACTCCGCAGCTCCCTTTAAGAACGTACGGGTCATCGCGAGAGGAGTAGCCTTCACAGACAACGTCTGTCGAACCGAGCTTCAGCTCCTCTGGGAGGGAAGCTACACAAGACCACTGGATGTCCTCGGAAGAGTATCCAGATCCCTGGTTTGTGCAGCGCATGACGTCAATGTCGTGCAGTTCGCAGATGGCCTTTGAGGAGATGCATTTCAGCTGGGGGGCGGCGGGCACGCGGCGGTGAGTTGTCTTTGCGCCGCTGCCGCGGAGTGTGAGGGACTTGACGTCCGAGAGGAGGATTGCATTCTTGGGGACTTTGGCTGCTGCTGCTCCCTTCAACAGGGGTAACAGCGAGATGGCCAGAGATAGCGTAAGCGAGAGTTGCATTGCCCTTGTCTGCATGCGCCGGCGTGAGGCTTGCGCGCTTTTTTGATGGAATGTCGGTGCAACACGATGTGTGTATGTGTGTGTGTGTGTCGCGTTCGGAGTTGAAATGAGACCCGTTTGGCGGGGGTTGCCTGAAGAACTCTTGAGAGAAGTGGCCGCGTCACGGCATACGATGGCGGTGTTTCAAAGGATACCTGATTTCCCTTATTTTGGGGGCAGTTATTCTTGATGTAGGCAGTTCTGGCCACGTAAGGTTGGACTTAGAGTTAAAAGGACAGATTTGAAATTGGGCCAGGTAGCCTCCTCGGTGTGTTCCGTATGAAGAACGCAGCAAAAGTATTGGTGACTGTTGTTCTTCGGTGAAGAAGTGGCGCGTATCGAATGCATGTGGCGGGCGAGTGATAATGAGCCACCTGTACTTTGTGGCGTGTGGCTTACCTAAGGCAGAAGAAGAAGAGAAAAGAAAAAGGCAGCCAGCCAAGTCCAGTGCAGTCTGTGTCTTCGAGAAAGCCAAAGCCAAGCTTTCAAGGACCAAATTGGAAGTACACGACTTGGCAGTTGGTCACTGCTGCGCAAGCGTTGCGGATCGCCAAGACGGGCCACTTTTTACCTTGCTGATTACATTTGCCCCCTTGCCCTTTCCAGACAATGACTCTGAGGGTATCTTGTGGCGGGGTGTTGCACCGCACGGGAGGTTTAATTCGTGGCGATCGAGTTTCTATATTACTTACTCCCTCTTTCTCCAAGCTTCTTCCTTGGCGATTCATGTTGGCACACATCGCATCGCGGCGTGACTACAAGCAACGCTGACCCGTCAATCCAAGATTTTATCACGGAATCGCCGCGTGGTTCCTCAGCATCCCTGACGACCCTGATTTCTGGGAACTCCGCTGGTTCTTGCTTCAACCACCGTTTGATTTCCCACTTTTGCTCGCTTTCGGTTCACGCTCGCTTATATCCGCTAGACTCGCTTTGCCACGGTTTCCCACCACCATTGTGGCTTCTCCTTTTTCTTGCCTTCAAGATTAGTTTAATGGGGCTACACGGTGGGAATATCGCTAAAGAGTTCTGATGAAGAACAGGAAACAAATGACCAGACTATGCAGGCGAGACAGGCAGTGAGATTCCTCCTTCGTCTTGCTCTTCCTTCAGCCGTATAGGGGGCGCTTACAGCGGGACCGGGCTGAACCAGGCGCCTACCGAGTCAGTTCGTCGGGATATCCGCGATGAGTTGTCTGTCACATCCACATTGTCTGCTGGGTTGATCTGAAGCTGCTGACGGTCCCGCAGGCTTCGGACGATGCCAAACTAACTCCAGACGTCGGCACCGAGAGCGGCTCGGCAGCTGCTATCTGAAATAGAGCCGTCACAGACTATCGACGACGGTTGTCAGTGCACTTGTTCGAAGACACCTGAGAAGGCTGGCCGCGGGCACCCTGTTCAGTAAAGCTTTACATGTTCAAGGAGTGCCTACGTAATAAAACGGACATGTAGCTTCGGAGACATTACAAGAATACTACTTCAGCCCGGTTGCTGCCTGCTGGTTGACCTGCCACGGCATGTGTCAACGGAGCCAAGCCGCGGGACCATGCATGTCGGCGATCAAGGCGCCTCTTTCAAGCCATGGAGGGACGCGGAACGGAGAGCACCGGAAGATAACGATACAGGAGTGACGCAGCCTTCCCGCCGTCCTCTACTGCCACGGAAATCCCGGTGTACGTACATTATTCATCAGTTGGCTGGACCCAAAATGTTGGAGGCAATTGATTCACTCCTACCGACATGTCATAAATCGCTTGAGGCTGTCTGTAGTTACTTGTTTTCTAACGTGAACGGGCGCTTCATGTACAGACGAGGCAAGAATCAAATGACCCAGCGGACTTTTGAAGCGGACTTTAAGACACGCAACGGCGAGATCGGGTAAGCCGCGGGATTTTACGGCTTGAGGCTCAACTGCCCCTCGCCTGCTATGCTCAGGTAGGTGCAAGCAGCCTCACCAAAAAGATGGTGTGTTTACTTCAGGTAGAAGCCTTCGTCATGGCCGCGTAGCTCTGCCGTTGTTGGATGCTTCTGGGTGTAAGTAGTTGTTTGAGGGGCTCAACGGCGTCTTTTAGCGTCCCGGGAGACCATCATCCTACTGACCGCTTGCTTTGTGGATCAGGAGGGTTGAAACACATGGTCGCTTGCAGCTCGCATTGAATGCGAGTAAAGCGATTGGGTGCCCCATCAGCCGTACCTACTGAGTAGTACTATAGGCAACGGAAGCACTAAGGGCTAGTTGATGGGTTCCCCTACCGCATAGACTTTCAGTACCTACTGTTATATTACGTGGCATATGGTAACCCCTGTGGGGTTGATAGGAGCCACTAGGCCGGTGTCGTTGGGCACAAGCTTCAGCTGATGAGTCCGTTCTCCTACATGGTACTCCGCAGCAAAGGACATTTCCGACCCGGCGCGCGTGTGCCATGGAATCTACATCTCGGTGTCCCCACCAGTTTAGTATAATGACCTCTAATTGCTGTATCCGTACTCCGAAAGTGTGCGGCAAAAGAATCCCAGGCGTATCCCTGCGAAAGGGGGGGGGGGGGGGGGGGGGGGGGGGGGGGGGGGGACAAGAGTGCCTCACACGACCTCACAAAATTCTAGACGGATATCTACAACTATACGTCGTGTCTTGAGACGAGGGCCAGCATGCTGCTTGTTATGACCGCACACTTTCCTCAACTGCAAAGAAGCCCTGTGATATCATTCCGTCGTTTGCAAAGTGGAGGGGGAGAGGGGAGAAGAGAAAGCAACTTGATAAGGCATGAGCGCTGATGAAAATAATAATAATAATAACAATAATAATAATAAAATCACCAAATGTTGAGTTTGGCCAAAGGTTTGTGCAAGCTTGCCCATCATTTGTGTCAACATACTACTAGGCGTCCAAAAAGCAATCCGACATAATCTTCGTTAGCCATGGATGGTTGAGCCGACCGGCACGGTAGACCCGCGCCAAACGACGCCCCAAACGGGCCTTATCCGCTGGGTTCTCAAATGTCGCCGATAGGTGACTGACTTATTGAAATCCTTCGTGTGACGCGGGTCCACGCCGCACCGTGGCATCGGGCCCGAGAGAAAACGTTATCCCCGGGGCACACTTTTTTTTTTTGGCTGATGTATCTGGCGCAAAGCCAAGAGCAGGAAACATGGAGAGCGTGGGCACGCTGCCAGAAAAGCTTGGCCAGAGAGGCACTCTCCAGAGAGTAGTCTCGTCGTGGTTTGCGTGAGTGCCTTTACTTTCAACGAACACATCTGTACTGAATACGTCGTATACAAGAACGGCTATCTCAGATTTCGCCCCAAACCTCGACTCCACCCACTCAGGTGTGCTGGAACCGAATCCTCGGATGGACGACACACTGGGGGAAGGAAATGAAAAGATCGGATTTCGGAGTGGTGATGAACTCCGAGGGAGGGGGGCCAGAGAAAGAACCTGGCATACCTGCAAACAGCTAAGCGAGTGCGGCGGCAGGCCTGACTCGACCGGGGGAGCGGCAAGGAGGGCGCCGAGACAGGGTGACGGGACGGGCTTAGGGGGCATTTTCTGGAAGGAGGAAAAAAAAATGCAAAGTAAACAAGCCAGCGACCATGACGTGCAGGTGCTGCTGGGAAGGTTACCTGGAGGTAACCTCCACATTCTATGGACACAAGTAGTTTAGGTTAGTGGTGAATAATTCTTCCGTCGTTGGTTGGTTGGTTGGTTGGTTGATTGGGTGGTGGTCATGTTTTGTCGCTGCAGTCATCTGTTCTTCAATCGGTTCCTCTCAACTATACATAAACTCTCGACTTAAAAACTGTCGTCGCATGTCGGATAGTGTCAGGGCTCGGTTGTAATTGGCCCCTTTCTGATCCTCGAGACAAGCGAGATACGAGGGACATATCGCAATCAATGTCATTGGGCTAAGCATTGACATGGACATCGTCCCCAAAACAAAAAGGAATTTGACATGCACAGTTCCCCAGAAATTTACTAGATAGAATGAGGAAAAGAGTCAAAATGGAAGGGGGAGGGGAAAAAAAAAAAAAAAAAAAAGAAAGAGGATACAAAGGGTAAGGGAGAGAGCAAAAGCTGCAACCTTGAGTTGGCTGTACGAATCCCGATCACGAATCCCGTCTCAGGCCCGGTCCTCGTACTTCAACAAGCCGTACTGTTATGTAGCTGATGAGTGCCATGGTACGTACATTTCAAGCCGCAGCCTGCTTAGTCGCTATTACCAGTGCGTACGGAATATACGTACACAATCTATGCTATGTATGAAGCAGAGATGGCTAAGATGTGCGCGCGTCTCAATCGACTCTGTTTATGGCCACTCTGCGCTAGGAAAGATTCGCGCTTTCCTTTTTGTGTCTCCCCGAGATACCTCTATTGCAGTGGATAAGCATAAGGTACCTATGTGTGGAGTAAGCAGAGTAAGCATTTACTAGATCGAGTGGCCGAGTGAGTGACTCGGGCTTGAATTGCGGCGTAAACGAGGCTAGTCACACTTCGGGAAGTTCAGAAAGTGCGAGGAAAGAAACGGGTTGATTGCATCCCGCTGCGCTTTGCTACCTCGTCTCTCATCGAACTGGCCAGTCCTACCTATCTGGTCGTCTGCTACCCCCGGTTGCAAGATACCGAGGGGCACCCCCAGGTCCAAAGGTGGCCCAGTCCACTCTGCACTCTCCATCAAAAGTTCCCACTCCAAGTCCTGGGTCAAGGGTGTCTCTAGTGTACACTATCTCTCTCTCTGTCTTTCTCCCTCTCTGCTGCTCCTTCTGAAAAAGGTACCATATAGAGAGGCACACTAACCCTTATCCTGGCCTGCATCCCGAGTGGGAACGGAACGCCTCTATTTTCTTCGCATTCTTATTAATGAACTGAAGAAGACGACGCCCGTCCCATAGCTTCTTCTGCACGGCCTTTTGTCTGCTTCTTCATTTTGGGACTTGTGTGCGCTTCTGAAATCGCCCGCAAGGTCGATCCCGATCGCTGCAAATCTTTTCTTGGCTTTCGCCATCTCGCCGTCTTTCTCAATTTCCTCTTTACCCCATTCCTTTCTTTTCCCTTACATCCCTCACCTTACCCTTTGGGTTTCCTAGCAGCTGTGCATATACATTCCATCCTTTCTGCGCCGTCATCGAGACAACAGACCACCCGCCGCCACCGCATGCGAAAGGCCTGTCACACAACTCGGGCTCGAGCTCTCGCCCGGCATATACTCGTATAATCACCGGCGGCGACATACGCCACTGTTCGCTTCGTGCCTGCAACCTCAAGCTACTTTCAGACGAAACGTTCGCCAAGCTCGCGCGCTGCGCATACTTGCGCAACGAGCTCGACTTATAACCCCCCCGCTCTCCATCGCTCGGTAGCTTCTGCGAGCAGCTACCAATGGCGACCGAAAACGAGAAGCCTCTCGGCGAAAAGCCGTCAGAGATCGTGGAAAAGACCGCCAGCAATGGGCCCTCGTCCGACAGAGGCTCCTCCAACGGCGACTCGACCGAGGCAGACGTGACAAACCAACCCAAGGAAAAGCCCACGGCGAACAGTCTCGAGAAGGCAGACTCCAAGGTCGTCGTGCCCAAGAGCCCCTCCGATGACCCTTACAAGCACCTCCCCGAGGATGAGGCCACTGTCCTAAAGCGCCAGGTTACCACTCCCGAGGTCAAGGCCGGTATACTGACCTTGTACCGCTACTCATCCACCAACGACCTCATCATCCTCGCCGTCTCCGCCTTCATGTCCATTGCTGTGGGTGCTGCCCTGCCGCTCATGACTGTCATCTTTGGCAACCTGCAGGGCACCTTCCAGGGATACTTCAACACTTTTCCCCCGACCGAACAAGCCAAGGCCGACTTCAAGAGTGAGATGGCCAGCCTGGTTCTCTACTTTGTCTATCTGGCCATCGGTGTCTTTGTCGCACAGTATATCACCACTGTTGGTTTTATCTGTAAGTCCGCACGAGCCCCCCAACAACTTTTGAGTTTACGTCTGATCCACTCCCAGACACGGGAGAGCATATTAGTGCCAAAATCCGCGAACACTACCTCGAGAGCTGCATGCGCCAGAACATCGGTTTCTTTGATAAGTTGGGTGCCGGTGAGGTCACGACTCGAATCACCGCAGACACCAACTTGATCCAGGATGGTATTTCCGAAAAGGTCGGCCTGTCCCTCGCCGCCATTGCGACCTTCATCTCCGCTTTTGTCATCGGCTTCGTCCACTACTGGAAGCTTACGCTCATCCTGCTGTCCACTGTCGTTGCGCTGCTCCTGAGCATGGGCGGTGCTTCGTCCTTCATTGTCAAGTACAGCAAACAGTCGATCGAATCTTACGCCCACGGAGGCAGTCTTGCCGACGAGGTCATCAGCTCTATCCGTAATGCCGTCGCCTTCGGCACCCAGGACCGTCTGGCCAAGCAGTACGATGAGCACCTTACCAAGGCCGAGTTTTTCGGCTACAGGGTCAAGGCGACGATTGGTATCATGGTCGGACTCATGATGACCATTCTGTACCTCAACTACGGCCTGGCCTTCTGGCAGGGTAGCAAGTTCCTCATCGAAGATAATATCCCCTTGTCGGATATTCTGATTATCATGATGTCCATCATGATTGGTGCCTTCAACCTTGGTAACGTCGCCCCCAACGTTCAGGCCTTTACTACCGCCATTGCCGCCGCCGCCAAGATCTACAACACTATTGACCGTGTTTCCCCCTTGGACCCTTCCAGCGAGGCTGGCGAGAAGCTCGAGAAGCTCGAAGGTACAATCCGTCTGGAGAACATCAAGCACATCTACCCTTCCCGTCCCGAGCTCACCGTCATGGAGGACGTCAGTCTCACTATTCCCGCCGGCAAGACCACGGCCTTGGTTGGTGCGTCTGGCTCTGGAAAGAGTACGATCGTCGGTCTTGTTGAGCGCTTCTACGATCCTGTGCGAGGAAAGGTATTCTTGGACGGCCACGATATCAGCACCCTTAACCTGCGCTGGCTGCGTCAGCAGATGGCTCTCGTCAGCCAGGAGCCAACCCTGTTTGGAACCACCATCTATCAGAACATCAGATACGGTCTCATCGGCACCAAGCACGAGAATGCCAGCGAGGAGGAGCAACGGACGCTGGTCGAGAACGCGGCAAAGATGGCAAACGCCCACGATTTCATTACCGGTCTTCCCGAGGGCTACCAGACGAACGTCGGCGAGCGTGGTTTCCTGCTATCCGGAGGCCAGAAGCAGCGTATTGCCATCGCTAGAGCCGTCGTGTCCGATCCCAAGAGTAAGTTTAAACAGTGAGCATGCTAGAGAATCAGGCTAATATTTGCAGTTCTTCTCCTTGACGAGGCTACCTCTGCACTCGATACCAAGTCAGAAGGCGTCGTTCAGGCTGCCCTCGAGGTCGCCTCCGAAGGCCGTACTACCATCACCATTGCCCACCGTCTGTCAACCATCAAGGACGCTCACAACATCGTCGTCATGTCCGCTGGACGAATTGTCGAGCAGGGAACCCACGATGAGCTGCTAGAGAAGCAGGGTGCCTACTACAACCTTGTCAGTGCCCAGAACATTGCTCGCGTCAACGAAATGGATGCCGAGGAGGAAGCCGCCATCGACGCCGAGGACGACGAACTCATCCGCAAGAAGTCCCGCGTCTCGGAGAAGGGTTTTGTTGCAGACCCCGACGACAACATGGCCGCCAAGCTGCAGCGAACCTCGACCTCCAAGTCTCTTTCTAGCATCGCTCTGCAGGGTCGCAAGGAAGAAGGCGAGATCAAATACGGCCTCTGGACGCTCATCAAGGTTATCGGTTCCTTCAACAAGCAGGAGTGGCATCTCATGCTCATCGGTCTTTTCTTCTCCGTCATCTGTGGTGGTGGAAACCCTACTCAGGCTGTCTTCTTCGCTAAGCAGATCACGACCCTCTCCGTCCCCGTCACGGACGCAAACTCGCACCAGATGAAGAAGGACTCCGATTTCTGGAGTGCCATGTACCTCATGCTTGCCGGTGTCCAGTTCATCGCCTTCGTCATCCAGGGTGTCGTTTTTGCCAAGTGCTCCGAGAGACTCGTCCACCGCGTCCGAGACCAGGCATTCCGTACCATGCTTCGTCAGGACGTCTCCTTCTTCGACAAGGACGAGAACACTGCCGGTGCTCTTACCTCCTTCCTTTCCACTGAGACCACTCATCTTGCCGGACTTAGCGGTGTCACTCTGGGAACTCTGCTCATGGTTTCGACGACTCTGGTTGCTGCTCTGGCTCTCGCCATCGCCATCGGCTGGAAGCTCGCTCTTGTCTGCACGGCGACGATCCCTATCCTCATTGGCTGTGGTTTCTTCCGCTTCTGGATGCTTGCCCACTTCCAGCGCCGCTCAAAGACTGCCTACTCCAACTCTGCCAGCTACGCGTCCGAGGCCATCTCGGCCATCCGCACCGTTGCCTCCCTCACGCGTGAGAAGGATGTCATTCGCCAGTACCAGGCCTCGCTGGCTATTCAGCAGCGCGCAAGTCTGATTTCTATTCTCAAGTCCAGCTTGCTCTTTGCGGCGTCGCAGTCCTTCATGTTCCTGGCTTTTGCCTTGGGCTTCTGGTACGGCGGTACTCTCATCGCCGACCTTGAGTACAACATGTTCCAGTTCTTCGTCTGCTTCTCGGCCGTCATTTTCGGTGCCCAGTCCGCTGGCTCCATCTTCTCGTTTGCTCCCGACATGGGCAAGGCCCACCAGGCCGCCAACGAGCTCAAGATCCTTTTCGACCGTAAGCCCACCATCGACACATGGTCGGAGGAGGGTGCTTCGCTCGAGGCCGTCGACGGCACCCTCGAGTTCCGCGACGTCCACTTCCGTTACCCGACCCGTCCCGAACAGCCCGTGCTCCGCGGCCTGAACCTCGTCATTCGCCCCGGACAGTATGTTGCTCTCGTCGGCGCTTCTGGCTGCGGAAAGTCCACTACTATCGCCCTGCTCGAGCGCTTCTACGACCCCCTCTCTGGAGGCATCTATGTCGACGGCAAGGAAATCAGCACGCTCAACGTCAACCAGTACCGCTCCTTCATCGCCCTTGTCAGCCAAGAGCCCACCCTCTACCAGGGCACCATCAAGGAGAACATTCTCCTCGGTGCCTCCACTGAGGTCACGGACGAAGCCGTCGAGCACGCCTGCCGCGAGGCCAACATCTACGACTTCATCGTCTCCCTCCCCGAAGGCTTCAACACCGTTGTCGGTAGCAAGGGTGCTCTGCTCTCTGGTGGCCAGAAGCAGCGTATCGCTATTGCTCGTGCCCTTATTCGTGACCCCAAGATTCTGCTCCTTGACGAGGCCACGTCCGCCCTCGACTCTGAGTCAGAGCACGTCGTCCAAGCCGCCCTCGACAAGGCCGCCAAGGGCCGCACGACCATCGCCGTCGCCCATCGTCTCAGCACCATCCAGAAGGCCGACATCATCTACGTCTTCGACCAGGGTCGTATTGTCGAGCAGGGCACGCACGTTGAGTTGATGAAGAAGAACGGCCGCTACGCCGAGCTTGTCAACCTCCAATCATTGGAGAAGAACAGGTAATCGGACGGGTTCGCCTAGGGTGTTTCTTGTCAAAAGAACTACACGAGTGCAGTGCGTACGTCAGCGGAGGTTTATTGTGTTGTCCCTTTTCCCCCCGAGATATCCGGATCGAGACCGATCCATGTCTATTTTTTTTTTCTCTGCATTTCAGGCGTTATAAAAGATGGACGAGTCTTTGCATAGACTGGCCACACCATTTGCGTGGGCTTAGTTTAGCCATTTTTTCTAGAAAAAAGGGCGGTTTTTATTGTTGACGATGGGAGATTATGATTTCGACGCGTTTTCCGTAGCCCTGGTTTAATGGTCTAGGGTTGAGAAAATAGACTCCCCTCCCCTTTGGTACACTTTATACTAAATTAGACATAATTCCAATCATTCAAACAATGGAGGTTTTCCGTTCGATTAAAAGGGGGGGCCTTTGGTGCATTTTGACAAGTTCTCTTTCACCGCTTACCGGTAGGTGTATTAACAGCTGCTGCACATGTACCACGATGAGAGAGTATCGTAGGGTCTCTTATGTGTGTTGACACGTAGAAACATGTGAAGAAGGCAATGTGATTCCAATCTCCCCCCAAGGCACACGAGAACGCAAGGGGAGTAGTTTGAGATGCTGTTTTATATTTCCATTACGCTGTTGCCCACGTCGCGTCGTCCGTCAGCCTGGCCAGCTCATATCAAGGCAGCTCCTGAGGTCAGGCCTATTTGACTCGGACGGATGATAAGGGGTTGGAAAACTCGGAAGTGGATCTGTCCTTTGTTGATACAGTCAGATGGATATTTATATACATATATATATATGTGTGTGTGTATGTATGTGTGTGGGCAAATGATTGTTACTCGCCGGATTGAGTGGTCAGCCGGTTACGATTACACACTCTGGTTACGAAAGGGCAGAAACGGGTATTTTATCCCGTGGCCTGTGGACTTTTGCTATGAGGAGCATCAGTCATGCACGTCACAGAACCGAAGGCTTCACTGTTGCCGGCGAAACCGATTAAATGTTGTTCCGCCGTCTCGGAAAAGAGTTCATGTCGGTGTGAAGACTAATTATCGCGACAAACACTTGTTGATGCTTATTTGCCATTCAGATAGATCACGTTTAGGCATGACATTTACATTGCGCCGTATAAATCTCAAGAACCGCTGGCTCGTACATCGATGGGTGACCCCATCACTCGCCTCAGTACGCCGGGTACGCCCTGTATACCACAGTTACCGGCGCAAGGCTAATCGATCCTTCGCTCTCTAATACAGAAATAGCTATGCGTTCGGACTCGATCCCGTCGGTCTCCATCAGAGGCTCATAATCAGGTAAGGCCATTCCCGGGGCGAAAGTTCGCACTTCCCCCGCTCGGCCCCGACACGCGGCCATGACACGGAGACTGGGCGGCGCGCCCCGATCCTTCCGGCATGGCTGCGGTAGGACTACCACCTGTTGTTTCCTGCCTTAAGAAGTTATGAATTGAAGCTATCTAAACAGACGATGCTGTCATCTAACGGCTGAAACGTTAGTCCACGGTGGGTATGTGATGAGAGTACGTTGCGTTTCCATGTTGTTTTGTCTCGGAGGCTGCCAGAGCCGCTTGCGAACATCTCGTATTGGAGCAGAAGTATCTGCGCCAAACGTTACTTTCCCGACTCACTTCCTGCGCAGAACTTAACTGCGACCGCAATAGATGTGGCGCCAATGGCTGAGACCTGTCAGTAACTTCCTTCTGCTCATGTCAGACATGCATTGCAGTGGTGTGTTGGTGAGACTGTCTAACTCTACACTGAAGACAGCGCGAGTCCGATATGGGTCTGCAATTCGCCCGCCACTTCAGGCGGGCGACCTTGCCAGCTATTGTCCCTTATTGACTTTGAGTTGCCCCATGGCATCGTTGGGTGTGGTCGCTCTAGACTTGGTATTACAGACTTTGTGTGCCCATTTAGATAATGTGCACAGCACGCTCTAGTGTTACGCACGTGGGGATGAGCTTTCCAGATCGTCGCTGAGCAACTTCGCCCTAGTCACCTCGTGTCGTTGAACATCTGTGCGACCGGCGGACACTAATCCACGCTATACAAGGAAACGGACTTCAGACTGAGCCTCCTGGTGAACCGGTGAACGAAAATCTTTGCGTCATTCTGACCACGCGTAAGACCAAATTAGAGCAGCCAGTGGTTCTCATCCTAGACTCCTGTTATTGATCCAACCTCTCGAAGCCAGCACGGCAGCATATGAATTTTTAGCGGTTGGCCAAACTCGTAAGCGCGTGTTCCTCCATACCAACACTCCAACCGAGTTAATTGCACTGCGCATTTGTCTGAGGAAGCCAAATGCTCCGCCAAAGGGGGCAAACATCTTGTACGACAACGGGCTGGGCCAAAAGCGTCTGCTTGCCGCGTGGTCTCTCCATGGTACGCGATCTCTGTGTAATGGTCACACAAGACCTGTTGGGTGGCGGCCCAAGTTCGAGTATCTTCCAAAATTACGGTAAACCGACTTATGCAGGGAGGCGCAGGTACCCGCCAGCTAAAGGAAAGACCACGAAAGCCACAAATCGATAGACCTTGCGCCGCCAGGACACTAGTCACCGCACTGCGAGGTCTACGAATATGTGATGTGTGGATGGGAAAACTGCCAGGAACGCGGCGACCTAATACCAAGACAAGCCGTTTCCTCAAGGCCGTGTGGCAGTCAGACACACGGGAAATAGCATTCTCAACCGGCCGTCGGCATGTCGGCTCGGAGGGGAAATGAGACAAGACTGACATGACACCACTTTTGAGTAAGCGTTTAGTTCTCACAAATGAGGGAAAGAGTTTAGAGACAGTCGTGCAGGATACTTGTCGAAGGGTGTAGGGACCATCCTTCCCACAAGAAACCAACAAATGCGGTTAATTTGAGTTCGGGAGGATATGAGTTGCTGTCGGACCGCCCTATCCGGCGGCCGTGGGGAAGGGCTGAATACTTTCAGGGCCATGTATTTGACTTTGAATTGCAGATGAAGTTTATGCTGGCTGGGCTGACTCCAGTCGTTCAGTGTCAAACTCTCCTCTCTGCCTTACCAGGGGAATTTGCGGAGGAAAGGTAGGGTTCTCCGTTGCACGAGTGAAGTTTGGGTGTGGCTGTGGATGGCTGCAGCTGATGGCAAGGGAATCCTCGCGGGATGCGAAGTAGGAAATGAGCATTCGAAGACGTAAAATGTGATTGGGTTCTTGCAACCGGACCGGTGCCTTGCAGATCCGGCTGATTCCAGGGCATATCTCGTGTTTCCTTGATCGATCGAATTGACGATAGGCGGTGGTGGCCCCTTGTGCCTCGTAGGCATGCATACCTGCTGGTGGCCGTATTAGGTGAATGTAAGGAGGACGACGAGATGACAGCTCATTAGTAGGAATTGTTGGGAGCACTGGTTGTCGGACTGGAGGGATTGGCCGCCGAGCGATGCAAGGAGGTCATCATCAACCCATTCCATCCCATCCTGCTAGGCAGCGTCGTTGGCAGAAGATTACAGCCAGCAGCTGAATCGAACTGGCTGTCGTCGTCCGCTTGTTAAGCCTGGCTGGTCTTAGCTGCAGCTGAAAAATTCCTTATTCGGGCCACGTCAGTTAGCCGGGGCGAGGACAAAAACGACGACTCAGGCGATGGTTTCCAAACTGCCGAGTTTTTACCAAATATTGGGTTGGAAGAAAAAAAAGGCGCAAGGAAAGCTCATGAGTTAATAAACAAGAATTTTTTTTTTCCTTCGTCATTTGGCTCTGGAGAGGTCGAGAACAGACGTTGACCATGGATGGCCTGGCAAGGGGTCGCTATTTTTACTGGGAAGGCTCCCCTTTCCATATTGCCCGACACTTTAACAGCCGGGAAGATCACTGGGCGGTGCAATATCTGTCACGTCAGGAACTTCGGAAGGCGAAAACGAGATGAACCAGAAAGCATAACTTTGTGCTGAATTTTGTAAAGGGGGCGCTCCAAAGCTTCCAAATGGGTGGTAAGCTTGGACGGTGCTTTGGCCATCCAATGGTGGGCGGGTAAGGATACTTGGGGCCAACTGATGGTACCCGCTTTTCCCATATCGTAAACCAAGTCATGATTCGCCCGAGCCATCTTGCAGTTTTTCTTTCCCTTTTTTCCCCTTCAAAGGTATACTACGTACACATACCTGTAGGTGCAGGAGAGACAACTGGTAGAAAATGCTCCTGCCGTATTTTCACAACTTCCACCTTGGCAATGCATATCCTTGAAATATGCATATGCACGCACAGGCGTTTTCGCCTTGTGCATGCGCGCCACCTCCCACCTCCCACCTCCCATCACTTTCCATCCACACTGCGTCTGGATAATATCAAAGAGTGGATCAATACACATTCCTCTCATTCGGACGTCCCTTGCGAGGGGTTCGCTGCTTGGCTACATTTTGTTCCAAGGAAGAGGGCAATTGTGGCAGCTCTCACGAGGGGTCGGCGCAGGATGGACACCAAATACATATAGTACATAATATGTTTTACGGCAGTTGATCTCCGCAGATGAAGGGTCTCGAAACAAATGGTCGGATACCCTCTCCAACAGTGTCCAATCGACAGTCACAGGTGAGCGACGATCAACGGCGTGGACTCCCACCTGAGGGTAGACGAATCCGCCCCCACAACTTCAGGCGCAGTCGGATATTGGCACGCAATGCACCGCCAGAACGGGTGAATCCCCCCCCGAAAAGTGACAGATTCCCCCCTACGCCCACCTCCGCCCACGTTCGCGAGCACGACACCCCGACCAGGGGGATGCCTCCCGATGCGGGCATGAGAATGGTCATCTCCCGCCCGCCGCCTTCCGGTCTTTGGGACCAGCAGTTGAACCGCACTCGTGGTCTCTCATTAGAGCTCAATCCAGTACTGTCGCCAAACGGTTGGCCATTGATGCTCGCTCGTCCCTCGTCCCAACCCTAGCCGAAAATAAACGGTTCTAGACCACCCGTTGGCATTCCTGCTTCCTCCTCGAGCTTACGGATACCACCACCACCACCACCACATCACTTCCTATTCATGCCATGCAGCAGCAAACATGGCACCCATCTCTTACTGCATTTTGGTGTGTCGTATCGGCCGTTGTATGGCTTGGCCAATGCGGCCAGAACACTCCGCCTAAGCCCGGTTGGCCGCTGAAGCCGATAAGGTTGTTTCTCGTTCGTGCTAATTTACAAAATAATACCGCAAAAGACATAATCAAACTCAGTTCTCGTGTCTGCGTTTCGTGGCATATTCAGTTTCTTTTCTGAGCGGGCCACAAGAAACGACGACGTCAACCCACAGTCTGGGAATCGTGGTTGTCACAGCTGGGTCGAGACCTCCAAGCTTTCGTTCCGCTGGGCAACTTGCTTGTACTACGTAACGAGGAGTGGGGTTGCTGCTGCTTATCCAAGTCACTCCCCGCATTACGATGGGTGGTGAGATACCTTGGTTCAAGTGCGACCACATGCAGGACAATATTGGCTCGTTGACGCCAAATCTCCTGCTAGCCCCGCCCAGCTCTGTACGTAGTACTAACCCCTATCCCTGCCCTTGTCCCTGCCAAGGAGGGCCGGTTCTGGTGGAGTTGAGCGACTTGGGCCACCGTCCACGAACCAGTCCAAGTCAGGGCAGGGCACTTCGGTTCGTCTGCAGGCCTTGCCCTGGTGTGAGTGCAGGTCCCAGGTGAGGGTTGAAGTCTAGGTCCGGGTTGCTGTGAACGCGGAATCGACTTCCACGCTTCGTGCCTCTCTTCCCATCTCCTGCCCAAATACGATTCAGCCCACACCCCCATGCACCGTTCACGTTCCACTGAAGAAGCCAGCCCACGGCCCTCTGCTGGGTCTCTACGGATACGTACGCTATCTAGGGCATCGTTTGTTCCTAGTTTTGGGCCCCCAAGTTCCCAGTGCCTGTCCTGGAGTAGAGAACCCAAAAGCCTTCTTCCCCTGGACCCCTGTTCCCCTGTCCAACCTGCCACCACGCGGGCGAGCTAGGCCAAGCCAATATTGCTCGCCTGCCCCCCAACCTGTCTTGCCTGTTTATCCATTCATTGCTCCTCCTTCTTAATTCCTTCCTCTCCCCAACCAGAGCCAGGGATTGTCGCCAGCCTTTCAAGAGCCTCAGTTGCTTCCTCTCGCCAACCGCCTAAGCCGACTGAGCTGCTCGCGACATCTCGACTGACGCCTGGCACCCCTCGCTTATCGACGATATTAGCCAATTCCACGTCGACGAGTAGAATTCGGAAGTTCCAGTCTCCAAAATTCTCGGCTTACAGCATTGGAGGGACGAACGCAAACACATTGGTTGTCGATCTTTGCTAATTTTTGAGGACTGCGTTGGCGACCCTAATTCAGCTCGATTGGTCCTGGATTCATTGACGGAATCACTCGTTTGCCCGTTATCCGAATCTCCTCATCAACAAGACGGCACAGCCCGGCACAAGTGGAGTGGTGGTTTTGTTTTTCCTTGGTGCCATAATATATATCCACCACCGCGTGCGTGATCTGGTCGATCGCCGGCTAGAGACAATCGACGCCGATCAACGTGGGGTTCCTACAGACGACAACGTCTTGTGAGCCAAGTTCTTTGTCGAGAAGGAACTCGTCTCCCAAACAACACCGACGACATTAGGATATGTCCCATCCCTCACATCTGCGTCTCGCAGTTTCATGATGGCCCACACGCCTCTCATCATGCCTTCATTCACTACTACTCCCTTCACCCGCAAGCCACGGTCAACATGGCTCCTTTTCCTTGCCATCATCGCTTTGGTCTCGGCCACCTCCGAATCCTTCTCGGGAACCCTTCCAGCTCAAATCACGCCTCCCGCAGTAGCTGCTCCGCTTGATGCTCTCATCGTGGACGCCCGCTCTCCAACCATGATCAAAGGCCGGTGGACCATGTTGCCGCATGAGAACGACCTCAGGAAGCGAGACAAAGACGGCATCACGCCTACGCCGAGTGCAACTCAAAAGGTTAAGGCTACGGACGACCCGACAACACTGACCCTTTCTGTCACGGTTCCCGCCGCGACCGCTGAGGCACCCTCGCCATTGCCTTCGCCCTTCGATACCAGTCTCGCCTTCAATTTCACCAGCAACGACGGCGCCTCCTGCCCTCGGTTCATCAACGAGCTCCTCACTAACCAGAATTTCAAAAAGTGCTACCCGCTCTCAATGTTGCTTCAGGTAGGTACAATACACACTACTACCGTCCGCGGCGTGTACTGACTCACTCAGGGTTCGAGGTCCTTTTTTGAGGCTGAGAAGAAACTCCTCAGCATCGTAAGGGTGCTTGACGCCACTTGCGGTGCCGACGTCGATTTTTGCACAAAGTACCTGACCGGCGTCGCGGGCAATCTCACCATGGACTCTAACTGCGGCTCTGACTTCGACAGTGGCAACCCAATCGTCATGCAGGCCTACCTCGGCCTAAAATCGTATGAGATGCTGTACAAAGCCACCTGCCTTACCGACCCCGAAACTTCAATGTATTGTTTCGCCAACGCCGTCACCAACCTCACGAATCCTTCCAACGTCTACTTTTACTACCTGCCTCTCAACCTGACTCTCCCCAGCGGCGCGACGCCCACCTGCGGTTCCTGCCTTAAACGGACTATGGAAATCTACCAGACCTTCACGGCCAACCGCAAACTTGCTATATCATCAAAGTATGTGGACGCCTCAAAACAGGTCAATACCATATGCGGGCCCGAGTTCGTCAGCGACATCCTGCAAGCTGCCGTGAGCATGTCGGTCCTCTCAATACCATCGTGGGCCCTGACAACGGTGTTCATTGCCCTCGCGATTGCTTTCAATCTCTAAAAGCGTCAGCGGCATCGCCCGTACGGATGGTTATGAGTCATGTTCTTTGTTTTCCAGCAAGCGCCTTTGATACCCTCACTTTTCGCATTTACTTATCATTCACGCCTTTGGTCGAGCCATCACTCGTCCTTATTTTACACCTTTTATTAGTCTTTAGTTTACCACACATTATGTCTAGGTTTAGGGAGAAAAAAGCCAGTCCCAAGGGATGGGCATTGGTTGGCGGTTTATTAGTTTAGCTGGGCATTACAGGCTGGGTAGGATGGCGTCTCGCTGGGTTGTAGCGAAGGGTTCGAGGATCTACAACATATTGACGGCCGCATCTGGGGTGGGATGCGATACAAATTCTAATCTTCCAATAGTGCGCTCTTAATCTTATTCTGTAAATACTTTTGATAGGCGGAGGCGGTTTTATTTTGGGGAACGAGGAAGGCAACCGATGAGTTGCAAAATAGAGTAGACATCCACTACACTTGCCGTACATGCAAATATGTGTTGTGTTCGTCCCAAGCACTAGCAAGTGCTAAATACACGGAAACCATGAAGATAAGGTATCGGAGAACAACAAACCCTACGTGAGGGCTTTGTAGACTTGGCTTTCCACACTTGATCTCAAGCGATTAGACATATACGAGAAAAAACTTGCACCTACAGCTTCCCCTCCCGCCCACGAGCCACCTTCTCCCGCTGCGCTCCGAGCCGCCTCTGAACCACCTTCCACGGGTGAATCCCATCAACGTACCCGGTAAAAGGCGCCCCGACGCCGTATCCCAACATATCCACAAGCCGCCGCGGCATCGAGTCCAGCTTCTCCCAGTCAACGGCGAGTATCTGGTTCTCCAGCGGCCGTACCCACGGCTGGCAGTACTGCACTGTCATCGCCCTCCGCTCGCGGTCCGACGTGTTCTTCCCGCCGCCGTGCCAGAGCGTGCCGATAAAGAAGACGGCGCTGCCCCGCGGCATGACTACCGGTACGACATCTTCTCTACGGGGAACCTGCTCGTTCTTGTCTCCCCACTTGTGCGAGCCCGGAATCACGACTGTGGCGCCGTTGTAGCTGTAAAGTCGTCGATTGCTACCATGACTCCCTGTTATGTGATTAGCATGTCTGAAACGAGTTTTTCCTAAAGCAGATAACCTAGGTGTCTTACTGTCCCCAGCGGCCGGTGCGGCCGCGGCAAGTTCACGTACTCATCGTCGTGGTGAAGCTTCTGCGGCGCCTCGCCGGGCTGGATGTAGACGCTGTGGAACGCGTTCAGGAGGAACCCCGGGTCGAGATAGTGCTCATTCAGAGCGAGGAGTGCAGGGTGGAGGGGAAACTTTTGGAACACGGGGGACTTGTTTAGCAGGGCGTATATCCTCTTGGTGTTGAACCCTTCAAAGTCGGTGCGCCCCGTGCGGTCGCCCCCGGCCGGGCCTGCCGAGGTCGCGTCTGCTGCGATGCGGACAAGTTCTCTGTGCGCTTCCTCGATCTCGGCATCAGTGAAGGCGTTGGGGATGATTACATAGCCGTGCTCCTCGACATGGTTGATCAGGTCTTGTACGCTGGCGTTGGGTGTAGTGGACGAGTTGTCGATAGTGCTGTTAGGATTCATCGTGCTGGATATGAGGTACTTGGTGTTACACATGGGGTTTTGGGACATGGCCAGCGAGATATATATATAGGTAATGAGATGGTAGTCTATATTAGGAGCTACATCACCAGTTCATCTAGCATAACACGCGTCTAGGTTCTCGGTTTCAGTGGGCCAGCCGAGGTATTATACCCGGTTTTGGAAATCGGACGAAATATTGCTGCTCAGTTGTAGTCCGAGTGGGGTGCGTAAAGATGGGATGTCCCCAACTTTGGGACGAGACGTGTGTGGCGGGGAACCGAGGTCGGGCCTGCGATATGTAGTACGGGCGGGGAATGCAGTAAACCTAAAATTGATACGCTGATGATGTCTTGCAAACTGTCATCCAAACGTCAACTGTGAACCGCGGTTACCGATGCAGCGGGAACATTAAATGAACAAAGTTGATCCCTACTTCCTCGGCCGATTATTAACGCTCAATTCCATTTGGTAAAGTAGATGTTTTGCTCGCCGCCCTTTGCGAAGTTAGACGGCGGTGTTAGTCGTTGAGACTGCCGTAAAATCCGATGTGTAGCGTAGGTGGTTAAACCCGAGCAGCGAAGGAAGACGCCCTGAGCTCTTAGGGAGGCTTCAGGAGCAGTTTAGATATCGGGGGCTGAAAACGGTGTACCAATTGCATTTTGGAGCTGTTGTGTTAACTTTGTGCAACAGCTTGCAATAATCATTTGCTCGATGGTTATGAACGAAGGATTGCTTTTACGACCGTGATATTAAACTGGATCATTTTGAGATGACGAGTGCGAGAAAGGCATGATGACTACTGGGTTTCGACGGGGCTTGGTGACGTTGGTTCGAGAGAGCTGTTCTAAGAGTAGTTTGGAAACGTCATTTTGTGGACTATAGAGTAAAAAGCTAAATAGAGGGGTAAACGAGCTATGTTAGGTAGGAACAACTTCGTACCTCAATAACGAATCAAAACAAACGGAGGCAACGTATGCGGCGAATGGCTTATAAAAGTGTTGCGATAGTTGGAATACGGAGTCGTGTGGCACTTCCAGCCACACGCCCGCCAGGCTGAGAGGCCCAAGCCTCCCAGACCCACGTGACAGGCCAAGGGGGAATATCCCCACCTTCTAGTCAACAACACCACTTTCAACTATCATCATGAACCATCGATTAGAACCAATTTACTGTTATTTGTTATTGACGAACGGAATTCCGTTTCACCCCCTGTTTCACCCCCTGTGAAACCTACACTGATCAGTGGTAAACCTCACAGTTGCCATTAATTTGGTTAACTTCACAATTACCACTCTGCTACGGACAAACCGCAGATCAGCAAGGTCAACACCAGAAGAGACGACTTCTTGAACTGGATACCCAAGCCCAGGTAAAAGTAGGGATTTCGTGCTAACGAGAGAAGAAGCGAGAGTAACTGGGATCTACGGAAACCAGCAGAAGAAAGCTTCTTTTCCTCGAATCTACCAGCAATCCGATTATTCGAGTAACCTAGGGACTGCTACGCTCACCCTGGGCGGGATAAGGTTAATCGCAGCCAATTATCGCTGGCAAGAGCGTTCCATCACGCGTTTTCAATCACCAGAAGAAGAGACCTACCGAATCGACGGTCTTCCAACCTCTTCACGCCACAAGGGCGAAGATTCACGAATCCCACAAGGGACAACAACTTCCCCAACTACAACTATCCCCCACGCGCGGTGCCAATCACGAGGCGCCCGCTAGTTTCTCAATAAATCCCCAGACGAGGTGCCAACCGCGAGGCGCCTGCCACAAGAGACCTCCCTACCAGAAGAAGAACACGCCGAAAGGCGAGCGGAGACTACCGGCGGTAATCCGCCTATACAGCTATACGTATACGCCTCCGAGGCTGCGGCTTAGGAGAAACGCACGTGGTTGTGGGCGTCATAAGGCCAACTGTCCGCTAGATTCTAAACTTCCCAACAGTGAGGAGCGAAGCCCGAAGCGAGAAAGAGAGATTCACGAGAGAATCTACGGTAGAACTCTCTCCCTACCAATTCGAGACCTGTGTATACCCTCACACCCCTCGAGAACATCAGCGAGAACGGCGCCGACGGAAACAAACGACGAACCGACGAAAATCCCCGATTTCACGATTCTTTCCCCTTAGAATCGTAATATCCCGAATCGTCTTTTGACTCCCACTTCCAGGCCTGCATCTTGCACCAATCGCAGCTGACGCTGTTGAGGATTAGAATTCAAGATTCTAAACAGAAGTAATCCTTTTATACTGTCAGAATGGAGCGAAATTCACGAGAAGGATCGCCCGCGAGCGGCGTCACTGCCAAAAGCCAATCAACAGTCCCCATCCCACAGAGAATCGAAAGTATGATCGATCCAGCAGTATGGGGCAACTGGGCAATCGACCTTACAAACGCTAGCCCACAGCAACTGGGTTCCTATATGGGTTTCCTACTTGAGACCTATGAGAAGAGGAATCTCACGGGCCTCGAGCTATGGAACGAAGTTTCTCCCGATTTCGCCGACTGGTCAGAAGAAGACTTCCAGAACGTACCTCCCCCAATCCTACGATTCTTCAGAGACTATTTAATCGGTAACGGCGTCTACGTCGAAATGGATGGCAAGAAAATCTCGAAAAACGTGGCATTAGCCCTCAAAAAGGAAGAATTCCACTACTGGTCACCCCAAGAACTCGAACAAGGCGTCAAGAGATATCGCAACCTGAAGGCTCTGATAAAAGACCCCGAATTCCACGAAGAGATCACGAGACCGGCAACAGTAGCCAACAGCACAGGAGGAAGAGTCGAACCAACCCTACAGCCACCTCCTCCACAAGAACAACAACAGTGGCAACTACCGTACCGACCGCCACATCCCACGGTCTCTCCGTTAACAGACTTCCAACCATACGAGTCAACAGACCGTATCGGAAAGCAATTAACAGAATTCGCGAAACTATACCCCGACGATATGAAATACAGCGGCGATATGTACGATGTACTCGAAAAGAAGATGCCAGTATTCGTGGATCACTGTAGAATGCTGGGAATTCACACCTCCCAATACAACAGGGCACTTCCCCTAATACTGAAAGGAATAGCCAAAACCTACTTCTACGCCTCGATTAAAGTGATCAACCCACAGCCCAACTTCGAGACCATGATCAACCAATTGAAATCACACTTCGAGACTAGGGAAAGGCAACAAGCGTACGTTACGCAGTGGAATACAACTACTCTTCCCCAAATCATTCGCGATAACCCTGGAAAGACCAAATCGGAGTGTTTTGACATACTATGTGACAAATTAAGCAAGATTCAGCCCGGTTTGCCACAACAGGATCACAACGACCGATCCCTCCATACCCAACTTCTACACGCTTGTAGAGATATTCCAGAGTGTGCAATGGCGTTATTTGTACCGGCTGAGACGTACGAGGGACTTCGCAGCCAATTAATCTCGTCGATCGAGACAGCTACCCGTCTCAACCAACAACAATTCAACACAGTAGCCAACCCACCAGAGCAGTACTGGACCGACAGAACTTTCAACGGTCGAGGGCGTTATTCACGATACAGTCGTTCATCACGAAGTCGATCATCACGAGGAAGAAGCCGTGACAGACCCCTATTACCGCCAACGCCTAAGAAGTGCTACGTGTGTGGAAAACCTAACTGCTGGTCAACCAAACACACCACAGAAGAGAGACGAAAAGCGTACGAGAAGTTCAAAACCACCCAATATGCCCAGGATACGTCACTTCCAGCATATGGCCAATTTCTCGTCCAATACGAGGGTTTCGACGGGTTAGACCTACAACCTACCGCCGAAGACCCCCAGCAATACTACCACGTAACCGAACAAACCAGTGAAAGTGACGAAGAGGAAGAGACCGGCAGCGACAGTCAATTCCAGGTCACCGCCTATTTCACTACAACAGCAATTGACGGCAACAGGATCGCCACGATCCTAGCAGACCAGTCAACCCGCCATGCTATTACGAAAGAAGACCTCTTCCGCAACCAACCAGAACCGAAAGAGCTACCTTCGCAATTCACACTCGAGGGACGCTACTCTGCCCAGAACTTCCAAGGGATCATGCCCGACTCGGGCGCAGCAGGATTCTCAACCGCTGGCCACCCACAATTCGTGGCCCTACAACAAATTTACGAAGGAATTACGTTAAACACTGAGGCGGCTGGCGGCGTTACAGTGAAATTCGGCGATGGGATACCACTGGAGTCTATAGGGACTACCAAAGTGCCAACGCCGTTTGGAAGCGTCAAATTTCACGTTATTGAGACTAACACTCCCTTCCTTATGTGCCTAGGAGATATGGACCGATTGAAGGTCTACTTTAACAACGTTACGAATACCCTCATCCAAGGAAATAAGGTCGTACCTATTATTCGCAAATGGGGCCACCCATGGTTATTACTCGATAAGGAGAAACCACTCGCCTGGAACCACCTCACAGACGCTGAATTGCGACGGGTTCACCGTCGCTTCGGACACCCATCTGTTCAACGATTACACAAGGTGCTCCAGAGGGCCGGCCACCCAGTTGAAATTACGGCAATTGAGCAACTATCGAAAGTCTGCCATCGATGCCAAATGCACGCACCAGCGCCATCACGGTTCAAATTCACGTTACGAGACGATTACGAATTCAACTACGAGGTTATCGCCGACGTGATGTACCTTGAGGGTAACAGACCGGTCCTCCACGTCGTCGATACCGCCACGGCGTTCAACGCCGCCCGGTTCCTTGAGGACATTTCTGCGAAAGCCACTTGGGAAGCCCTACGCCTCTGCTGGATAGATGTGTATCAGGGACCCCCAGACTGGCTAGTTACCGACGCTGGAACAAACTTCCGCTCAACAGAATTCCGAAACGCGGCGAGAGGAATGGCAATTGAAATCAAGGAAATTCCCATAGAAGCCCACAACAGTATTGGGAAAGTTGAACGATACCATACACCTCTAAGGAGGGCGTACGAAATCATCAGAGCAGAAGACCCAACAATTACGCCAGAATCAGCACTTCAAACAGCAGTCAAAGCAGTCAACGATACTGCTGGCCCGAACGGAATAGTGCCAACACTCTTGGTATTCGGCTCGTACCCACGAATTACCGACGATTCGCCGCCATCTCCCGAAGTCACAAGGCGGGCGAAAGCGATTAAGAAGGCGACGAGCGAAGTATGCGAACTTCACGCAAGGCGACAGGTGGCAGAAGCTATCGCCACCCGCAATGGCCCTGATACAGGGCCAATTGTTAATTTACCGCTACGGTCGCAAGTACGAGTATGGCGCGAAAAGAAGGGCTGGACCGGACCGTTTACTTTAGCAGCCATAAACGGCGAAACCTGTACTGTCGATACGCCACGTGGTCCGAAGACCTTCCGGTCTACCGTAGTCAAACCATACTACGAAGATCCCGATCAACCACCTAATTCCATCGCCGCGCCAGAAGAAGAAGAACCCGAAGCTGAGATACCGCAGCAGGAAGTAGTACGCGACGAAATTATCGTCGCCGGCGGAGGCAGTGAACCGGACGAACCGCAAGAGGCACCGGAGCCACCGAGAAGACGCCCGGGCAGACCCCGGAAGAGACCACTGCCAATCGCCCACTTCACAGAGGAATTCAACGATGACCCGGATTATCAACAAATATTCCTATCGATTAAGGAGCAAGCAGACGAAGAATTAGCAATCAAACTACGACGAGAAGGTGTTATTACTACACCAGGCGAACCGTTCGAACAGTCAACTAAACAAGAGATCAACAGCCTCATCGCTAGAGGAGTGTTCAAATTCACCCAGTTCAATAAGAGAAGGCACCAGAACGTACGAATCTTCCGATCTCGTATCGTCAACGAAGTCAAGGGTAAAACAACCGAACCCTACGAGAAATCGAGACTTGTAATACAGGGTTACGCCGACGATAGCAAGAAGGCTATATTGACCCAATCGCCAACGATTCAACGGGCGAGTCAACGGCTAATTCTGTCAATTACCCCGTCACTCCTACGAGAAGGGAAACAACTATGGCTTCGAGATATCACACAAGCCTACGTTCAATCCTCCACAAGGCTCAATCGCACTATTCTCGCCTACCCACCGAAGCAAATTCAAGACCAGTACCCAAAAGGGACCATTATGGAGGTTGTGAAGCCTCTGTACGGAATCGCAGAAGCTGGAACCCACTGGTGGGCAACGTATCACAAGCATCACAGAGAGAATCTCCAGATGGTTACTTCTTCGTACGATCCATGCCTATTGATCTCATCTACCGAAAATCCACACTTTGGCTGTATCGGCATGCAAACCGACGATACCCTCGGTTTGTCAGACAAGGCGTTCTCACAATTAGAAGACGAACAGTTAGAAAAAGCGGCTTTTACGGCAAAAGCGAAGAATATCCTCACAATTGACGAACCCCTCCAATTCAACGGAGGGATAATCGCGCTGTCAACCGACAATTCGATCAATTTGAGGCAAAAGGGACAAGCCAAGAAGTTACGATGTATTGAGACTACTAAACCCAACCCAAAACAGCAATATGTCGAACAACGCGCCAGAGGGGCGTACATCGCGTCAATTTGCCAACCCGAGGCCTGTTTCGATTTATCCACTGCTGCCCAACACCAAGACCCCTCGCCAGAAGCGATAAAAGCACTGAATCAACGGATTCGATGGCAAATAGAATCGCCTAACCGAGGAATAACGTTTATCCCACTCGACCTTACAACAGCCAAGCTATTCGTTTTCGTTGACGGGTCGTTCGCTAATAACCACGACCTCTCCTCCCAATTAGGGTTTCTGATCATCCTAGCCAACGACACTTCCTCTGACAGCAACAACGGAGAATTCACGATTCACGGTAACCTCGTTCATTACAGCTCTACGAAGAGTAAACGAGTCACCCGCAGCGTATTAGCGTCAGAGATCTACGGGATGGTCGCTGGCGTCGATATGGCCTACGCCCTCGCCACAACCCTGGCGACAATCACTGACCACCTCAACCTACCAACGATTCAGACAGTTGTCTGTACCGATTCCTATTCGCTGTACGAGTGTCTCGTGAAGCTGGGCACTACCAAAGAAAAGCGACTCATGATCGATATCATGGCGTTGAGACAATCGTACGAAAGACGAGAACTACAAGAAATTCGTTGGATTAACGGCGAAGACAACCCTGCTGATGCCCTCACGAAGAGCAAACCAAATCGAGCCCTCGAGAGATTCGTTGATAGCAACACGATAACGATACGTATGGAGGGATGGGTAACAAGACCGTAACTACGGGAGAAAGTAGGGATAGGAGGCCGAATTGACGAGGAGACGGAACTGTATAGGGACAACGTATTCCAACCGCTTCAACACCATAAAAAGAGAGTTTCCAGTGTTGCGATAGTTGGAATACGGAGTCGTGTGGCACTTCCAGCCACACGCCCGCCAGGCTGAGAGGCCCAAGCCTCCCAGACCCACGTGACAGGCCAAGGGGGAATATCCCCACCTTCTAGTCAACAACACCACTTTCAACTATCATCATGAACCATCGATTAGAACCAATTTACTGTTATTTGTTATTGACGAACGGAATTCCGTTTCACCCCCTGTTTCACCCCCTGTGAAACCTACAAAAAGCTTTAAAATTTTGTAGCTGCGACGTTAAAAAACATAACTAGATGCGTAACCCACTCAAGGAAGAGCACTCTTAGCTCCTTGGACACGTTAGACTCACTGTTTTCGGACGGACAAACTCATAAACCTTACTCGGATCTGTGAAATAGGCCTACTATTTGGGGTCTCAACCACTTTGGAGTTGAGAATGATTTTGGATTGAAAGAACCTCTCCGAGGCCTTCCTACATAAAACAGCTGAGGCTTGAGTCTGTTTAGCATACAGCATGACTGAAATCGACACGTAGGTGGAGGGGTTAAAAAGTCTAGGGTGAGACATTCTTAACGTAAAGACGGCATACTTAAATAGTCAGTTATGCTACGCGTATAGAGGAACTTGTACATAGTCAGGTCCAAAGACACTTAATGTGGCTCCCAACTGCTAAAGTGCACCAAGGCTCTTAATAAGGCAAAGTGCACAAACGCACGTATACGTCAGTGTAACACGAGAAAATATCACAACATGAAGTCCACGGTGAAGTTGCGGGGGTGCAAGTGGTTAAAAGTTTCAAATGGTAAGGATTGACTTAGATTTTGATCAACCAAGTATATGTAGACATTATCAGATTGCTCAAATTTCACAGAATTGATGTGTTGTTCCCGTTGGGTGTAACATCACAAATCCGAATTATGCTATCTGCTTGTGCACTACAAGCATCTTAGCACCTTAAATAAGAAGTTACCCCTTAGGCCCGAGCGTGATATTCTCTGAGACATGTAGTTTGTCATTTCAGTTTGATCACAGAGAGAACAGAGACATATAAAGACTTGTTGTCAAGAGAAAAAGTAATTTAATTGCCGTTTCGCGTGTCAAAAATGTTTCAACTGCTAAGTCGAAGGGATAGATAAATTTAGGGAAGAAACAATATATAACCGACAATCCTGAAAATACTGGACAGACAAAGAGAACTAGCCTCTAGTTCATTCTTCAGTCTCTTCCAGAGGCTTCTGCCCATAGACAACATGACTATAGCACACGTTAGCTACCACTCATATAGGGACTGCATTAGTACTTACGTATCGTATATGATGTGCATAGAACCAGACTTCAGCTCCTTTCTCACTTGGGCAATTTGTACTAGAGTCTCCTCCTTTGTTCGCCCAAGAACGTTGCAGGACAACTTCAACGTGAACCCTTCCAGCCCATCCAAGAGTTGAGCTATGTTAAGCATTCCTATTTCCCGATAATACGGATCCTTAGGCCAAAAGCCAAGCGGAGTCTTGAATCTCTGGTGAAAAATGTTCTGAAAGCCAGCGTCATTTACCCAACCTTCCAGCTTCGCTCCTGGGCTGGGGTCACGTCCGATATCCCGACAGGCTTGACCAAGAGTTCTGTTCCAGTTCCATGCGAAGCTCTTGTCGCTAAGTGTGCCATCCTCGGAGTACCACTCGCTGGTTACGTCTTGGAACTCTGCCCAGCCTCCAGGGTTCAAGTTGCTAAGGTCCTGTCAGTATCATCTTAGGCCTGAAGCGTTTCATAATGGCTTCCGTACTCGTAAATATTTTTCACAAGCTTGGGCCAATCCTTGATTGAGGCTGCCATGTATCTGCACATGATGAAGTCGTACTTTTGGTGTCCAACCCAGGAGCTCTCCACATCATCGATCTCAAATTTGACGTTGGGCGGAACCCTTTTGTTGTCAGCTTGATAATTTACACTGCAAATTAGTAAAGTTCTAAGACGCACCAGTCAGGCTGAATGGCACTCAGGTCGTTTCCAATGACCTCTGCGTTCTCGAAGATGTCGCCCATTTCTACTGCCCCTATTATGGCGTTAGCCACGAAGCGTTACAAATGAGTCATCAATCGGCACGTACAGATTCCCGTTCCGGTGCCGATATCCAGGATCCTCCGGACTTCATCTTTTTGGATTGGCGCCAGGTAAAGTCTACTTCCAATTGTTTTGACTATCAAAGCATGCGCCATGTCGAGGCGATCCATCTCACGCTACACATTTGTAAGCTAGTGATGAGAAATGGTCGATTGAAATAGAGACAAACCTCATCGTTAGGAAAGGCGTAACCTTATAAAACTAGTGAGAAAAACCTGCGAAGGGCGCCAAGGGACAAGAAAGTAGTACTTACTGCCCGGCCGAAACGCGTGGTATCGACGGCCATATTCAACGGGGTAGTCGATAATGCTTGAAGATAGAGATGCAGTATATTGTGAACTGAACATTAGCATCGCCAGAGTATGAAAAAGCCCATGAAACTTACATGCGCTCGTCGATCGTGGAAGCCAAATCACTCTGCAGAGAAAGTAAGAGGTTGAAGATAAAGAGGTGAGGTCATGGAACTAACCGTGGCGTCGTCATCAATCTCAAGTTGCTCGTTTCCTAGGGCTGAAATTGCTTCAACGGAGGGCGCCGCGGGGTTTGATGCTGCCTGTGGCGTTGCTGTACCAGGAGCAGAGGCATCGACGGCAGGTTGCCTTGCGGATGAATCGCCCATTTTCGTTGTAAGTGATGGAAAGAATAGTGGGACAGTGCTGCACCTCAGGAACACTCAGCGATTGCAGACTGATTAAATCAACCAGGAAATAAATCTCATGACAGTCACAAGAGAACTGCGAATCTGAGAAAATTACCTACGAGAGATGAAAATATTTATAGATTTCATCTCTTAATTGTACACGAATTCTCGACTAAGGAAATGCTGTTGGTGCAGATCCAACAGCATATGCCTCTGCACAAACAACAGGGGGGGATGTCCTCTTTTCGGACCACTTCCCGTTGACCAGGCCAATCGACTTCATAGTTGAACCGCTTAATGCTGTGGATAACAACAAATCCCATGACACCTACCAATTCGGAATTGTTTACCCCTCTTCGCTAATGGATGCTGTACCAGGTTTCGGAAGACTTGTCCGCTTCCGCGGCGACTGGCACAAAAGCTGTGGAGATCGTCGCCATCGCCTTCTTTTGTTAAAAAAGGAAACCATGGGAATAATCGTCGTCTTACAGGGGTTCATGCTCAAAGTTTCTGTTGGTTGACTCTTATGTTCAGTTGACAGTCCAAGTCAGCAGGGCACTTGATGAGATAAAGAAAGTTTTAGGGCTATAACTTGCAGTTAACAAAATGGGGAGCGACTCTGAAGATTCGGTTATAGGACTGTTGGAGCTTAAAGTGATAAGCAGCATAAAAATAGAATTCAATTTCTAAATGTCTATGGGGAAACTCCGCTGCAAGAACCTAAGTGCCAAGTTGTGACGAGAAAAGTGGTTCCACAATTGCTGCAAGGCAATTGCACCTCATCTACCTTACCGTGACACGAGAACAATTACGCATCAATAGTCTCCTGGATCTGCTGCATTTGATCCCTGATGGCAGTAACCTCACTGTCGAGTAAATGACGAAGCTCGGGGTTCTCCTCGCTTTCTGTAGCCACGTTTTCGCTCCTAATTATGTCCATGGTCGAACTAATGATTTCGAGATGCCTCTGAATCGTTGTCTGCAGATTATCCCTGAGCTCACGTGTCGAAGAATATAGTCGTTTCCTGAACTCCTTCATGAGATTTGGGAACAATTCCTCGTCCTGAATGGCATCGTTGATGATCCCTTTGCGTCTTCTATCACTCCCAGTTCCTGATACAAATCATTCAGTCAATCAGCCCTGACGGCCTTTCAATTTTGCTCAAACTCTCGCGTTTCAAACTTACCTGCCTCAAGGTTGCAAGCTCTGTAGGAGGCTTCCATTGCCTCGCCAATCAAAGATGTGCGAATACCCGAAAGAGCGTTGATTTTTAAAACCCTAGAAAACAGTCAGTCTAACAGTAGTCCAGTTTCCTCAGTAGGTTTGTTTCTTGCCTGAGGTTTCCCTCGAACTTCCCGCATAAATCCTCCATTTCTGAAACAAGTATGTTCTTGCGGCAGGATAATAACTGGCAGATTGTATCAGATGACTCGGATAAATCTCCCAGGCCTCCCTCTTTCGCAAGAGTCAGCAGTCTGAGATATGTTTGCCTCGATTATGCTGAGGTAGCTTACCGAGGGCGTCAATTTCCCCCTCTATAACTCGCACCACATGATCTGTGATTTTTTCAAGCTCATAGGAGAAGGTTGAGCTGACATTTCTCCATGGCGATGACAGAGTTGTCACCATGCCATGAATAATCTCTTCGTTCCAGTTGTGTGAACCCGCAGCGGGGGTGCAATAGTTGCCAAACTGACGGCAAAACGCGGAGTAACTTGCTAACAGATAATAGTCAGAATATTTAGGAACGCTTTAAAATAAATTTGAACCTACCATGGTGCCACTAAAAGGGTAATCAGTAAAGTTTAACGTTATGTTTGGGCGCAGTTGACACTTACACCGGTCCATTCATATCCCGCGTCAATAGCAGTCTCCCTCCAATCAACGGTATTCCGGACTAGAGAGTGATATGTTGGTAGTTGACTTAGTTAGTTGTATAGGCGGCACTCACTATCATATATCTGGACCGAAAAGTTGTCCTTAACTATATTGTATATTCCATTGATCATAGAATCACGTCCCGTCAAATCCTACATTCGCAGTCAGTCTCCGTCAGAAGTGTACGAAGTTACAGATTCAGTCACTTTTTTCAGCCGTCTCTCAGTTCTGTCCAATGCTTTGCGCACTGCCCGTTTTTGTTCTGCACTTGCACTACCAGCCCCAGATTCGACCCAAAGTGCCACGTCTCCGAGAAGTGCTGGAATGTCGTCCGTAACGAAATTGGTCACAATACTCAATTGTGTGTCTGAAATGATAGACAGACAGTGTTTCCTAAGCGCCAAAATCCCGCTCAATTGGAGTGACGGGAGTGCCAAGTCTTTTGGCTTCGAACGATTTGCCCAGTATTCAGTATTGCTCACACAGAACACGGGTATTTCGTCGGGCACTCCTTCGTCTTCTGAATCGTCTTCGGAATCTTCATCGGAATCGTCATGCTTTCCGTAATGCTCACGAAGTTGTCCAATTACAGAAGCGTTGCGGGTTTGAATAAGATATTTCTTGAGCCTTTTGCTATGATTAGCTTGTTCATGGAATTGGCTGACGTAAAATTGGTGCGACTTACTCGAATTTGTTGTGTTCCAAAGCTTGTCTGTCACAGCCAGAACAATTAGTAACAGGAGCAATGTATACCAAAACTACTTACTGTGTCTTCTTAGCGCGAAACCCAAGATCGATAATCAGATTTCTCTCCTCTTCAGAGAGATCATCCGCGTCTTCAAAGTCGGCCAGATCCAAGTTAATGTCATCCAGTTGTCTTTGTGTAGCCGCTACCGCATCACTGAGTTGCTGGACTTTCCTTGCCCGTGGGCCCTTCCAGTCTTTTTTGGCTTCTGCAGCGCGAATGTCCTGTATACTTTTAAGTATCAAAGTGACTCCTAAATACTGAAAAGGGCAACTCACGTCAGATTTGGTACAAACTATACCGACATTTTCTAATCCAGCTTCTTTGGCTAAATCAAAGACGCTTGCAACGCCAACGTCGGTTGTGGCTCGACCAATGTTACAGATTGCGAAGATCTCATCGCACTCAATCAGATATCGCTCTGTGATGGCTCTTCGAGCAGAGTTCAAGTCACGCAACCCTGACAGAAAGGTTAGTGACACGTTTATACGGCCTGGATGGAAAAACACGGCATACCAGGCAGGTCAACAAGTACGAGTCCTTTACTAAGGATATGCGAATTGAGAGAAACTCTAAGAACGGTGAGCAATTCAATCCTTGAGTTACGGTGAGCATTTGTTGCATACTTGATCTTCTTGATGTATGGCCAGAGCGCCGGCTCGCGCGACGATGCCACTTCAGAGGTTAATCTCATCAGACGGGTGGAACAATCCTGCAGGTTGGTATCAACTTGTCGTCCCTCAATTTCAGATGGTCTCAATTCCACGACACGGGATTTCAAAGTCCGGAGTGCTACTTTCAATCTGTCTTCCGTGAGGAATTCCTCATCGTCATATCGGCCCCGGAACATAGCTCGGAAAGTGTCAAGTGCAACTTGTGCCTGCTCCTTAAAGTCACTTAGCTCATTGCCTTCCATTTCGTCGGAGTTCAGGTGGTAGTGTCGATAAGACTTGAGTAGATCTTCAGCCTGTTTAACGAGATCATCGACACTGAACAATTCAACGTATGTAATGAAGTCAGTTTGGTCGTGGAAATGATACTCTGTAACCACACATGTGCATGCAGCTCCACTGTTACTCTAAGAGGTGTCAATTCACTTCATCCATGGATACACAATGATTGAAAATCTCACCGTTCTTGCAAGACCCTCTAAGTCTAGAAGAGAATTCAAAAGACTGCTCTTTCCTGACGACTTTGTTAGTTTCTTGACAACTGCTTTATGTGTCAGTCGGAAATGATTTCGCTCACCAACACCAGAGTCACCGACAAACCCAACTGTTCGAGTGGATGGGGGCTGAAAGTGAGCAAGTTTCTGCGCTTGCCGATGCAGTTGGCGTATGGTGGAGTCAGGGTTGATGTGAAGAGGGGAACTGCCCAATGCATCCGCTAAACGTGACATGAGGGCCTTTGCATTTCGGAAAGCTTCTTGTACTTTAGGATCATGGAATCGATTGGGAGGAACTTCTTCGTCCTTGACGTCATGCTTCGAGAGCACAGTCCGAGAAATACGGCGCGGCCGCTCAGGAGGACGAGGACTCAGCGATGTCATCCTCAGATTGGGGTTGCTAGCCTCCACCCGACTGGGTTGCTGTTCCGAATTGTTGGCGATTCCAGAAATAGCAATTGCTACATCGACCATGACGAAGGGTGAACGTTGCGAAGTAAGGTTCATGTTGTCCATACATCTGGTAAGGCTCTCCGTTTCCCCGTTTCCTTGACGTGAACGAATTTTTGGGCTTGCGAATGGCGATGAAGTCCCACCATGGCTGGAACTTGAAGGAGATGACGGCGCTACCGATGTGGTGGGCGTTTGAATAACGTAGGTGCCATCATTCGATGTCACACTGATTGTCGGACTCCTAGGACCTCCTTCAATGGTAGGGAGGGGATCATCAGAAGACTGGCGGGCCGGCCCGTCCTTTTTCTTGGATGGAGAGACCCGAAATACAGGTGTCCCCTCAGACCTTGCTATTGAGGGGAACTCTGGTGTTGAATCTGTGGATGGCGTTGGGGAATGCCGGGAAGAAGTCGAAGTCGACGCCGACGGTACTTTTGAGGAGGATTTACGCTGAGTTTGATTAATTATGTTGTCTATTAAGGCAAGGCAGCCGCGGTGTTCAATCACTCCAGATAGGGAACTTACATATCTTGTCATTCTGGCCAACAAATGGTTAAGTTAAAATCAAGGTACGAGGAAAAGACCAAAAATGGACCTAACAGCGGTGGATATTTTAATGACCGTAAAAAACATGCAATAGACGCAAAGCTACAAAGTAGCACTTAAAGTCATTGGTAAGTTTTGACGGATTTTGAACTTGTTCGAGATGTCGCCGAAATTGTCGAGAGACATGGAACGGCTCTTAAATTGCTACAAGACCAACAATTACCCCTCTTGTGCACAGCCTTGCGGCCATGGTCGTTTCGCTCAGGAGTTCCCAAAGCTGCAGAGGCTTCTACGAAATGGGATGTTGGACCGCCCCCGGCCCAGGCTTGTTGGTGCGGTGCAGACCAGTATTGGTTTCAGGCCCTCGTTCTCTGTGCAATTCCCAACCAACACCAATAGAAGATTTCATGCACGCGCCTCAACCCCCCACAAGCAAGGCAGAATACGGTCTACATATGGGCCAATCTAAGAAAACTACCTATGAAGGAAGCCTTGCGTCTCAGCTCGTGCATTTATGTCTCATTGAATATGGCTAAATTTATCTTTTATATACTTTCCCTCATCCTCTCAAGCTTGATGAGCATACCATGTTCGACGACTATGGTTCGGGTTCGTGCACTGGGAAATGATTGGTACCAGAGGCCCGAGGAGTCAAACGGCGCCCAGTATGGGACCAAAAAAGAAAGAAAGAAAAAAAAAAGCGAAAAAGGCCTTTCAGTTGCCCCTAGTCAAATCCGGAGCAAATTCCAATTGGATGGCAGAACTGAAGGGTTTACAAAGATAGTATGTAGTAAGTGCATGTAGTCATTATTCCTTCCAAGTAAAGCAGACAATGACTCGTGACTCTAGGATTTATACGAGCCTAACTTTCAAGGCTCTACTGATAACACGGAAACCAATCGTTTCAAATGGATTAGAGACAAAACATTCAATCAATCGAGTTCACAATCCAAATTAGTTGTAGATAGACTCCTGTCTATGGCTCTCATGTGCGATATCGATTGAGTTTGTCGTATATAGTAGGCGTAATCCTGTTTAGTGCCACTGCCCTTCATTTTCGCCGAGGGCGGGGTAAAGCCAAACCAGGCTCCTGCGTTTACCAGTTTTGTTAACTCATATGGTTAAATCTAGGGTACATCCATTAGGAATATGAGGCGCGCGAGAGGTACGAACGCTCTGTATCGATAAAAAAGCTATGTCACAATACAAAGATTGATACGGGAATCAAGGACAAACAATAAACTGCACATTCACTAGGAATAGTACGGAATAAAAGTGGCTATCAAAGCGGGAGTTCCAGGGCTTGGCAAAAATGAAGTACGGCGGTACTTGATAGCATTGTAAGTACATCCCTCATCCTGAGCCGATGTTAGATTGTTCATCGCATGAACTGCCGAGCAACTGTAGACGGAGAGAACGGAAAACTCCTTACAATATGACCACGTGCTTTTTTAGAATAGCAGGGATACTTCGGTTCAATCAAACATACGGTTTATTATCGCCTCTATCGGCAGCGGCGGAATATGAGTCAATAGGTTCAAATGAAATCTTGTGATGTATGTTGGACAGTTGAGTCATGACTGCTATGACCTGTTCTAAAACTGATTTCCCCTTGTCTCTGGCAAGCCGGTTGGCTATGCTTTTCCGGGGTGTCCAGTCACCGTGAAATCGAGTTACACCGTGATGCGACGAATAACACGTCAGCCTACAGAACTAGAAGACTGTATGATACAATTCTAATGGAGAAGCAGGAGTAGATGTACAACCACCGGTCAGTCCGTCGTTCTTTCTTCATTTTGTGGTACCTCTCACTCAGAGCCAATGCGAGGACAATGCCAGTGCGATAAGTCGCGCGCAAAGCATCTTCAGTCCCCACAGAGGTGATTACTATTTAAACACATGATCGCTCCTAAAAACGATTATATTGCAAGCAGTGAGTATAACACCATACTACAAACATCATGGATCTTTCAAAACTTACAAAAAAGACGCTCAAAGTCTCTAGAGGCTTTACCTACACCTACTACTCCGCAGGTGCCCAGGAGGCAAAGCCTACCATCGCGCTTTTCCACGGTTGGCCCGACTCGGCAAAGGTCTGGGCTGGGTTCGTCAATGACTACCTACTACCGCATGGCTACGGCGTTATCGCCCAGGACTGCCTCGGCTACGGCGAGACCTCCAAGCCCACCGACATCGAGTCATACGGATGGCAGCATATAACGACCGACATCGCCGAGATCCTTGACGCTGAGAACGTGCCCAAGGTCATTTCCCTCGGCCACGACTGGGGAAGTGGCCTAGCCCAGAGGCTTTATCACTTCTATCCTTCACGGGTACAGGCCCTTGTCATGGTGAACGCTCCCTATATGCCACCAAGTGGAGACTTCGACCTGGACTCGGTGAATGCCAGAACCCGGGAGGCCTTCGGCATGGGTCTCTTCGAGTACTGGCACTTCTTCGCCTCGGAAGACGGTCCTGGCATAATGAACCGTAACCTTGAATCTGTATACAGTGCATTGTTTGGTGACCCTCACACTTGGCAAAACACATTTTGTACTCCTGGTGGGATGCGCAAGTGGATCAGCGAAGGCCACACACAGCCGACACTACAATACGCTACGCCCGAGCACAAAGCCGACTTTATGGACCGCTTCTCTGAGGAAGTTGGATTCCAGGCATCGTGTTGTTATTATAAGTCAACTGTATTTGGTGTCCAAAATAAGGCGGAAAAGCTAGCGGCCGAAGGCACGATGATGGTCAACGTGCCAACCCTTTTCTGGGGCGTTGAACAGGACTATGTGTGCAGGCCCGCCGGACTTCAGCCGAGTATCCAGGCTGGGCTACTGCCGAATTTAAAGATAGTCACAAGAGAGGGTGGACATTGGGCTCTACTTGAGAAACCAGCTCAATTTGGCCAGGATGTGCTGGGCTGGCTGCAAGAGACATTCTAGGACAATGCCTCTCGGTCAACGTGTTATCACCAGATGTTACGCTTGAATATGCCGCTGAGGATGTTATTGAAATTGCCGAATGGGGCTGATGTATTGTAGAGACGTAATGAGACTAGGAACAAAGAAAAAGAAAAAAAAGAAGAATCTTCTCTCATGGTTGATCAGTATAGAAGTTTCCAAGTATCGTCAACGGTTTTTCTCCGAGCCCGCTGACATGCAAATTGCAATAAGTCATGACCCCGTTTTACGTTTTTCCCTAATTCTAAACTGTAACATGCGCTACTATTGGACTAGGAAAGTGGCAGTTGTCACACCATCCAAAAGCGGCAGCTCACGCGGTCGCGAGTTCCGTTATTTGTCCGTGTGGTAACCCAATTTTGACGTTCGACCAAGAGCGTGGTGCAAAATGCTGCTGCCTTGAGCTAGGGTACACAATGCTGCTGCCTTGAGTGGGTTCGGCTCATGCGCCGTAACAGCATGTGGGTTCACCAGAGACAAAAAGTATTAATAAACATTTGACAGAAAATTAAGAGATTAGCGTTTAGACCACTTGCTTTTATTTTTCGAAATTGGAAACTTGCGTCTTCGACCACGAGCCGGAATGTTTCCAAGCAACGTCGGACTCTCCATTGTATGAGATTGAGGCTCTTGGTTTACTGCCAAACTATCAACTTGCATTCTCCTATATACATCACTAGCCCAGGATGTTCAAACTCTAGTATATGCGCGATGGGTATCAACCCCGTTTGATGTCTTAACCTTCTTAATCTTTTAATACGACAGCCCTGGCAATACTGGGTGGAGCACAAGGGGGGGGGATTGTTTTCCGGATCATTTTGTTAATTCAGAAATGTCACCTGCCCACGAAGTTCCACGGGGGTCTTTGCTTTGCAAAAGTGCAAATGTCCAAAAGACTGGAGGGTTTTGACAGCTTGAGTGGTTGGATAATTCCGAGAGCTCAATTGACCCGATTGAGTAGAGTAGTTAGCCTCGCGAGGCGTACCTTGGCGTGTAAATGGACTAGCGTCATATGTGGCGTTTTGTGACCTCGTATGGATATTTTGTGTTGGGCATTTTTTGTTTGCGGCGTGGTAGACACTAGTCTCTGACTCGTTGGTCAAGGGGTTTTACACGCAGAACCAACAACCAGGATCCCTTTGGGTGATGCCTGGGTCGCAACGGCATTGGCCAGCAAACGGCCTCGACCGATTCTGGACGCTGTCACATTGCTGCGCCCAGTGCTGCCGCGTAGTCCACCTCTACTCCAACGATCGTCAGTTACGTTAATAGGGGGCTGCGTCGTGAAGGTAGGGTAGACGATGCTCGTGTCTCCGGTTGATGCTAGATGAGGCAATTTCGTGGGAACCCCCTCGACGCTCTGTATAACTGGGCCTCTCTGGATACTCGCGGTCATGAAATGGGTCTAGTATATTTTACTGTTAACTCTTGAAAGACACCAGTACTCTCTGTTATTGAAATATGTCGTACTGTTACCGTTAACCCCTTTCGTAACTTCAAGCCTTTCTTTTACTTATTTCCCAGATACCCTTTTTCTTGCAACTGTTTCTCGCATCAACTAAACTGTTATTATTTACTTTGTTCACAATGGTTTCTCTACCTCGAGGAAGTTGTCTCAAACTTTCTGTAGTTGCAATTGTCTCCATCACAGCCGTCGTCGTTCTCCATCAACTCAGCTACACAAACACAAACGACTTTAGCCTCCTAAGCCAGCCCATCCAAGTGCTGAACGAATGCCCAGTCTCCCCTGAAGGCGAAGGCGACTTAATCGCAAAAACAATCCCCAAAACCATCCACCAGATCTGGAAAACGGCCGACGTGAGCACTTACCCGGCGACTCCTTCGCACGATAACTGGAAGGCTGCGTTCGAACCGAAGAACTACACCGTAAAACTCTGGACCGACGCCGACATCCTCGACCTCATCAAGAAAAACTACACGTGGCTGCTGTCCACATACGAGGGCTACGATCAAAACATCCAGCGAGCGGACCTAGCACGGCTGGTCGTGATACACGCGGAAGGGGGCACATACGCAGACCTCGACGTCCACCCGCGTGACGGCGAGGCGATTATGTGTCTGCAGCGCCATGGCTTGCAAGGCGCTTTCGGGCCTACGGGGGGCTCGACTGGCCTGAGTAACCATTTTTTCATGGCCGAGAAGAACTCGGATTTTCTCAAGTGGGCCCTCCAAGAGGCAAAACGACGCGGCGGCTCGAGTTCGAAGCGGATTCTCTTACCATACCTTAGAGTTTTCTGGTCCACCGGCCCGCTAATGTTGACGGCGGCATTCCAGCAGTACTCGTGGATGTACGGCACATTGGCGCCGCAGGTGGTGCTGCTGAGCGAGAATTATGTAGGAACGATGATTGCTCACGCAGCAGGGAGGTCGTGGCACGGATCAGATGGACAGGTGCTGAACTATATCTCAGACCACGTACAACTAAACGGCATATGGGTGGCTGTGTCATGTTTGGCAGTGCTAGTTTTCTTTTGTATTATGAGGCGTTATCGAGCGGACTTGTCTTATAGAACATGTTGTAAGAATAGACACTTTGAAGTTTAACGAAACGGCATTTACAGCAACAGTGACGGTAATGTGCGCATGACAGGCCAGAGTAATTAATCCTATTTGTACATTAATCATTACTAGGTACCTCCCCTGCGAGCACTAAATATGAAGGTTCTCGAGCTCTTCCTGGAGCACCTTCACCGGACGGAACGTGCTTGTAAAGGGGCGCCCAAGCTGCGTGACCCTGAATTTTACAGTTTCCTCCTCCGTGTGCGTCTTGCCTTCGGCCTTTGCCCTATCCTCCATGATCTGCGCAACGCTTTTCACTTCTTCAAACTCGCCCTTAATGCCGCTTTTCTCTTCGCCCCACAACTCGAAGAACGGGTAGCCGTGGTTGGCATACGTCTTGGCATCCACGGGCGTGTCTGGGGCCGGCTGGCCAGTGACGTTTCGGAACGACTCGATATCCAGAATCTGAAGGTTCACCATCACCGACGCCTCGACGTCCCACACATCAGATGGATAGGGATCAGCTTCGATCACCTGATTGATGAGACCGCCAGCAGCGAGGCCCATCTCGTTAACCTCACTCGCGGACTCGGGTCCACTTGCACTATCCATCATCATCGTGTTCATCGGGGCCATGCCACTGGGAGGCGGGGCGGCGCATGCTAACATGACGTTCGCCTGCGGAGCACCGCATCTCGCTGGAAATTGTAAGCTAAGTTCCATGTTGAAACAGAAGGGTAACATACCTCTGAACATGCCGCGTCGTACTGGCTCTGACTGGATGTGGGTGACGCTGAGCGTAGAGAACTTGACAGGGAAGTAGACGTCGCCGAGCTGGACATCATCGTCAAAGTCCATATCAAATTGGCGGGGCCCCAGGGGCTTAGATGTGTGGTTGCTGAGAAGCTGCTCCTCTACAGCAATGTCGAACTCATCCCGAATGCGTAGCTTGACGTCCTTCCATGTGCTCTCTTCCGTAAGACCCTTGTTAGCCAGGTTGAATGTGCGAGTGACCACTTTCTGTTCCTTATCTTCATAGCGGACGTCGAACTCGGTCGGGAAGTTCTTTTTAATGGGGATGATCTCAATTTGGATACCGCCCACGTTCTCCTCGCCGGTGACCTGGGCCTCGACAGAAAACCCGGAGCCCTTTGGCTGAGCAACGAACTGGCGAATCTTGCCATCCTCGGAAGCAATACCATCCAGCCAATGCTGCTCGGGGAGGACCATGTAGTCCTGAATGGGCTTGCCGCTGTTGAGCATCTTCTTCCTCTTCTCCTTTGTCTTGTCGTTCTCCGTCATGGGGAAGCCGGAGACGGCGTTGACACCGCCGACGTAGATCTTGATGGCAAACGGAGCGCCCGCAGAGAAGCTGATCCACATCGCTTCGCGCTGGTACATAGGGAAGAAGATACCGCCCTTCTTGACCATGTCCTTGGGCATGTTTTGGGTGTAGTCGCGCACCTTGAAGAGAGGGAAGGCTCCAAGACCTGGGGGCAGAGCATTGATGTCTTTGTTGTCGGGCACACGGATTGTGCGGTTCAGTTGCATAGAAAGGGCTTCGCTCTTGCCGCCATGTGAGACGACAATACTAGTAGCTGGCTGCGGAGGCTGGCGAGGCAGGCTGACTCTCAGTTTCCTGCCGGCGTTGATGAGTTCATCGTCGCTTGCGCGCACCTCTGGCATCACTTCGACCGTGTCGGCCTCTGAGACTGGGTTGATTCTCGTCATGTTGATGGTTTAATGTTGTTATGTGAGGAAGTCACCTTGATACTTTGGAGTTTGAAATGATCGTAGGAAGATGCTGTGAAGAGATTGAGGGAATGAGTTGTCTTGAGCTGTTCTTATATAAAAGTTAGAGCTCTTCACATGCCCAGTTTATTCTGATCTAGATTAGGCAGGTTCTATCAAAGCATGACTCAATTTGGTCGACATCAATGGCTGTAAGGTGTTGTTTTGTGAGGGGTTCAGCCTCATCACGACACCAATGACGGCCACGAGCGTTGAAAGAGGAAGGACAAAGAACGGATATGATTGGGTCTCTTCGGTTGAAGCTGGCTGCCTCCAGAAAATGGGGGCGCTGATTGGACAGATCTGGTAGATCTGCCGTTGTCCACCCCTCCAGCTTGTAGCACGGGCCCTCCGTGAACCCCACCTAGTTTTGCGCAACGGCGGATTACTGCTGGAAGGAACTCGCTAGCAACTCTGGCAGCTTCGTTTGGTATCGCGGACTCTTTTTTTTTTTTTTTTTTTTTTTTTTTTTTTGCCTCATCCATACTTCGCAATCTCTATTGTCTGTCTTCTTCTCATCCATCTTCTTATCACTAGTCTTCTACATCGAATACATCCTGCAATGCTCAACTTCTGCATCGTAACCTTCCATCTGGCGCATCTGTATTAGGCACGTTGTCTTGATGGCTCAACTGCCGTTTCGTCTTGACGGTTACCAACACCAGAAACACATGAAAGCGGTCTTCAAGAATTGATAGCACTCCCTACGGGCCTTTAAGGCATTTTACAGCATTGTTGTACCGAAGCTTTTGGTTTCTGGATGCACACAACCTTCACTGTGAATCCGGGCCAACACAACACCTAATCACTAGCCTGCCAGAACCATTTAGCAGCTCAGCCGTACCAAACATGACCGGAAAACTAGGGTTCAGGAGTGCGGTACCTGCAGGGAACCGTTTACCCCTTATCCACACAGGAATCAGACCACAGCCCCAGAATGATTACTGTGCAACCGCCGCCCGCCAAACTGTTGGACTTGTGCAGCCCCTCTCGAACCCAGGTCCCCGGTTCTGCCAGCTTTGCCCCACCAGGTTCTGATTGGCGGTGTAGACGAATGTCAACTGGCGGGCTCGCCGCCCATCAGGCCACCCAGAAACCATGTCTCAATTCTGCCCTGATGGGTGCATACCCTGCGACGACCTGGCCGTCTTTGCAAATGACAAATGACAGTGGCTCTTGGTGTCTCAGAACTCCGTTTGACAGGCCCCTAGGCCTTTTGTTTCTTGTCCGCATGCTGCTCGGCACTACCCTCTTCGGCAGCCCGTTTGGCTGGTGTGATCTCGTTGCCCTTGATCTGGGGGCCGTCGTCTTCGGCCTGGTCCGCTCCTTCACCGTCGTCGCTCTCGAACTCTTCCCTGACCTCTGCGCACTTGCCTTCAAACAGCTTCCGCCAACCGCCGTTGGTCACCTTGTCGTCGTTTCCGTGTAAGCCAACCTCGTACGCCTTCTTCATCGACTGCAGGCACACCGTCCTCCGCTCGTTGAAATCAAACATGGGCTTCGGATACACCCCCTTTTCGGCAGTCTCCCCACGCCCTGTAATCCGGACGCCAGCCTTCTTCTGGTCGGGCAGCGGGGCCTTCCACGGCTCGTAGATGTACTTTGCGTCCAGGCTCTTGAGCTCCGGTACCCACCGCCGCACAAAGTCCCCGTTCTTATCCCACTTCTGGCCGAAAGATATAGGACTATAGCAACGGAAATATTGCGAGAAGAAGGCTGTACAGCTCAGCCACTGCCAGTTCCCCGCGTTGCAAGCCGGCTCGTGATCGAGGAGCCACTCCTCAAACACCTCGCAACCGCGCTCCCAATCAATGTAGCAGCCTCCTCGGGTGAGGAAACAGGCCACCGAGTGGCGGCCCAAGTGATGAATCCAACCCTCCTCTCGCAGCTGCCGCATCAAGGCGTCGATCCACGGGAAGCCCGTCATCCCGTACTTCCACCTCCTGAACCACTCGTCCGCCTGCTCTGAATCAACATGATACTCGCCGGTGATGAGACCCGTCTTGGAGTCAACCTTTGACGGCAAGTGCCATGGGATGAAGCGACAGTAGGGGTTATTTGCCGTCTGCGTAAACCTGTATCCCAGTGCCGCGTGCGCCGCAAAGTACATGTCGCGGAACAGCAGCTGTCCGATCAAGCTCTCCGGCACTTTCGACGCCCCCTTGCCGTACTTATCCGCAACCTCCTTCACCCCCCAGTAGAACTGCCGCACGGATAGTGCCCCAAAATGCAAGAACGGCGACATAAACGTCGTCGACTGCGGCTCGAAGGCCGCGGGGCTCGTCTTGGGCTTCTCGAACGTGGCCGTGTACTTCTTGTTCGCCAAGATGTCGTCCAGCATTCTGAGCGCCCGCGTCTCCCCTCCGCGGTGGGGAGTGCTCGCCGACGGGAACCCGAGCTCCTCCATCGTCTCGATAGCGAAATCGCCGTTGGGCCCCGAAATCTTCCTGTAAGCCGAATCCTTATCCGTGCGCTGCCCCGCGTTGAAGTCCGGCTTCGTGTCAGGCGGCGTCTGCTCAAAATCCACCGGCATGTCCCCGGGATCCGGCAGCTCCTGTGGCGGCGGGATCGGCTTCGCTATGGGGCCGACTTTTGCGCCTGCCGCCTGCAACTGCGTTATAGACATTGTGGGCTTGCCGCCGTGCTTCTCGACCACGGCGTCGCTGTCCCATAGGGTTCGCCCGCTCTTGACGATGACTTTTACACCAGCGTCCAGGGCTGCTTTGATCACGACTTCATCCCTCTCGCGACCGTACGCGTCCGTGTCCTTCTCAAAGACGAGATGCGTCACCTTCCACGCCTTGAACAACTTGGGGAATAGCGTTTGCGGGCCCTCACGAAGGACGAAGAGCTTAGAATTGGCGTTGAGTTTAGTGATGCTCTCCGAGAGGTCATTCTGGCAATCTAGACTACGTGCCATATACACAATAGTATTAGCAAAAAAAAAAAAGAATAACCACTTCATGAACCAATCAAGTCCCGGCGTGTATGTGACGGAGGGCCAACGCACAGGAATTGCCAACGATTCAGACCCCCTCGGGCGCGGTAGACGTAGTGCGGATCCCAAGTGAAGATGGGCCAGAACACGGCCGGGTCGAGCGCAAGAGCGGCCGCGAGGGCGGGTGAGTCGTGCAGTCGAAGGTCGGTCCGGAACCAGTATATGACGCGGGGGCGGGAGGACATGGTGTGACCGATAGACAGGACGAGTGAGCGAGCGAGTAAGCCCCGTGCAAAGGGCCTGGAGGGGTAGTGTGTAGTGGTGGTGGCTGCAAAGATTGGGGGGGGGGGGGGGGGGGGGGGTTCAGTTTCGAGGGCCGGGTGGAAATTCGCATATCACTGAGGAATGTTGCAGAGCAGGAGAGAGATCTCGACGGGGAAATCTGAAATCGGCCGCGGCCATCTCCTTCAAAAACGGGAGCTATGGGTCCGGCAGAGGAGCTATGACCAGAGGTATAATGATGTCAACGACTTTAGACGACGCTAGCACTCAGGAACGTTGATCTCTCTCTTCAAAAAACTTTAAGACGGTGGGATCCATAAACCAGGTTATCCAGCGCATTGCACGGTGGGAATGATATTTTTTTTTTTTACCCTCTTGTTAATTTCTTTTTGTTTTTTTCTTTTCTTCTAGCTCTTTAAACTTTGGTCCTCAGTCAGGGCTACCCCCTCCCCAGAAGTTTAGCGTTCACGCAAGAAAAACCGGCTCCCCACGATCTGGTAGAAAAGTGTAAGAACCATGAACCCTGACTCGGACGGTCCCCATTTCCGGGTTTTCAACCGCTGATCCAGGGAGATTACGGGTACCACCCGGCCAGCACGACCAACATGCAATTTTATGTGGGTAAATAGGTGTGAGGAAAAGCATGTCTGATGAAAAAGCCGATCGAAACCGAGTCCGTCCCTTGTGTCTCGGGCCGTGGAGGATGAAGGTAGGTGTGGATGCTCGACTCCGGAGCCGGCAGCCCGAGGAACCCTGTGTAAAACGATGGCCCGGTGGCCGGATACAGATCGTCGACGCCTACGACTTGGCAATGGGCCGATGTCTAAGTCAAATCTGGCCCCTCGCTGCGCATCTCACGTGTTGCTATCATGCGAGCTTGGCCCAGCATCGTTCGTGATCGGCGCTCCCTTGTTTGCGGCTCAAAGTAGTCACATGTGGCAAGCTTGACGAAACATATGGAAGCAGAGAGATGCATGTCCGAGAAAGGCGGCGCCCCGACTTGATTGTCTGTTGTTACCTAGCGAGGTAGCAGCAGCAGAAAAACTCTGTACCCGTTTGGGAGAGCTAGACGATTCTATACATGATGGTGCCTCTTCCCGCTGGCAATGCAAAAAATCCAAATACGACAAAACCCCGTCAGACGTCCCCTTTCTGCATGATCATAACCCGTAAAGATCCACTAGGGTATATAATAGATACGAAGAAATGGTGTATAGTTGAAACAAGGAAAAAAACAAAAGAAACGAGGATCCAACATGAATAAAATGACAGTTTGCCGAGACCTCGAGGCCGTGAAGAAGTGCATACTTGGTCTTGTAGGCCTGTACAAGATTGTTCGCCGGAAGGGGATTCCCAGTTGAAAAATATCGCCGCCGTGTATTTGCCGATTTATCTGACTCCAAATCAACGCCATTTAAAGACTGCCCCAGTCAATGCACCAGTAGACGGTTCTCTTCTCTGCTGCCGGTGCTTAGTTTACCGCTGCTTCTTGGGCTTCTTGCGCTTGCCCGTTGAAACAGTATCTTCATCATCTTCATCACTGTCGTCTTGACGGCGAGACTTGGCACCTGACTTTTCGTTACCCTTCTTGATGGAGATGAGACAGCCTTGTTCCTTTAGGCGTTTGGTTAGGGCTGTGCTGGCCTGCATGCCTGGGAAGTCCTTGGCATTATACACAGTAAAGACATCGCTCATGATGGTAGATCTGATCGGGGCTATCCTAGCGCGATGGGTGGGGTCGACGACGACCAGGACAAACTTGAGGCGGTAGTGGCCGGGTGTGCGGACCGACATATCAGGGAAGCAGAAGAAGCAGCCCTCTTCGCCGTGCTCATCTTGCCCTACGAAAGGCGAGGAAACAAGTGACCCCATGATGCGCTTACCCGGTCGTACAAAGTCCGGAGGCATGTCGGTGCTGTCAACCGTTCCGGACTCGTCCCAGATGCTGCAGTGGACAACATAGGATGGGTGGTGGACTCTTTCGTACATTTCATCAGCGGACAAGTCGGGGTTGTTAATCTTTAGCTGAACGATGGGCGGCGGGTCGATAACTCTGCGGTCCCTCTCTCCATAGCCGCAGCATCTTGCCGCAACGGGCTGCTGTCGGAAAAAGATTTCGTATTCGTTCTTGCGTAGCGTGGGCTTCTGTTCTGGGGCACGTTGAGCCGACTGTGAGACTCCGCCGCCGCTAAGAAGATCTTCAATCTTGACACTCCTGTCAGGCGGCTGGACGGTCGATCCAGATCGTACCGGAGGCATCCTTAAACTTGGAGGAGTGAAGGGGATGGGAACCTTCCCGTCATAGTTGCTGTTCGGCCCACGCGGGGCGGTGGGCATTGCTGGCGGTTGGTTCCGCATGATGAAATGCTGCTCCCTTGCTTCCCGAAATTGGTCATTGGACTCACGGCCCGCCGGTGATACTGCCGGCGACTCCCGAGGGGCTTCCTGGTGATACCTGGGCATGGGTGCCCGGTATTGGTCGTTGGCTAGTGAGGGATGCGGTGGTGGTTGATAGTGTTGGTATTGAGATGGCGGCTGTTGGTAGCCAGGAGAAGGAGGTTGGTGGTACTCATGGTGGTGATTGTACTCAGGACGATGGTACTGCGAGTGCTCTTGTGCGAACGGTCTGGGCTGTGAACTGGACATAGCGTTCATCGAACCCGTGGGGGGCGGCAGACGGGAGTGTTCAGGTTCGTAGGAATAGTAGCCTTCGGCGGCAGGCCTGGGCGGGCCATAAGTGGGTGAGGGAGCCCACGAGGTATGTCTTTGAGCCATGTCGTCTTGTTGTGCTCTTTGGTCATAGGTGTAGTGTTGAGGGGATGGACCGGTGGGAGTGAAAGCCATGGGAGAGATATCTAGACTCAGATCAGGTGCTGCAGAGGCAAAGTTCATTTGTTAGCAACAACGACCGTTCCGGCGCGAAGCCTCGATCCACGTTCTCGTCTCGAGATGTGGCGGTCGGAGGGAACTCACAGAGTGGAGAGGGTCTCAGATCCGTCCTCAGCCCTTGACCGAGTTGGGTGTGGAGAGGAGGCTTTCAGCTCCGGATGCGCTCAAGATGATCGGCGTGTGGAAAAGGTGAGAGTGTAGGTTCAAATTGGCGATTGTGAGTGGACGACTTAAAAACGGCGTCAAGTGGTAAATGCAGATCAGGCCACGTCCATGTGAGCTCTAGGCAGAGAACAAAGATCGAGGAGGCTAGTTGGTCTTCTGGAGAAGAATTTCGGACGCTGAAGAACGAACAGACAGGTGGTAGCAGAGCTTTTGTGCTCGTGGCTTGCTCAATGGCTCTCTTGTCTTGGCAGACGAATGTGGGCAAACGTCGCTTGAAGCCAAGACTCGTAGCACAACAGAGACAATACGTTCCCTTTTTTGTTTTTTAACTGCCCAGGCCACCACGATTGAGGTGCGCAGTTGAGACACGGTCTAGTCGTTATCGGTGCGGAAAAGTGCGGGCATTTACAGGAGCGAGTGAATTGAGCGTCGTGGGTGTAGCTGTCAAGGAAATGGGAGTCGAATAACTGGGTAGATCCTTGTATAGAGTTTGGGCTAGTTGACCCGGTCTGACGACGAAACCCAGGAACCGGGAGAAGCGATCAGCGGAGAAGGATGTTCGATTCGGGTGGACAATACACAATGGCGTTGCCGGCGGCACGACGTCGAATGTCGTGCAGTGTAGTGATGGCAATATGGGATGGCAATTTAGCGTCAAAGGAGCGAAGGACCTCAGGCTTGTAACCTAACGTGCGCCGGTGAGATAAAGTAGAATAAGATCCAGAAGGTAGTGTAAAGTAGAAGGGGAAAAAAGGGCGGCGGTGCGCGGTGGGGGTTGCTAGCATGTATATGAAGCTGCGGGTAACTAGACAGGGCCAGTACGCAATTCCAACAGTCGGTTTGCGGGCGCCAAAGGGGATGGACGAAAGGACTGAGGGATTGGGGGGATGGCTGGATGGATGGATGGATGGATGGATGGATGGATGGATGGACGGAGACGAGATAGGCTAGGCTGGATAGCTGGGTAGCTGGCTGGCTGAGATGGGTATCAATTCCCTGTTCGCTCAGTCCGCGGCCTGTAGATGCTCAGTGCAGCGTGCAACACCGTCCGTATGAAGGGCCGAGTCTGCACTCGCTTGAGTGGGTTAAAACGTTGAAACAGAGGTGGGAGGGAGTGGTTGAGGATGAGGAAGAGAGAAGAAAAACGAGCGAGGGCGAGGACGAGAACAAGGGCGGGAGTCTAGCAGCATCAGCACGCGGCGTCCGCAAAGCGCCATGTGCAGTGTTGGCTTGTCTTTTCTTGTCAAGGAGGAGAGACCGGGGTCGGGCCCCACGTCGGACAATGTGATGGATGGGGAGAGAAATTGGAGCCTTGGGGCCTTTGGGGCTTGTGTGGAATTGGTCCAAGGTTGGCCGCCGAGAACAAGAATGAATGAGGTATCTGTACCTACTGCGTAAGCGAGGATGGAGGATGAGGAAAATGATGGCAGTGAATGCACGTCAGAGACGAGTTGCGACAGCCGAGACGGAGATCTTGCAACTTGTGCACCGAGTCTTATGGCGATGATAATGACGATGATGATGAATCAGATAGTGATGGCGGTGGGGGTTTTGTTAATGTTGGTGTTCATACTGGATAATGGGATGCCTCGACTTGACCAACACTATATTAGATGACGGAATTGCCTAGTGGGTGTGGGAAAAATAGAAAAAGGATAAAAAACAAATAAAAAAAATAAAGTAAACTAAATAAAAAAGGATGTCGAGGCGTTTGTCCAGCGAGGAATTTGAAAGCTCTGAATTGGCTGATCAGGCCAGCAAAGACACTAACCAGCGCGGAAACGGCTGAACTGGGGCTTCCCCTAGCCCACGTTTCCACGCAGGCTAGCTTCAGGATGAGGAACCAGCGGACAAGGGCAGGGATGGCGACCAGGGTGCCAGCAATGTGAACCGGACTGGGACAAAGACCGGGATCATGGATACGCCCAGGGCAAGACAGGAGGCGACATTGAATTCGCTGGGGACATACTCGGCCTTTAGGAAGGAACCGAGAAGAGGAATCAAATCAAAATCAAAACAGAGGATAAGATAAGTGACGATGGACACCAGTGGAAAGGAAGGCAAAAAACAGAAGAGAAAAAAGGGTTAAAAGAAGAGTACGTAGTGATCTTACCCAAGGCGCTTGGAATTTGGACCCGTCGCTTTTGTAGCGGCAGAGCCGTACGGGCATCTTAGCTGTACGAAGAAGGGGAGAAGACTGGTGACTGAGAAGGAACGACAACTAGTTAGGTGTGGTTTACGGATACTATGTGTTGTGCTGTGTGTGTGTTCTCGCTTGTGTGGAAAGTGCAAGGAAGATTTGGAAAGTGGGCACTCTCTCAGAATGGAGTACGTATCCGTGCCTTACGGCGGGCGCACCTACTACTACTAGTAGCCACCCCTACTGAACTGAGGGAACCGGTTCTCGGTAAGATACCTCGACGCCCTACCAATACCAACACATTCCATACTGCACCTTACATGGTACTTTTGGGTGGCTATCATGGCGGACTCGGTTCCCCGTACTATGTCTCCATGTATAGTGGGTGCACAAGTTGTTGGTGTGCAGATTTGCATGCAAGCCTCCTGCGCCCAGTAAGCAGGTTTACGACCAGACAAGATCTCTCGTCGTGTTGGAACTTGGGACGCCGCGCTGGATGCCCTTGATGAAATGCAATGCGACCTGACATGCACGCGTTAAACCCCGAATGGAAAATTGGATAAAGGGGGACCCTTGTCGAGGTCACCCATGATCCCATGTCGATCTGCCCCTCCCACCCCCGTCATGGCTCTTGTCCCCCCTCCGTCACCACCCACCAACCAGCAAGCACAGGTCGGAGGCGGGCGATGGCTCCAGACCATTGGACACACCAGGCCATTGGACACTGGAGACTGGCTACTACTGAAAGACAACAACACAGCCTGCCGCCTTTGCAACTTCTCTTTGCCTCCCCAACGTACGTGTTTGCATGCATAGCACGCAATATCCGTAATCTCTTCTGGAATCGGCCTTTTATCCTCGGAAGGCATGGCCAATTTGCGGGGACGGGTCGTACCTGCCGCTAATTGACGGGTACACCCATAGCGGCCGACGATTGGCGCCGGGAGAACTTCCCTAGCACGCATCCACTACTAGTTGGCAGCAAAAGCATCCAACTCATGCCACTTAAGAACAAAAAATGACCCGTTGCGTGCGGATTCTGCACCCTAAACTCACGATGGCATCCAATCCGCACTGAGCGGTAACGGACCAAAAAAAAAAAAAAAACAGGGCCCCCATCCAACGGCTCAAGGATGAACAAGTGCTTCTTAAACCCAGTGGCTGGAACGCGACACTGACGCTAATAATGCAGAGACCTAGGTGCAGGTGCTCCAACGGCTAGGAGCAGCATTACTAGCACCTCCCTAGCCTGTGAAGAAGACCTCTTGGGTCTTCACGTACCCCTTCAGCAAGGACTCGGCCAGACGAGAGATTTGAGCTGGAAGGTCTGCATCACCCCCAACAGCACCTCACACACACACATCTGGAATACAATTCGGTGGCGCATCGGATCGTTTCTAGTCATGCCTCCACCGTAGTGCGTCCTGCGTCTGCGTTGCCCTTTTTCCAAGAAGAAAATCTGCCCGCTTGCTTCACCTAGCTCGCCTGTCTCGCATGCCTCGCATTCGCTCGCTGAACGCCTCCTAGGCTCCCGCAAACTTCGCCCCAGCCCAGCCATTAAACTCATGTTGGACGCGGCTTTGTTTGTCATCATTGAGGCATCAGTCATCAACATGGTGGGTATTGACCTCATCCACGAGCAGGAGGCCTTGTCTCCTCGCATCTGCAGCCATTCATAGCCCACCATCGTACTAATACCTCGGTATGGAAACTGAGTTCCGCGCTGCCCATGTCCAACGCTACGAATGACAGAACAAGCCTCGTTGGATTTTCCGGACGGTGCGGGTACCTCGACAGGGCGATTACAACGGCTCCTGGTCATGAGGGGAACAAGGGCATCACAGTCACGCCTTTAACAACCTCCGCGCCCAGCCCGCCGTTCGGACTTTCTGCCGACCTATGGTGCTATCCTACCAATAAATCCCAGGCAACTTTGTGTGGAAGCCGCCGCTGCCTTCACATTGCGGCACAGTGTCTCACCGCCCAGCTAGCCCTTGCAGCCAAGATCAGCTCGAAGGTAGGTGAAGGGGCACTTGCTCCTGTTTGGCCGTCTTGTGGTATCCATCTACGTCTGCTCAAACAGGGCCCCAGCCCATAGTTGATCATCCTCGCAGTTCCAACGTGATCCTACCGTGGTCCTCCGGCTTTCCAACAAACTCGGCGCTCGATCTAGACATTCTCCCGTACAATCAACAAATGCTCCGTTCGCGCCATTACCTGTGTCACCCTCTTCCAACTAACCAGGCCCCTTCGCTTCGTTTATCAAATTTAATCATTCTCATTGGCGACGCGACTAACTACCTACTGGGTTATTCGCATTGTCGTGCACTGCTTTTGTGGCATCTTCATGTCGGCACATCTTAGATTATCACACTAGCTGAGGGTGGAGGTCTGGAGCGGAGCTGACGGCCTCTTGATTCCTCCGTACGGGATGGAAAAGTATCCGAGACAGGAAGCAATAGCCAAACCTCGACCGCCGTGAGTGAGATGAGAGGAATAGCAGAGTCACAAGGATCATTGTTGGAACTCACAATACATGACTGGTATCTCTGTTAACGTTCTCCAGCCTTGCTTGTCAAGCCTTCTTGGACCTTAACAACGAGGCAACGCCCGGATACACCTCCGGATCTTCGCTGCACGTAGCGACGCGCTTTCGGGTAGCCACTCGGCGCCCGACGCGCCCGGCCGTTGTTCAGCG